AGTATCTATATTTTATTAGAGCGGATTTCGATAACTCTTCTTACTTTAGACATTTCGTATAGGGATCCTTAAGTCTTATATAGCGATCGTATAGTTGCTCGCTATTATATAGGAAAGCGTTCTTAAGATACTACTAACACTTTTTATCTTTTAGTATACCGGACCTCCCTTATATTTCTTCTTAATTTATATATTTTGTTTTTCTATCCTTATAATATAAGTAGAGATTATCGGTAGAGAAGAGAGGAGATTTGTCGTATTTCTATTTATCTAGGTTATAGTAGTAGTATTTGTCCTCGAGTCGTTAGTATAAAGGTCTAGTTAGAATATATTAAACTTCTTAACCTATTTATAGCGAATAGGTTAGGTTCTTCTCGTTATATCGAGTATAAGTATCTTCGGGGCCTATCTCGTAGTAGCGTCTAATAATAAAGTACTATAAGTACCTATCCTTCTTCTACTATAGAGGACGTTTTAAACTCTATACTATATAGTCGACGTTATATCGTTAGTAGGTTAAGCAGTCGGGTTTTGCGCTATCGTATACTAAACGCTTATTAAAGCAGAAGTAATACTTTTCTTAACTTAGTAATTAATTTAAGTAGGTAAGATTTCGGTTCGCCTCGGAGATTATAGCTTTTAATATAGAGTCCTACTCTATATACTCCTATTCTTATATAGTATAGTTTGAGCACGGTCTCTATTCGTCGCACTTTAGAGACTTAATAAAGTATCTCTTATATCGGGATTTATCTAGTTTTAGTCCTAGGACGCCTCGAGACTTATACTCTATCTTATCGAGTCTTTTCTTCTTTATTAGATTATATTTCTTAGCGTATTAATTACGATAGGAAAAGACGACCTCTTTCGAGTAGAGGTTATACTTTATTTTCCTTTTCGGACTCTTAGCCTCTAGGTCTATCTAAGTAAAACCGGTATAATTAGGGCTAACTATCTTAGTAATTCTTAGCTTCTCGGCTATATTAGTAAAGAAGCGGGATCGAGACGAGTCTCTATAGCTATTGCCGAAGAATCGAGATTAAATAGAGGGATCTTTAGAACTCGATTATCGAGTCTCGTCTATTCCTTTAAAGACTATATTAGTAGCTTAACGTATATTATTAGAAAAATCTTCGGGTTCGACGAGTGCGCCTTCTAGGCAGTAGCGTAGGACACCGTTCTCGTCGTAGTCGTCGCGCTAATAGTTCTAATTAAAGTTATAATCGTTATAGTCCTTAAGAATAAAGAGTAGTAACTCGGAGCTAGGTTAATCGGTTTATACGTTTTGTTCTTAGCTACCTTACTTATTTACTTCTTAGCGATTCTAAGTTTCTATTAGCGCGTTATTATCCTTAGGTTCTTCCTCTTCTAATAGGTTAGAGGAGTCGGAATCCGACTCTCTTTCCTCGGATAAGCTTTCGGAGCTATCTTAATATAATACTCTCTTGTTATTCTTATCTAGATTAGAGTCTAAATTAGTGCTATCTAATCTTTCGGATTTATTATTAGCCTCGTCTTCCCTCTAAGGTCGTTTCTAACGAGTATTAATATTGTCTTCTTTATATAGATTATCCGGTCTATTATTATCGTCGACGTTAGCCTTAGCTATCCGTCTTACTTTCTTCGAGTCTAGGTCCTAATATAGATAGACTAATTTACTCTCGTTACCGACGAAGTATCCTAAAGAGGCTTTTAAGGATCCTAGTTTTATAAAGTCCGATCGTACGCGTAGTTTATAAGGTATAGTAATATATAGTCTACTAAACTATATATATTTATAGTATAGGTTTAGCTTCTTACTATAGAGAGCCTACTAGGGTATTTCCTTCGTCTTTAGAGCTCGTATAGAGCTCCTATTCTTTAACTATATTACGTATTCGAACGCTAGCGGCTAAAGATTCTTAAATACTTTAGCGTTACAGAGTATCTCTTCTCCTCTCTTAGAGATTATCGATCTTAGTCTATTAGAGAGAGTTAGTTCTTATAGTATAGCTGCCGTATAGTCTCTCTTAGTTCGATATCCTCGTTCTATAATACTATTCTAGAAGTATATATACGCAACGGTTAGTTTAATCGTAATAGAATGCTTAGCTAACTAAGCGTCGATAAGACTATTCCTACTAAACTTATTATTAAAGCGTACCCGACAGACTCTAATCCTTAGGCTTTTTTCGATCTTTTTTAGTAGCTTCCTTATTCTCTAAGAGATCTTAGCTTTATTCCCTAAGCGGATACTCTAGGTAAATCTAGTAGAGTTATTAGTAATAAGTAAAACATATTTTGTTCTATTATATCTATTAATCGGATAGGGACCCTACGTATTAATATAGAGCAGTTCGCCGGGTTTCTTAAAGCGTCGAGTTATAGGTTCGCGTAGGATCTTTATAATTGCTCGAGTCGTAGTATATATAGAGCAGATTGCCCTAAGCTTAGCTTTTAGCTATTTGTCTATTATATTAATCCTATTACTAACTTTTAGTAATCGTCGTATATTATCGAGTCTAAGGTAACCTATACGTCGGTACTATTTCTAGATAGAGTCTAAGAAGTCGATCGTAGTAGCTATATATAGTAGTCGTACGCTAGGTAGTATTACTTCGAGTATTATAACTTTCGAGTTATCTACTTGCTTAGTCGGTTTATATAGAGATATATATATATAGAGAGAGCTAGTTTATATAGTCTATTTATTTGCCTTGCTCTAGTAACTTCTAGTCTATCGGAAGTATAGATACGGATAGAATCCTTATCCTATTATCTAACTAGCTCCTTATTTATATATAAGAGTAGTAACGTAGATAGGATATTATATCTTAAGGTAGATATATATACGACTAATAATAGGTTAAGCTCGAAAGACCTATCGGAGGTATAGAAGGGTAGTTTAATACTCCTACCTCCTTATATCTATATATTTCCTATACTATTAGCGGTGCTAGCTTCCTTAGTAAAGTCTAAGAAGTCTATAAACTATTTCTTATTATTAATAAAGTATATATTAGCTCCTATATCGATAATCTAGATATTTCGATCTAGATTCTTAGGAACGTCCTAAGTAATAGAATAGTATATAGCGGCCGTATAAACTATATATAAACTATTAAAGCAAGAGCTATTAGAACTTCTATAAATAAAACAAGAGATACCCTTCTCTATAACTCTATTACTAGTCTACTTACTCCTTCTTCCTTAGCCTTAGTTAGGCTAGATATACCGAGCTCTTCCTAAGCTTTAGAGGAAGTTAGTAATAGAGTAGGGTCGAGCTATAGAGTTAAGCGTACCTTAGATTACTCGTTTAGTTCTAATATCGAGTTCTAGCTTAATATTAATAGTAGTTATAGCTAAGAACTTCTTCGGAGGAAATTTCCTAGTAGTCTTCTTAGTTTAGATAAACTTGCTTATAGTCTTAGCTATAGATTCTTTATTAGTACTACGACAATCTCGGGTATAGTGCCCGACTTTGCCGTATTCGTAGTACGTAATATTTGGTTTTTTGTCCGCCTTCTTTATACTAATATCGCGACGTTCGGGCTTAATATAGCGCGTATCCTTTTCTCGAGTATCTCTTTTATACTCGCGAGCTATCCTCTAGTCGTCTTCCTAAGTAAGAAGTCTTACTATAAGTATATTATAGTTATTAAGGGACGGGTCGAGGTCCCTAAAACTATAATAGTATTCGATAAATCCTTTAAAGGTAGGAACGCCGAGAAGGCCTCGAATAACCTTTAAGAGTATAATTCTATTAGTTATTTTTCCTCCTACGTCGTCGATATTCTATCTAGCGGACTCGAGTTCGTTAAAGTACTCCTAGATAGAGTTAAACTTACGATAATAAATCTTCTTAAAGTAGTCGAAGGCTTTCTCCGTTTCTCGGACTTATATCTAGCTATATTAACTTTCTAGCTACTTTATTATACTATATAGTTCGTCGAAGGCTTAGATTCTTCGAATTAATATATTATTAACTTAAGTAACGAGACTAGCTATAGCTATCTATTCTCGATCCGCGCTCTTACTTACTTAATCCTACTTAAAGCAAAAGACTAAAAAGCGATTAGAGAATAAGAGTCCCTAAAGATCTTCTTTTAGCTATATACCTTTAGTACGAAGTCTACTAATCTATTCTAGTCCGAGAGTAGTACGGCTACTACGCCTAGACTCTCTTCTTAAGAATTCTTTATAGGCTTCGAGCTCTTCTAGTATAAGCTCGGACTTCTTTTTCTTAATAGTCTTCTTCGTCTTCTTTTTATACCTACCGATAGTAGGTAGTAGTAAGGCGAGAGGATCTTCCTTTTTGTCGACGTCCGTTATATCTTCTTTAATAAGTATCTAGAACTCGACTGCTAGGTCCTACGATAGACGTTCTATATTCTTTCGATCGAGTTAATATATATTAGGATCTAGAAAAGGCAAGAGCCTTTCTTCTCTAGTAAGAAACTTCTAGAGGTTTACTACTTAAAAATTATTCTAAGTCTTGCGTTTCTATTACTTAAAGTCGCGTTTACTCTAAAGTTTTTTACTATTAGGCACGTCGAGGAAGCGGGAGATACCGCCGAAGGAACCTATCGTAGGTAGAGAGTAAAAGAAGGTAATAGAAGAGGGGTAGGTAGAGGCTTAGTATAGTATTATAGTACCGTATAGAAGTAGGTAGTAGCTCGAGGTAGTTATATAGCGGAAGCGTAGTATTGCCTAGGTTTAGGAACTCGGGCTTATAACTAGTTAAAAAGTAGAGAGAGTAAGAACTATAGAGTATATAGAAGCCTCTAATCGAGCTACCTATCGACAAACTATATACGCTATATACCCCCGTTGCTATTGTCTCTCTCTTATAGTAACTCCTTACTATTATCGGTACCTCCGATAATAAGATATAGCCTCGGAGATTGTAGTAGCTTAGGCACCTTTGTTTAATACACACGACCAGCGATGACTATCCTGGCCTACGACTGAATAACTTAGTAACGAAAACGAAAAAAATGCTTGTTAACGACATATTCTCTGCCCCGATATGAAGCAATCATACAATCGTGATTTCTAGTCTAATCCATTCCCTCCCACTAGCGGAAGGAAAAGAACTCAATCAGAAAAGCAGATAGAGCTATTAAAACAAGTGGCAGCAGCATCGTTATGCACACCTCTATGCATTAAACGCCAGCCAGTCATATGCACCCCTTGGTATCGCCTGTGATCCCATATAAACTCCCAATTCCGCCGTTTATGCCCACGCTAGGTGAATGTAGGTAATTCCCAGAACTCCCGTGATACATGGCCGAAGACACATTCAAAACACTTTCAACCAAATGGAAACCCGCCTGGGAATCCCCCGAAATTGATAGGCATCCCACCACCACCTCCTCCTTGAAACTTGAATTGAGTACGTCCGCCACCGCCGCCTTGCTGGAAGAAGAACTGCTGGCCAGGTCCGAAAGGTGAGCCTTGGAACGGATTCCCTCCATTGCTCGCGTGAGGATCGTTTGGATCTTCTCCTCGATCGAAACGCTCCTTGAGCTCTGGGTCAGACAGGACTTCGTAGGCTTCGTTGATAGCAGCCATCTTCTTCTGTGCTTCTTCTTGCGTGATACCATTCTTGGCTGCCTTGTCAGGGTGATGCAGGACAGTGAGTTTGCGGAAGGCCTTTTTAATCTCACGCTCGTCGGCATCTCGCGAGACGCCGAGGACTTTGTAGTAGTCTTTTTGTTTGGAACGCTTGAGGAGCTGCTGAGCTTTCTGCATGAGTTCTTGGATCTTGTGAGTACGGCCGTGCTCTTCTTGAGCCTGATTCAATGTGCCGAGAGCGGGCTCAAACTCGTCCGCGTCGATCTGGCGTTGAGCTTTGTTGAGAAGAGCAGGGAGAGAGCGGTCGTTGTAGGTAAGAGCTTCGTCACAGAAAGGTGTGGCCTTCTTGAAGTTGTTCATTTCCGTATACGCTTCGCACGCAGATTCGACGAGCGAGCCATAGAGACCGTTGGGTGCTTTGGAATGGATGTAGCCTGCTTCTTGCCACGTCTTGACGTTGTCCTTGACTTCCTGGATGAGACCAGGATCTTCGCCTTGCGCAATGAGCAGCTTGACCGCCGAGGCAAATTGCCGCTTCTCCTTCAATGTATTGAACTTCTTGAGCGTACGCTCTATCGCCTTCTCGCTCTTCCGCAGCTTCGAGCACGCCTTGTTGTCCGGGTCGTTCTGCAAGCACTTAGACACGGACGCTGTGCCCTTCTCAGTCTCGCCGAGAGAGTAGAAGGACATGGCCGAGATCTGAAGGTATGGCTCAGGATTACCTGGGTTGATCTGCAGAACGTGGTTGAGATCGGCAATGGCCTCCATGATCTGACCTTGCTCAAACCGACATCGTGCTCTCCGCTGCCGCAGCTCGAGGGCGGTGCTGGCCACCATGATAGCGGTACTGGCTTGTGTCACACACTCTTCCCACTTGCCCTCCTTCTCCGCATCTGCCGACATCTTCTCGCCCCCCTCAGCCTCAAGCAAATCAGCCCATTCTTGTGTCTCTTGCTTCTTAGCAGCGATGTAGTCCTGCTTGGCAGTTTCCCAATCTGCGTTCTTGCTTCGAATCTTGGCTCGCTGGAGTAGAGCGCCTTCGAAGCCGGGCTTTAGAACAAGCACTTGATCGAAATCCTTGTTCGCCTGTTGGTTCTTGCCGAGCGAGAGGTACGTTGCGCCACGCTTGAAGAGTGTGAGGTAGTTGCTCGGGTCCTTGTGCACGGCGGCGTCGAAGTAGACGAGTGCATCCTGCGCCTTTCCACGTGCCAGATACGAGTTGGCCGACTCGATCAATTGCGACACTGGAACGTCCGACGGGATGTCGGCTGGCGAGATGGCGTGGATTGACACCGTCGACAAGCACAAAGCGCCGAGCACGGCCAGTGGGTTCCGGAGAATCATTGCGGCGGCCTGGCTCCAGTATGTTGTTGTGTGTCGTGAGGTCGGAGGTAGTCCTTGCGGACAAGTGGAATGGTGAGGTGTTCGATCAAAAGTAACGATGCTACAATGGACACTTGGTCAATCGTGGCGCATTCCAGAAGCAATGTGTTCCAGGGTCCATGCATGAGCGCGCTTGTGACAGCCACACGCGAAACCTTCTCCACCAACGAACCTCTCAACTCTCTCACTTCACTTACTGCGAACACGTGGAGTAGGCAGTAGGACTCTGAACTGAGGAGTCATACCTCATGAAGTGTGTTGTTAGGAATAGTATCGATGCAAATGAAGATTTGGGTTCATCAATGCGGCCAGGCCGACAGTATCAAAACTGGCACGACGAGGTCCAAATATCACTCGCCATCACACCCTCAGATTCGCTAATACTAGCTCTCCAACATGTCTCCCGAACCAACACCGGATGGTTTACAGTCAACCGAGAATGAAACAACGACACACATCTCCCTACATCTCACCTGCTCGGGCCACTTCGACAACTTCACACCGAGTGTCTCAGAGGCAAAACATAAGAGAAAGCGCACAGCGATACGCAAGACTTGAAACAGCGCAGCAAGTACCACAGAGAGACATTTCTCGCCATCGTCACACGTACAATTGATCATACAGACATACCTCCATCAGTACATATATTTACAAAGCCACCTGACAAGAGCAATTCCTCGTCAGTCAGACCCTCTCCTAAGCAAGCAAGACCACCTAGCAACCCCATTATGATATGGCTTCAGATCTCCGCCCTCAGGATGTCTAAGCTACTTGAGCAAAACTTCCTGCAACACCCTTGACACTATATTCTTCGATGTATCCCCACCAGAATCTGCTCTGGTCAAGAGACGCAGAAACGTGTCCTATCACCTTGTCCCACACGACAGCCACCACTTGTCGGGTAGAAGTCAGACTTCGTCGTATCGTCGTATGTTCGTCCGCATCACCCGAAATCCTCGCGCAGCTCTTCTGTGTCTTCCATGCTCGATTCTCAAACCGCGCGACCAATCGTATTAGCCTCTGGCATTCCCTCCCGATCCACAACAACGAACCTCCCGTCAGCGTTCTTGGAAACCATACTACAATCCGAGAAGGAGAAAATCGTAAGCTCAAATGATCTCATAACAAAACAAAATTCGTATACCTCTTTCTATCTTTGACGCTCAGGCGCAGCAGAAGCAACAGCACCCAAGCCCCAAAAAGAAGAAAAACGATGGGGCTGGGAAGGACGATACCAATCTCGACTGCCCATATGATCCAATGGCATCCCTCCACTCTCATCCGCATCCATAGTCATAGATCCCAATCTTTTACTCCTCAAACTGACCTTGACTTCCTGTACCAAAGGTCTTAGGACTGGAATGCACTGTACGATGATTGTTCCTGTGATCTCTGAAGAGTACCAGATATTGGACATCGCATTACGCCAAAAGTACCAGCGGTCTTCGGCGTTCCCTTGAAATTTCCATTCGTTGCGGATCGCGGATTCGATGGCGACGACCATGCCGAGGGACATGGTGAGGCAGAGGCCGATCTTTTCTTTGCGCTGCATGTCGAGGTTCCAGGTTATGACCCAGGGAAAGAGTGCGAAGATGAAGTCCATGATAACGTTGTAATCTGTCGCAGAGCGTGAGCAGGCGAAGGGGCAAGGAAGTTGTGCGGTATATGAGAGAGAAGAACCACGTACAATTTCCACCTTCTTTGAATCGGCTGCGATCACCGGCATTCAGGCAGAAGTCGAGACGGAAAGGTTTATCATAGGCGCTGTTGTTGCAGACTCGGCCCCATTCGACAACGATCTGGGGATGCGTTAGTCAATTTAACCGAGTTGAGATCAATGAAGCTTGATGCGATGCATACTTTGGCAAAGTTGAAGCCGCACATGCTCACTATACAAAACCACAGGATGCCATGACATATCTTCCAGGTCGAGAAACCACGGGTCAATTTGAGCAAGGTGACGGCGAAGGCAGTCTTTGTGAGGCTTTGATTGAGTAGAGTACCGCAGGACGAGATGATGATCAGGATTCGCATTCGGTCGTCCCATGTAGGCGTCACATATCCCGTAGCATACTCTATTGTGATGATAATGTTGTTACCCGTAAGGATGATCTGAGCAGACTGTCAGTCTCGAGGATCGAAGCTAGAGCAGGTGGATGTAGCGCACGCACCCAGCACACGATGAGGATGTAGTCATCATACCATAGCCCATGGCGGCGAGTCGTCTTCACCCACAGACGTGCAGCTAGAAAAGCAGTAGCGCCAGCGTAGAGCGTCCAGATTCCAGCGTAAAGTTCCTTCTCGGGGTGAATGTAGTCAATGCCTGGTTGTTGCCGGTGGTTGAGTTCCATGTCGCGAAAATTTCTCACATGCCGGGCGTTTCAGACCAAGTGTGAAGAGCTGGGCAGTTAAGGAGGGAGAGACGTGTAGAACAGCCCGAGAACCGCCAGCGGTCACGAGAAATCCTTCGAGAAGATAATAAAGTGGTTGACGAAAGAAGGCGAGAGGGGAACGAAAGTAGGAGGAACGGGCGCGACATGCAAAGTGCAGGCATCTTGCCTACCATATCTGAAAACAGACTTTGCTCGGGCGACTCCCCACGAGCAGAAGGTCGCGACGATCTTACGAGACATGGCTCCGCAGGTATGTGGTTGCACGCGAGAGCTCTCAGGTCCCGGCCGCGAGGTAACGAGGATCAGTCGGCGATGCGGTCGTGGTGAAGGGGGCGTCAGAGTTCGTCGCAATTGTTCCTGCAGTAGTTTCTGCTTTGGAGTCGCCGTGGCTGTCTTCGTGCAGATTCTCCCAGCTGACAGCCAGTGCGTTGAGGTTGGCCGTCTCCATCGCTTTGAAACGGTCAGTAGGCTTGACACAAACGGACTGGTCGGGCAATATGGCGAGCGCAGGCTGGACCACTCGCACCACCGCGACGAGCGCTAGTTGCTGCACATAGATTGTTCGGTAGCATAGGCGAGCACCCGGGAAGAGGCTCGCGTGGCCGCCTGACGAAGGGCGAATTCGTGGTCTGCTGGTTCTAGAAGGCGGAGTGCATATGCAATTGTGCACAGCAGCAGCAGCGCGTCGGCTCGTGGCGTCGGTGGTGTTCTCGTCAAAGTTCGTTTCAGGAGCGAGGACGGCATGAAGTCGGCGAACGGTGCCAAGCAGTCGGAGTTGTTGCCATGCGGTCATTGTTGCTCAGCCACCACCCGAGTACGCATGGAGCATTGCGCAGAGCCGCAGACTAGGTAACCGCATTCACATATCACTTTCGACGTATCCCTCCAGCACTTGATTGCATCGTGGATTGGCAGCACTAACGACGAGGCTTGGATCTCTCGTGGAACGATCGGATCGCGGGCCGGTGGTACAGAGGCGGTGGGCGCGTTACACCACTGCACATCACATCACGCGAGACATTGCGCGTGCGTCCATGAGCAGGAACTGCTGGCTTCTGTCTTCACTCACCGCAATCAATCTCAGTCGCAGTAGATCCTGCTTGTAGAGATCCACGAGGTCATCGATCACATCATCACACCAGCATGCCGGCCCATCGCCTGCGAATCGACGGCGACTCGTTCCGCGACCCTCACAATCGCCAGATCACGCTCCATGGCATCAATATCGCCGGCGACACCAAACTGCCTGCTCATCCAGATGTCCCCTCACACGTCCGCGAACAGTTCTTCGACGGCGACAAGGTGTCCTTCGTAGACCGCCCCTTCCCCATCTCCCAAGCACATACCCACTTCTCGCGACTGCGGAGAATTGGTTACAACACAATTCGCTACATCTTCACATGGGAAGCATTAGAGCATGCCGGGCCCGGCAAGTACGATGAGGACTTTATACAACACACCATCAAAGTGCTGCGAATTGCAAAAGAATATGGCTTCTACGTGTTCATGGATCCACACCAAGATGTGTGGTCGAGGTTCACAGGTGGCTCCGGAGCTCCCATGTGGACGATATACGCGTGCGGACTCGATCCAGAGAAGCTGCGAGCGGGGGAGGCGAGCATAGTACAGAACACCTGGCCCGACCCCATCACGTTCCCCAATATGACCTGGGCCACGAACTATTCTCGATTGGCAGCTCAGACGATATTCACCCTCTTTTACAGTGGAAAGGACTTTGCCCCAAAGTGTATCATCGATGGGAAGAACATTCAGGACTACTTGCAACAACACTTCGTAGGCGCTTGCCAACATCTGGCGCGAAGGATACGAGAAGCTGGGGATCTCGAAGGAGAAGTGGTCATCGGGTACGAAACGATCAATGAGCCCAACAAGGGTTACTTTGGGCATCCCGATCTCACTACCATCCCCGTCGATCAAAAGTTGAGAAATTACACGACACCTACAGGATTCCAATCGATGCTCACAGGATCAGGCAGAGCGGTGGAAGTGGAAGTTTGGGAGTTCGGTGGGTTTGGACCTCACAAGACTGGAATGCAGTTGATCGACCCGAAAGGAACATCTGCATGGCTGGATCCTGCCACTTGGGATGACACCAAATATGGTTGGAAACGAGATCCGGACTGGAAACTGGGTGAATGTATATGGGCCCAGCATGACGTCTGGGATCCTTCCAAAGACGAGTTGCTGAAGCCCCATTACTTCGCCACGCATCCCAAGACTGGAGAGAAGCTCGACCAAGAATACTGGACGAATCACGAATACATGGACTTCTACAAACTGTACTCCAAAGCAATTCGAGATGTGTGGAGTGAAGCATTCCTGCTGATGCAACCCGCGCCTTTTGAGATTCCTCCGGAGATCAAAGGCACCCCCGAGGGCGACGACCCGAACATGATCTTTGCCTCTCACTTTTACGATGGTATCACGCTAATCACGAAGAAATGGAACCGCTGGTGGAACATAGACGTGCTGGGTGTGCTCCGTGGCAGATACAGTTCTCCCGCATTTGCCATACGAATAGGTGAAACTGCTATCCGAAATTGTTTCAAGGACCAATTGAGCGAAGTGCGAAGAGAGGGCATCGAGAACATGGGAAGCCATCCCTGCTTATATACAGAAATCGGCATTCCTTACGACATGGACCAGAAGCATGCTTATGAGACTGGCGACTACAGTAGCCAGGCTGCAGCTATCGATGCGAACATGTATGCCGTAGAAGGCAGCAAAGCGCAAGGCATGACTTGGTGGTGCTACACCACCGAGAATAGCCACTACTGGGGCGATCGATGGAATGGAGAAGACCTTTCGATATACAGCGCGGACGACAAACCTTTACCGGGACCTGCGTTCATCAACGACAATAGCAGCAAGCTATCATTAGACCGCAACAGCCCGAGTTATAGCGAAAGTGCTTCATCAGAACGAGCTCCAGAGACGCCGAGCAGCATATCTAAGACAATGTCTGTGGAGCAAATGGATCCGACATCGTCGCCAAGCAAAACAACGCAAGGACAGCAAGGCTACCGAGCAGCTGAGGCTTACGTGCGTCCCTTTCCAGCCGCCGTGCACGGCACAATTGACACCTACGGCTTCGATCTGAAGAACTGTACCTTTACACTGGATTTAACATCTCCCTCTTCGACACCACCCGATTATCCAACTGAGATCTTCTTACCCGAATTCCATTTCCCGCAAGGCAGTCCTTCACGAACCACCGTCGAAACCAGTGGTGGCAAATGGGAGATTCGAACAATAGAAGATGTCGAAGGCGCGAGACAACAGGTCCTTCGGTGGTGGCATGGCGAAGGGGAGCAGAAGCTGAAGGTGACCGGCGTAAAGCGGGCAAGGGGCAAGATTGAAGGCGTGCGCGATGATGCGCCTGAGGACTCGTACCTGCAGGCTTACTGGGAAATGGGCAAGAACTGCAGTGTGATGTAAAAGTATTCACGGACGTGCATAGAACTTGATGGGCTGTTTCTGCATGATGGCGTACTGATACATGTCGTGAATTCGACGACGCCTTATATACTTTCACTAATACAGTGGCATTTGCCTCCAACACTCGGGCATACTGCAACACCAGCGCATATAAAGCGTCTTGCTTCAATCCTCTTTCTACTTCCTCACAAAACACCAGCCTACCCGCCCCGACCATCTCCCTCCACGTACCCAATTCCAACTTCAATTGACTCACCTTGGTCATCGACACAACATGGCCCAACACCTCCAGCACAGCTCCACTCTCAACAAGGAAGCCACGTGGAAGCGCATGAACGCCGCCGCAAAGGCATCTTCCAACCCGGGCGCTCCAATTCGTTTCGCAAAAACGACCGATGCCAATTCCGCATATGCAGGCAAAACTTGGACATGGGACCCGAAGAAGGGTAACTCTCCTCCGGAGGGTTTCTTTCGTTGAGCGCAATGACAGAAGCAGAACGGAAGGGGACAATGTACGAAGTAGCTAGCTTGTAAGAATATTTGAACGTGAAATGTAATTGTAATGTAACATGTCTATCATTCGGTCCATCGCTCCGCAGCTAAGCATAAACTACCTTAGGCTTCTCTTCCCATTTCTGTGCTCCTTCGCTCCATGCATTCTGCTGCCCTGGGTTTGGCGTTGTAGCTTGTGGCGAAGTCTCCGGCGGAGAAGCAAAATGGACTTGTCTGTTCGCCCTCGCTCGCTCAGCATCCCAAGCCATCTGTTCTCTCCTTGCAGCATCTCGCTCCGCTGGCGTCAGAACTCCGCCTAAGCCGTCGTCGAAAATCTCACTTCCGACGACATGTCCTTCATGTTGAGGCAAGTAAACGCCTCCTCTCGGTCTCTCCTGCTGCTGCTGTTGCTGCTGTCCATTTCCATTCCCGTAATAATTCCACACTCTCCAATCCATACCTCCTCCAGCACGATTCTGATTCCTCCTCTTCCACTCCTCGACTAGTTTTCTCCATTCTTCTCTACCTCTACCCATCATTCCTCCATTGGCACCTGCGCCATTCGGCGAACCTGATGAGCCCACCACTCCATCTCTCACTCCTTCTCCTGCAGCCGCCATCGCCTCCATCAATCCACTTGCCAATCCGATTCTTTCTTGCATCCCCGCCATCGCCACTGTCGCGATGATTATGCCCTCGATGAACTCAGGCGTGAGGTAGACTTGGCCGATTTCAGGTTTGTTGATTATCAATTTCCCTGATGTTTTGGCCCAAGGCGCCGCGCGCTGGTAGGTTGCGACTTCTCGGCCATCGAATTCGACGATGAGATGGTGTTGTGGGTAAGGCGTGAATGTCTCGTCCGCAATTTTGGCGCGAGCTTGGTCGATCAGGTCGCCGATGGTGACGAGCCGGATATTGTTGGCGTCAGAACTGGCGGCATTATTTGTTGGATATGGCGAAGGTGTTCTATGAAGGGGATTCTCGACGGTGTTTGTGTTACCATATGGGTGCTGGGGTGCGGGAGGTGGAGCGTAATTGTTGATGGGGCCAGGAGCAACGGCCGTGGAGCTGGTACGAGGCTTGGGAATGGTCTTGAATGTCGCTTGCATGTGGCCCAGGACTGGAATCTCCATGGTGTATTTTGTGCTCAGCCATCCGGTGCATTGCATGAATTTCTGGACTTGGGAGGATCCGGATGAACTTGAGCGCTTGTTCTTCTTGTCCTTCTTTTTCTCTTTCTTGGACTCTTTCTCTTCATGCTCCGCGACGGGTGACAGACCGTGAGCCAAGTTGCCCAATCTCGCAAGCTCTTCCTCATGAGGCTCAAAGAGCACTTTGACGCCGCTGTTGGTGCCAGGAATGATGAAGTCTGGAAATTTGTACGACGCAACTTGTCGGAATGGGTATTCTGTCATCTGCGGGACAGAGCCTTCTTCTGGTGAAGATGTCGTCTGGGTCAACCCATAGCGATGCAGACCTGCCTGATATTTGGAAGTGTAGATGAGCTTCCAACTTGTGGTGGATGGCATGGAGGGAGAATTTGAGTGGATAGGTACGTTGGGTGTAGGTGTTACGTGTAATGATGGAAAGTCGAGGATAGGTCTGTGCCATGTGAACGTGTACTCCAGAGGAAGTTCGTTCGACTGTTGAGGCACTGTATGTTGAACAGGTGGTGGCATGTTTGCACTCTTCTCACTTCGACTGAAGTCTTCCGAGAAGCGAGACGCTGACGGTCGCCGAGGCATCGGTGGAGGAGTTTCTTCTTCTTCGCTGGCAAAGTGGACTTTCAAAGCTGCTTTTTCGTCCTCTGCTGATAGCAAAGGTTTGCTGTCCTCGGGTGTTGCAGCCACTTGCTGCTGCTCGGCCTTCGCGATCTCTTCCTTCGCGACGTCTCCTTTGCTGGGTCGTGGTGGGTATGGCAGAGGTTTACTGTCTTCGAGTTGCAATTCCACCTGCTGATCTTCCGCTGAGGCTACTTCTTTGCTCGGTCTTGGTGGGTACACAGGGCCTTTCTCCTTTAGCATCGAAGGTGTTCTCATCGGCATATCCACCGGTATCTTCTCCTCAGGATGTGGTGTCGTATTTGACCCTTCAATCGGTCGCTTCTCGTCTTCAGGGTAACAGTCTTGCTCATCAATAATCTGGAAGTCGTCTGTCTCTGTCACAATACTAGCTCTTTCCTTGTAAGGTGGAGGTGGAGCTGCAGACGCTTCTGCGTCTTGCAGTGCTTCTTGTGCTTTGCTATTGCCTGCCATCGGGATAACTCCGCGTTTATACAGGGAATGCAAATGTCGGTATAGACAGGCCAAGGAGATGTTGCGTGGTGGTTAAGAATCTTGGATGTTGTGCAAAATGAAAGCAGGGCAATATGTCTGAGATTGTCACGTTTAGTACCTACGTAAAGCGAATACGATTCGCTTGAATACTGATGCCTATGAGGTCTTGAAGATCTTGTCGTGGGGGCCGAGACAGGACGCGCATGCTTGTGTAGGCAGCTGGATAGAAAGCTGGCTGTGTGAGGCTGTGCTGCCACCCGCCAAGAGAAATGAACGTCGGCTGTTCTTGACGTCGGCGCATCTTGTGGCAAAGCCTTGCGACTATGATGGTGCGTATGATCGGAATGAAAGTCAGCAATGCGTTAGTACACGCTGCTGATGCTGGTCCCCGGTGGCACGAGAACTTGACGTTGCGATGCTCGCTCGCCCTCGCTTCGAGAAACTACAAGAACGACAGCTGTGCATGACTTCGTTCGCGCAAAAAAAGAACTGGTTCCAGTCATGGAAGAGAAGGTTGTGGGTAAGTGAGTGAGCAAGGAAGGGCAAAAGGAAAAAAGCTGCACACAAGGGTGATTAACCCAAGGAGTTGAGGAGAAGGTACTGGACCTGGATGACCGTTAGTGATCTGGGAGATCGAGAACGAGCACAGAGAGTCCTACCAGTTGGGGATCGAACCCAAGACCTCACGCAAGCAGTTGACCAAGCGGTCGTGCAAAGCGTGCGCCTGATGGATGTTAGATCGTGGATCGAATAATCGGAGTCGGTAAACAACATACGCTACCACTGTGCTACAAGCCCTTGATGAGTCAGCAGACTGGACATCAAAATATGTCTGTGAGATCTACAGTCTGCGAGCAAGTTTCCGACGGTCCCGGACGCAGACGATGTGACCAGCGATAGCGTAAGCAGCCATTTCGAATTTCATGGCAGGGCCTTCACACAGTCTACGTAAGCTGCCTGCACAGCTCGAAATACACGACATCGGCTGATGCTTGCGATCGCCGCGTAGGCAGAGGGTGTACCGTGTTGGACAGTTGTGGCCATCGCCCGCTTGCCCGGGTGAAAATTGGCACCAGCGCCAAATAAAAGTGGGTCCGGACCAGGTGAGAAGTCTGCCCCTCCACACTTCCGAACCCCCCGAGCAAGTCTGGTCTACCGTTGTGGAGAGCAGTGGTGTAGGAACCAAAAGAAGAGGCCATTGTTAATACCTTCTACCTCGTAACAACGTGGATCGTAAAGCAGCGGATGTAAAAGCAGTCACCACTCTCGCTGTTTGAAATAGAAAGAATGCTTCGACAGATACTAGACGGCCAAAAAAAATAAATTCATTGGACGCTGTGGGCTGTACCATGTTAGGCGTTGCACAGAATGTCGACGTCTGGCAGAGGAACTTACAATTGAACCCACGACCTGGTTTTCATTAGTGTTGGTCCAAGAGTCTGTCTGGACGTGATGACATACCTTTCACAAAGCCGTAACAACCACAAGGAGGTACATGCGAAGCGAAAATCATACCCCTAGACCAAGCTAAACGCCGTTAGTTGTGGTCAAGTGTAGAGGAGTAGAATTTTACGAACCGCCCGAAATTTTGGTGTACCAGTGCCGAGCGCAACTTTTAAGTAAAATATGTCAGCTCATTGACGGCCTGTGCCAAGAACTTGGCTGTGCATTGTATCTTCGTTCTTGATCGTAGGTACAGACTTACCGATAGCATCTTACTATTCAAGACGCGAATCATGAATTCTTATGTAAAGAGCAGCTGAAGTTGGATCAAGGTGACAAGGAGGTTAGATATAAAGAGCGTCCACGAATCTGTCCTGAACATGCTTGAAACTGCTTTATTCGAAGACTGATACTGGATAATGGTCGTATCGACATGCTAATGCACTATCAACTGCGGAACTTATATCAATGTCAGCCAAACTAGCCTGCAAACCAATACATAACTCTGCTAGAAGGCAAACCCCGCCGCAATCAAAGCAGTACCGGCTATTCCCCACCCAGCTGCTCTCATGCCTGAAGCCGCATTGGGTTTCTGGAAAAGATCTCCATGAGTCGGTGCTGCCTCATCCGTGTTCTGCGGATCTTGTAACGTCGAGGTACGCGAAGCGGATGCAGTACCATTCTTGTTCTGCTGTGTGGGCGCAAGAGCTGGTGTTGTTGCGTTCGAATTCTGTTGGGTAGGTGTCGAAGGAGATGGTAGTGTACCATTTGCACTTCGTGGCAGCATACGATAAGGCGTCGGCTCTTCGGCGCGTTGGTGCAATGTGGCATAAGGAGACGGGATGTCGTTTGCTCGGTGTTGGAGTGTAGCGTAAGGAGATGGGAGCTCGTTGGCGCGATATTCGAGATTTCTTGATTCTGGAGGGGACTGTGGCGATGGGCTTTTGAAGCCGGAAGGAGAGTATGGAAAGAAATTGGTCACTGAATATGCATCCAGGGTTGGCTCTGACGGAAATTTTGAAGGCGTAGGTTTTGTTGTTACGGCCTTATCGGCCGCTGAAAGTGGGCTTCCAGATTCGGTGTATGTTCTCTCAATCTCCGGAACCGCGTCGCTGGGGATGGCTGTTCGCTCGTCCGGGCGTCCATATGCATCGGGTCGTCCTGGAATCGTTTTGATGTCGAGAGGAGCCGTCTTTGCAGAGTTCTCGCCATAGGACGCTCGATCTAATCGCAACTCTGTAGTCGTTGTCAGTGAGGCTCCCTGTATGAATATGACCTGCAACCATGCTGACCATTGCCCTCATCGCAACCCTTATCATTCTCCGACCCTAGACATCTTGCCGTAGCTTCTTCGACCGAGTCCACGTGTCTGCTCGTTTCATACGCCGACAACTGTCGCAACTCGTGGCCGTGACCATGACCGTGGCTATGACCGTACCCATGACGTTTCGACACTGCGGAAGTTGTTGCGATAAGCAATGCCAATATAGTAAAGAGTGTATGCATGTTCAAATGTCAGGTCTTTTCACGGAGGGAACTCAATTTGTCGGTTCAAAGGGAATGTGAATGTGTGCCAGGCGGCTTGAGGGAGACTTGTGGTGGTTTTCATATCTCCAAAGTGTGCCCATGCGTCCACGCCATCGCGGATCACAATGCCTATGTATTGAGCAAGCTACGATTGACGGCCAATGCATTCTGCTTGGCAACATTGGATGTGCTACGGTGGCGGTCTGATTCGCAGTACCGCCAGGGGATGAGCGGAGCTGCATGCATACGGAATTCATGTGGCGGCAGGTCACTATCTGCTTTTTCACCGGGGAGAAGGCTTCGTGCTTGAGCGCCAGGGTACACTTTGTTGTTTGGGCGTGTTGAGGCTGTACTCACATTCGGAGGTCATTTCCGACGGCATGCCGGGTGCGATGCTCTACGTGTAGAGGCTTGCGCGCGCATTTTGCGAGAAGCAGGTTGTGTGTTCTCAGTGAGGAGATTGGGGAGAAGGGCAGGATGGGAAAGGGTGAGGAGTGTTTGCGTGGCTGGTCGCCTTGGCGGCAACAGATCTTGATGACGTTCGTGTGCAAGCTTCCATGTTCACCACACCTGCAACCTGCCATGCCATCGACACCGAAATCATATTTCACTATCTATCACAAGTTATCACGGAAGAATCCCACATGATTTTAGAGGAGGAAAGAGACAACTTTGAGAATTTCAAAGACTGCTTGTCGACTTCTGTCATTCAGAAACTTGCGCCAACCAGTGGCAAACCCAAGAAGAAAATCAAGGGCAGGAAGAATGAGATCAAGCCAGTCGCAAGGGTAGCAGACAGCAATGGCGATGCTGAGAACGATGCATCGGAGCTTGCAGATTTCATAGAGGTTAGCAGAAGAAGCCCGCAGCCAGCTAGGCCTGGAATGTTGGCTGAGCAGTAAGTCAGTACCTCGCCGAGGAGATATTTCTTAACCTTCCTTCTGAACTTCGGACACTTTCCTACTCAGTGGTGCAAGATGACGCTGCTCTCATAGAGAAGTATGCTACGCCTGTGGAGAGCAGGCTGCTCGAAGACCTGGTCAAGCCTCTGCCGTTGACGGTGGCGGACTCTCTCGTCACATACTCCCTCGTCACTGAGCCTTCAGACCTCGATCGCTTCCTCGAAGGCCCTCTGAATAGCTACATTGCTTCGATGGTAGCGCCGCCTCCCGAATATACGCCCTCAGTCGCAGCTTCGCGGCCGGATGGTTGCGAGATTTGCCAACGCGAGCATCTGCCACTCACATGTCATCATCTTATCCCGCGGGCCATTCACGCCAAGGCAGTCAAGCGTGGCTGGCACAAGGAGTGGGAGCTCAATAAAGTGGCCTGGCTCTGTAGAGCCTGTCACTCGTATGTCCATCGAATAGCGAGCAATGAAGAGTTGGGCAAAGAACTTTACTCGGTGGAGTTGCTGATGGAGCGGGAGGATGTGCAGAAATGGTCGATATGGGTTGGGAGGGTGAGATGGAAGGCAAGATAGTCTGAGTCTGATAGTGCCGACAGTGATCGCAGATGGAAGTATGTCTCGACTGCTGTGCATGTGCTGTGACAACGGGTTTTGCATGTGATCATCTGTCGCGTGCATCTCGTGTTTTGAGATCACTTGCAGCCGCCGCGCTCGCGACAAATATGTCTTACTCGCTGCACAACGTTTTCAACACGAACGCATTTCCCTTTCTCCTCTCACATTCGCACTGTGCTGCCTACACCCCTGGTCTTCAGCCTTACCAGATCCGACAAGGTTTCACGCGAACCGCGTGCCTGGAACGCGATCTTGACGTGGGGCTGAATCTTTTCCACCTGCAGCCTGCACGCTGACCTACATCAATTCACTTGATTGACATCATTCCACCTCAAACAATCACCCCCGACAGCCCTGAGAGCGCATTCACCAGTGTCAATTGCATGCCCAAGCCTCATCAACGCACAACGGAGCGGTGGTAGGCAGCGGCGGTGGCACAGCAGGCTGTCTGTTCCTGCGGCACAGAACACGCGAGAGTGATGCCTCGGAGCTGCTCGTGAGCTCGTAATATTGGTGCCCAAGGCGCAGCGGAGCATACGGGTCCAAAATGGCGGAGGGCGCCTTCAACACGCATTGGCAGCAACAAGACACCTCGTCACAGCTTCAACACATCACGAACGCCCTCGATGCTACCCTCAACCCGCGAATCCCAAACGCAGTGCGACAGCAAGCTCTCCAGCACCTCGAAGCTGTCAAGAGTCAGCCGGACGCCCCTCAACACGGCTTCGCTCTCGCAGACGATTGGAAGCAAAACGATGCAGTTCGGTATTACGGCTTGCAGCTACTGGAGTTCGCAGTGAGATACCGATGGAACGAATACACTGAAGATCAAGCTCTGCAGTTGCGGAAGTGGGTCAAGCAGCTTGCAGGCAGCTTGCGAGAGGAGGATGCCGTCTTTCTGCGCAACAAAATCGGTCAGCTGTGGGTCGAGGTTGCAAAGAGATCATGGGGCGGTGGAGAGTGGATGGATATGGACACTCTGCTTGTCACGCTATGGAACCAGGACAAGGGAGCAGCGAACAAGATACTGGTCCTCGCAATCATAGAGGGTTTGAACGACGATATCATCAACAACGACGACTCTGTAGCAGGATTGCGATTGGACATTTTGGGCGATGCATTGGTGGAAATCGTAGTCCCACCTCGGTTCTACGACACTTTGCAGAAAGAGAAGATCAAGAATGTGCGATCTGAAGGGGAAGGCTGGCTCGCGCGGATCAACAACTTCTTCGCTCTTTGCGTCAAAGAAGCCAGACTGCGACAGGATCAGCCAGACGTGGCCCGAAATATGGAGATGTGTGCAGTGAAGGCGCTCAACGCACTGCGCTCAACCATGGGCTGGATCAACTTTCGAGCTGTGGAAGAAGTCAACTGCGTCGACTGTCTGTTTCTTCCATTCTTCACAAGCAATGCAGTCCTACAGACAGCTGCAGTCGAGGTCCTCCACACTCTGTTAGGCAGACAGCAGGCGAGCACGTCCTCGAATGAGATCTGGGTATCGCTGATACGCCAAGCGATGCACCCAGACAGAGTGGCCTTGATTCGCGCTGCATTCGAGCAGACTGCTATTGCACCTGGAGAAGATGACGAAAAGTACACATTGCAAAAGAAGATGTCGGAGCTCCTTTCAGTCATGGCTGATGCCATCGCTCTCAATCAAACCATAATCGACCAGAGCCTCAATCTGCCAGCTTTCTTCGATCTTCTAACTCTGGTTCTGCAGCACAAGAGCTTAACAGTGTCAATACCTGTGCTGCACAGTTGGACGAAGCTGCTCAGTGTGCATGAGGACAAAATCATTGATCTCACTTTGGCCGCTCTTCCGACCTTGCTCGAAGTCTGCAGCGATAGGTTGATCAGATACGAAGCTTTGCCTGAAGATACAGACGATGAGACGCTGCGATGGCTGGAGGAGGACTTCGATACAGTGCCCGAACGCCACGCATTCCTTGGTAATTACCGCAGATACAGCCAGACCATTATCGAAGGTATCGCGCGATCCCGACCGATTGACGCGCTTTCTATTGTGCTCAATCAAATGCAACAGATGATTGAGACCGGTCCCTATACTGTGGGACGGGGCTTCGACAGCTCAAAGTATACGAAGTCTTCGTATCCAGTCCTCAGATTTGATGCCTCCTACTGTACTGTCTCTGCAGCACTGAGGGGATATTCGTCGTGGACCCGGGACGTCTCCGATGTTGGTCCTGACCAGGAGCTATACGCGAAGGTGCAACAGGATCAGCAACAAGCGTCTGACTCACTGCAGCAATGGTGCTATGGTATGACCAATGTGCATACTGACGACCCTGGTGTTGCAGATGAGGTCCTGCAGACATTGGTCGCAGTTCTTCGAGTACTCAAATCGCCCCCTCAGAGCTTTGTACTTGCCATGGTCCAGCATCTTCTGACCATGCGGCTCTATGATCAACCTCAGCACGCTCAGTTCACAGATGCAATCAAATCTTTCGAAGCGCTACGAGTAGTTGAGCTCCAGAAACTTGCTCTTGCCTATCCAAATGTGCTATTGGAAGTGTACAACGAGCTCGAGCCACGCATAGAAGTTCTTGCGCAGAAGCACTCCGATGACCAGAGGCTAGTCTGGGGCTACCGTTCATTCCTTTTCATGGTGGTCCATCGTGCGACGGGGATCGATGACCAGGTCAGAGTGGCCCGCCTACAGCAAATGCTCAAACCGACTTACGATGCGTGGACGGACCCGGCGCTACAAGCTTCCTGTGAGAACTTCTCAGTTTTCTGCGCCACTGTCAGCCTGAATAATATTGCGGAGTTCTACAAGGAGCACGAGTTCGACCGAACACAAGACTGGTCCGCCCGCTTGTTGAACGAAGCTGGACAGGCACGACAGAATGAGATCAAAGACAAGGCCGATCGCTTACCTCTGCGCATGACAAAGTCACTGCTCGCGGCAACGACTGAAAAGCTGCGGAGCGGCACAAGCGAGTACGACAACGCCTGTGCATTATGGGCACCTCTCATACCGTCAATCTTGCAACCTCTGTTGCAGATGACACGCCATGCTCAGGCCTTCCATAACTTGTCAAACTGGGCGCAGCTTCCACCTGAGCTTCAAATGGTCGTAAAGCGGACTCTACAAGACCGTTTCTGGCAGTCGGGCATTTCCAATGAGACCAAAGAGGAGTTCTACGCTCGGATTTCGGGCTCCAAGACCAGTTATGAGGGCTTCGCAAGCACAGTGCGTGGCACCATGCGAAACGTTCGCGAGATGGGCTATCACATCATCTATCTGATGACAAAATTCGAAGAGCAGTTTTATGGCATTGAGAACCTGGCAACTCCTCTAGCAGATGCACTCTTCGAAGATGCTGGATGTCTCGGAGCCAATCATTTACATCCTCTCATCAACCTGACAACTGGCCTAGTTCAGCGATGTCCACCGCACCACCGCAGCAGGTTCCTGCCACCTATACTCCGCAAACTATTCGTCTGTCTCGATGCTAAGATCTCTGCGGACTGGGAAGCCATTGGCCAAGCGGAGCAGCACAACAAAAAAGAAGATGATGAGCTGAGCGACGAGATGCGTACGGAAAGCGTATTGCGCCAATTGACCTTTAGTATGGTGTCGTTTGTGCCCTTCCTGCTCGAATACGACCGTCAGCCACAAAATCTGCAGAATGGGCATGCGCACACCAATGGTCACGGCCCGTCGAGTCAGACGCAGAATCTGAGCGAGCTGGTTCTGTCTGACCCTGCAGTACTGGAGCCTCTCATCCTCTTTTGCACGCACGCTCTGCGTATGCGTGACGGCAGATGCTGCAGCATGATCTGTAAAGTCTTCCGCTCCATCATACCGCTGTTCACGCACACCACTCAAACTGCCTCCGCCATCAGTCCGGAGGCAGCGGCTTCTGTGCGCGAGTTCATCAGCACCGAAGTACTAAAGGCTTGCATCACATCTCTGAACGAACCATACTTTGCGGACCTGCAAAAGGATTTGGCCACTCTTATCGCGAACATTGTCGTCATGTACACATCAAAGACGATGACCCCGCGAGAAGTTCTCTTGTCTTTGCCAGATATTACAGAGCAAAAGATTGACAAGGCTATCGCCAAAATGACGCGTACACACAATGAGCGCTCGCAACGCAGCGTCGTGCTCGACCTCCTTGAAGGCGTACGAGGTGTTTCGATCCACGAGATGGGTAAGGTCGAACAGGCCAAAGCGAAGAAGAAGGAGAACAAGGGCGTTGCGGCGCAATACACCATGACAGTGGAGAACACAGGGGTCGTCAGAGGAGGTGAGGATGAGCTTGACGGCGTGGCTGGTCTGTTTGGGGACGCGTAGAATGCGTTCGAGGAACAGGAGCACGTTGCCAGGATGATGGGGAACATGAATGGAAGAAGGACATGGTGAGACGGTTGAGATCATTGACATTGTTATTGGCCTTGCACCGCCGCTGGCTTGCGGCTGAACACGGCAATAACTTTTGACAAGCATTGCGTGGGAAGGGGCAAGGAGTAGCTCATTGGCTTGGAAGGGCCCTCATTGGGCTGAGAGTAATGAGAGACGGCATGTTGTAGATTGGAGCATGCGATGAGTAGCGACGCCTCGAAGCTGCTGCCATAGCAATCGATGGAACGATGCATTGAGCATTCATAGAACGGCCACGAAGGGTCGAGTTAGTTGTACATTGGACGAGGAATAGCATCAAGATACCCTTTCTGCGTAGAGATGGGAGCAAATAAAATTTTGAAATTTTGAAATCTGCTGCTTCATTCAAGACTGCCAATTTTGTACAGATGTCGGAAGTAGCCACTCTGCCTCCTTCTCCTAATCCCTAAAACTCAATTATCATAGATATCGGGCCGCTTGCAAGGCGCATGATCAACCGGCTTCTTATCAAAGCACGCTTCATAACCCAAAGGCGAATAGGACACAATTCTGCCGCCGAAGGAACCAGTCAAGTAGCAAAGAAACCAGTCCTGTGCAGAGTAAGCCGCTCCGAGAAGGTCATCTTCGCATTGCCGGTAAGCCCAGAGATTCGTCTTGTACATGTCTTGGTCGCTTCCGAATTGCCACCAGCGGTCTGCGCATTGGTAGCCGCTGAAGCGCCGGGCTGTTGGTGGATAGTTAGCAAGACGTTCATTGTCAAAGGGAAGTATATATATATATATATGTCTTTCGAGGAACATTACTCTTGGGTCGTGCTTCTAGCATTTCTCTCATTTCGTCTACACACTGGATGAGTTGTGTTGAATTTGCGTTGTGGCTCATAGAGGACCAGGTCTTCTTTTTGGTCCTTGCCGACGAAAGGGTCGTCAGTGTAGCGAGAATGATAAGTTTCGCCCACTTCATCTTCGATTATATCGATCTTGGATATTCCGATGCGCAAGAATTGGCATCTGAGTGTCAGGCAGTGTGTGAAGGAGAAGGAAAAGCTACAATATAGAAGAAGAGTGACATTAATTCATTCTTGACAGGTGTGTTCTACCTAACTTCTTGTTGCCTCGCAGTACCATTGGGGCGAGGTGGGGATCACACCCACGGCTGTTGTGCCATTTGTGCCTAAGGACTCGCGGTGGCTATGCGACTCATGTCGTGTTTACTCACCTACAGTGTGCTCCAGTGTCTCTGCTCAAAATGTTAGTAGCAATGTTGTATAGTTTACGACGAATACAGTCAATGCATGAGTAACAGCGATGAAGATATTCAATCACCTACGGTGCATCCACGCCATCAAACTAATGGGTGTCCGCAGTAGTCACCCGCAAAGTGAATCACATCTCAGTCATAATGATGAGAGCGGCGGCTGTCCAGCAATGACAACGTCGCGCTAAAGACGAGACCTCGTGGCAACAAGGATGAAGTGAACAGCCCATCTCGCAAACAACGAAAGATGTATGGACAAAGTGCGAGCTGAACTAGTGGCAGGACGCAGTAGTTCGCAAGCCATACCATCTTCAGCCCTAGTAGTGTTTCGAGACAGGCGCGGGAGCTCTTATTGCGCTGGGTGACACAGCATTAGTGAGGGCGTTGCTCTGTTTTCTTGGGGAGCCGCGACGGTATTTCTGTCCCGTTGGCCTATCGGGATAAGTCTGGTAAGCGAGCCAGAGAGGGCAAACGTTCTCTCGAGAAAGCGCCGAGACGTGATGATTTTGGTCGGCAACATTGTGTGCCCTCGTTATGTCATGTGTTGTAGAGACATGATAGATAGACGTCGTAAGCCCTGGAGAAACGCCGCACCTGACGAGGAGCGGTAGGCAGTGAGGTACGGAAACGACTAGCGTTGTCTGCGCCGATCGTCTACCAGACACTGCAGACAGCCATGGCATCCACGCATCGATCAAAAACGACCACGGTGTGCTGCCACCTCACCACGGTCGGGCATAAACAAGTGCGACAGGCACAGACGCCGTCAAAAGTCACTGTTCGGGGCCGTTTTCGTGCTCAGCTCAACAGTTGGCAGAAACGCTATTGTGATGAAGTCGTTGCAACTTTCCAGACGCTCGGTATTGTGGCTTGATGTGACCAGCGTTCGATGACGACGACCTCCAAGAAGCAATACCTTGAAACCAAGGGTCCAACCAGATACAGGTTGCTGTGCCGCATCAAGTACCACGCCGGGACATGCCGCGGAGTACTCTGTTCAAAGCAGAAGCTGTCGATGTCGAGAGAGTGCAGATAGTGGTGGACTTGGGCGCTCGGATGCAAGTGTGCGGCGTGCTATAGCTCTGAACAATATTCTCGGCAAGCCTAGTGGCTAATCGGCTCAGCAAGTATGGGTCCACCGTTCACGGGCATAGTCCTGGTTCCAGTGTTCCGTTCTGCATTAGGGTAGGTCATCAGCATCAGGTGATGAGCGGAGGTGACAAGCGCCAGTGCACCACTACTTGCTTAAGTCACGCCGCAAACTAGCAATGCGGCCAAGTGAGGGTCCTGTGCCTCACGCGCCTTTTGGTTCTCTCTGCCGCCAAGTGGCGTCTTCGCCTATGTGACAGGCCGGCGATCGCAGTGCGCGATAGCGCGGTTCGTGAGGAGACGCGCTGATGCTCATGAAGTAAATCTGCCACTTTGGACCCCCTCGAACTGGGACAGATCGCGAAGGGGAGTGCTCGATTGTTGATGGTGGCCCGCAGCGCGCTTGCGCGGCACTCTTTTGTCATCACTGTTGACTTGTTGCACAAGATCAAATGTGATTGGCGCATGCAAGCCATGAAGGCGAGCGGAAGCAGATAGCGAACCGCGAGCGCTCTGATGGCCTTCGGCCAGGCAGCAGTCGCTCAGCGATCTGAACAGCAAGCAGCTGATCCAGAGCAGCTCATGCTCGATCGTCTACATCGGTAATCACCAATTCGCTTTGCAAGCAGAGTTCGAGATGCCAACTGCTCATCGCTTACAGACTCTGTGTGTCGAAATGAGACGACGGTCTGCAATGTGCAGCCCTTGGAACCAATACACTCGTGGTTCAATCGAAGCCGTCTTGTCTGTCTGCGAGGGGTATTAGCAGAGAGCTCGCATGACCAGTCTTGCTCGTGGACTGAAACGGCACAGTACATCACCCTGAAGCCAGCCAAGCCCACTACCGACCGTGAGGCATAGCGATGACATGATTTAATGTTGCGGCCAGCTAAGTGCGGCACGTCCTCGCATACCACACGTCGCATGAACGACCAAGACTGCTGACCACCATGGCTGACGGAGTGTACATGACCGCCTAGGCCGTGCGATTTAACAGAAGAGAGCAGCTCAAGGTTACAGGCAGCAGCAGTAGAACGCGAAGACGAATTGACGACTTCTCAGTACCCCGGAATAGCTCATCGACGTAACAAGAACCCATGTCGGTGTGCGATGAGAATATGCGTTCACGGTTTCAGCCTTGTTGGTGGCGCACAGGTCCCGCGTTCTGTGTGCAGGTCTTTCGCAGCAAGCAGTAGTTCCAATCACGGCGAATGGAACGCTCGCGTGAAAATAGACGCCTGGTAGCGCCTTCTCTGCAGTCCAAAAGTGCTTTTCTTGTCTGCTCACCCTCGCAATCAAGATTCGGTGGGTTGGTCATCATCTGAATGCGTTGTACATTGGTGCAGTTGGTCGATCACATGCCAAGACCATGCATGTCCAATGCGAAGCGCCTCGAATGGACCACTCGCGGTGGTCTGACGAGCTCGGTGAGACCGTGGCTAGCCGTGGCCAGCAGTGTACGGCCACGCGCAGGTTGCCTGGCAGGCGCGAATAGAGCAGACAGAGGAGTTAGGCGGTCTTAAGGGAAAGCTGGTGTCCTGGTGCGGTACTCCGCTATTACCCCTAAGCCCGTGAAGTCGTGTTGTCGCCTAGCGAAAGTGTAGGCGGTGTTCCAGTCGGAGCAGGTGCTTGAACGGCCGAAGATCAAAGTCAGATGCCCGTCGGGCAGTTTGCCAACCAGACGCGCTACTGCCCCTCACATCGATACGGACGCGTCTGGGCAGTGCCAAACGAGATTGAGAGTCACCGCTCCGGTTGCGTGAGAAGATTGCGCGTGGAGGCGAGTATTATGGTCAGCGCAGCGGTGTGCGCAGTGGGACAGCCCTGCCTCGTTCCGGTGAAAGGGCTGTGGGCATATTGAGGTGCTGGGGTGATAGCGGAAACCAGAGGTGTGGAGCGGCAAGCCATGCGCGAGTCTGTCCTACGTGGCTCAGGCGATTGGATTCAGCCTTCAGCCTCGTGGTCTGCGGGAAGGATCAGGGATGTTGTCAGTCAGCAGACAGAGTTCGAGAGAGGGTGGACGTGGTATGCCGACTATGAGCGATCTGCGGGAGGCTATGTCGACCAATAACCTCCCCGCTCTGGTGCGCAATACGCAGGAGCAGCACGTCCGACAGCGCAATGTAGGGCTTCCAGTGCGGCTGTGAGTGGCATTTACTTTCCCAGCGTATCAAGCGCGCCTGCTGCAGCATTGCAGCAACAGCCTCTGGCAGCTAATGTGCCGAATCTTATGGCTCCTGTAGTGTCGCGGTCCCTCGTGGGAGCATGAAGCTTCATCCGGCTGGATCGAATGGCGCATCGAAGCGTGTCTCCTGCTCCTCTGGACGTCGGGAGGCACCGAGCGAATGAGCGGCGGCAGCAGAGGTGTCAGTCGGGCTGTCACCACGTTGCTGACCCGACTCCAAGAGCGGCGGCAGCAGCAGCAGCGTGCGTCAAAACGGTCGCACCGTGCAGCAGCCCGCCGCGGCGCAAGAGAAGGAGGAGTGGCATCCGGCGGGAGACATTTTGGCGGAGACAGTCCGCGTGCTGCACTCATACTGTGGAGCCTCCATCATGCGATACGCGTATCTGTGGGCAGCAACGACGCCGAACAGCAGCAGCGTCATCATGTCGTTGCTGTGCTGTGCTGCTGCTTCTTCGTCTCGATACCGAGCCCGTGACCGGTGAACTTGGGGGGCTATTTCGAGAGTGCTAACTTAATGATCGCTCGCCTATGCAACCAATTGCGCTCCCGCACTTGGCCACCAGAATTTCAACGCAGGCCCATTTGCCCTAACAAACCACATTTCGGCTCCGATCTTGCTGCAATCTCGCCGGCCGATACACAGTAGTTGCTGGCATGGCCTATGGTTGTCCCTGTCACCACGCCTGCGCCTTGTGAGCTTTGTCATCCGTCGATCTACGGGCCTGAGCAATCACAATCTCCACTACGCACTGCGGGCTGAGATGGCCATCAAGTCGCACAGTCACTGTCAGGCCGGAGACATTCGTCGTGAACATTGCTCCGAGCCCGCTTGGCTGCCTGCTCTGCTGCTACTGCTACTACTGTTGGCTGTGCGCATCGGATCGCGATTGGTGAGTCTGTGCCTCCCGCCGCGACTCGCGCTCCGTCATCAAACATGTGCGTGCGTGCCAAAGCTTGATGCGCGCCTGTCTGTCGCCCGCCACAAAAGTCAAGTCCCCAAGAAGAAGCTCGCAGGCTCCCGCGAGACTAGCGACGACGGCTCGGTAAGCCTGGCAGAGGCACGCTGAAGATGGTGGGCCGGGATCCGGATCCTTCGTTCAAACTAAGCACCCGTCCGCTAGCACCCAAGAGGGTAGCGGGTGTTGGTTCACAGGTGTACCTTTATCACAGCCCGCCGACCGCAGCACGCGAAGCTGCTAAAACGATCAGACCTTCTAACGCAGGCCCTAGCACTATGCTTCAGGACGTCTGCTCTTGTGTATATCACTTCTGCTAGACCCCAGCACGACACCGTGACCTTAAAAGTAGAACTTCCTTCCGGTTGGCCTACCCATTTGTTCCATAGTTGACTTTCATGACCATGGACTCACCATCTCTCCAGTCAACCTGTATCAATCCTAACAGGATCCGATCTCAATCATCCTTCTCGACCACCTCATCCATCAACGCTCGCGGCGCCATCCAGAAGCGCTCTTCCCACGCGGATCGATCCCGAGCCATCTCAGTGTCGCAAGCCGAGAAGCTCCTCCAGTACGCCGCCGAACAATCCAGTCAGGCTGATCTCGAGCATCCCATTCCAACATCAACTGCACTGGGCGGTATCCAGTGGCTCACTCCTCAGCACTCGCCTCAACCTCAAAGCTTTACGGCCGAACCCTCCCTGGAACCCTTTCCGCAGTGGACGGCACCTACCCCACCGCGCTCGGAATCATCGTTCCCAACAGTATCAATCGACTGCAACGACGAGCCCGTCACCACTGGCATCAGCGTCGCTCCTGACTTTGCATTTGAGCAGCCATCTGTGTCTGCGGAGATGAGGTTAGTGTTGTAGATCCACCCTGACTGATGGCCGACTCAGCTGATCATTGCGTAGCTCGTTAGGCTTCCTGCTTCCCACGACCTACGGTAGCTCCCCTTACGACTCCGACTCAAACTGTACGTTCATTCCTTTCACTCGTAGAACTGCCACTAACGAATTACAGCTTACGCCATGGATCAAAACTACATCCCGCCGATGCGCGTCACGCAGCCAACTGCAACCAGCGGCGCAAGCGCATATGCTACAACGGCGTCATCATCCAGTCCTTCGCTCTACTCGAGCAGGATGGCAGACACATCGAGCGCACGCAGATATTCCGAGATGCCGGCCACGACTTCCGCGAGCTCAGCCTACGGCGACTACCGTCGTGTGAGCAGCCCCTACGAGACCAACTACTCGATGGCTCCTAGCCAGACGATTCCCTCAATAAGCGGTCTCACCCAAAGTCCGCTACCGTCACCCCACCTGGGCTCCTCGGGAGTGTCGCAATACAACAGGTCAGTCGATCCACACTATCAGACTCGAAAGTCCATCACTGACTGGGACATTAGATCGCTCAACATCTATGAGTCGAACCCATACGGACAGGCGTACACTACTGCGCCGCCTCCACCACAAGTTTACGGCAGCAGCAACCAGTATGCGCCGCCACCATTCGTGGGCAGTGGCGTCAACGAGAATCTTCCGAAGCCTGTTGGCGGCGACTCATCGATACGAGTGCTCAACCAGCGACCCAAGCCTCAATGTTGGGAGCACGGCTGCAACGGACGTCAATTCTCCACCTTCAGCAACCTCTTGCGACACCAACGAGAGAAGTCCGGCACATCTGCGAAGTCGTATTGCCCGAAATGTGGTGCAGAGTTCACGCGTACAACTGCGCGGAACGGGCATCTGGCACACGACAAATGCACAAAACAGCGACGGCCTTCGGAGGGGAAATGATTCGAAAATTGGTTTGGGGCATCACAGAGACGATCATGATCATCGTCAAGACATCAGGAGGTCAACTCGTAGCATTTTCAGAGCGCCGTTTAGAAGTTTTTACGACCAATACCCACAACTCGATTCTCTACTACTCAACATCAAACTCATTTGCATAAAAGTTTCACAAACCTGTTGTCACAAAGTATTCCCCGTACCAAACAGCGAAGTTCTCCGCGAGGTGCACATGTGAGGCACAGCCGTTTCGGCACCGAGTGATGTCTCGAACCAAGGACAAGGGTTTGGCAGAACCTCGAAACTCAGTTTGAGAGCTCGCCTAACTGCTCTTGCCCGCGCCACCGTGCTCAGTTTGCGACTGAGGGCACACTGAAGATCGCTACTGCATCGGATCTGATAATGAAGGACACACGCTTACGGAGCAGCACTGCTACAGTGTGATCCAACATGGCCCTCCGGTCGACGAATGCGACCTAGGGCGGCAGGGAAGAGAGCGCGCGTGCATGCCACTCTCACCGGTGCACTGACTTTCCCTACCTGCTGAGTCAGAATCTAAGGCTCAGCGAGCAGCGTCTGTGCCAGAGTGGAGTCTGTGCGACACCCTGGTCTTTGCGCTTTCGTTTAACGAGTTGGCGCCGCGCGTGGCACATGCGGCGTGCACATGGACCCCACAAGGTTGAAGGCGTGTCTTTCTGGCACGACGATTGGTGCCGTGCGCGCTCGCATTCGGAGTTGCTTTGCCCGCCCGGACGATCAGCTTGTTTGCGACTTGCACGTTCTGGGACTTTTTTGCGAGGTTTCGATGATCAGGCCCCCACAGTCGACGCAAAGGTGTGCGGACGAAATGATGCTCGCGGACGTGACAGCCCGGTTCTGCGCGATCTCATCACGAGTCGCCTACGGTATGTACCCAGGAGGCACAGAGGCGCGGAATGCGGTCATCACGGTCTCGCGCGTACCGTGTCTGCTTATTGCTCCTGCTGTCGAGCGCTGTGCTCCTCCATCTCCAAACCTCCGCAGCGCCTCTGCTGCTGCTTCTCCAGATCTGCGGGATGGATGTTGTGTACATGCGGCAGGATTCACAGAATCCAGCAACGCATGGTCGCCATGTGCTTAAAAACAGCAGCAAGGAGGAGCGCGAAGGAGCCACGATGTGCCGTGCCTGTTTCCGCTGTGTCGGCTCATGCGTTCCATGATGTGGCGCGCGCTGGTGGCCTTGTCCCAGAGCTCCTCCAGCCTCCAGCCTGGCGCGATCTCGCTTCAGCGCTCATCCCAGCTCGCCTTGCGTGCTCCGTCACTAGAGCCCACTCTCCGACGGTCGGGTTCACGGGTTGGATGCCTGCCATGGGGTGACGAGCGCAGCATGTGTCTAGAATCGGGCAGGGAACGAAACGAGCTGCTTGGCACATTGAATCGGTTGTCAAAGAAATCCACACCGGATAGAATGCCGCTGTGTCCGTCTCTCCACCGGTGTACGGCCAGAGCGATAGTTAGTCCTGCATCTGAACGAAAGCAGCGTCGCCGCCTGTCTCAAGTCGTAAGGCCACCCATGAAGCCTGGCAGTCGCGTCTTGGCACATTTCGGCGCCGTGCACGTGAAGCGGGCGCGATGACTCCCGCGGCGTCGGCGGGACCTCGCAAGGGTTGAACGTCACTTCGACTTCCTGGCGATGACAAACAACCAGCACTGCAACAGCACGTCTACCATCATGATTGCCTTCCAGTGGTCTTGAGTTGCTCCCAAAGCAAGCGCATACCTTAGCAAACTCTCACATCGCCCAAACCGAGCTCATCACCATGTCGAAATCGATGACCTTCCTGTTCAGAACTCACCGAACGCATACCAATACACGATCGTTAGCGGAGCAAATAAGGCTCGGCGAATTGCGGCGTAATTCATATCGATGAGGCACTCGACCAATACAGTGTGATATCGGACTTGAAGATTGCGAATGCAAAGTAGCAGAAGCATTTCTGTCGGGTCGTTAAGGGTACCACACATCACAACCAGTAGTTGAGCCGCCCTGCGCATCAGCACCGCCGCTGAGTCAACATGGCGCACGCTTCTGCGTCCATATTCACTTGGGAGCCAGATACTCCTCGGGTGTCTTCGCCATGGCTGAAAGCTGCGGACGATAGGTCCAGCCCCGCACCTGAAGGGGATGGCAACAGCAATGGCCAGCTGGGAGCGGCAGCCAAAAGCTTGCGTGAAGCTGCGGACAATGGTCAAAAAGTGACACGACTCCATGCCGAGCCGCAAAATGGTCCTGTGGAATACAAGCTCCATCTGCTTTTGCGGCCGAGGCGCAAGTTTCGATCTACCAGTACCGGTATCTACGTGCCCGGCTCCAAGCATGCAATGGCTGAAGATGGACCTCCAAAAGTGAAGGCGTCTGCAGAATTCGTTGCAGACTCTAGCGCCACCTCTGGGAACAATACACCTTCACAATCCACGCAGCAGTTCCGCCAGCACAGGTTGCAGCAGTTGACAACACAACTCATGTGGCGCCTCCAGCAGTCTTCTCCGCATCACACATCTTCTGCTGACAACATCATCATGCCCACGCTGCCAGAAGCGCTGCCAGAGCTGCAAGTACCTCAGCAAATGGGCAAGCTATTACACGGACTTGAAGAGAGCCAAGGTGCGCTGTACGAAATCGGCGTATCCGATGATGGCACCCTCATAGGTCTGGCTGAAGATGAATTGCAAGAAAGTTTGAACAACTTGCGAGCGATGGCTGCATGCTTAGGCTGCACAGTCGAGGTACTACGTGAAGAAACTGTAGGAGAGTGCGAGTGGCTGGAAGATACTGTCATTGCCAACCAAGAGCGGAAGATGCGACATTCAGGGAGACTTGTTGTGGCTGAAGCATTGGTGCGACCATTCTTGCATTCTTCCAGCCCAACTTTGCCAGGTCAAGAGGGAGCTCACAGTGAGCCATCACTCACCGCATTGCCCTCTTCTGCAGATCTCGCCCCACCCAGCACCGAGCAATTGCGGATCACACTAACGGGACCGACTCGGTCTGGCAAGTCCTCGTTACTGGGGACATTGACGACCTCTACTTTGGACAATGGTCTTGGAGGAAGTCGACTAAGTATGCTGCGTCATCGCCATGAACGGAGCTCCGGCATCACGAGCTCGGTCACGCAAGAGTTGCTGGGATATCGAGAAGGGATGAATGGGACTGTGGAGGTCGTAAACTATGCTACCGAAAACGTCTCGACCTGGATCGACATGCACCTTGCCTCTGCTGGTAATCGCTTGATCCTTGTCTCGGATTCTGCTGGCCACCCGCGGTACCGCCGAACAACAATCCGAGGCCTCGTCGGTTGGTCGCCTCATTGGACTTTGCTTTGCGTCTCTGCGAACGACGAAGACAGCGCTGCAAGTGCGAGCGACGCCCCGTTACTTTCACAGCAGGCAGCTATACCCACTGCCATGGATCTGGCGACCGCTCAGCTGAATTTGTGCCTGCGTTTGCAACTACCGTTGATCGTCGTCATCACCAAGCTCGATCTCGCTTCCAAGTCAGGTCTCCGACTCGTACTGTCAAGAATATTGGATGTGCTGAAGGCTGCCGGCCGGAAGCCTGCTGTGATGCCCAGTAAAGGCAACATCACGGATGCAAGTGATTTGCAGACTGTGAATCCTGGGCTTCTGGAGTCTGCGTACAACACTGCTCTACCTCTGCTCAATGATTACCGGGGATCAGTCCCAATCGTGCTGACAAGTGCAGTAGACGGCACAGGCATCAGTAATTTGCATGCTTTGTTACACGAGTTGCCGAGCCCTGAGCCGCTATTGGAAAACGGACCAGATGCAGCATCTGCCATTTTCGATATTGAAGATGTCTACAGCAAGCCAGCAGAAGTTGCGGGCGTGATTGTATCTGGCCGCATACGCTCGGGTCAACTATCTGTCGGGGACGTAGCGGTTGTCGGCCCCTTCTCTGGCCATGAACTGCATGAGGACTCCGAGGATTCGGATGAGCGCCCGTTGCGCAAATCCACATCTTCCAGCCTGCCCACATCCCGATCGTTTCCAGGAGCGCTCCGGAACTCGCACTTCACGCCGCCACTATATCAATTGCCCAATCAGGAATGGAGGCGGGTCAAAGTGACCAGCATCAGGAATCTTAGACTACCCGTGCACTCGCTACACGCTGATCAGGTTGGCACTATCGCGGTCACTCTCGACGATACGTCTATCAAGACTGCCCAACTGCTACGGATACGAAAAGGCATGGTACTTTCGGCGATCCAACCCCTTGCGGCACGCAGCTTCACTGCCCGGTTCGCGAGGGAAGATCTGGAGCATCTTGCAGTTGGCAATCACGTCGTCGTCTACATTTCGAGCGTCCGAGCTTCTGCAAAAGTCGTCACTGCTCGAGCGCCTGATTCTCCGGAAGAGCGCGTTTCGGAGCCGAACAATGGCGCTGAGGACCCTTTCGGTTTTGATGACTTGGAGGAGAGCATCGAGACGCCGCAAAACAAGAACTTGGCTGGACACATCACTGCATCCGAGCTTCTAGTGACTTTGAGCTTCGACACTGCGAAGGAGTATGTTGTTGTCGGAGACCGAGTGCTCGTCATGCCAAGCGGTGGTGCTCCGTTGTATTCTGGCAACGAAAGAGGTGAGAAAGGTGTCGCCGGCCTTGAAGGCTTTGTGGGGCTCATCACAGAGGTCAGAAATTGAGCTTCGAGAGATCGTATACTTGGAAACAGCATCTTTGTGCATGTGCGTGTTCACATTTCCGACTGATCATTCCATATCGCTGCCACGTTCACAGCTATCACGTGTCATTACCCACCTTCCATCGACTGAGAAGTCTGCGCAGAGATCTCTACATGTCGACGACCGAGCGATCACCTCATCAGTCATTTCGACCTGCAAGTCAGTCACATCGCCTGATCATTGCCATGAGCATGCAATACCTCTCACACAACTGTTCCCACCACATATACCTAATTGGGATATTCCGATCAACACTTCGCAAGTTTCACTTCAGAACAAGCGACTTGGCACTTCTTCGTCGACCGTGAGGCGGAATAGAGTTGGCTGATCAACACTCTCTGGCGACGACGATCTTTTCCTTGCTTGCTTGCCTTGCCCCGCTGGAGATGGCTGTTGGCCCCTCGTGTATGGCGGCCTCCCCCGCCCCGCGCGGTAAACTGACTTTACGCTTGAAGAGTTAGTTTACCGCCAGACACTGCATGGCTGAGAGTTTGGGACTTGTGGAAAGGCTGTGCTTTGCTGTGCTGTGCCACTTCATGTGCTGTGCTGCGCTTTGCTGCGCTGTTGGTCTTTTGCTGCTTTGGAGAGGGGTTGGTGGCGAGGGGTTGTCGTGATGATTGGTGGTTGGTGGGTTGGAGATTCACAAGCGCTGATGTTGTCTTGCTGTTGGTCATAGAGCGATCGCACGCTGGCTAGATGGGTCGCGCAATATGTGAGGCCTGAGGGTCTCTTTGATGACGGGAGATGGTGTTGATGATGCTTCTCCACGTAGGTTTCGTGCTTTGACACGTTCGCTGTCAGCACCTAGTGCCTCTCAAGAGGCGCTCTGCCGCATGAAACTCTGGTTAATCATCCTTCATGGTTCGGAGCATTGTATATTCCTAGCCATGATCCGTAGTGGTAGCCGTCTTACGGTCTTGGAGACACTATAGCATACTTTCAAGTGTAAGTTCAAAGAGGCGCGAATTGTCTGCTACGAAGATTTGGCTAGCGTACCTGAAGGTGGCGTGTGGCATGTGGTAGGAGGATGTTTGTTGCTCCTGGTTCCTTCGTGCTGTCTAGTGCCCTATTGGGGTTAGAGTGCGAAAGGGTGTGCTGTTTATCACGAGAGTCTGTTGGTTGGAGGTTCGTCATTCTTGGTTTTCTGGAGAGTTAGTTGATAGGTGTTGGTGGCTGTGGTTCGGAAGAGCGCCATTGGCTCAAACTTGCACTTTTTTATATGTGTATAGGGCTTTTTGTGAGTTTGTGATAGGGCAATGCGCGTCGTCATTGTTAAGATCAGAGTGATGCTGTAGTATCGACGCGCATCGGAATGAAAATAGCATGTGATCGAGTGTTGCGCGCTGATGCGGCTGCTTCGCATTTTCTACAGTGGTATCGTCCCAGTGGAGGCTTGGGTGCTTGTATGGAGCTTCGAAAGGTCATCTTGATTGTCAAGGCTCTTGTGTTGAGTACCTCTCATAGATTGCTTCTGCAAATCTCGCTGCCGACTTGCTAGCTTCGTATGTCGCAGGAATTGCCCAAGTAGTCAAATATCGTCAGAAGCAACTCGCCCATCGAATGACTTGGCAACTCGGTCAAGCTTCACTCTTCTAAAACGCCATACTGCTCCTTCACAGCCTCAAGCTCCTCCAACTTGAGCTCTTTCAGCCTTTCTTGACCGTTTCGTGCCTCCCAGCACCCATCCACCACATCATAACATGAGCGAGCGTCCTCAGTACCTAGCCCCTTCGTGGTGATACTCTCGTTTCACCGCTTCCAGCTGCCTCTCCATATCCTTCATTTCCTGCTCCTTGGACTCAACAAATCTTCTGATCTCCGTGCGAGCTAACATTTCTCTCCAATTACCCGTATCCTCTCTGATCGCACGCTCGAAACTGCCCGCCATCTCCTCAAGGACTGCCTTGATGTCATTTTGCAAGTCTCGAGCGAATGAATCTGTAGCTGTCTTGAAGTTCTTCTCCAAATTCCGGGTGACTGCGGAGAATGGACAGGCAGTAGCACCTTGTTCGCTCTTGCCCTGCAGCCAGTTCCGCAGATGGTGCAAACGGCGGTCGGTCACTCCTCCTCCCGAGTCTCGTTTGCACTTTGTATACAGTGGTCGCATGGCATCTGCGAAGTAGCTGGTCGGAACATCTCGCGTAGCATCTAGCTGGATGTTACTTGCCTCCTTCGCGAACGCCTCATACCTTGACCGGAGTGCAGATCGGATGCGATCAACGCTGGAATTGATAATGCCCTGCAAAGGTTCCAAAGCAATTGGCGTGGCAGCCGGCATATTGTTGAGCTTGGCCGGAATGCGATCGAGGGCGTCCGATACTTTATCGATCGTAGCATCAAGCTCTTTCTTCATATGCTTGAGCAGAGGGTACCAGCGGGCATTCAAAAAGACACTTTGCTTGTCAGCAAACATTTCATTCAAGATTTGATGCTTCTTTCCTCGTGGAGCATGGCGGCCATGTTTCCGAAAGAATGCGCCTTGTGTGTTCCAAGCGTGCTCAGTAAACTTCTCCACGACCTCGAGCGCTGCCGTTACAAAGTTAGGCCGATTCTTGAGCAGCTGTTGTATGAGCTGTCGGCTGCACTCTTCGTCTACAGCTTCTCTCCATGAGCTTAAACTGGTCTCTAGCAGAGTCGCGGGGTGTTGGGCCATCTCGGTGAGTGTCTGCCGCCGCTCTGACATCGCTGCGTCAGCCCACAATGCAGCTCCCCGGAGAAGCGTGAGACTTGCATTGATGTATTCATCAGCAGTATTGAACTCATTGGGGGCAGCAACCTCGAGGGCGAATCGGCGCAAGGCAGGAATATTGGTCATCTCCACGCTCATGTGATATTTCTCGTTGGTCTCCACACCTTTATGCGCCATGTAATGTGTGTTAGACACGCAGAATACCGAGAGCTGGACTCCAGGTGCGAGGTGCACCTGCTTATCCTCCTTGAGCGTCTTGCTCAAGTACGAATTGCGCATATCAACAAGGACATCAAGTCGCTCGATCTCGGCCGTCTCCAGCTCCTGTAGACTGCGTGATCGCTTGTTGCCTGTGTTGTTGCGTCCCTTGATGTCCTTCTTTAGCTCGTTGATGCCCTTGGAGAGCTGCTCGTACCGTGCGATACTCGACGGAGCAGCGCCTTTCGTGGCCATCTCTTTCGCAAGATTCGCATTCGCACCAACGTCGGAATGCGTGGCTATAATGGCAACATTCGATCCAAACCGAGCCCCATACGTGGCAAGCTTGCTGTCGAGCGAGGCATCGGAAACGGCGCGAGCCATACCAGCCACTGCCCAGAGAATATCGCACTCCTTGATGAATTCATTGGCAACTTCTGCCCGGACGCGATCGACGTCTTCCGTGCCAGGGAGATCGTTCACTTCAATGTGGCGCAAAATTGGTGATGTAGATATGCCTTTGCAGACATGATCGACCAGAGGCCATAATTCTGGCTCCTCCAGTTTGTATTGCTCAAACATATATGGCTCAACATCAGTGTTGATCTGCTCCAAGTCATCGGAGCTCATTCGCAGCGTTGGACAGCCCTCCACATCCTGGCATCCAGAGAGCAGGGTCATGCACCATTGATCTAGGTCTTCAATGGTCTCGGCGACATTTCGATGCTCCTTGAAATACTTGACGATGTTTCCTTCCGAGGAGAATTCATCTTGATCGCAAAATAACGCTCGAAATCGTTTCAGCGCAGCATTCGCCCGTTGTTGGTACTCCTGCTTCTCCTCCTCCGGCCAATCCCCGTGAGAGTCCAAATGCCAGCGAGTGAAGTGCTTGATGTGCTCACTCAAAAAGGTCACTCGCTTTTGCTTGTCGTAGAAGCGGACGTCAGCTGCGTATAAAGTTGTCTGGCCTGCGAGCTTGAACACGATCTTTGTCGGAACCGCAGTGCAGCTCTGACCGGTATCGCCAGCTTTGGTGGCATCAGGTTGCCCGGCGAAAGAATTTGTGACCGAGCTCTTCCCAGTGCCCGTAGCTCCATAAAGCATGACGCTGATAGGGGGAGGCTCGGGGCTTTCGCGCAACTTGTCAGCCTTTTGCCACATCGTCTCGACGTCCTGACTGTGGTGGCGGTGCTTCCCCAAAAGTTGGGCAAGTTCGACAACAATAACTCCAGTCTGCTGCTTCAGCGCGAATGTCCTCGGATCGTAGGCCGCGCATTTTGGAGGCTTTTCCGTCTTCTCCGAGTACATCCCATTTTCGTCATAACAATCCTGCTTCGGTCCAGGAGATGGGGTTCTTCCAGTCACGAACAATCCATGCCCTGGTCCACTGCGATCCGTGTCGGCGGTGCGCTCGCGTGAATACCGCCCAGAGCTGACAGGCGACAGATAAGCCATGGCAGGCGCCACGAACGACCAAGTGTCGCTGCGGCTTGATGTGCGATGTGACTTGTCAGTCTTTGGTATTGGAAGTTGGAAGATATTATGAGTTGCTGATATGAGTTGGATGTGGTATGGGTGTCTTGTAGCGGTGGTAGTTGTGGTACTGTTCGTGGGAAGATATGAAAGGGAAGAGGCAGTCGAGCTCGCCCGAACTCATCAGCATGTGACTGTCGCGTCACGTCACAAGAAGTGAACAAATGCTAGGCAACGGTCCCGTGGAGCTTGTGAAAATGCTGAAAGAAGCCGAAGTGAAGCACTGTAGGACATAGTTAGCAGCAAACGCCACAGATCTAGGGCAGAACATACACTCGCATAATGCATGAGGCATGTACACAGTGCTCACCATTTCCCAATGCATCGCAGCTTCTCGAAAGTACGAAGCGTATTCTCTGTCTCTCGCGGCGACCTACGACGCCCCAAAAAAAGAGCGAGCATCAGCGCAATCACCTGCTGTGAAGCTCCCTCAGCCACTACATTCACTCTCATCGCAGCACCTGGCGCTGTGACGCAAGAGCGCATGTGAAAAGCCACAGCTCCGAGTGGAGGAAAACAGCGAGGCGAGTGAGAGCGCACTTTCGCTGCGCTTCTGGCAGTCTTGGTCAGTCTGCGGTGTCGACCATAGGTGAGGATCTGAGCACTGACCTGCGGAGCAATGGCTCCTCGGGGAGGCCACGTTCAGGTATTGAGGTCGAATCAAGGACGGGAAAGGGGGACTGGTGGCACATGTAGTACATTGCACTATGATACACATGCAGCGTCATGAACTGCATTCTATGATATACCGTAGAACATAACACGCTCCTCTTTCTCCTTCGCATTTCTCATGCCAGCGGTCGCTCATCACGGCCCAGCATATATGCACAATGGTTTACTTGTAGAAGTCAAACTTGTCTGCCTCGCTCGTACCCTTGACCTGACTTGTGTATGCATCCTCCAAATCTTGCTGGATAATGTTGTATCTGTTCTTCCTCACAGCCCTCAATCCTGCCTCTTGCATCACTGCCGCGATGATAGCTCCAGACAATGGGTCGTTGCGGACGATCAGGGAGTCGAGGTCGACTTCAGGCGACAAGCTCATCTTCGAGGCGATGGTAGAGAAGATCAAGCGACGCTCTCGGCGGTCACGCAGCGAAGGGAATTCGATCTTTCGGTCGAGACGTCCAGGACGTAGCAGAGCAGGATCTAGTGTGTCCGCACGGTTGGTTGCCATGATGACTTTGACGTTTGAAGTCTGGTCGAAGCCGTCCATTTGGTTGAGCAGTTCGAGCAGGATACGCTGCACTTCTCTGTCGGCTCCGGTTTGCGCGTCGAAACGTTTGGTGGCGATAGCGTCAATTTCGTCGATGAAGATGATAGCTGGGCTGTTCTCTCGCGCCATTCGGAAGACATCACGCACCATGCGCGGTCCTTCTCCGAGATACTTTTGCACGAACTCCGAACCAACAACGCGAATGAACGATGCGGTCGTGCTATTCGCCACAGCCTTGACCAACATTGTCTTTCCTGTACCAGGAGGCCCGTAGAGCAAGACACCGCGCGGTGGGTCGATACCAATCTGCTTGTACAGGTCGAACTGTGTCAGCGGCAGCTCGACGGCTTCCCGGATCTCCTGCTTCTGCATGTCCAATCCACCGACTTCGGCATATGTGACATCGGGCTTCTCATCAGCGCCCAACATGGCGATGCTGCTGTCAGCCTCGGGCGGCAAGATATCGACCAAGCTGTTGGAATGCCGATGCAGCGCCACACTGGAGCTGGGCTTGAGCAGCTCACGGTCCAGTGTACTCAGTATCCGCACAACATAGTTGCTTCCTGTTGATGACTGTACGATTCCCGTGTTCTGATCGATGGCTTCCATGAACTGGCCGATGACCAGTGGCACACTTTGTATCCGCTTGATCTCCTCCTGTGCGCGTACCAGCTCCCGCTTCAGACTCCGCTGCTCATCCTTGATGTACTCTTCCTGCAACTTGATGTATTCGAGTTGGCGCTGCAGCTTCTTGTAGGTTGCATATTGGTCGTCGGAATCTGTCAAGCCCTCGATGGTGTCGATGTTGGTGATGGCGGAGCTCGAGATCTGGTTGAGGAGGTGCGGCGCGGTCGGCGCTTTGCTCACGTCGGCGGACGCCATGCTGATGTTCTGATCTGGGGTGGCTTTGATGTCGCGGTGTGTGGTGGGAGATGGAGGAGTGGAGGACGGTGTTTGTGGTGATGATGTTGGATGTGATGCGTTCCAGCTGCAGCTTGTCGGAGAAGGCGACAGAGCTGCCGACGCGCCCCAGTACTGACACGTGAATGGTCTTGGCATTATCATGGTCACCACATCTTCAATAGGAAGATGCAGCTTGCGAGCTGAACTCATTGCGATTGGTAATGTTCTGAACGAGACATATGAAGCTACAGTTCTAAGCTTCCCGAACGGCATCATCGAGAACCGAAAGATTATCAGAGTCACCGTGGCGGTGGGATAGAACACCGTCGGTCGTATCTACATCTCCTCTCGAACGACACTCCTCTGGTCCAAGTAAGCTTCGAGCATTCGCGGTAGTGATTGACAGGGCAAGTCGGCCCATCACTTCTGTTCCTGCCCATGTCGGAAAGGCATGGACAAATCGCTGGCAGCTTCCCTTCTCTGCTACTTCCGCTCAATGGCAGAACGGGAGAACACTGGGCAGCATATATATGCCTCGTGCAATGCTCCCCGCGTGACATTCGTCCAGGCGAGGTGGCTAAGTTCGTAAGTCGTCAAACAAGTCGGCGCCGAACGCCTTCACAAGGATGGAATTCTGATGCCCACGCTCTCCAGACTGTACCTGGTTCGGCATTGGCATGAGCTTGCTTGCGTGGGCGGATCTTTTGCTTCGCGGATCTTTTGCTTCATGAGTCGCGGTTTAAGATCTTGAACGTCTTGCGTGTGAGCAGAGGTAGAATGGTTCTAAAGTTGTCGGAATTCTTTTGCTCTGGAAGCACGTCTTCCACGCTTCACCGCTTTGCGCTATATGCAGCTCGACGGCAAGTCTCTGCTTGGATCGACATGTGCCTCAGCTCTGTGGACTACGGGCATAGTCTTCTCGATATCAAGTTCTATCGTCAGCTCGGAGAGGACACTTGCGCCAGACTTCGAACACCCGGCCCACATGCGAGAAAACCGTTTCATGACGGCCGTTGGCAAGACCGTTCGGGGAAGCTACAGCATGCGTACCTGGGCCCTGCTATACCGGAGTCCCGCAGTATGCATCTCGGAACTAATCCAAGTGAATGGAAGTGGTTTTGGTACAGCATGGGCAATTGGAACTGAAATACAAGAAATCATCAACATGGTTGTCGAGTCAACGTTCGGATGAGGATGGAAGTCGTTGCAGGCACAAGTCGGAAAGGACAAAATTAGCAGGGGTCCGCGCTCTCGCGTCCCGCCACACATCCAGCCACGCGCGAACCGAGTCGACGTGCACAATTCCACGTCACGCAAACTCACTCGTTGGGCTCCATCTCTCACGCACTCCTGCAAACTGCACGTCGCGCACATTTCTCCGCCGTACACTTCACCGACATCGCTTTTCGCACGCTTCTTTCGTTATCTTATATTGCCATTCCAACTTCAGCTCTTTCCAAGACGCCGCGGCGCCGCCCCACCTCCAAAGCTACCCCATTGGCCATATGAGATACCACCACCGAAACGAGCCACTCGGAGCAGCATAGGCAGAGGCAGCGACGCTGTCTTCCTCACCGCCAGGGCGAGCGCGAGTGGAGGACCAAGAGCGCTGAAATCAGTCACCCCGGCGCAAAGCGACTCGACAACCCCAGCCACGAGCAACGAGCCGAGGAAGGGCAACATCACGCACCATGGCACGATCAGACATGACCCGAGAAAGGGTGATTGTGCGACAATCATACTACTGGCCAGACTGGCAACTCAATGTCTGGATCATCATCATGCTGGCCACCGGCGGCACACTGGTCGGAGTCTTCGCCAACTTTGTGGTGATACAAAATTCACTGGGCGGATTGGGGATACCATGGTGAGTCTGACGCGCGAGCATGCGAGCGATACACTCTTTAAACGTCTGGGTGGTCGCTGAGCATTTGCAACCTCATGCTTGCAGGCCCTTGAGTAGAGATTGGTGCTACATCCCCATTTCACCTGTTCCAGCCTCCACATTTGCATTTAGCACACATGCTAACCTTCCTCTCTTCCTTAGGATCATGCCGTTTGGCATCACAGTTGGTGCTCTTACGCTCGCCTTCATCATCCTCATGCTCATTCTCATCGTACAACGGCGACTTCTACCCGGGGTTCTCATTATCGGCGCGTTCATTCTTCTCGTCCTGTACATCACCGGCTTGATCGAGACCGCGATTCAACTGTTCGGCCCATCCGGAGACATCAACTCTAAGTGCGGCACATATGTCACAGGGCAGAATCCGAACGATCTATCGGTCAATACCCTAGCATGGCTCCAACAAAACAGCATTTGCCAGAGCTGGAGCGCAGTGTTCGCATTTTGGATAATAGGCGCCGTCTTTCTGGTGTATTTGATTGTGCTGGCCAGTATGGTGGCACAGGGAGGAAGAGAGGATAATTATTAATGTGTGTAATGCATGAGTACGAAGATGAAGATCAGATCGAATGATTGGGCAGGCAATGAGTATGTGGGACAACGAGAAAGAGTTGTTTACACGAGCGGGAACCACAAGGACTGGGAAGGCATGATTTTATGGCGAGGCGTTCACTGGCGGATCAATACCCTGGAGCATGAAAGCTCTTCATTTTGGACAGGAAATATTTGCACAGTATCCAATATATGGCACCTGTTCCCCGCATTCCGAGAGCTTTGGCGGCAAGCAGGTGAGTATTCGTCTGTGGAAGCATGCATATTGATTACACAGTAGGATCGGTCCTTCGCTCCGAACCTCACAAAGGCAGGCTGAAAAGGTTCAATCGACACGAGCTTCATTCAGCCGACGGACGAAGGGAGATCTCGCAACCATGTTTTAGACGAGAAGCAGTTGCTTGTACAGCATCTGGGTGGGTGCAGCCAGATTTGCGACACTTCGCGAAACACATTTAGCCTGGGATATTGGCTTGTGGTTGATGGCTGATCGCTGCAGTCACATGCAGGTCAAGCTCGCCCGCCGGGACTGCGAATCTACTCTAGACACAGGTACCGGATTCGTGGAGAGACTGGGTACTTGTGCCTCTTCAGCAGCTGAGCTGAATGACTGAGTCGGCGTCTTGGCAGACGGACTCCCCCAAGGCTGCTCTTCCCGTTTCGAGCACGCAGCATACCAACAACATGAAGTTTTGAGCGCTTTCAGAACATTGACGGACTTCTGCATGATCATGAGAGGATCTACATGCAAAGACTAAGCTCCTTGCTGCCACAGGGCCGGCAATGCACCATCGCTTCAAAGCACACATGCCAGGTACCATAGCTACTTCCAGCAACTTCTTCGCGGCTAAATTCACAACTGCGCGCCGATCCTCCTGCAACTAACCCAACTTTGACTTCACAAATTGCAGCGCCTGCTGTCCATACACTTGTCCGTAAGCCTGGTGCGTGGCTGCATTGTTGCCGTTGCAGCAGTAAGGATCTGGAGCATCACAGTATGATCGAAGCTTGGACTGGAATGCTGGGCAAGAGAAGCCCTGAGGTCTTGGGTCGAACTGCAGGCACATTGGTTAGCGACTGACACTCGCAGAACAACAGGAATGGGAACGACATACTCCTTGTGCTGAGCAAGTTCCGACTCTGAACGAACTCTCCGCAGGAGAGTTTCGAGGGTTGCCCGCCCAGATCACAGCCTTAATGGCATTGGCAGCTGCAGAAGTCACCAAGACTTTGGTGTCGGTTATGCCCTGGTTCGGATCACCACCGCCACAAAGGGCGTTGTCGCCAATCTGAGCACCCTATTCCAGTCTGCGGTCAGCTCGTGCTTCATCGAATACGCGATACCAAACAAAGCATACCTGCGAATATCCTACAACAACGAGCTTCGAGTTGGGGCACCTGGAGTTGAAGCTGTTGATTTGATTCGCAATGTTCTGTGTACCAGCGCGAACTGAAGCGCCATACTGGGAGTCTCCGATAGCAGGATAGACGATGGCTTCTGCGGTGGATCCAGGATATGCCTTCAGAATCAGGTTGACGAAAACGCCTGCAGTACCATATCCAGCGGGAGCTGTGGTCTCTCTCGCACCGAAGATGTGGATCGCTGGGCAAGACTGCCTCTCTTCCAGTGGGTTGGCAGTCGCGCTTGCAACGAGCGCTGCTGCGGCAAGTGTGGAGCTGAGATGCATGTTGTTGTTAAGTTCTGATATACCTGGATTCGATCAACGACGAGGTGAGTTCTGATCATTCATTCCATTCGATTTCATCCTGACTTTATATAACATCCAGTCTTTCATCTCTGAGGCTCGTACATGCCGTCATGCTCGGTCGGACGGCGCTTCTACACGTAACGTACAAAGCAATCTGCCTGAAACGGGGCATCGGGTAAACTCCGCATACATACATTCGTCTACCAAGCGAGAGCTGATGTATACAAGTTTGGGCCACGTGCCAGCTGACAACTGAACGAGATCAATATACAGCTACCACGGTCTGGACTCATGAAGTGAATCTCAACGGATTTAGCCTAAGTACAACAATCTAGAATCGTGCACTAGGACAAAAGATCATCACTCTGCAGTCTAGGTCCGCGAATTGGTTTCGAACTACTCTGGAGTTTGTCCAACATCGGCTGAGTGGATCATGCAGGGCTGAACGCTTGTGCCCTCTTTTGTCGATACCGCTTCAGCTGGGTACTCTTGGCTCGTCTCAGGCAGAGGAGTTCAGCAATCAATGGTCTTGTCGTTGTACTTCGACAGGCTTTCCTCGCTCACTTGGCACATCCTCCTACACGATCTTGGCCTCTTGGTATGGCTTGTTTGCTCCTCGTGAGCAAGATGGAGGGCAATGCTTTAGCCAAAAATGCTGTCAACGCGTGAAGCGCAAGAGATGCAAGGAATGCCAGGAAAATGGTGGTATATAAGACAGCTTCTCATACCGAGATGCTCGAAATCAATTTGCCTGAAGCTCACATCAAGAACCCCACGCAGTCTTCGCCAATATGGTGTCTTTGACCTCAATCTTGTACGCTATTGCGGCAGCGGCGACTGCATACGCGGCTCCAACGGCTCTCGATGTCCGCAACCCTGAGGGCACGGCGCTCGAAGCTCGTCAATCTCAGTCTGGAACTGGCACGCACAACGGCTACTACTACTCCTTTTGGACTGATGGTGGTGGCCAGGTCAACTACCAGAACGGAGCCGGTGGCTCGTACACTGTTCAATGGACCAACGTCGGAAACTTCGTTGGCGGTAAAGGCTGGGCTACCGGATCGGCCAGGTGAGCGAACCCCAATGTGAAGTCTTTGAGCATGTATTGATCCAGCTTGCAGAACCATCAACTACAGCGGTACCTTCAGTCCAAGTGGCAATGGCTATCTCGCCGTCTATGGCTGGACTCGCAACCCCTTGATCGAGGTACATACCATCACGTTCCTCTGATTCGCCGCAATGCCCTCATTAACGCTTTTCTACAGTACTACGTCGTCGAGTCTTTCGGCACCTACAACCCCAGCAGTGGCGCCCAGTACAAAGGGACCGTGAACACTGACGGTGGTACTTACAACATTTACGTCTCGACCCGCACCAATGCCCCTTCGATCGATGGCATCCAGACCTTCCAGCAATACTGGTCTGTTCGCACGAGCAAGCGTGTCGGAGGAACTGTCAACATGGCCAACCACTTCAATGCTTGGGCCCAGTACGGTATGAGACTCGGAACTCACAATTACCAGATTGTGGCGACCGAGGGCTACCAGTCCAGTGGCAGAAGCAGTATCACGGTCTACTAGATGAAGGACCTGTAAAGGTTGAAGAGTGCCTCCGAAAAGATGATGGTTTTGCTGCGCCGAGGAATCTTGATGTTGGCGTGCTGCATGTCCGTGAGCTTGAACGAGACTCTCTTTTGTTGCTTGAAAGGTCGCTCGTTTACTGCGCAGTCCCTAAGCTCCTGTATCTCAGGAATCAATGGTCAACGAACCAAGCCCTTCGTTCAACTTCCCCATGCTTTCTTCCCCATTCTCCTTTTCGGCGTCGCAGCTTAATAAGTTTTGCCGACTGGTCATGGGCTCCGCTCTCCACACCGACCCCTTCGTATCTGCGATCTGTCGCGATATATGTCTGTTCATCTCCTCCAATACGACCGAAAGTGTCTTCCTCGTTTCTGGACTGTACTCTGCCAAATCTGGAACAGTCCATTGATCGTATAATCGTCCGTGGGTATCCAAAACTTCGTATCCTCCGTGATAATACAGGAACAGGTAGCACAGATAGCAAAGATACTTGCTGGTGCCGATAATGCGCGGCTTCACGACCACCATCTCCTCTCTTTCTTTTGCCCGCCCCTCCCACCCAGTCCCCGCCAAAGCCTCTTCCACGACCAACTGCACCTCTGCATGCACATGACATTTCCCAGCCCAAGGTTCGTACGTAATATCTGTCGGCACACTCGCATACGGGTTGACAAACTCCAGCTGAATCGAACCAAATGCCTCAAAATACGACCCTCCCGCCACTCTCACCAAATCTCTCGCAATCCTCCAATACGTCCCAACTTTCTCCACCTGCCTCAAAGTCTTCGTTGCAGCCGCAACCTGCGCCGTCTTTCCAGCCTTTCCACACTCCAGCTTCTCCGCAAAAGCTCCCATATCTTTCCTCTGACAGAATTCCCACGAATGTTTAACCAGTTCCTTCAATTTCTCTTCAGTTTCAGCTTCACTTGTGCTTTCGAATAACTCGTAAATTTCCTGTAAACCTTGCAGACTCTCAGTCACAGACTTTCGTACTTTCCAATCCGCCTTTCTCGGAAATACGTGTTGTACACGATGTACCACGTTCGCAAAGTCCTGCCAGAGAGGTTTTTTGTGCGTTCGGTCGAGATATGTGGGCTTAACCCACTTGCGAGAACGTAAGCGGCCGAGAAGTTTTTGGCGATGATGGGTAATGATTAGATCGAAGATCGTCTCTATCGCGTCTTGATAAACTTCTTGTTCTGGAGCATTCGAGCTTTCTGGTGTTCTTCTGGCGGAGGCCATTCGACTCGAATCCTGCATCCCATCGATGATCTGTTGAAGCATATCCTTCACTTTGTCGTCCACGATATCCATGCCGGCGATTTTGACGACAAGTAAATTAGTGGTGTTCTTCGGATGGACATCATTCGAATCCGGTTTTGAGCTCGCTGATGTGCGAATATGTTGTTCGAGACAAACGGCTGCGACACTTTGAGCTCCTTCGCCTACAGCGGCGATATACGCCAGATCATCTGCGACTTGCTTCTCGATGTGAAGTGGTATCCGGGGTCCCGGAGGAACATGTTGATCGATTGTCTCTTCAACTTTCGCTATCAGAACGTCAATGGGAACTGCGTTCGTCTTTTTCTCGAGAGTGACCAGGTTCTCGCGAAATGCATCTTGTGAAATTGCGGACCAGATCGTGTTTGCGGGATGGGCCGTTTGGACGGGGCGTAAAGTGGGAATACTTGATGTGGACATTTCTTGAAGAGTTATACATGTCTGTCGCGATGGAGCAGATGCGGCATTCGAGCCTTTCGTTGTGGTGGTTCAGTTTCTACAATCCGAGAACAGAGGTGAAGTTGTGATGTTGCGGTATTCAAATTTGACTCATTCAAATCATCAAAATTTGACAAGATCGATTGACCGAACTGAATTACCCATGGCGAACAAGTGCAACCGAAAAAATAATTGTACAGAAGCCCACCCAGTATATAGAAGGAGCGTGGTGATCATAGTCTGATAAAGCCTTCGCCAGATCTCTCAAACAAAACTGAATCTACTACTGCCCTCCTTACTTCGAATGGGCAAGCCCAACAGACTTCCCCTCTTCTCCTTCTCCTTGGTGACTGGTCGTACAGTCCTGTCACTCGCCTCGCTCCTTCCGCTTTTGTCGTGTTTGCTGGAAGAAGAATGATGGTGTCGGCGATGTCTTCTTCGCGGCTCACTCAAATCCACGCACGAAATGCTGTCTTCCGGCAGCACAGTCTTGACATCTCCCATGCCATCAGACTCTTCTGCCTCGAAGTTCTCCCAGCTCTGAAGGACTGAATCGCGCTCCTGTATGTAAGGCTTTGCGGGGACAGGAGGAGGCGAGCGGCGCGATCTGCGACTAGACGGAACTGGCTCGAGTACGTCCTGGTTTCGGTCTGCGGTTTGTCTGCTTGACGAAGCGACCGACGGCGGAAGTGAGATGGCAGCAGGATGATAGCATGAGCTACCAGCTCTGCTAATCTGAGAATACGCGTTGTTGCCAATCGGAGGTGGTGGCAGAGGGATTCCGTCCTGGCCAGATGTTCGTCGGAAGGGTTTGACAGTGCTGGCTGAGGATCTGCGACCAGCGTCGCTCCCGCGATCCTTGTGCGTGCGAGAGGAGTAGACATCAATGCCACTGTCATGACGCTTGAGCCGGTCTGTCTCGTCGGCGCTCGTACGACGGTGCGATCGATGCGATTTATGAGACCGATGTGACGCAGAGGACCTGTGATCATCCTCATCGTGGCGACTATTGTGCTTCGAAATTGTGCTCTTAGTGGCTTCCAGATAGTAATTAGGTCGATCGATATCGACATCCACAGGTAATGTGCTGGATCGCTTCATCGCGCTGCCCACAGCTGATCTGGCAGGTACTTCATCTGGAGCATAGTCGACAGAATCGTATGTATGGCTCCTCGTAGGGTGCGGACGGAGATTAGTGTACCTAGACATGACTTCTTGCACCTCATCATCGCCGTTATACCCAGTCTCCTGTAGCATGCGCAACGCGCGAGTAGAGCGCGGTTGTGGTCGGCTGTATGCAGATTCTGTTGTACTATAGTTGTGGTGGAATCTTCTGCCTCCCGTCGCATCTTGCTCCGGGGCTTGCGACATTGTGCGATCAGCTGGCGGTAGAGTTTCTGCGCGAGGCGCCGGGGGGTTTGCTGGTACTTCGTGTACGGAATGTCTTGACTTGGTGTTAGACCGTGAGGTCATGTATGCCATGTGATCGGCTTCTTCCTTGGCATTCTTCGACTCTTCTCTATGAAGAGCAAACATCAGTGCTGCACCGGCGGCAGCTCCAAGCGCAGTTCCGATGATTGTTTTGGAAGGAAAAGATGAACCGGAAGTTGTCGGCGCAGTGTTGACTCGTGATATGCCCTGCGATGGCGCCGCGGACTTCGTTGACTCCGCTGTCGATTTGGCCAGGTCTATTGCTGTCTGCATTCGTGATTTTACAGTCGTCGCTTTCGAAGCCTGCGACCCGCGGGATATCGCTGACTTGGCCACAGACTGTGCATCATCTGCATTTCCGGCCTCATCCACACCTTCTCGCCATGTCAAGACACGGCTATGCTCTGAAGGTGCTGCCTCGCCACAGCCAGCTCCTTCGCCGTGCGGCTGGCGAAAGATGAACTCGACCGTATTGCCATCATGGTCTTCGACAGCGGCATTGAAGCAAGTGCAGTCTGCGTTGCGATAGTCGGGAGAACCACTCGGACGGCCCCCAGCTTCGAGCGATGCAGTGTAGCAGTCTCGAACAATGTTGCGATTCTCGGCCAAGAATGCAATATGATTCGGCGAGGGTCGCGTGCTGCATACCCATTAGTGGTGCAACCGGAAGAAGCAGTGGAATGCCTACCCGATCGGCGCCTGTGTAATGAAGAAATCGGCAGAATCTACCCCAAGACCTATTGAGTCGCCTTGGTGGCCAATAAAGCGATATCCAAGCGGTTGGAGAGCAGCTAGGTAAAAGGATGTTGCTGACGGAATATGCGACACTGTGAGGCCCAGATGCGATACAGGCATGTTGAATACAATAGCAGCGAATGTGCGCGAAGGGTATGTCGAATTTGCAAGGTTAATTATGGCAGTGGAGAAGTGGCAGCAGTAGCGCAACAGGTCGTGAAGTGAAGCATACACTGGAGTGTGCAACGCCGGTCGGAGAATTTGTCGGTGCTGCAGCCAACCGTTTCTCGAAACGACGAGTGACCCGCAAAAGGTACAAGAGGTAACGAAGATGACCGAGTTGGAAAATGGTAAGCAGACAGAAGATCTTCTGCGGAGGAAAATGTCACAAGAAAGCTGATGAAAAGCCGCTCCTAGAAGGCATCCCGCGAGGCAGGAGTGTATCGGGATCTTGTTCGGTGTGAGGCTCCATTGGTGGATCCCAAGTGGTCACTCGTCACATCGTCACGAGTTCGCCAACCTCATTGCAGCATGGCAGGCAAGGTGAGGTGAGCAGTAAGCAACAGGAGATAGCTGAGGCGTACCGTGGCAGCGCTCGCCGTCAAGGCCCGCGGGTTCCACTCTGCTTTCGTGAATCGCAGCTTGTGGTAGGCGTGTTGAGCGTGCATTTCCCCTAGTGCGGAGAGCCAATTCCGCCTACTGGCCACGGCCTGCATTCGAATTCGGTGACGGCCTGCATACACATGCTGCCACGTCCATGTATCTGCAGCTAGAGGGCGGCAGAGTTCTGAGTGGTCGGCACGACCCATTATGCATATAGGCGGCTCGAGCCTAGCACATCTAGCAAGGCCCCGAGCTTCAGTGGAGCTGTGATTGGAGGCGGTGGAAAGCGGTCCAAGGGTCTGCCTGCGGTACGCGGCATGCGCTGTTGAAGGCGCTCATGTGGTTGAATTCCTTGACGATGGCGCAGTCGCGGCTCGTGAAAGCTGTGGTAGTCGCTGGGACGATGATGAAGACCAAGAAGCAAAAGCGACCTGGAGGTGCGGTCCTGCCATCCCACTCTGGGCCTCGCCAAGCGATTCGGCACACCCTGGCCGCACCGCAACGTCGTGAAACAGACCGGCGTTGAGTGCCGATCAGAAACACCACATGCGGTGTAAGAAGCGCCGAACAGCTGTGTACCAAAGAGAACCCGTGCCAGATCAAGCACGTGCATCATATTGCGTATCGATTGCACGGTGCTCTCACTAATGCCCTCCAGCTGGCGTCAAAGATCGGGTCAGCATGTCGTGATACTGGAGGTTGACCTGGTAGCACTGAGACCGTGCTGTTGTATATAGAAACGTCAGAAACCAACGATCGTGAGGTGTTACGTGGTCGATGTGGCTGCCGAGCCTTCAACCGATTTTAGTGTCTCTAAACTGCCATTTTCCATCGAGGTGTCAGACAGGTGGCTGCCATGCTAAAATCGACGTTAGATGTCATCAATATCCCTTTTTGCCTATGTTTGCCACCAGTGTGTGCTCTTGCACATCGCGGCACGTGTGCTGGGGCACCCCAGCAGCCATCACAGCCACTCACGTCGAGACGGCAAGTACAGCAACGGCAGCGTCGGTTGCTCAGAGTGGAATCGCAATAGTGAGGCAACCAATGCCTTTTCCGCCGACTTCAAAAGGCCGTTGCGCGTTTAACTTTCAGACGATGCCGTCTTCAGCCACGATCGCACACGAGTGTCTCGCTTGACAACATATGCAATGCAAGAAAGCCCAACTTGACAGCCGCGTGATGCGGCGTGAGCAATGCCATCGTTTGGATGTGTTGCTTCTCGCATGGATCGTAAATCTGATCAGCGCATCGTTCACTGCCGTCGATAGGAGTGTCGCGACCCGAGTTCGAGGTCTTGCAGCGACTGGGATCTGGGGTGTTGGAGCCACGTGTTTCGACCAGCTCGAATTAAAACCTCATCCTAGGTCAATGCATGGATGTAGATATTCGCGTGGGGCACCCGGACGGAGGCACAGGACGCTATACAAGCGCATGAGTTGAAGGGCACAAACCACGCGGGCATTTACGGCGTGTTGTTTGAAGTGGCGAATACAAGTTGCCGTGAGTCCTTGGATCTCTGTCGTCAACTGCGAGCTTGCGTAGCATTTGCGTAATCCAGCATTGGAAAGATGTCGACAGTGCTCTTGCTGCCTCATCCGGGCCCATCGATGCATGCGAGTATCTCTGCCACGTCGACGCCACAGCTCCTGATGAATGACTGCGTTTGTGATCTAGTCATGCCCTGCAGCTGGCCTTTCTGTAGCTGAACAAGCACCGGCTCCGGAATGCACTCTGCCAGATCAACTAGAAATTCTGTGATCTCTTTCTCGGCCTGAGCGGGAGAGGATTTGTCCCACACTGCGGCCAAGTGAGACGCAACATCCTTCCAGTATTGCTTCTCTGCTGACAGAATGGTGTTCAGCGCCCGACTTTTGATGGTCTGCCACAGCTGGGTGTCATCATTCTCCAAGCCCAAGCAAAAAGGATCCTGGCTCTTGTTCCGCTGCCTCGTATCATGTCCTTCTTCTGTGTCTTCGTCCATCGGAAGGTCTAGATTTTCCCCTGGTCCCCAAGCAAAGGCTTCGTCGATAGCGTCGGAGCCGCTTGCACCGAATATCAAGTACTGCTCGAGGCAGCCTTGGAGCATCCAGCCAGCCGCTAGCTCCATCCACTTTTTTGTTGGAGGACACTCGAACATGGTGTGGCAAGCTGCAGACACTCGCATGAATAGAGGGAGAAGATCGAGCAAACCCACACATTCACTGGTGCCGTAGAAGTTATCTTCGTACGCGTCATCCTCAGCCGGAATGCCCAGTGCTTCAAGTATGAGCGATCTGTTCTCTTCCATTTCCGTAGTCGATATGGGTAGTGCCTCGTCAAATGGCCTCACGTTATAAGCTGCTGTAGGCAAACGTGAAGCATCGCCAATCCATGCCCGAGCTCTCGCTTGATTGGCAGCGCGAAGAGCTGTCAAAGAGGATCTGACTGGTGTCGCTGAACATCGGCGGAAGCGCTGAGTCACCAGCACCACAAGCTGAAGAAGTTGCTGTCGGAAATGCAGTTCGGGATCCGGCCGGTATGTTGGGTAGCGCCCCTTGAAGAGTAGGAAGAACTGGTCGACTTGGGCGAGACAGGCCTGGAGTTCTAGTCTATCGTTTATGGGGGGTGACCTCCTGCTCTCGAAACAAGCATTGATAGCTTGGAAGCATAGAAAGTCAAGAATCATATGGTCGACCTCCAGAGCTGTTCCCAAATCCTCCATCTGTCTCGATTGGATCGCAGCATGGCTATGATCCGACGGCCTGACGCGATTCTTGTCCTCGACTCCATTCTCCTGCCGCTGCTCCTGCTGCTCTTCCTGCCCTAACATTTCCTTCTCATGAATACCATACTCGTCTGTGGACATGACAACGAGCGCAATATGAGCCACGCATATGTCCGCGAAATCCAACAGATCCCACGACCTCCTGCTCGAACTTCGAGCTCGTCCAGATTTGCATCAATGCACGCGTCAACAGGCGGCCCGGCTCCGTGGGCAGCTAATTTGCCTCAGCTGTGAGTGCAGGGAGGTCGCCGACGGAAGACGGGGAGAGGAGATGTATCGTGCGCGGTCATGTTCGGGAGTGTATTATCGTTGTTGTGTACTCGCAATGTCGAGTGCAAGCGCGAGCATGTCGGGCATCCAAGTCGGGTGTTGGATGTCGGCCGGCTCATCTTTCAGCCACGCCGAGCTTACATAATGCAACGATGTGTGAGCTGGAGAGGAGATGCCATATCCGCGTCTGACATGCCCTGCGAGGCAAGTCGCAGTCGTTTTCTTTGTGAAAGTCGGTAAATCAGCGGGATCTGCCGCTGGAGCAAAAGCACTCTATTGTGTATGTAGGTGTACATGTAGCTACTGTGTTGCCTCTCTCGGGTGTTGCTGTTGCAGGTAAATAAGTTTGGAAGTCACTGGAGGGTTCCTGCCGAATTTAGCAAATCAGCGGCACGGAATCGGGATGCCGGAATCTTGCCTCCCGCGCCGACATTTCAAGGCAAATTCGCAAGTCGCTCTAGACATCCACGACATGTTTGCAGGACAAGACCAGAGTCCGGCCCCACGTCAGAATGGACGGACGCGGCATCAGCCTCGCCGCAGACGACACGTCCATGAGCTGACACGTGAAGTTTTGCTTGGCCACAGTGACGCGGCAAGCGGATCTTGTTGCACTGCCTTGTTTTGACACGCTCCAGCCACAGTGGCACCAGCTCTCCACATTCAACACATATACAACGCCATTTTACTCTGCACATTGATCGCTTTCACAAACTTCGACAAAGGAGACGACAGCAATGGCTCAGCATCAAGGCTACCGCAGCGTCGCCTATTTCGTGAACTGGGCCATCTACGGAAGAAATCACCAACCGCAAGACATTCCCGCCGACAAGCTCACTCATGTGCTTTACTCGTTTGCCAACGTCAGGCCGGACTCGGGAGAAGTGTACTTGACAGACCCATGGGTGACACTCACGCGTTCGCCTCTTCATCTCTGCCTCATATCTAACAAGTAACAGTCGGACACTGACAAGCACTATCCCACCGATTCCTGGAACGACACGGGCAACAACGTCTACGGCTGCATCAAACAGCTCTACCTCCTGAAGAAGAGAAACCGCAACCTAAAGATCATCCTCAGTATCGGCGGCTGGACATACTCGAGCAACTTTCCACAGCCTGCATCCGCACAATCGGGACGTTGCACGTTTGCCCAAAGTGCTGTGCGCCTCGTCAAAGACCTTGGCTTGGACGGTCTGGATATCGATTGGGAGTACCCAAAGAGCGACGCCGAAGCGGATGACTTTGTCAAACTGTTGCAGGAATGTCGCAAGGAACTCGATAATTACTCTGCCACGTTACCAAACCGACCGCACTTTCTCCTGACGATCGCCTGCCCTGCTGGCGAGACCAATATCAGGTGGCTCAAGTTGCGCGAGATGGATCAGTGCTTGGACTTCTGGAACCTGATGGCATATGACTTTGCCGGCTCGTGGGATTCTTCAGCTGGGCACATGGCCAATATCTTTCCCTCAGCCCATACTCCGCAAAGTACACCATTCAGCACCGATCAGGCTGTACAACGATACGTGAACGGAGGAGTACCACGCAGTAAGCTCGTACTGGGCATGCCGCTCTACGGTCGTGCGTTCCAAAACACAGACGGCCCAGGAACTCCATTCAACGGGGTCGGTGAAGGAAGCTGGGAGAATGGAGTCTGGGATTACAAGGTAAGTACGCTCAACTGCGAGGGGTTCCATATCTCTTCTCTTCTTGCCCCTCCGATCGAACAACAACCTCTCCTGATGATAAGAGCAAAACACCAAGCCTACCATCTCATCGAGACGAATGACACAACCCCAAAGCCCTCCAGCCGCGGCGGTCGTGCATTCCACTTCTCATGAGGCACCAAATGGAGGCAATGGGCGGGACTATCAAAGTCCAAAAATTACTTGATCTAATCTGAACCTCCCCAATACCAACATCGAACCAACCCAAACCCCCAGGTCTTCTCACCTCAACCTAAACTAACTTTTCCACCCACCAATTCTAGTCCCTCCCTCGCCCAAACGCACAAGTCCACCACGACCCGCAAACAATCTCCTCCTGGTGCTACGATCCCGCAACCCGAACCATGGTCTCCTACGACACTCCGGCCGTGGCCGCGCAAAAAGTCGAATACATTAAGCAAACTGGCCTGGGAGGTGCAATGTGGTGGGAAACGAGCGGGGACCATCCAGCGACACAGGATAACAGTTTGATTAATGTTACAGTGCAAGGGCTGGGTGGGTATGAAGGAAAACATATGGAGCGGCAGGAGAATGTCTTGGAATATCCGGAGAGTAAGTATGATAATCTGAGAGGTGGGATGCCCGGAGAATAGCGGCAGGGTTGTTTTTGAGGCAGTGAGTAGGAGGTAGAATCAGAGGCAAAAGCGTGTGAAGGTGAATTCAGTCCGAATTGAATTGTCCGAGATGTTTCTTGAAAAAGGCACCATGTTCTCTCTATATGCTGCTCTCTTGCTTCAAATTATGCATATTACAGTCCGACATTACTCTCATGAGCCCATTTACAGCTAAATTCAGCCTGTACTGTGCCAATAGACAGTGCTTCTCGCCATGGCCAGCAACTGGCCATGCATGTTGTCCTCTTCACCTCTTCATACTCGGTGCATACCGTGCGCATCCGTAAGTTGACGATCAACAGACCGCTCTTTCCCTACGAGCCTTTACCACCATGTCCCGGCGCTCTATTATCCTCGCGTACCATTTCACCGCATTTTAGCGGGGTTGGGCGGTCGTGTCCTCATGCCTTTTGCATATTCAGACAGATCTTCCTCAGCCTCCTCGGAATGTCCTACACCCTCCGTTCCCGATAGATTCCACCACAGTCTTCTTACCCCTACTCCCTCCGATTCCACCAATCATTCTCAACAACTTGATCGTTTCTTCCACGCCATAGGTTTTACTGCTCATCAATTTGGTCGCCAGACCCTCATTCTTCTTCTCCTCGTCATGCGCAGGAACCCAATACCTCGCGTCCACCTCTTTGATAAGCTGAATCCCGCCTGGGGCACCATTACTGATGATGCCTCCTAACATCTTTGGATTGGACTCGACATTGAGAGAGTGGAAGAGGGCGGTGAGCGGAATGGCCCCAGGGAGGTGCGAAAGGTGGGAGTTGACATAAGGTCGAAGGAGGGATGGATCGACGCCGTGAGGGGTGTAGAGGACGGAGAGGACGGATTCGTGGTTTGGTTGTTGGGAGTCGTTGCCGGCACTGAAGCTCGTGCTGGGCCGTTGGGAAGATGTCGTTGACGTCGAGGGCGAAGTAGGACTCGTTGGAGAGCGAGGTATGGTGGCTTTCACGATTCCCACCGGGCTGCTGATGGAAGGCTTTTTGCGTATCGTTTTGAAAGGTGGAATGGAACTTCCGGGACGAGCTGTCATGGGAAGATCATTCAGCTTGATCGTGTCGCCGTCGACGGTCTTGAGCACAGTTCCGGGAGGGCAATAGGTGATCGCAATGGCATTGTGGAGACGCGTCAGATCTGTCTTGGACGAGAGATTGGTGATTGTGATCTCGCCGGGGGCGGAGGAAGTGGAATATGGCTCGATAGCAATGCGGGTGAAAGCAGCTTCACCTTTGGAAGAGCTGTAGGTGGGTATCTCTTCGATGATGTTGGGATCTTCAAAGTGCCTCCATTCCCGAATTTTGAAGGCGGCTTTGGGGGTTGCGAATATCCTCGTCTTACTGTTTTTGCTCAGGGTGCACAACGTCTCCCTGTGACAGTGATCCGGCTTATCCTGGCTGACAATTATCACATCCACCTCGTCTCTGAGCTCTTGAAGCGACCGGACCGCCGAGGGCGAGCTGTGATATATTGTTGCGAATTTGGGGTGGAAGATGGAGCTGGCGCCGTCCAACCACGGATCGATGAGGATGCTGAAGCTTCCGGGAAATTTGCCCGTGAAGTTCTTCGGCGCGAATGAGGGTTTGAAGGTGAGGAGGAAGCAGCTGTCGGCGTTGAGCTGCTGCACGGTCAACGACATGTCGTGTTGCGCGCCGGCTGACGCTATGTCGGCCACCAAAAGTTGTTGCGGTCGTTGTCCGGCGTGCTGGTCATCTTGCTGTGGTCAATTCTGCGAGCAAACGAGAGATGCGGGTAATCAGGAATGCGTGTTGTGTAGCGGGGGGGGACAGGTTAATCTCGAACTACGTCAATGGTGGAAGGTGTAACAAGGCTCAAACCTGAACGCTGTTGGGATGACAGGTGGGCATCGCTTGTCGCCGCGCAGACGGGCAGGGCTAGACGTGCTTTGTACAACGTGGAAGTGTGCATATAACCCCCACAGGGACGGCTAGACCGCAGCGCCATCGCCTACGATACCAGTGCTTGCGGCGTGGTGTTGTTGCTAAATGAACGCGAGGGCAAGTGGACGCGATGCACGCTGCGGCTGGCTTGACTCTGACGAGCGGGCGGCATGTCCCGCAAACCATGTGCTCTGCTCTGCGCCCTCGTTGTCGATGATGGAGCGAGATGGCCATGGCTTGGGGGGAGATGGTGGAAGGACGTGCTCTCGCGAACGATTCATCTGTTCTTTTTATTAATCAACCTACTCCCGACCTCACCTGCTGCTCTGCATCTTCCTCCCCATCGCACCTGCACGCCAAATTCTCCGCTCCTGCGACATCGGGGCTCGACAGGAATTGGGTTTTGGAGAGAGCGGAAGGACAGATGTCTGGAACAGTTCTGGATCGCATCATTTGGCCGTCGGCGTGCAGAGACTGCGGCGCTGTGCCGAAATCCCTGCGCATGCACCAAACATTCTGCCCGCCAGAGTGCCAGAGTGCGAGCGAGAGTGGAGGCGACGAAGCGACGCCTGCTCCACTCAGCGCGTCGTTATGCCGAGGGTGCGAGCGAGCGCAGGCAGGTGTTGGCGTGGCAGCGCTGCGACGATGACTCCGCCGTGCGTGGCCAGCGCCGACGACATCCTCTCGCCGGCGCCATTGTTCGCCAGTCCGCCAGTCCTCCCCCACCAGCCATTGACGAGTGAGAGCGGCCCTTTGTAGTCGGCCGTCTAACCTGCTCTTCTCGGCAAAACACGGGCCTCATTGCTTTGATCGTGCATTATCTGCGCCCCGCGCTCTTTCCAGGCGCCCTCAACCCCTCGTCGCGCACGAGCAGTTCCTCCGCTGTTGTTTGTGGCAAGCTCTTTCGCCGTGTCATACTCCACTAGACCACCACCGCACCACGCCCAGAGCTCGCGACCAGCAGCAGCAGCACCCTCCGCGAGGAACTGAGAGCTGCCCATCACCGACCAGGCCCAACGAAGCTCTCTCGATCCGCACAGCTCGACGAGGGACGCCGGCCCAGCTGAGACTGCATTCCTCATCTGGCGAGCTCTCAAGCTTTGCCCGCCCTCTGCACGCAAGCACCGGGACAAGCAAGGCAGCGAGTGCTGTGCTGTGCTGCGTGTGCTCGAGCTCGACTGCTGCTCCCACTGCCGCCCGCCGCCAAACGACCCACGCACGTTACGCCGTACCCATAGCTCGCCAGCAAGCTCCGAGCACCGCCCACCACGCAGCCCTCGGTCCAGTCATTGCGCCGCAACCAGGCCCCGTCACTGCGATCCAGCGGAACCCGTAGCTACACACAGCTTCGACAGCAACAGCTCGCAAACAGCTCTCAGCTCTGCTTGCTGTGCTTGCCGCCGCCGCTGCGACCAGCCAGAGCCAGGGTGCCCGCATTGCAATGCCTCCACGAACCCATCTCACCTCGCAGTTTGCCGTCTCAGGCACCGAGAATGAGGTCGTGTGTCCGCTGCGCAACCAGGACTCGTCCGCCTGTCGGAAGCGATGTCTCGGCGTAAGTCCTCCTCTCCACCACTGCCACCACCGCTCCGCGCCAGCGACCCCTCATTGCGCCCATGCGAAGCCTCCACGTACTGACAATGCGGCTCTGTACAGGAAAAGAAGTACCGCTCCATGCAAGAGCACATCCGCCGTGCCCACCCCGAATACTACATCCCCAAGCTGCCGGCGACGAAGGAGAGTTTCGAGTTGATGATCACCTCGCCGCCGCATGAGCGCCCCGCCATCGACCCCAATCACGCCAACCACCACCACAGCCACAGTCACTCCTCCCACAGCAACAACAATCATATCCCGCAGCACTCTGATCCGTCAGGTCTGTCACCCGCCTTCCACTTTGACACGCGGCTAGGCTCAGGCTCATCCTTGGAAGGCTACCATACCCTCGGCCAGCATGATGGAGGCTACTACACGGCCGACGATCCACATGCCCTTGCCTTGTACAATGGTATGCAAGCCGAGCAGCGCTCCTCGGGCGAGTACCGTCGGGGCTCCCTGATACCCACCATCTCTGCTGCCAATGCCCTGGCGCAGTTGCACTATCACCGATCCGACTCGGAATCGGGCTGGGGAGAGAACAACATGCAGGTGAATTTCCCTGTCCTTGCTGACTCGCCTGTTACTGAAGCGGACTGTCTTCAGAATTACTTCCATGACCAGGGTCATGACTACAAGAATAATCAGCTGCATGTGGATCCTGCGCTGCAAGATTCTGCCTTCATGCATGATCAGGCGTACAATGTTGGTGCGGACCAAGACCAGCAAGGCCTTCTGCCAAGCAATCTCGCCCGCTCGCCACCAGATCGGACGACGACACTGCCGCCGCTGCAGCGTAGTCTGTCTCGGTCCGGTCAAATGGGCAGACCGCGAAAATCCAGCCTTACCAGCGCCCGCATCAGTAAGCATGAGCGAAAGAGGTCAAAGGAGCTGGGTAAGGAGAATCGCGATGATTCTAATGCATTCTTTGCTAATGCACTGGCTGCAGGCCAACTCCATCCTGGCCGACGCTGGGAAGACTTGATTGAGGCTGCAGCTTCAGCAACAGAAGAGGAGGGATCACGGGACCTCACTCCGGTACGTCGCTTCCCAATGCCCATGCCATATCCCGAAGCATTCTGCTGAAGCCGACGCCCCCTTGTGTCGTCCTGCACACATTGCTGATCTGCTCAAGCAGATTCCTGCATCGCCGTACCAGTCTCCTCAGGGCAACTCTCGCACATCACTGCCGCCCTTTGCACTCGGATCGCAGTTCCAATCGTTCCAAGCTTCACCATTGAATAGAGCATTGACGCCGCCGCCGGCGGATCACACCGGACTGGATCTCCAGACATTTCCTTCCGTGGACAGCAGCCTTAGTAGCAATCTCAGCCATGCACACCACAACAGCGCCGACTCCGGATCGCAGTTCCATATCATGAACCCGTCGTCTATCGATTCAACGTCCTCGCCTATGTTCAACGCGAATAAGACTGAGGGTGTGACTCATGCCAGCTACTGTGCTGGTTGCCGTCGACCGGCCAATATCAACGACATGTTCGGCTGCTCGGGTTGTATGGGTCCACTGTGCGGAGCCTGTACCGATGCACTCGTGAGTAGCCAGAGTCAGGGCCGTCCCGTCAAGTGCCCACGCTGCCACGCTTCGGACACCAGTTTTAAACCGTTCCAATTCGAGTTCGCGTAGCAGCCAGAGCTCCCCTTACCCACTGATTTAACATTCATGGGTGAGGCGCGAGCTGCGAGGAAACGATTGGATAGACGGATCTATCCCACCAAAGGGAAGCTGGGAAAACGTGTCAGCATCAGCGCGCTTCCCAAGCTGTCAACACACACTCCGGTGGCGCTGAAAGGACTTCCCACACCACTGACAAGGCCAGTCTCTTCAACTTTTGGCCATGGGCCCGGCGAGCCGTTCAATATCGCTGCACATCAAGAAAGACTTGATTCTACATTCAAACTTGACGATGAGCCGGCTCTAGACTGCGATCCTGGTGCAGACATGTTTCTGCCCGACGAACCGGTCTTTATGGAGCCGGCAGAACTTGAGAAATGCCTAGACGAGCACGAAGTGCTCAATTCTATAGAAGACGACGACCTGGATATTACTACGATGATCAAATCCGATGGGTATGAAGCTGGATAACACGCAACGGAAGCTGCGGGCCAAAGGACATTCTACGGCATCAATGACAGACATTTGCCACCCAAGCGCAATCTGGCACATTGATGCCCTCGACCAGAGACGTTCCGCGCTCACGAAATCCAGGCTTAGATGCAGGAACATGCAAGCGCAAAGTGCACTTCGCTTCTAGGAACTCACTATTAGATGAAAAGAAAAGCCGCGAGGCTGACAGTCGTTATTGACTCATGACGACACGACACGAATATGACATGACAAAAAGAAAACGAGCAAAAGAGACGATCTTTCAGGATCATCAGGCGGCAAAGATCTGCTTTTGAAATCGCATCGCAAGGCGCTGGTGGAGTTGATTTTGGCACTCCTACACGCATTCACAACCCGCCCTCCCTTGATTTGACTCCAATTCACCGCAAAATGAAAAAGTTCTCACTCGACGCTGGCGCTGGTTGGGGACCTTTGATACGCTTCTTGAAATTTGTAGATGGCTCGTGACCCTCCCTCCCCTTTTCCCCTGCTGTTGGTGATTTTCGCACGCCGCTTTTTTCTGTCACTGCCTATGGGGGAAGGAAATTATGTCCCGCAGAAGTGGACATTGGGGCTGATGTAGATAGATAGAGGAAGGGAGATGGGATCTTGGCCCCATGAGAAGAGGGCAAACGAAGGAAGATAGCATCGGAGACGGGGGCTATGCAGGGCAGTGAAGGAGAAGCGAGGCAGTGAGGAAGGTGGTAGAATCTGCATGGAATACGATATGACGAAAACGTGAAGACTTCCAACATTGAGCCTCTCTGATACTCAGCACGCGTCGTTTCGTGCTACTTTCATCCAAATAGGCGAAAATTGTGCACTGACAAGAAGTCGTTTGTGTATACGATCTTTGGCAAGGAATCTTTGCCAATGCTGCTGCCACTTTCTCGCTTCTGCATGCATCACATGCGAAAGACATATGCACGACATATTTTCGATGGCATCTGCATCGATCTATTGCATCCAGATGGTGGAGATTCCCACCAGCTGCGATTTCTGTGAATGTCTGGTGACGTGTCATTTGCTAAGGCTCGGGTATATAGTTAGGCGAGTGGAAGGATTCATGTTATGCGAAGCTTTTTGGGGTCCTTCGTCTCGTGCGAGTCGAGTAGCATGGATCTATGGAGGTAGCTCCGATAAGGAGTGATGGATTTAAGTGAGATGGTGCTGAAGGAGTTCGGGTGGTAAGGGAAAATGTCAGTGGAGGTGGTGGAGGAGCTGGAAAGTGGTTTGAGAAACTCGTGCCGCCATGGTAGAGTTACTCCCTCTATGGGATGCAATTTTACAAAAGTGATGTGTCTTGGTGTTCTGATTGTGAGACTGGTATTGGAATTCGTTCATGCCTGTTCTTTGCTACATTTCGACGGACACCATACACTCTTTCGTAATTGAGACTATATAATCCACGCGGCTAACTGTTACGATCCTCTAGTTGTTGACAGTACATTGCAAGAACTTTCCCTTCTCGGCCCCTTCATGTGTAATTCCACCACAAAAGTATACAATCGGGTTCCCATCCACAGCCTCTTCTCCCTTATCGTAGTAGACAACACGATGAAGACCGTACTGAACGTTGTTAGATATGCCACCATTATAAGGACCATCAAAGATTAACGGGAACTCCTGGCGATTGTAATCATCCGAAGGACAGTTGTCGTTAAACGTGATGTCACCGTCTATGTAATCGTGAGGGAAACGACCGTTTGGATTAATCTTTGGATTTTTTGCCGCGGCCGAGATTCTCCTTTTCGAGGATGGTGCCCCATTGTATGGCGGCGTAGATGTCTTTGTAGGAGAAGGTGTCACGGCCACAGGTCATTGTGGCACGGTGTGCGAGGTCTTGAACGTCGACTGGGGTCATACTTGGATCGTTGGGGAGTGGGTTGGATCCGCGAGCTAGGAGCGGGTTTGAGGGAGAAGTTGGGAGAGCCAGAGCTGAGGCACTGGTGGCCAAGATGGCGCTGATGGCGGCGGAGGAGAGATGCATCCTTGGATGACAGGTTTCGTGCTAGCAAGAAGTGTCGTGGATTTTTGTCGGTTTATTCGATGGTGTTGGATGGAGCTTTGCGTTGATCTGGGGAGCCTGCGTTGTACCTGTCAAGTGAGACTTATCTGCCATTCTTTTATGTTTCGCTGAGTGCCATACCTAACAGTGGCTGCATCGAGCGATGGACAGAGCTGGCAGTACTGTGCCGCGAGCGTACAGGAAACATGAGTCCCAACACCTCCGTGGTATTGATAGAGTCCAAGAAGAATGCAACGAGTCGGACTGTGCCTCTTCGTATGAGACAGACGCATGCAGGACACGTCTTCGCCACCAATCAGTCTATTACACGTTTGGAACGAACGTTTGCCAACACGGTATGGATAGGAACAGCATTGAACTGCGCTGATGTTTCCGTTGCAGACGCCGCTCACTTGCTTGATCGTGCTGTCGTGATGCCTCACGTTACATCCACCGCCGCCATTACTTTGCGGAACTCTGTGCCGGATAGGACCTTGAGGAATGGCTCTGCTTTGATCGTCGACATCAAGCAGTGCCGGATGCATGCCTATGTCCGATGAGTTGGATGTCTGCGTCGGGAGCGCCATTTGCTACACAGTCTGCGCAAGAGGGCCTTATCGTCAGCATTATGCCTGCAGTCTCCATCCAGAGCTCGATCCGATTACAGTCTCCGACCAAAGTTAATGCCAAGGCCTATTCGCAGTTGTTCTTATTGGCGTGGTTGTCCAGCTGCCGTAGTTGATGCGCTTCTTTGTTCGGTATGTAATACGAACAAACGACCGATTGCCGAGCAACCTGGGGAGTCCACAGCGGCTAAGCTCCCAAAGAAGCTTCTCATGGCCCATGGGCGGCTCATTAAGAATCCTGGCGTGGCGCCGCAAAGGATGTACTTGCCGTGAGAAGCTGCTGCGTAGAATCGAGGGACCTTAGCCGCGCGGTTGCATCGAGGTGAGGATCCTTCGAGGCGCAGTAGCTAAGCGCGGGCTAAAAGCGTAAAGAGCCAGGATGAAACAATAGGATAGATGTAATGTGCTGGCAAGCTGCGTCATAGCTCTTGCCAACTCACTGCAAATTGGTATTTGCGGGTCATCATGTAACAGAGTGTTGGTGTTGGATGCGTGACTCGAAGGCAGCCTGAAATCGAACATGAGTCAGTGTGCGTTGATGTACTTCAGAGCCATACCTCCTCACACCATAGAAGTCCGATCCAACGTAGTCACTGCACTCCGTCCAATACAGTACCGCAGCCCACATTATGCCTACTCAAGCCTGGTTTGAACCAAAGATCGCGCCTACAGCGCACGCGTTGGACATAGGTGATGGCTGCCACCCAGATGAAGCCAAAGCTCTCGGCGACTATCTGAATGGCAACACGAACCCCGAAGAAGCTGCCAAGCGATTCACAGCACCCGTACTCGCAGACGCAAATCCCCCAAAGCGACTCTATCGCATTTGGGCACTACTCAGCGAAGCTCTAGTAGAGCTCACCGAAGAAGAGCGTCACATGACATTCGACCTCATGTCTGCAATTCAGGCACTTCCGCCATCATCTGGGGTTGACTGGGCGGAACTGACGGGGTTCGGCGCCATGTGGTATGATTTGTACAAAAGCCACTTACACGGTCCGCATCGATGGGAGAGGCAATACGAAGTCTTATCCGAAGAGGAGAAACGCGAGTTTCGCCAGGATTACAATACCGTGGGTACAGCGGAGGCGGAAATGTTCGTTCGAGGCTTCCCAACAGTGGGGGAGTATTCAGGATTCAAGGTCCTCAACCTGCTTTGCTCACCGCTGCCCCGTGCTCTCAACATTTTCGTCAGTCACATGCACCCCTGGCTTCGTATCGCGGGGCCACAGTTGAAGGCGAAGGTCGACTGGTCGCAGACGGAAAAGCCTGCTGAGTGTTGGGAACGGCGGATTGATGGCAAGACGACAGCGTTTGACTGGGAAACCTGGAAGGAAGAGCTGTTGAAGCTTAGCAAAGACGGAAGCGGCCTTTCGGAGGAAGGTAGAAAAGTGGCTGCGGAGTGTTATGAGCTGATGTGATCGGTCATCTTACGAGTCCCCCAGTCATCAATCCAGCCTCGAATTGCAGTTTCTGTTGCCAAGCTGGCGCTTCATGGTCTGCTGTTGTAGATGGTGGACTCGCGATCGGCAGTAATGATCACCTGTGGCTTCTACAGCTGGCAACATCCCAATCCAGTTCATGGGTCGCAGTTCTTAGTAGCTTCAGGGCTTTCTTTTTGCTCCTCGTCCTGGATAGCATGGAGTGGTGCTCACAGAAGGGAACGAGGTGAAGTATGACAAGCCAGCTGCCGTTACTCACCACGCGCAGCAAATCCCGGACTGGCTAGAAAACGTCGGCATTGGGGGCGCGTCGAGACACTGGAAATGTCCGCCAGCGGCCTTGATGGAGTCTACTGACGTAGTATGTGCTCCTCTCGCTCGTTACTGGCCCCTCGTATCCTCACGCGAGGGAGACATCCGCGGATATGCGAGCGCCCACATATTCTGTTCAAGAAACTCCGAGGACGGAGTGTGTCTCTATGAGAATTTGTCCGGGTGAGGTGTCTCTTGCGGAGTTCAAGTTATACCGATTGCCGAGGGTAGCAAGTGTGCACCAAGATCTCGTCGCGTCACGTCATCAAATATGCGGTTGCTGGAGTGAGTGCTGTGACATGTGAAGAGTGGTCCGAGCTTTCTTCGGACAAAAGTGGAAGGTGGGATGGTGGGATGTGTCGGAAGAACGTCCGGTGGTATGTACTGCAGCGTACTCTGTAGAGGTGATTTGCATGGCGTTGACATGTCGCGACCTGCACAGCAGTGGTTGATTTGTGCGCTGATCGTGCAGATGGCCGGCTGGGTGGCTTGCTGCTCGGCTGTCTTGCTAGAAGTCGTGGAATGGTCGCTCTCGTGTTGAGCAGGTTCTCGTACTTTTGCCGTGCTGAGATGCAAGTTGTTGAGAAACGTCGCTCGGAAAGAAGGCTCTGCGTTCATTCGTGGTTCGATCCATTGACTTTCTGCGCTTGTAGAGGCTACTGCTGTATGGTTTGCATTGAGTTTCGAATATTGCGGGAAGCCACTTCGGCTAGTGCCTACTTCGACGGCGTGGTTGATACGTGATAGGTGTTTGGACCAGACGCTATGATGCATGGTCAGGATGTTGCAGATGTGGATGAGGTAGCTTCGCGCGAGTGTGTTATTTGGCACGCTGGATCAGGTCATGGTCCGCTTCGTTAAGGATGAGCGGGTATGCGACTGGCCATCTTTTCAAAAGCGTCCTTGTGTTCTCTCCACTCGTGAACGTCGAGTGGAATGCAGAAACCGACGCTTGTGCAAACGAGATTTGCCGCGAGCTCGATCACGCTAGTTAGTGCTGCTCGTATGCACCTGTTGAAAGGAAGATGCTGCTTATGAGGCAGCTGGTGCAGCACTGCGCGGCGACAATTCCCGCAGTGCATGAGGGTCGCTTGGCTAAGGTGTCGATGTGACGCCCAGGCTCCCTGTCGCTAGGTCAGATGGCGGTGGTAGACCTGGTCGCTGGTTTCGTCAACCTCCAGCATGTTCATACGCCGAACGGGCAAGCAGTCCGACGAGGCAGGATGTGCTCTCGCAACGTTGGTGCGTCATCCCGATGGGCGTCCAAGTGAAAACACAAATATGCCATAGGAGCCAGATAGGTCGACATTGACGTAGGCTGTGAGTGTACATACATGCATGATCGGCCTCACAGCGTAGGCAATGTGCGTGGTTGGGCCCGTCGGTGGGGAGCGGCAAAAACGGACAGCGTTAAGGTTTGGCAAACTCCAGCAGCGAGCTCCTCCTCCAAGCCGACAGCGCAGTGCTGGGCCTCTCACACACTCATGCACTGGTGCGAGGAGCTGGCAGGTGGGACCAATTCTGTCGCTGAAAAGCAGCAGGGTCCCGCAGCTTCGCATCAATTTCCGCTTGCACCGACACCCATCCTCGCCCACAGCCTTTGACCTGCGTGCACCGTCTGCTTGTCCGGCCGCAACTGTTTCCCTCGGGTTACCCATAAGCAGCAATCCCCAAAGCGCCAACCCGACCCAAAGCCAGACGCGACAACCTTTGCCGGCCGATAGTGCATAAGAGTCACCGACATTGCTCCCAGACATTCTCCTTCGCCGGCGTGTGCTGTGATAAGGCTTGAAGTCCCAAGCAGCGACACATCTCCCACACGCACCGTTTTCTCGCCGATCCTTCAGGACAACAGCATCATCACCATGGCTCCAGACATTGCACGATTGGGCTCCATCTCGCCCGAGGGCATGCTGGCCGAAAGGGAATTGCTGGACGCGTCTGCCAACACCGAGTACATTGGGCGCAGGCCGTCGACTTCCGGGCGAGACACGAAGAGAGTCCGTAAGTTGCACCCCATTTCGCAGCCTCGCGTGGTGTGGTGAAGTCGAAATTGCCACAGCATCCGCGCCCACAAAACAAAAAATCTTCCTGCAGCCATACCACCAGAGCGCACGTGTCGGCCCTGCACCTCCACGCACGCCCGTCGTTCTGGAAGAGCTTCTTTCAGCGTGGCCTGCAGGTGCTGTGTGGTTCGGCTTCGATAGGCCGTTCTGCACACCGCCTGATTGGGGAAAAGAATGCGGCGCGCGTGCTCCTCCCACTTCTACAAAACCTGCCCAACCCTCACCATCTCACCCGGCCATCATCACGCCTGCTGTTCATCCCACCGACACCTTCCGTTCGACGCTGGCAGCATCGGACAATCGCACCTCCCCACCACCATCACTATCCCCTCTATCGCACTCGACCTTTCAACAAGGACGCTGCCCCAGCATGGCTAACCAGATGCCCACCTTTACAGGAACGCAGACGCAGTCGCTGCCTCCTCCCGCCCTGCCACAGCTCGTCGCTGAGCAGGCGCATCCCATCCCCGCGTCCGACAAGGACACCAAGCGCCTGATCGTCGTCCTCTCCAACGCCAGTCTCGAGACGTACAAAGCCGCCCACGGAGGCCGCAATGGCATAAAAGATGATAAATACTCGCTGCTCAACAGCGACGAGCATATCGGCGTAATGCGCAAGATGAATCGCGACATCAGCGACGCGCGTCCCGACATCACGCACCAGGTATGTTGACGCATCTCGTCCTTACCACATTAATCCAACATTAATGGCTGGTATCAGTGCCTACTCACCTTGCTCGACTCGCCTGTCAACAAGGCTGGCAAGCTCCAGATATACATCCACACCGCCAAGGGTGTTCTCATCGAAGTGTCGCCGACCGTTCGCATTCCGCGTACCTTTAAGCGCTTTGCTGGTCTGATGGTCCAGCTTCTACACAAGCTGTCCATTCGCAGCACAACCTCGCAAGAGAAGCTGCTCAAGGTCATCAAAAACCCCATCACCGATCACCTACCGCCGAACTGCCGCAAAGTGACCCTTTCCTTCGATGCGCCCGTTGTGCGAGTACGCGACTACATCGGTGATCTTGGGCCGAGCGAGAGCATTTGCGTCTTCATCGGTGCCATGGCCAAGGGCGCCGACAATTTTGCCGACGAATACAAAGATGATTCGATCAGTATATCGAATTACTCGCTATCAGCAAGTGTGGCTTGCAGCAAATTCTGTCATGCTGCAGAGGATTGTTGGGACATTATCTAGAAGAGGAGTGTCGAGAGCGGTCTGCGCAGCACGAGCGAGGGAACACAGCAGCAAATAACATACAAAGGCAAGTACGAATATTGCCGCTTGACCACTAGCCATGATACCAACATCATGAGCGAGACAAGCGTGCTTGGAGCTTGTTGGAAGGTTTTGCTATTTGGTGGATCACAACATCACTGTGGGCAATGCTTTCTGGCACTCTACCCAGGGTTGGTATCGGCTCTTGGATCATGGCGGCGAAGCGTTGGAATGTTGGCAATGCTGCTGTTGCTACCTCTTGTGACTGACAACGAGATTTTTGGCATCTGATTGCGGGATCTGCGAAAGTTGCTTGATCGGCGAACGTGCTTTTCTTCTGGCGGAATGGAAAAGTTCTTCTGTGTGTCTATAAACGTGTAAAATACTGAATGAGAGCGTCGGATCTGCCCAGCTCAACGAATCTTTGCAATACAGCTCCTGTGGTATCAAATGGAGAGTGAGCTATGATACCACGTCTAACGCGAAGCAGTCGGATCAGCGGTAACTCGAAAGTGCCGTAAAATGAGGGGCAAGATGACTGCCCATCTGTACCTCTAATGCTGATGGAATTCACTAAAGGACAGCTGCAACTTTTCGGCCTCAAGCAGATACGAAGCGCCCTACAAATTACATGAGCAAGCCAGACCCGCCGCCTCCCCTCGAGCGAAGATTAGACTCGCTTCGACACCAACACCTCACCGGCCGCGCCGCAATGTCCGAATTGAAGAGTAAACAAGAAGAACGAATACAAGATGCTCCTCATCAAGCAGGAAAACCAGCAGATATCGCATCCGTCAACGAACGTTCCGCCTGTCTCTCTATGACTCCAGGTTTCCATCTCCGTCCTCCACCCGCTCCTCACGACCTTACCGAATTTCTTACGCCAGAAGCACAACTCTTTCAAACCATCCACATGGGCAAACCTACCATTGACCTTTCTCGCTACCGACTCAAAATCCACGGTCTCGTCAAGAATCCATATGTTCTTACTCTTTCCGAACTCAAATCTCTTCCGAGCACGAGTATAACTTCTTTCCATGAATGTTATGGCAGTCCACTTCAGCCTCCTGTGAAGAACCTCTGGCGTATTGGAAATGTAAAGTGGACGGGTGTGCGATTAAAAGACCTTCTCGCTCGAGCAGGCGTCCCTCCACCAGCAGAATCTGATCAGAACTACTACATCTGGACAGACGGCCTCGACTCCGGCTCCTTCGGTGGATACGAAGCAGATCGATATCAGAAAGACCTACCACTTTGGAAAGCTTGGAAAGATCAGGTTTTGGTTGCGTGGGAAATGAATGGTGAACCGCTGGGGTGGGAACGTGGTGGGCCGGTGAGATTGGTTGTTCCCGGGTGGTTTGGGACGAATTCGACGAAGTGGTTGTGCGGGATTGAGCTTCGGCAAGGGAGGAGTGGGGGTTTATTTACTACAAGATTCTATAATGAGAGAGGGACTGGGGAGGATGGGAAGGAGGTTGTGAAGCCGGTTTGGGAGGTTGGTGTTAATTCTTTGATTGTGAGACCGAGGGATGGAGAAATTGTTGATGGGCAGGGCAGAGAGGTGGAGATTTGGGGATGGGCGTGGAGTGCACCGGGAGTTGAGAGGGTGGAGGTTAGTGTTGATGGTGGGAAGAGCTGGAGTGATGCGGATGTGGTTGAGAGAGTTGAGCACGAATGGCAGAAGTTCTCAGCGAAGGTTGTGCTCGATGCTGGTTCATACTTTGTTGTAGCTAGGGCAATATCGAAGGATGGGGATGTGCAACCACTTGAGGGAAGGAGAAATCATGTTCATAGAATAAATATTCAGGTCACAGATCAAAGATGATCTACATCTGAATTACAGCGGAATACCCTCTCGTAAAATATCTCCTTCGATCAAGATTATGTTGCATTTTGTTCTTTTCCACGTATCATGGAGCACGACTGAGGTCTTCACATGTACTCTGCCAAGACGCTACGATTAGTCCTTTGTCTCCCGCGGAAGGACGCATCCTGCACCTGCCACGACACTCGGAGATTCGACCTTCCCACCCTTATTACATCAAGAGCCAGAAATGCACTCGAGAATGTCCCAATGCTCATGACAAGCGAACAAGACCGTTTAAGCGAATCGCGGTTCGAGAAGTCTCCAAGCTTGATCCGGAGGAGGCAATAACAGCAAGTCTTCTATCCGGATCTCGGAACTCACTCTCTTGCGCATCGTCGACGAACACCTTCCAAGTCATGCGCATGTCAGCCGGCGCTCTCGTCATCGCATTCCTCGGACTGGAGTTTTTGGACCAGTTGCTCGTGACCCAGTCAGTGTTTATACCGAAGCTCTGAGCACCTGCCATCCCAGCCAGCATCTCCCTTCTAACAGAACCCTCACAGATTGCTGTCCCATCACGTCCTCAACCATTCTACAGGCCGCTTGCGAAAGAACGTTTACGATCTCAACCGCCGTCTGAGACGACAATGGCAGATTGTACCAGGAACTTGCTCACTGGCCGAATGCGAGGCTTTTTGGTTCGCGATTGAAGAACGAAGCTGTACGGACAGAATCTGCGGCAGGCATTTTGAGCTCGTTGGATGATCCTGGTTCGCAGGTCTTTCCCTACTGATTTCCGCGAACCACGGGCAAACTCGACGTCTTCATCGAATTATCGCAACAACATGGCGAGCACATGGTCTCGGAGACATTTGACATCTCGCGAGACAGACCACGTCTATGCGAATTCGACTATCACAAGCGATATCCAAGAGCTGTAGGAGGTATCAGGAAGCCGGTCGTTATGTGTTTCGAGTTGATTGACGCGAAAGCAGAGTGAGCAACGCTGACATCATTTTCATCGGACGCGACTCCATCAGCGCGTTTGCTCAGCATCAATGTCGATTTTCCTCTGCCATTACTCAACGACTATCTGCATACCACACCGACAGCAATGGCGTTCTCCCAGCCAGGCACGAGCTGGCTGCTCAAAGAGCTGGCATACACCTCTATCGTGTTCATCGCCGCATCCAACCTCTCCACCTCACTCCTCTTCATCCCATCGCTCCTTCGACCTATCACCACGATCGCGCCGCACTATCAGCTCGAAGAATCGAAACCCAACAATGACGCCAACAAAACAGACTCGCTGCTTTTTTGACCGCAAACGCCTGTCGAATCTGGGCGATTGACCCCACAAATCTCGCAAAGAACCTTCGATTTCAGTCAACATCTTGGAAGCTCGGGCACATACAAAGCCGTAGCGCGACAATTCTCTGAACTGCAGACTCTGGGCACAAAACTGTACGTCCCGTTCGAGAGCATCGCGATGGTCTCCTTGGTAGCACTCTCCACCAAAACACGAAAATGGTCGTTTCCATGGAAGTGCTGGCTCGGTGCGGCCGGGGTCTTGGTAACGGTCGATCTGTTGAAGGCATTCTTCATGGCTCCTTTGGCGTTGAAGATCTTGCGCATCGCGGGTGACGCTGAGCCAATCGAGCCTTACGAAGATGCACCAATTGATCGTGAGGCGGAGAAGAGCAACACTGTCCAGTTTTTAAGGAAATGGAATGTGCTGAACTTGGCGAGTGGATTGGTGCTGCTGGGCACTTCAGAGTTAGTGCGGAACCCAAGGGCATGGAGCCAGTGGTGATGGAGGTGGAGAGCGCATGGAGAATGGATATCGAGCGTTGGATTATATAACGGATGAAAGATATCTGGCATCGTTACACAAAGCGTACTGGGAATACCACAAGATGTGTTGATTGCATGACCTTCATCACCCCGAAGTGCTGAGGAACAGAGCGATTTGCGGGAGGGCATAGGAATCTGAAAAGAGGTCTATTCCGCAATTCTGTACCAACGAATTGCATTTACGATTACGCGAAACGGCATTCCTGCGGGCTAGCTTGTGGCCGGCTGCTTGTATTGCTCGTACAGGCCTACCACGGAGGAGTTCCAGAGTCGCGATACTGCTGTATCAAGTTGGCGGCAACAAACGTCCTTTAAGTAGCTCTGCCAATGGCGCTCACGTTCTTTCCCGAAGTCAAGCCAACACAATGTTCCACTTCCTTCCAGCTTCTTCAACCTCGATCAAGTACTCAAACACTCAACGCCCGTCTCCTCCTCACAACACCTTGCCTTCCCCCCTTAGTCTTCCCAAGCGCCCAGCTATCTTTCTCAATCAATCCCTTCCAAACCGTGACCTCCCTCAGCGCAACCCAAGTCTCCAGATCACACTCCATCCACCAATTGTGCCCCAAGAAAGCCATCGCCATCTCCACCAGTTCTCCCAAAGACGCATCACGAATCGTGTGTCCGAACCCCATCGGAACCCTCGGCTGCCAGCGATGATAGATGACCTGCATCGGTCCCGGAACAATAATGTCTTTCCAATTGAGACAGATTTTAACATATTCTTCTTCCTCTTCTTGTTGTTGTCCGGAAACTTGCTGTAGTTGCTGTTCCTGTTGGCGGGCAAGAGCAAGATACTTGAACCTCATCTGTCGATGAAATTTCTTCGCAGCACCGAATTTGACACTGATCCCCAAGGAGGTCGGACCAAAAGGTTGGAAATCAAGGGGCTGGACCGCGTGCATGAATTTGGGGCTCTCGAGGAGACGGGACAGGGTGGCGAAGCGGTCGAGATCGGTTTCTGCGTTGGGAACAACGTCGATGAGGAGGTTCCGGCGGAGTATCGAGGAGGTACAAATGGTGTAGAGGAAGGCTCTGTTGACGCGTTGGATGCCGAAGAGGGTTGCTGCGGAGAGGTGGCGCAAGATCTGGGCGAGGAGCGGTGGGCAGTAGAGGACTGCTTCAGCTGCCGTGAGGTCCTCCTCATCTTCTCCTTCGTCCTCGTCTCCGTCGGCACTGGAGTGGCAGATGACTGTAAGGTCATCATCTTCCTCATCGGAGTCTTCAATCGCGCACTCGTTCTCGATCGCCTTCCTCTCTTCTTCTTCTTCTTCGGCGGCCAGAGTGGCGTCTGCAATCGTTTCCAACATACCATCGACGATGGTCATTTGCTGTCGCAGGAGATCAATTGTTTCATCGACTTTATCTCGCTGATCTCTTAGATGAGTGAGTCTCTACTCGTCATTAGCAACAGCCAGCACAGAGTGAAAAAGTGCGCAGGTACTCACAGCCTCGTGCTCTGCAGTCCACAAAGTGGGCACTCGGCCCCGTGTGACTGCACTCATCTGGGAACCAAAAGCGGGTCAGCTCATAAATGGTGAATGGTCGCAAGACGATCAAGGCTCACCTTTCACCGAACGATGTTGGTGAAGCAATTTCTGGCTCGCAGTTCTGCAGTCGCGAAGCAGTTGACTCCGTGAAGTGAAGGACAAACGCAGCCACTGCATCGAACCCTGCAGGCCGTTTGCAGGGACGGAGCCCAACTGAAGTCACTCATCAAACGGCATAATCGAGAGAAGAAGAGACACGAAAGGATCGTTGCGTACAGATGTTTTTGATTTCTGTCTATCAACAAACGTTGTCTGCTACAACATTGCTGTTCCTACCCAATACCACGTTGGAACAGCCCATGTGCGAGCAAACAATGAAGAGCGCAGTGACGAATGCACATATCATATAACTTTGAACGCCTTTCCCAGATGCCCTGCCGTGCCCTTCCCAACTCAATGTATAATGTGAATTACACCAGTTACTTATTTTTCAATCATTACGCGGCACTATTCCATCCTCTCAGGCCCAACGCGCCGGTTGGTGATGATCTGATGTGATGTGGAGCGCCCTTGGACTCCGAGTGACGGTGATGGTACATGGAACGACCCGACCGCGAAATCGCGAATCGAGTAGGGCAAGCAGATGTGTATATGTGACATGCAATCTGAGAGTCGTAGTGTTTCTATTCGGCCGTTGTCGTAAAGGCGGATTTGTAGATGCGCCTACATCTGCTGATAGGCGTGCTGCATCATCCTCGCCATGAGTCTGGATGCATCTGATGACGCAGTCGCCTCCGCACCTCCATTGACGGCTGTACCGGTCTCAGAAGCGGAGGTGTCGTTGTTGTTCCAGTCGTTTGGCTGTTGGAGGTTCATGACGTGGATCTTGGGAATGTCCATGAACTTCTTGACGATGATTGGACCGACAACCAGGACCAGGAACAATACGAACATCGAGAAGTAGAGAATCGCGTATCGGATCACACGTCTTCGTCGGAGCTTCGATTGCTTGAGCGAGTAGATCGGCGGGCGGATTTGGCGACTAGAAAATGGTTAGTAAATTGGTAGAGTAGGCATTGCCAACGTGTACATACCTAGGTCGTAGCCAGAACAGCATGACCGAGTGGAACTTGTCCACGTACGGGATCAAGAGCGGTGGCAACATGAAGAAAAGCAGGACGTGTCCCAAGCAGAAGTCCGCTGCGAAGAAACCCATCTCGGTGATCTTACACAGGAACTCACGGCCGGGCTGCGAGATGGTATGCCATCCAAGAGCGTACCACTTTCCGGTCCACCATGCTATGTTGGACGTATCGGCGCGGAATTCTCTCGTCAGTGCGAGGCAGATGATGAGCTTGAACACGAAGCGCTGAATGGCAACGACTGCGATCATGCCGATGAGAGCCTTGGCGAAACTCCAGCTCTCGAGGAAGAACATGACTTCCCAGAATGCCAACAGCATAATGACGGCAATGGCGTGAGCGATTGCTGCCAGGACTGCTCCGAACTTCTTGCAGCACATGCTGAGCACCGGGCCCATACAGCATGCCATGCCGAAGAATCCGATGGCAACACCAGCATTGACACCGATGGGGCCGAAGGCGCAGATACCAACACGGATGAGCGAGCTTGTTGGCGTCAGATCCTGTCCATCCTGGTTGTTCTCATCGATGACTCCGACACCGGCGTTGATGAACAGATATGGGATGAGTGTGACGGCAACGAAAACAAGCGGACCGATGATCTCACTAAAGAACACATTGGTGAACTTGGAACGAGGCGTGTCGCCAGAAAGTTTTGCTGAAGGCTCGCCGAGGGCCTTTCGCTTGAAACCAGTGAGCCTGGTACGTGAAAGACGAACGAAGCCAATCCAGGAAGCAGAGTGCGCCTTTGTGTTGCCCCGGGAGAGCCAGCGGAGGAACTCGCGGTAGTCGATGAAGAAATCTGCCCAGGCGAACTGGTGTGGGTTGAAGAGGAAGGGGCAAATGCAGAGTGCCAAGATAGACACCCAGAACCAGAGCAGCCAGTAGCCCCAGACCGTCAGTGTACCGAAGAGCAGCATCAACAGAAGACGAGCGCCCAAGTAGATGGATGGTCCGGCGAATCGAGAGTAGAGTACACCAAATGGCATGCGGGCAGTTGCGAAACCACGTCCAGTACCAATGTAGCGGGCACCACCGAAGGACAGATCCTGCTGGAGCGAGTAGGCGTAGATCTGAGTCACAAACACCTCGAAGAGTGGTGACAGAGATGAGAAGTGCTTGGCCAGACGGGTCGCTGCGCGCCAGAATCCACGCTCGGTCAACTCCTGAATCGTGAGAGGCACGAAGGAGATGAAGAAAACGATGAAGATGGAGACAATGCAACGCTGTACCCAGTCCATAATAGGGACGATATTAGCGCAGCCAGTTGGGAAGAGCGGATCGGTGATGGGAACGTCGCGGTTGTATCGGCAGGAGATTGTCTCGTGGCGAAGGGCACCGAGGTTGAGCAGAACCCACATGAACAGCTGCACCGACAACATGACGAACAGGTTGTTGATGTGGAAGCCAGGGTGAGCGTAGTAGAACGACAGGAAGCGGTCCAGAGGCAGTTGAGTTCCGAGGTAGTAGTACTCGCGAGACAACATTTGCTCTCCCATACCAGTACCGATCTTGGTTGTGAAGTTGAGAATGGAGCCAAATCCAAGATCACGACCCTTGCCACACTGGTAGTATTCGCAGTGCTTGATACGTCCACCACGGAGGATTGCGTTCATACCAGCATAAATATCCTCGTTCAGGTGCAGACCCTTTTGAGCCTTGGAAACACCGCCACGAGTTGTCATGAAGATACCGTTGAGGAAATCGGGGTGACCATAGTGGAGCTTTCCACCGATTTGGGCCAGAGTACGAGCGAAGAGGGTACCAAAGGTCTGTTCTTTTCCGGCAGCAACGTCACCGAGAATACCGATGTTCTCAGAGAAGATGTACTCGCGGGCTCCGAGAATAGCAACAGGGTTGAACTTGGTAGGTGGAAGTCCAGGTGTGTATGGCGAGACATTATCAGTGGTCATTTCCTCGAATTCAGCGAGCACGGATCGAATCTTCAAGCACTCTTCCAAGTAGTTGTCCTGGTTGGCATCGATAAGCTGGATGTACTCTCCGCGGTAGAAGATGAGGCAGTGGTTCTGGTTGTCGGATTTTCCGTCACCAAGAATTGGGTTACCAGACAACATAATGCGGAATTTTGGTCGACGCATGCCATTGTCCATGAGCTCGGAGTGACCATCGATGAGGGCGGAGTAAAGCTTTGGATCCTCACCCTCTTCCGTCGCCGGCTCCTCGTCGAGATAAGCAATCTGAAGATCTGGGTATGCACGGAGCAGGAATTCTGCGTTTTCACGCTCCTCCTTCGAGAATTTGGCGTAACGCTGCATGGAGACGACAATCTTGAACTTGCGGCGCGCCATGCGCTCGAGTTCGCGCTCGAGCTTGTCGGAATTGCCACCGAACATCTGGACGACTTCCGGGTTCTCGACACGGTACAACAGCTTGATGGCTCGGCTGTAGTTCATGAAACCCGAGATGGTACGGTAGAGAGTTTGCGAACGCAGTGATGCCCAAATACGAGTGCGCAGGGTGTATTCTGGCGCGGCAGACTTGAAACCAATGCAGTAGAAGGGCAAGTCGTCGATCTTGCTCTTCTGGGTGTCCTTCTCGTTCTTCTCGTAGTCGCCGTTGAACTGCGAAGTCTCATCGGCGAGGATCTTCGTGTCCTTGACGAAACAATCCCACTCGTGAGGGTGCAGCTGCTTCAAGTACTCCAACATGGTAACACGCGAGTATGGCTCATCTTCGCGGATGATCTCACGCAGAGACAAGAGAATCTTCTCGCCGTAATGGGGAATCATGACCGTAAAGGTTGGCATGTTATCAACAGGCAGCGGCTCCGGAATTGGTGTCGAGAGGGACTGGGCGAAGAAAGAGATGCGTCGCTCCGCCTCGGATTGGGCTGGGAAGAACTCAGTCTTGAAGGAATGATCTTCCTGGGAAACGAAGAAGGTTGGTGCACGAAGCGTGCGCTTGCCCTCCTGCTCCGATGGCACTTGATGGTAGAGCAGTTTCTGTACGTGATCGATAGCAAGCAAATGCTCACGGTACATGGAAATGACAATGGCGTTCCAGATCTGCGAGATGAGGACCTTTGGCTTGTATTTGATTTCCATGTCGGTGGTGGCTAATACCTTGGAGTAAATTCGCTTCGGCAGACGAGAGAAGATATTTCTCCACGGTGTCCAGATAGACACACCAAGGTAGAAAGACCGTGCGACCGAAAAGACGCAGTTCCAGATGACATACCAGAGATATGTATCCAAGAAGAACAGAATCAGATCCGTGAAGTACATCAGGATCAGGAGGACAGTCGGCTGATGGTAACACAGGATGGTACCAATCAACTTGTCTCCGAGACAGTTCTCGATCTTCATCGTAGACAGGATACGGATAGGATCACGGAACGAGAGGGTCAAGAAGAAGTAGGATTCGGCAAGCTTCGCAGCAAAGACCAGAACCCACATGCCGTAAGACATCCACATGTCGTTTCCTGTCAGGCGCGGGTAGCTCGCCGTGAATGTCTGCGAAGACACATATTGTCGTCGCTTGCCGTTCAGGTAGCTGCCGAAAAGTCCTCCAAGCGGCATGATGGCGAAGAAGAAGACCGTGGCCAGAGCAATTAGGAACTGAACGACACCCAGGATGAGTGCGATCTTACCCTTCTGCGAGACGATGAAAATGTAGACCGAGGGAGCGACGTTGAGCGCGAACATGCCGAGGAGGAAGAACAAACGCTTCGTCAAGTGTTGTGCGCCAGCCCATCGGCGTGGCACGTACATCCATTCAACCAGAGTGGCGAAGATTTGGATCAGGCAAGCGAGAGTGCCTCCCAAAGCGACGGCGGACCACTGAGCAGCAGCGTTTGGCTTGTTGTTGAGCTGTTGCTGGTAGTTTGCGGTGTACAAAGTTGGCGAGTTGAAGGCAGTGTAGAACCAGAAGATACAGACGTGGATGACCCAAATACGATTGAAGTTCGTCAACATGTGGAACCACGACCGAGTCTCTTTGTATGTCTTGAAGAAGGCCTTCTTCCAAATCACGTCTCCAAGGCGTTCGTATCTCTCAGCGGGTGGCAGGTCGACCAGTCGGGTCTTATCCTCAAAGACGATGCGCTCGATTCCTTCGGGGTACCAGAAAAGCTGGTTCATGTCATCGTATCCGATGACCTTCTGGTGATCACGCTCTTTGCGGACATACTTGCCGTCGAAGATTTCGTAGCCTTGGTCTCTGCAGTAGTTGTACAGAGGTGTAATGCATCTGTTGAGGTAGGTGAACTCCTCGACTGGCTCGACGCGGTTTTGGCATGCTGGAGAGTGGTAGAAGTCATCTGCGCACTTGAAAATGAATGCCATGATCTCAGGCATGTAGCGCACCTGGTTGGCTTCTCCCCAACACAGCAGGTACAAGGCAATCTGTCGAGTTCGGTCGTGCTGGGACATGCGGTTCATGCGGGTCTTCCAGCGGTATTCAGCAGCTTCCAAGCTGTTATCTCCCTCGAGACTCTCGAGAGTCGCTTCTTCATTCTCAGGACTCGTCTCTTGCTTCTTCTTCTTGGCCGCCTTTCGCGCCTTTCTCGTCGCTCTGTTGGCTTTTCCGAGCTTCATGTTGGCGAATCCGACAGCATCGTCGAGATCGAGATGTGCGGCAAAGTACCATCTTCTGAAATTGGCATTCTCGCCACCAATGTAGTCTGCGTGAAGGGAAAGGAGCGCTTGATTAGGCGACATACGAGAAGCGCGGGAGTCGAGAAGAGTCATGAAATGATCGAACATGTTGCGCATACTGTCGCGTTGGAAACCAAATTTGGCTGTCAGATCCAGGAAAATGTCTTCAATCTCCTCCTTGGAGAGCGGAATCTGAGCATCTGACGTCCAGGCTGGGTATGGCTCTCTAGACCGTTGGCCAGCTGGCAAGGCACTGGTGTAGTCCATGCCGTAAACCGGGGTGGAGGCGCCAGAGGATCGGTTGCCACCATAGGAGACCTGCGATGATGGCGGTCGGTATCCTCGGCCGGTTCCATCGCCGTACGAGTTGATTCTCTCATCGCCGCGTCCGTAGTAGTCCATCTCTGCGGCGCGAGCCATGTCTGACCTCATGGTGAAGTCGCTGAAAGTCTCGGAATCCTCCTCGGAGTCGTGACCGCGTCGGCCGCTCCTACGCTGACCGCCGTATCCACGACCTTGTTGCTGGTACTGGCCTGCAGCGGGAGCTCCTTGGTCGTAGTACTGATCGTTGTAGTACTCATCTTGATAGCCTTGCTGACCTGGGGCATCGTAATAGCCGTCCTGGCCGTAGCCGTCGTGGCCGCCCTGGTAGTAGCCATTGTCATCATAGTATCCATCGTGTCCCTGACCATAGCCACCCTGCTGGTCGTAGTATGCCTGGTCATCGTGGTAGTAACCATCTTGCGCCCCATGAGCATCATGTGGGTGTTGGGCACCGTAGCCATCATCGTAGCCGCCCTGCTGTTGAGGGTGCGCCATGATGGGCGGAGAATGCGGAATTAGATATTACTGGCCAGCAGCGTCAGTACGGAAGGGCGTTGGAGGTGCGAGATGGCAGAGGAGGAGGGCGGCGGAGCGCAATCAACGTTTGTGCTTGCCACGCCAGGGGTGGTGAGACCTGAAACAGCGCTGCGCGGGCCGGGCGTGTTTATAGAGGGTGGCGAGACGTACCGTTCAAACGTGCAGCATGGGAGATGCAGTGCGAGAGAGCCGGACAGCGGAGTCGGTGCTGCTGTCCCCGCGCGGACGGTGGAGGCCTGATGGTCGAGCGAGCGGGTGTGGTGTTGTTGGCGCTGCTGCTGGTGCAGAGCAAGCGAACGTTGGCGGGTTCCAGGCGACAGGACCCCGGGCAGGGCAGGAGCAGTGAGAGCAGGGCCCGCCGATGCTAAAACAAACTGATGGTAACAAACACAGCCAGGCGCTGCGGCGGTCGGTGTTGTGAGAGAGTGCGGAGGGAAGGTGGTGCTGTTGCTGTGTGAACGAACGCGCGTTGGAGGCTGCCAATGCGTCTCCTCGATTGGCTGCGCTGATTGGCGGCGGGCGGGCGTGCAACCCACAGCTTCCGATCCTCCCGTGCGAAAAACTTGCGTGCGTGCAAGTCGAGTCTGCAGTGTGCTGCAGGTCAACGATGCGATGAAGTTGGTAGTGAACGAGTGTCGGGCCAAACGCGCCTGCTCGCAGATGCGGTCGTCAGGTGGTGCTGGACTCGCAATACGAGGCGGAGTGGAGGAAAGAGGCACAAGTTCGAGGCAGATCGTGGAAGTTACAGGCAAGACCTGACAGGGAGCTGAAAAGGGGAACCCTTCGTTCGCTCGCTTGGAAAACACGTCCTCTCACACACGAATGTCTTCGCCCGGGGATCGACCACGAATCGGCTCCGTCCTGCCCGCCACTTCTGCCACCTCATTGCACCGCAACTCTACGGAGTCAGCGCCTGTAGCGCGGCCCACGTTGGCCGCTAAGACACTACTGCCCGGCGGCGCCTTCAACGAGACGTGGTCGTTGAGAGACTTGATTTCAATTCCATTCTCTTCCGCCCATAATTGTCACAGGCTCAAAGCAGGAATTGGGACTGTGTAGCAGCTCCCATCGACGATGAAACACTGAAATCTTTGCTTCAGATGGCTAAGCGTGTCTGCAGCAACGGCATAAACTACTGCATGTCGTGCTTATCCGGTGTGGCAAACAGACCTTGCACAAGCATTGCTGATGCTATTTTCAATGCCCGTCTTCCGGCTCAATCTTTTCCGTGCGCCCAGCGCTGACTGATACTGGATTCATGGTCTCGCTGCGACGCCTTGCCTTCCATTCGACCTTCGCCTTATCCGGACCAAGCCTTCCATCGCCGCGATGCTCTCGTATCTCATGCGCCATTTGCCTCACAGCGCGACGTCAGCCACTCTTGAGCTGCCTCGCTGCAAGAGCTGAAAGCCGGTATCAGTGCCTTGTCGTCTTGTAGCGCACCTATCAGAGAAAGCTGGTCGGCTAGCTTTATGCGCGTGTCAACCACTTATATGCGGCCGCAAACTCTGAAACACTTAGCTGCAGTTTTGTACCCGATCTGTACCAGGAAGCTTGTGGGACGCACAGCGGAGTGAAGGAGTGGTCTAATGACCGTGGAAATGACGAAGGCAGTTCACACTGTTAACAGCAGCTCCACCAGCTTTTTTCTGCGCTCAACGACAGCCCGGTATGAGGCAATTCGACTTTCTGCCCTGGGCGTGCCTGGACGATACCTGACACTGTTCGTAAGGCCCCAGCCGTACCTGCAGTAGTCCTCCAATCATGTGCTGGCTATTTTGTGCTATTGAACACAATACGACTGCTCCTGTTCAGCTTTCGACGGTAGACATGGCAGACGGCAGAAGAGTTGGAAATCACGCAGGACGTTGCGACTACAGTTGTCGATTGGAAGTTTCCATCTTGTGCTAGATTTCGATTTGACCTCGTCTGACACCTCATGTGCTTCATTACCGCCCCCGGCCCTATTCTCACTTGCGACGTATTCAAGCAAAGAGTATTTGCCACAGCACGACTGGTCAGGCCAGGACTATGAAATCAATTTACGGAGACTGACACTGCCACACTCTTGACGACGCGCTCGTACGACCCCATTCAGATGACGTTCAACCTACAGCCTATCCGTCAAAGCGTTGGGCCGGCCAAGCGTGCTCGTTTCGTGCCCGTGTAATTTTAGCACGGACTCGTCATCAATCTTAAGTGGTCGACCACACACGTGACGCGCTTCCAGAAGGACTGCCGAAGTGGAGGACTCTGATGTCTGTCCATTTACCCAAAATTCTGCAGTAGGCAGGAAGACGTGTGGTGAAGAATCATCACTGCCATCAGTTTCAGCCTTGTCTTCCATCCTGCGTAGACACGAGTGCCTTGTCCGCTGGCGCGCAAGCTGCGACACAGCGCCAAACGGGAGCTCATCGTCGTGGCCGATTCGACCAACGGGCTCCATGTCACGACGAAACAGGCCTAGCGCATGGCGAAGACGCGCAAGCCAGACGGTTCCTCTCGGCTCGTGGCTTGTGTCTCCTGAACGATATGTTTGTATCCACAACTTCCTTACCATCGCGACTGCCAAACGTGCTTGTCGTGCTTGTCTGTCGTTCTTGCTCCCTTGGCATTCATTCACCTACCCTTCTCACACTCTTTTGTTGACCTTCAACTGGTCGGCGGCGACCAAATCGACCTTCCCCGGCGGACGGCATTCCACTCCGCAACCACACACGCGCGCCTTCCATCCCTGCGGACACGCACAGTCGCCACAAACCCGGCCAGCGTCACCAAGACACTACTGACAGCGACTGTCGATCATCTCACGGATCATCATACCGCGAGTCGTAATACAACATATTCCATTCACAATGCGAACTTTCGCATTGGCATCCGCTGCGGCGGCCATAGTCGGCAGCGCAGCTGCAGCCGACCTTCCTTCGATCGTGATCAAGGGATCAAAGTTCTTCTACGAGAACAATGGCACGCAATTGTAAGAGCAGACTCGAATGCCGGGATGGGAACACCACAAATTGACTCTCATGCAGCTTCATGCGCGGTGTGGCTTACCAGCAGGACTATTCGGGCGGTGGTAGCACCGGCGACACCTCCGACACCCAGACATACAAAGATCCTCTCGCCGACGCAGACGCTTGCAAGCGTGACATTCCATACCTGCAAGAGTTGTACACCAACACCATCCGTGTCTACGCCATCAACCCCGACTCGAACCACGATGAGTGCATGAGCATGCTCGCCGATGCGGGCATTTACGTTGTCGCCGATTTGTCTGCGCCAGTCGATGGCTCCTCGATCAACCGCAACAGCCCAGCATGGAACGATGCTCTCTACGAGCGATACACATCCGTCGTCGACGCCATGGCGGGCTACAGCAATGTCCTCGGCTTCTTCGCCGGTAACGAGGTTTCCAACCAGCCCAACAACACCGACGCAAGCGCGTTCGTCAAGGCTGCGGTCCGTGACACCAAGGCATACATCAAGTCGCAGAACTACCGCTCAATCGGTGTGGGTTACGCGACCAACGACGATGCAGACATTCGCGAGGACATGGAGAAGTACTTCAACTGCGGCGACCAGGAGGCCGCGATTGATTTCTGGGGTTACAACATCTATTCTTGGTGTGGTGAGTCTTCTTACTCCAAGTCTGGCTACGATGTTCGCACCAAGGAGTTCTCGTCCTACTCGGTGCCCGTCTTCTTCGCCGAATATGGTTGCAATGAAGTTCAGCCACGTCCATTCACCGAGGTTGGCGCATTGTACGGCGAGAAGATGACTCCAGTCTGGTCTGGTGGTATTGTATACATGTACTTCCAAGAGGCCAATGACTACGGACTCGTCACCGTCGATGGCGATAGTGTGAAGACAAACGAGGACTTCGACAACCTGAAGAGCGAACTCGCCAAGATTGACCCATCTGGCGTGAACTCCGCCTCGTACTCGCCAACCAACTCCCCAGCAGCTTGCCCAACCGAGAGCAGTGAGTGGAATGCGAAGTCTTCTCCTCTTCCACCATCTCCAAACAAGGAGCTCTGCACTTGCATGTACAACTCCTTGGGTTGTGTTGTCACCAGCCAGACTGACGTTGACGACTACGGTGACCTTTTCGGCACAGTCTGCGGCTACGGTGATGACGTCTGCGCCGGCATTACTGCCAATGCTTCTACTGGTTCTTACGGCGCATACAGCATGTGCAACTCGACTGAGCAACTCGCTTTCGCCTTCAACCAGTACTACCTTTCTCAGAACAGTGCAGCGGACGCGTGTGACTTCAACGGCGCTGCTGTCACCAAATCTGCCACAAAAGCTTCTGGCTCTTGCCAGACCCTCATCTCTGAGGCTGGAACTGCCGGTACTGGCACCGTCACCTCGAGCCCTACCGCCAACTCCAACCAACAGGCTCAACAGTCCGGAAAGGGATCATCCTCATCCAGCGGTGCAGCTTCGCCTCTTGGTGTGCCAACTGCTGGCGCCAGCTTGCTCCCTGTGTTTGGTATCATGATCTTGGGCATGATCTCCGGCGCTGGAATGATCTTGTTGTAAACGAGTCCAAAATTTACGTATTTGGGTATACGGCACAAACAGGATCGATCCCACAGAGAAGCGGCTATTTTGTCGCGGGGAGGATTCTGCATTCTTCTGTTGTGATGGACGATGAGTTTTTGGTTTAAGGGCACGGCGCTCTCTTTTGCTTGGGTGATTGACTCCCTTTGGGTAAGGGTGGGTTCTCGACTGTATAGTAATCACCAATGACAAAAACACTTTAAAACATTCGACGTCTTGATCTGACTCTCGTTGCACCTTTGGTTTGATCCTTGGCGCCTGTCTGTACGCATATGAGCCTCTTTGGATGCCTTGTGACTATGTCCTGGTGAGGCAATACTGTGGCACTTCTTGGGTATGTTCACGGCCATTGTCCGTCGTGTGATTGCTCTGCTTTTGGGCGGCGACACTTCTTGCTCGCCCACGCGACTGCATTGCGTCTGGTCCATTCACATGCCAATATTCCGATATCGATGCAGTATCGGAAAAGTGGTAATTCGACGCTTCATCAATAGCTCACTCTGTGGCTTGAATACATATCTCATATTCTTCAGGGTTTCTTGGAATACTACCGCGCGGCAACTCCGGCATACTGAAGATGTGCAGTCGCTCGAGCGTGTTGTCGTCGTCGTCCCGCATGTTTTTGCTCATGTAACCCTAAGGTCTTGGCAGCAGGGAGCAGCTTCCACAACATGGCTGGATTCCACTGCTTACCATCATCACTCCTTCCGCAGGCACGAGAGCAGCCCGCCAGCAGGGCGGCAGCGGCCAAAACTTCTACGTTTTCTCCAACCCCGTAGCAGGAGGCACGTGGAGGCCTTGCGGCATACACGATGCAAACGAGTTCTGCGTCTTGGAGCACCTTTGCCAAACGAGGAGCTGGCCCAACGTGAAAGGAAGAGTGATTTTGCACAGCGCATCCAAACAACGAAGCCCAATCGTCCATAACCTTGGGAAGGCCTCGTCAGTCACGCTCCACACCTGCAGGATGGGCTCAGCTTCGAATCCTCTCCCGCGACTGCACCCAGGGCTGAGGCCAGCTGCGAGAACCTTTCCGGCGCGCATGCATAGGGCAAAGACCAGTCGACCATGGGATGGCCAAATGCACTGGATCGCTGTGCCCAGATCAGCAGCGGAAGCTCAGCTACGAATACGCTTGCAGCTGTGTTCGGGGCTGAAAATCGCTGCGAAGGCGGCCACATGAAGGCAGTCGCAGAGACGTCTCCCTACGTCTCTCATACTCGGGCGAGGCTGATGCGCGTTCTAGAGATTTAGCGGAATAGTAAATTCGCACCCATGGCAGCATCTAAGGCGCTCTGCACAACGGCGCCCTCGTGGCACGATGAGTAAGCCAGTGAAAGATCGTGGCAGAGCCTCTCCACAGCGATATTCACAACGTTACATGGGTGTAACCCGTGCTGACGCCTTGGCTTGCCGTGAATGGAAGTGAGTTCTGTGGCTTGGAATCCTAAATTGCTCTCTCGCAGATATAAGCATGAGCAGATGTCGTTCCACTCGGTTAATGCAATCGTTGTTCTAATCGCGCAGACCACACGATCAGCAAAATGGAAGAAATGGAGCACTTCGAAGTAGTCGTCGTCGGCGCGGGTAAGCCTGCTCAACCATAGCGACGTCTTGAAATCAGAAAGCTAACGATCATTTCAGGCATGTCGGCTCTAGTAGCCGCCAAGGGTTATCTCGAATGTGCTCCTCAGACCAATCTCGTGATTCTGGATGACAAGAAGACGGTTGGAGGAGTCTGGTCGAAAGACAACATCTATCCCGGCCTCCAAACGAACAACTATCGTGGCACCCTGGAGTATCCTGACTATCCGTTCGGAGACGATCGCGGAGTGCCTCATTTCTCAAGCCTGCCCGGCGAAGCAGTGCAGCAATACTTCTCCGACTTCGCGACAGAGCATGATCTGCTTCGGCGAACTCGTCACGAGACAAAAGTGCTCGAGGCCGAGAAGATCGACGAGGGATTGAACAGTGGTTGGAAATTGCTGATCGAGACGCCGGGGGCCCGGTCGACAATTACCACGGACAAACTCATAGTTGGCACAGGTCTACACAACACACCACTGCCGGTTCAGGTCCAAGGCAAAGAGTCTTTCAACGCGCCCGTTCTGCATTCCGGACAACTTGGAAAAGAGGGCGTTGCAGTCGCAGCGGACGAGAAAGTCAAGCGCGTGACTGTCTACGGAGGCTCCAAGTATGCATTCGACAGCGTGTACAAGTTTGCCGCTGCTGGGAAGGATATCGATTGGCTGATCAGCAGCTCTGGTCATGGTCCGACATACATGGTTAACAATATTTGCAAGATGCCACTACTGGGACGAGTCTGGGCAGAACTGCTGGTCACCACTCGATTTATTTCTTGGTTCAGCCCGTGCAGTTTCGGAGGGCTCGATGGTAGCAGCTGGTGGCGATGGCTCTTACACAGTACCAAGCTGGGACAGAAAATTGTAACAGCATTCTGGGCGCAAGTCGGCCATGATAACCTTGAGCCGTCGGGCTACTTCAATGATCCTAAACTCGAGCCTCTGCTCCCCGATTGTGGCTGGTTTGACATCGCAACAAGCCTGGGTACACTCAACTATCCCAGCGATCTTCTCGACTTTATCCGCTCTGGCCAAGTAAAACTTCATCGCAAAGATATCTCCCACCTCTCAGATCACACCGTGCATCTCAATGACGGCACCTCTCTCCATTCAGACGCTTACATCTCCAGCTCCGGCTGGCAATGGCGCCCAACCATAACCTTCAAACCCGCCACCCTTCACGCCTCTCTCGGCATCGCAAGCGATGACTACACCTCCGACCAAGAACTCTTCTGGTCCAACCTCGACTCCCGCGCCGACCGCGAACTCTTCTCCCGCTTCCCTATCCTCCAAACAAGACCCTACCCACCCTCCTATTCTTCTTCCTCCACAACAAAACCAACCCAACCTCAACGTCTCCACCGCCTCATCGCCCCACCCATCCTCTCCGCCGCAGGCGACCGCACCCTAGCCTTCGCCGGCGCCGGAGCCAACATCTCCCACATCCTCAAATCCACCATAACTTCCATCTGGATCTACGCCTACTTCAACGACAAACTCTCCATCGACCCTCATCGAGACATGACAGAAGAACAAGTTTGCTACGAAGCAGCTCTGACGCAACGCTGGAGCATGCGGCGTTACACTTACGGTTTCGGTAAAAGGTTCGTAGATTTTGTATGGGATGCTGTGCCCTGGAATGATGTTCTATTGAAGGATTTGGGGTTGGAGGGAAGGAGGAAGAAGGGGAGTTGGTTTGGGGTGAGGTGGTGGAGGGAGATGTTTGAGCCGTATACTGTGGCGGATTATCGAGGCTTGGGGAGGGAGTGGTTGGAGAAGCAGAAGGGAAAAGTCGGATGATTCCGTTTGATTTTGTCTTCCTTAAAAGGAGCTTTATAGTACTTTTTTGATCGACCATATTCTAGAGTTTATCATCAGAATCGTCATTGGGTATCTTCACAATGCGCCAGCACTTTTCATGCGACTTCAACGCCCTCGCCATGCAATATCTTCACTTTCCAGGTCATTTCTTCCCCTTCTTCTTGCCCTTCCCGCTACTACCACCCACCACGGTCTTCAGCGCAGCATGTTTTGGATTCTGCTTTAAATGATCGAACAATTTTGATTTGGATTCGAACTCGGCACTGCAATTGATACATCTGTGTTCGGCCGGCGTTTGCGTTCCAGAGGTCTCGGCAGCAGCTGCAGCCTTCTTTGCTCGCTTCTTGGCTGCGGCACCGAGCTTCTTCTTCGGTTGCTGTTGAGCGGAGGATCCGTTGTCGCTGTCGGTGATGGTTGGTGTCAATGGAGTAGAGGTAGTCTCGTCTGTGAGTGTTGTAGCAGCGATTCGTGCTTCTATGGTCTCTCGGGAGGCGTAGTCTTCATCTTCGGAGTCTGAAGGCGTACCCGGCGCAGAAGTGCCTTTGAGCTGTTCAGGTCTTGTGTTCTCTTCCTCATCTTCGTCATCGGTATCGATTTCCTTTCGAGGGGGACTGTCTTCATCGGTTTCATCCTCCACCGGCTCTTCTCTTTTGTCCGCCGCCTCGTGATCGTCTACCTCTGCCGCCAGATCATCTAGCACTTCCTCTTCCTCTTCGTCAACATCTGGCGTGGCCGCACCACTACCATTGAGGTCGAGCTTGGCATCCTGCTTCCTCATTCTCTTCTGGAGCTCCTTGATAGCTTTTTGATGCTTTTTGCTCTTCTCATGAGCATCCATCTGCTTCTCACTTTTGAAGATCTTGTTGCAAGCCACGCACTCGAAGACTTCTTCCTCCTCAGTGTCACTTTCGAACGTGCCTTCCAGCTCCGCATGCTCATCTGGCTCTCTTGATTGTGCCCATTCAGGCACGGAGCCAGCCGTTTTGGCAGCATTGGCTTCCATGGCTCTCCGACGTTGTGACTCTGCCGCATCACGCAGAGCCTTGCTACGCTCCTCTTCGGTCCGTGTGTCTAGCACAACACGCGGGTCACGCTTCTTGACGAACTGAACAAGCGCACGAACAGCTTCATTGAACTCATCTCGGCCATCCTTTCGAGACTTTGCATTCTCCTGCTCCATTCTCCGGCGAATAAAGCGATCGGGCGCTTCCGATAATCTGTACTTGTCACACCAGGAGTAAGACTTGACAGTACTGAAGCCAGACCATGCTGCGTAGAACTTCTTTACGACATCAGGATAATCGTCGTCTTTGTGCCCGAAGGTGGGATACTCGGGATTGTCCACATCATCCATTTGGCCAGCAATGTCCTCTTCCTGAGCCAAACGTTCAAAGGTCTCGCGAAGGAAGCCGAAGAAGCCCGAAGGAGAATCTGTAAACTCGACATTCCGGTTGAATTTGCCTACGATGTTGTTGATGTCGTTCGCTGTGGTGATCTTCACGTTTTGATACGTGGGTACAGCACCTTCCTCTTGAGGGTCTTGGCCATGCAAAATAGCAGACTCGTGACTGTCATACCAGGCTCGTTCTTGCGGATCGGACAGCACTTCATACGCGGACTGCACTTCGGCAAAGAGCCTTGTAGCAGCCTCGACGTTTCCATAATTTCTGTCGGGATGAAGTTCAAGTGCTTTTCGACGATAGGCTTTTTTGATTTCATCCTCTGTGGCATTCCGCTCGACACTCAGCAGCGTGTAGTAGGATGTCTTGACCTGAGCGGCATCAGCAGCGCCGCTGCCATCGCCTGGTGACGAGGCGCTTTGGCCCATGATGGCGAAATCGGGCAATGTCTGGAGGCATTTACAGAGAGATGCGTCACCGCGAGGCGTTTGCACTAGTTAAGTTGGGTTACGTAAGGCGCGCATCCCGGTCTCGCTCGATGCGCCACGGCCGCCGAGATGAGTGCTCCTTTGGGCTACTGGATCCCAGAAACAACGCGGGCACCGGTGCAGAAGTAGCGCAGACAGCATGCAGAGGGTCGAGCACGTCGAAATGCGGTGCAGTGGTGGACAGCGTAAAGAATAATGGAAGGCAGTGGTTCATGCACAGCGGCGCGCAGTCTGGACAACCTCGTGGTCGACAGGGCAGAGAACAAGCCTTTTCTGCCCCAAAGTCTGTTGGAGCCTCGACTGGTTGGCGGCGCCGGTCTCGGCTCGCACGGCGCTGCAGTGTCTGCGTTTGGCGTCTGTTGAAGACGCAGCACATGCGCACACTCGTCTGTCGCCGCTGCTCATTCGCCTGTCGCACCGCGCATGGGAAGCCACGAGACCATTTCCACGCCGACCCGATCGCGCTCCATCGGTCTTCAGTCCGGGACAGCGGCGACGACTCGGAGGCACAGGCAAGTATACGTAGTCGACGTAGGTCTCGTCCTCCTTCACGCAGATTTTTCTGCCGTCCCTTGCGCGCTATATCATTGTCCCGTCCGCATTGCCTGTCACCCTCTCCACTACCTCCACATTGACTCCAGGCGACATCGACAAGCCACTCTCGGTAGGACGAATCGCAAACACGACATACCTCAGCAACCCCGCATGACCACCACGCGCCGCCCACGATGAAGTTCGGCCACGAGTACGAAACGGCACTGGCCAACGATGGCTTCCCGCAGGAGTGGGTAGCCAAGGCCATCGAGTACAAGAACCTGAAGAAGGCCATCAAGAAGGTCCATCGCGAGTTGGAGGCACTCGGCCTCGACCAGCAGACTTTGGTGGGCATCAACGAGCTGGTACTCCACGGCGCGACACCTGCGCCGCTGAAAGTCGAACCGAAAGATTACCTTGCTGGCACACGGCCGGCGCTTGCGAGCATACCAGAGGAGTTTTGTCCGCAGCTGCGAATCCTGGTCGATAGCAAAACTGGAACGCCGTTAGATGCCAAGTTGGCCCCCGAGACACGGAAGTCCCTGCAGAAGCTCGCGCAGCATGACCAGGTGGTCGGCCATCGTCAAGAGCGCATTGGCAGTCAGGCCCATCTACATGCCGTTCGCGAACAAGTGACAAGCCCAGATGAGGATGAGAGTTCTCGCGATCACTCGCCTGTGCGAGATGCCGACGCGAAGTGGGTGACCGTGCCGCTCGCTTCGGCCAAGGACTTCTTCGAAATGCTGGAGCCCAAACTCATGGAACTCGACTCCCTTCGTGGTGCAGAACAGCTCAACCTGGAAGAAGAGATCCTCGATCTCGGCGGTGCCGTAGAGAATGTGGTGCAACCAGTGCGAGAAGGCTACGAGGCGAAGCGTGGCATGTCATATCGCGATCTGTACTTTTGGCGCGAGATGTTCCGACTGTACCTCGAGACGCCAATTTTCTACTCCGAAACGGAGGCACGACGGGGAGCTTTGACATATAAAGAGGCGCGCTCGAATCTGGAAGATTACGACAAGAAGCTGCGGGAGACGGGGCTCATGGATAAGATGAAGACACCACAGGCAAGAATGGCCGCACAGCAATTTCTCGACCTGAACCTGCACATCCTGAGCATCATGCACTTTCAAGAGATGAACAGTCGCGCAATGACGAAGATTCTGAAGAAGTTCAACAAGCGGACACATATCGAGGGCAACCAGTTCGTCTCGAATCTCGCAGTCAAATATCCTGCGATCAGCACCAAGTCGGCGGCAGGTGGGTTCGCGGACAGCATCGCCCGCGACATGTATGCCGAGATCGGATCCAAGGTCCTCTCAGTCGTGCCCCAACTGGACGATTGGATCTGCCCCGTGTGCTATGGCATGGCATGGAGACCTGTCAATTTGGGTTGCTGTCGATCCGTCTTTTGCATCAGCTGCGTCATACAGCTCCAAGACAAGCACCTGAACAAATGTCCTATGTGTAATGCCGAGACTGTCAAACAAGCAAACGGCTCAAACATTGACTTCGACACCATGGATTTTCTGGAGAAATACTTCCCCATGGAGGTCAAGAAGAGACAGAAAGAAAACGAGAAGCAAATATTGGTCAGGACCTACGGCGAGGAGTTTGTCAAGCCGTCATGCTCTGTAATGTGATGAAGAGTCAAGATGTGGAGTTCACGGCAGGGATCTACAAAGTTTCAGCAAGACGCAAAGGATACAGCGTTATCATGGGGGGCATTTTGCATTTCAAATCTGGTTACATTGGGAAGGGTTTGCTTTGGAGTTCTATGGGTCGGGTATGGAGGGAGGCATCTTTTCCCTTTACGATACCCCGCGCGCGTGATTGAGCTGTCACGTCATGGCATGATGATTAATGCGAAGAACGATCGATGCACATATGTAGCAGTCAAGCAGTGTACATATTCAAAAGCAGACGACAGTCACTGTCCTCATCATCTGATCAATCTCTTTGAATCCAATACAAAACAAAGATCGAAAATGGGCTCTCATCCTGACGCAAATCTCCATCCAGTCGCAACCGGCCCCGCCAAAGCCATTGTCGATGCCCATCAAGCCGAACAACCTCTCAAGCTCTACTCTGGTTGGTTGTAAGTAGCATCCACTCTTTGAGCAAAGAACATCTCACTCACTATTGTCAAAACAGCTGCCCCTTCGTCCAACGCATCTGGACCCTCCTCGAAGAGAAAAAAATCCCCTATCAATACATCGAAGTCAACCCCTACAACAAACCCGCTTCCCTCCTCTCCTTGAACCCCAGAGGTCTCGTCCCCACTCTCCAATACAACAACCAACCCCTCTACGAAAGTACAATCGTAGCAGAATTTCTCGAAGATGCTTTTCCCGATCATGGACCAAATTTGAGACCCAAAGATCCTTATGAGACTGCGAGGATGAGAATCTGGATTAATTTCTTTACGGAGAAGGTTGTGACGAGTTTCCATAAATTTTTGCAGTGGCAGCCGATGAGTGATGGGGAGGGGTTGGAGAGGGTTAGAGGGGAGTTTTTGGGAACGTTGTATGAACTTGCTAAAGCTGGAGGAGAAGAAAAGGGTGGGCCGTTTTGGAGAGGCGAAGAGCCGTTGCTGATTGATTTTGTGGTTGCGCCTTGGATGGTGAGGTTGTGGGTTTTTGATGAGTTTAAGGGGGGGTTGGGGTTGCCGGTGGAAGGTGGGGAGGGGGATGATGAGGTTTGGAGGAGGTTGAGTGGGTGGATTAGGGCTTTGGAAGAGAGGGAGAGTGTGAGGGATACGATGTCGGAGAGGAAATATTATTTGCCGATTTATCAGAGGTATGCGGATGATGTGGCGCAGAGTGAGTTGGCGAAGGCGACGAGGCAGGGTGGGAGGGTGCCGTAGGTTGAGGACCAGAAGTGAAAGGTGAATTGATAGTTTGTGAGATTCGTGATGCACTTGTTTGATACTGTGGCTTCTTTTGCTCATCTCACGAACCATCGTCGGAGCCCTGTCGTCCCAGTGACTGCGTTCGTACCATCTCTCATGCTATCCTAAAACACCGCTCCACCGATAATGAACACCCGCTCCTCTTCCCTGCGAATCCACTGGACAACCCTGTTCGCCCCTTGCACAAGTGCCTTCCTCGAAGTCTGCGGGCCCGCCACACAATACAACTCAAAGAAGGGCGTTTCCCAGGCGAGCGCTGTCGAATCAGCCGATATGCTATGCTGGACCTTCAATCTTGCTGTGCGAGAATGGAGAGATTCCTGCAGCTGCGCATACAGCGAGACGAGTTTGCGTCGGCCCATGAGACCAGAGAAGTGCGGCTCGAAAGACGGCATTACGAATTGCACGTTCGCGCGGCTTTTGTAGAGGAAGTGACGAAGAGGTGTCCCAGGAACGATTTCAGAACAGGTTGCATGTCCGCGGCGTATGGAAGTCTTGATGTTGTTCATGCTGTTGTTGGTAGATTCGAGTTGATCCACGAGTTCGTTACGCAATTTTCGAAGCTCGAAGAACGCTTCCTTGTTGGCGCTGATGAGGACGATTGCGAGTTCGTCATTGTTCTCGCCGGAGCTTGATGGCCGTCCTTCCGGACCTTCTGCTTCGGTCTTTTCCTCAGATGCGTTGAAGAAGCTGACGTACATGTAAAGGAACCCGGTGTTGTTAAAACCGGGTAGACACAGTGGTATCCAGTTCTCGCCGCCATTCGCTTTGACGCTTCCTGCTTCAAAGAGCATGTTGAAGATCAGGTGAAGATCACCAGGATGGAGAGAATGCTTCTTTGGTCGGACTACGCTCACAAGGCGCCCAGCCGCTACAATGAGGCCGTAGAGAAGGTTCGGCGAGCGTACCTTCAACAACGTGTCATTGATCGCCCTGCGATGGGTCTTACGCATCCGAAGACACTCCAATGCTGACAGCAAGGTCGAAGGAGAGCCACGAGTGAAGCCATCTGCGAGCCCATCAAGAAGGACATCAGTACCTTGCAGCGGCCGTCGAAGGTCTGTTGAAGGTCGATTCGAGAACATGCGCTCCATGCTTGGCAATGTAAGAGTCGACAGAATCTGCATGTACAGTGATTCGAGTTGCGTTCTCAACTGAGATTCGCTCTCTGGTAACCGACTGATCGCCACCAGATTTAACGGGCCTTTGGACAGCATGACGAATCGTGTGTCGCCTGCTGTGAAAGATTTCAGGGGATCTTCCTGATCTTGATAGAATGATATCAATGTTTGCGCTACGCCAACGTAGTGACTGATCATCTGATCATCGCCGTGCCGGCTATAGACGGGCTTGCCAGATGCAGACAAGATGAAAAAGTGCTTCAATCTCGACTTCCATGCCGAAAGTAAGTCATCTTCCGTGATTCCGTTCTCAGCGTCTAGCTCCAGCTCCTCGAACTCACGTGTGATCTGTTCCTCCAGTACTTCGTCCTCTGGAGAGATGGTCTCAAACGGATTCTCCTTCTCGACCTGGCTGCTGATTGCTTTGCCCGCAGGCCCATTGTCATCGGCAGTGACATCGCCAAGTATACTCTCGTTGTCGAGGCGGGCGTCCAGGGATGGAATAAAGCTCTTGATACTAGCCGAGTCTTCTCCGTCACTGTTGTTGTTGCTTACGAAACGCCCAAAGTGGGTGAAACTATGCTTCCTGGACACGGCTTTGCTTTTTGGAGAGGACTGCGGACTGACATTGCTGCTTGCTCGTGTCTGAGTATGCACGTTTGTTGAGGACACGACTGTGGTCGGACTGGACAGAAGCTGGGGCCGGGATGCTTGTTTGGACAGCCGAAGGGAAGCTGCTGAATATGATGGCCTCGGAGGCAATGGAGGAGGCGTCAGCTCTTGTGATGTAGCCGGATCTGGGTCGGCCTGTGGCTCTGATGCGTCCTGTGCGGCCGAACCATTGCTGCTCTCCTCGATGGCATGTGAAGCGGGCTGAGACGCGTTCGGATTCACTCCGGCACTTTCTGGCGCAGTTCCATCATCGTCGGGCATTATTCATTAGCATAGCTGTCCTGCTTTCCAATGAAATGCGTCGAGACGAGCAGACACGAGAGTCGTGTCTGTTTATGGGGACGCATGGTCAGCACGACGTGAGATCGTGGCCATGTGGGCTTGCCACTGGTCGGCGGATTCGTCGCTTAGGCAGCCAAATTCGGTTAGTATGAGTCTTGGCATCTAACATCTGTTCAGTACAATCTCACGAAGTGACGACGAATATCGACTCGCCAAAATTCATGCTGCAGCTTAGATGAAAGCATCGTCTTGCGCGAGGTAAGATGAGCCTTGGTGGTGCGGGCGGTGGCGGACGTCCCATCTCGCCGGCGAGCTCAGGGCGCGCTTCTCCAGTCCCACGCAGTACGCGTCGAGCCGTCGAGGGCGGTATGTACGTGGGTGTGTGCTAGAGACCATGCAACCAGTCCTGATACCGATGCAGATCTATTCAAGGCAGACAAAAGTCTTCGAAGATATGCCGCCAACATTGAGCGAGCGCTCTCGACTTGGGAGATTTCGCCCGAAGAATGGGCAGACTACATCGCCTTCCTGGCCCGACTTCTGAAGGCTATCCAAACGCATCCAAAAGATGTCCCGATCCTCCCTCACAGCGCTGCAATTGCAGCTAGATTGGCACAATGCCTGAACCCAGCACTACCGTCGGGAGTGCATCAGAAGGCGTTGGAAGTGTACGCTTACATCTTTTCTGCCCTCGGAAGGGAGTACATTTCCGGTCATTTGCACGAGCTATTACCAGGTCTGGCGTCGGTTTTGTCGTTTGCATCATTATCCGTCCGGCCTGCACTCTACGAGATACTGGAGAAGTATGTGGTGCAATTGGATCCATCCGAGCTCAGGCCTGCTCTGAAATCACTTATACTGGCATTGCTACCTGCACTGGAAGAGGGTCAAGGCGAAGATTTTGAGCGTGCCTTCACTATCTTGCATTCGCTCGAGCAATCATTTTCGGTGGACAATGAGGATACTCTGTCCGACGGAGACTCGGGCGGCTACTTTTGGCAATGCCTATTCCTCGCTATCATCACCAGTCCTGCCAGGCGACAGGGTGCCTTGAACTACTTGCTTAGATCACTGCCTGTCTTTCCTGGGGCGACAAATGTACCGGGGAATAGAAGCAAGCCGACACGCATGCCTAGAGAGGCGGAATGCATCGTGTCTCCTGAACCAGGACTACTTATACGTTGCTTCGTATCCGGACTTTCGGATCCTCAGGTCCTTGTCCAGAGGGGCTTCCTCGATCTTTTGGTCACAAATCTGCCCCTCAGCTCCACGGTGCTCCAAGAGCGAGCCCGAAAAGAGGATCTTGATCGACTTGTGACTGCAGTGTCGCAAGTGAGCTTGCGAAAAGATATGTCTTTGAACAGACGTCTCTGGAGTTGGTTCCTAGGCCCTGAACCCAAAGATACTACAGATGGAGAATCTTCGCCAAAGCTCGAACGAAAAAATTCCGACGACCCGAGCTCCAATTTCCAGTTGAAGTATTTCCTTGCATACGGCAGATCAAGCCTTGAACGATGTGTGCTGAAGATGCTACAAACATCCGCAACTGATGCAGCTTCCCGCACGCGTGCGTACCGAATCTGCTCGTCGCTAATGGATCGCTGGGAAATTGGAGGTCACCTGGTGACGCGAGTTTTTCTCCCTGCGATGAGGTCTTTGCATATCTATTCCAAAACAGCGCCTTCTGAACAGGTGGCTGAGGTCGTCAGAAGCGCGAGCACTTTTTTCGATGCTGTTGAAGCCAGTCTCATCTGGGGCAACATTATTGAAGTACTCACGGTCGCCTTGGACAGTGGTGGCAGCAGGACGGCAGATCTTGAGCTCGTGCGCTGGCTGGTTGATACATTCAACGTAAGAGACGAAGAAATGATCGCTGCTCACATCCCGATGACGCTTCTCTATCTGGCGAGCCGGGTCACATCTGATGCGATCACCAGCAGTGCCCGAACGCAGATCATTCTGATCATGTCACAGCTCCTTGTCCTTGTTCCAGCACGGCTGTTGCGCCCGCAGAGCGAGACAGTGCAGAGTGGTGATGTCGCAGACATGACCATTCAAAAGTCCATTGTCCGCTTCTATCAGCAGGAAGAACAACCGGATAGCAAACACTTGCCCTTTGGGCTTGCTCACGTCGTGAGCCTGGCGGGTTCCAGAATATGCTCCGTGGTAGAGAAGTCACTGGCATCGGGCAACGGCGATATTTTTCTCAAGAGCGCGAATTTGCTGCTTGCATTGCTGGACAAGGCGAGCAGTGCGGACGTGCTCCGACACTCCAACATTGCCGATGCCTTGCAGGCATCTTTTGCAGCGCCCGGAGCCGCACCAGCACATGAACTACCGTTCGCAATCGTGAACCACACCGTCTCACTCGTTGCAGCATTGGCCACGGCGAAGTCGAGTCCCTACTTGGATACCGCGTGGGTGGAGTCACTTGTACCGGGTCTTGCAACACACTTATGGACATACATGTCGCCTGAGCAACCAAAGTATCATGTTGAAGCAGTGCGAGCGTTCTGGCAGCTGGAGGACTTGGTCGCCCCATCGGATGCAGCCCAATCATCTTTGAAGGCACTGATACGGTTTCCGCCAGCCGGAACAGATGAAGCTGAGGTGGCAAGACGTTTCGGCGTGCTATGGACACATTCGGTGTCTTCCAGTCACGATGGCACCGCCGTCCGGCGCGCGAGCACTATGCCAGTCTTGTCAGGAGTGAAACAAGCTGCAGCTGCCAAAGAAGTCCTCGAGCAGCCGCTGATGCTCGCACTTGACGCCCTCGAAGACCCGGCCCTCCCTGTATTTGAAGTCGTCAAGAGATGGCTGCAGCGTCTGCATAGTCTCGATCAAGTCTATTTTACGTTGTTCGAGAACCTTCATGGGTGTGTGCCGATCGAAAGACCCACCGTTGGTGCATCGCACAGGCAGATCGAGCGGCAGGAACAGGATCGCATCAGAGAGCTCGAATACTTCGTAAGCCATTTCCAGAACATGCTGAACCATGGCAATGAATGGACTTGGCAATGCCTGAGCAAGATCAAAGTTGCGAGCTTCTCCAAACCCGAAGAGATTGATGGTTTCACTGCACTTGCCGAACTCTGTTCACAGATGCTCTGTAGCGAGAAACACGGATCGCTCACACTCAACAAACGACTCTTATCGGTATTGGGTATGATGCTGCAAAGTCCGGCCGCAGCAGCACTGCAGCCGTTGGACATCGATACTCGATTACTTGACATATTGACGATGTGCATCTCTGGGGATATGCACTCTTTGCAGGGATCGCTGCTCAAGCTGCTGAAGCCTGCGTTGAAACTGCGCTTGATACGCCCGGCAGCAGAAGGTGACTCTTCTCAACCTAGGCCTTCAGTGTCGACGGCCGCAAAACGGCCATCTATGATACCACCCTCGCGATCACAGACCGCCGTCAATGGAACCTCGACAAGCGCTGCTATCAGTCCACCGCCTAGTCTATTCAATTGCATTCGAGCTGGCATCTCCAATGCGCGATCTCGATACCATCTGGATCTTTGGCTCGAGTTCCTTGCCGACATCCTCCCGAATTTTGAGGATGCTATCTTCACCAACCTTCTTCCACTCGTAGAGACGTTCTGCAAGGAGCTCACGGCAGCGCACGATCAATTAGCCAGTATCTCACGGGAGACGCACTCTACTTCAGCGATTGCCCCGGAGATCGCAATCATCAGCTTGTTGGATGGGCTGGAAATGATACTAGATCGGGCCTATGAGTGCTTGATCAACGACACCTCGACCGAGCAGACGCCCAAAGAAGCCGAGCCTCGCTCTAACTTTTTCAGCAGTGTGGCCACTGGCGTGTTCAAATCCGAAGGCCCTCCGAGCCGCACGGCTACTGCAAATAGTCGTCTGACAGTCATATTGGTACTCCACGATGCAATACGCGTGGCGCTCAAAATGTGGCTGTGGGCTAGTAATGTTACAAGCCCTGCCGAGCATGATACGATCAGCGCAGGAACAACAGCGTACAACGCTTTCAAAGTGCGCAACAAGTGTCGCCATCTTTTGGAGCAGATCTTCGCCGTGGAGCCGCTGGAAAGTCTTGAAGTGATTGCGCTACATTGGTGCCAAGCAACCTCATCCACTGAAGCGACATCCACGCCGAGTCTACTGCAAGTCATGCAGGTCACGAAGCCAAAGAATGTGGTACCCGCTGTCCTTGACGCCTTATGCACACGCACAAACCCGTCGACTATACCTGCATCCCGACAGTCAAGTCTGACCATCGATCTCTTGCCGGCCGAAGTCGCAACTTTCCTGTCCGCGTATTTGGACTCAACAGAAGACGATGCGATGGACGAGGTCTGGCCAAACTGTATTGCATTCCTTCGAGATGTCCTTGCCAATCCTTTGCCTTATCGCCAAGTGCTGTCGCATCTGCTCTCCATTATTCTGCTACTCGCGGAGAAGCTGGGCAATACTAACTTCGGAGAGCAGAGGAAGATGCGAAAAGATCTGGGTGACACATTTCAGCGACTTCTCACTGCCGCATTCACGACACTACCATCGGGATATGTCGCAGAATCAGCAAGTGAGTCGATGCATGAAGATGACACAAGCTCCAGGCAGGCGAAGAACGAAACTTCCATGACGCTTTTGCCGGTGCTGAACCGTGTGACTGCAAAGATCGATCTCATTCTTGACACGCCAGAAAAGATAGCGACGGCCATCAACAACATCACACAGAGCCTCGTTGCACCAGCACTTCGTGCGCGAACGTTCCCGAGGAACGTTTCCATCGATATGCTGCAACTAGTCGTGCAGATTGCACGCAAAGCACCAACCGCGAAGCCTTGGAGAAAGGAAGTTGGAGATGCGCTCAATGAACCTAAGCTGTTAGCGTCCTCGCCCGAGCTCATGATGAATGGCTGGTTTCCGGCATTCCATCAGTTGTCACTTCAGGACAAGGAACGCATGCCCGATCTATTACTTCGCCTGGCACCGCCATCGAGTGCAGGCATAATGTTCGGAGTAGGCGCCAATGCTGCCCGTCTGGAGGCTGATCGCAAGACTCAATACAACCTTCGTCGCATAAGTATGCTATTCTTGGCATCGCCGGAAGACAGTTATGTGCCTCACCTCCGAACGATCGAAGAGAAAATGTCGGAATTGTTCGACGCGAGCCCGTCATCATCACCATCCGCGGCCATCAAAGCTGAACTTTTCATGCTCTGTAGAGTTCTTGCACTTTCGATGAGCGCGGCGCACTTATCGCCCTTCTGGCCCATTATCAACGACAAGCTACAGACAGTGCTCTCATCTCTTATGCCCGACAGCACGGAAGCGGATGAGTTCAACAATTTCACCTTACTCCAAGCCTGCAAACTACTTGATCTGCTTGTCACATTGTCTCCAGACGAGTTTCAACTGCACGAGTGGCTTTACATCACCGACACAATCGACGCGGTGTACCAGCCTATCAAGTGGACACCAACGGCACTTTCCGACCAGATCGCAGATGCTTTGAGTTCTGCAAATGTGGACGACGGCATGCCTGGGACCGCGAACGTTTCCGCGCCCGCTGGGAAACGCACGCCCCTTCTCGGCCGCGATCTGGGTGTGGATAGGGAAGACGTCAAGGCGATGGCCAAGGAAGATTTTGCTCGTGCTGTGCTGCGGCCCTTCCTGAATCAGCTGAGCATTCATGCATATGAGGGCGTATACAGCATGGACACTCCGGACGTCGCTGCCTTGAGGCAAGACGTGCTTTCTGATTTGTTAGATCAGAGCAGCATTGTAGAGTAAAGTCTGCCATAAATTGGTCCTACTGCCCTGCGCTCCAATACCTGACCATCATGGCATTGCGCTCAGCCGACAACTACCTTCTATCGTCGCTTCTGCATCAAGTTGAGCTAAGGTGAAAGCACTAACAACTGAGCGGCCGCAGACTGCAGCCACCGACTTGCTCAAGCTTTCATATCATGGTCACGACTGAACACCTGGCATCGACACTGCTGCAATAAGCAGCCTCGTTGATCTCGTGAACCATCAGCGCACCACTCATCGGCATCATCCCGCCAGAAAAGTATCTGGACACGTCCAAGACGGCAGTGAGGCGGTAGAGTCAGTGTCTGCGCGACACCGAGTCTGTCCGGGTTGGCAGATCCGCCGTGGACGGCCTCGAACTGGCGCGCAACAAACAGGATGTGAGAAAGCAGTAAGCACTGTCTGTCTTCACCCGCAATTTCAAGAGTTCGGATCGCAGAACTCATTCTGGCAGCTTCGAAGGTGAAGGCGCCGTCTCTGCAAGCACGCCCAGCACCAACAATGCCGCATCCACGCGCACGAAGAAGAGTGGAGAGAAGGAAAGAGTGAAGAGAAGACTCCGCGCCCGAAGAATGCATTCATGATCTACCGTCTCGACCTCCACCTCCACGCGACCGTTGCAGCTCAGAACCTTGGCATGCACAACAATGACATTTGTGAGTTGAGATCCTAGCAGACAGAATATGCTCTCGTCCATTGCTGACTGAACGCCACAGCCAAGATCTTTCTATGTGCAATGGAAGCTGGGAGCAGAAGTGGGAAAGGAAACTGAGCTCACACTTGTGAAGTCTTGAGCCATGCTAATGAACCGTTGGGCGATGCAGGGGATACCTGCAGTTGCGGGGATGTTGTGGGAGCAGGCAGGCCATTGCGGGAACACACGCCAAGGACGTGAAGCGTGTATGAAAGTCGTCTGCAGCTGACACGCCAAAGCCGTCCAGACATGTGCGAGGTAGTCAGAGTCTACAATGGGTCGAGACTGATCGTGAAGGAGGTCTCAATTACATGTGCTCCAGCTGATACCCGCGCACATAAATGGCAGTCTGCACTTGCTCGTTTCATTTGCGCCGTTTGCATTCACTTCACTTTCAGATCGGCAAAGCTCGCTAGGTGCAGCCACTTCTTTTTTTGTTTTCGCTCTCGCTTGACTACGTGCACATTGTTTGCTCACATATTGCAACCACCACTGCAACCCACACCCACAAATCGACAACCGCTGGTAAGAATAAGTCCCATCCAACTTGACCGCCTACACCCACCATCACGACCAGTATGCTACTCGCGCTCGTACCGTCACTACTATTCTGAAGCACATTTCAGAAGCTGCCCGAGCTCCGTCAGCGGGCTTTTTAAAAACCACAGCTAACAACTCCCTCGCAAGTCCCGCACGAAACCACCACACCTCCACTCCAAGCTCAACCCAAGCAAGCAGCAACTATGCCGCTCTCCACCAAGCAAATGGAGTACCTCGCACTCGCCTGGCAGTGCTTCGAAACCGAGCCCAAGGTACCTCTTGACCCCTTCCCTTCTGCCACAGGACCAACCAACACCCCTCTGACACTTGCTCCTCCAGATCGACTACGAGAAATTTAAGACCGTCGCCGGCCTCGCCTCAGCCGCCTCCGCCCGCGAGCTGATGCGCGTGACCAAGAAGAAGCTCAAAGAAGAGTATGGAGCGCTCTCGGGTTCCATGACCGCCGCCAACGGTAACACCGTCGGAGGAGGCGTCACTCCATCGAAGAAGAGCACTCCACGCGTAGGTCATCCTCATCCCTTCCATTCTAGAACCCTTTCTCACTTCTGTCACTCTGTAGACCCCAGCCTCCAAGCGTCCGCGCGGAAAGAAAGCCGCATCAGAAGTCAACGGTGAGAATGGAGACGGAGATGACGATGAAGATTACGGAGACGATACGCCAGTCGCCAAGCGCTCGAAGACTCCAGCCAGCGCGGCCAAGAAGAGCGGCAAAAAGAGTGGATCCGGCAGCTCGAACGGAGTCATGGTGAAGCATGAGCCAGAGGTCGCTGGAGGAGACGACGATAGCGACGGATACTTGTGATGAGGAAGCCATCGCTGCTCGCGTTGCTTTGCTTTGATTGAAGCGCGAAGTGACTGATGCAGGAGTTCGATGCATAAGAGCACTGCCGTACGTTGGTCGGACTTGGTATACAAGCAAAAGCTTGGCCATGCGATTGGCACAGCAAAGAGTCAAAATTCTGAACAGAGCAGCAAGCCGAGAGGTTGAGGAAACTATGCCCAGTAGGATTTTCTTCAGACAGTGTTTTCCATTGGAAAAAACTCACATTTCCTTTCATACATGTTTGAGCTCACTCAATAGTTCGTTCGCTCGCTCACTCTGATCCGTCTTTCGCTTCTTTGTACAATGTTGCAACTCGTCAGCTGCTCGCAATCCATCCTCGAAACATCAACGATACAACATGTCATGATTCGCTTAGCCCAATACACGCGCTAAACCATCAATCTGGTTTGATCTATTCTTCCTCAAGAAAGGTCGTTCGTCCAACGCCAGCACCGTCTGGGAGCTCAACTCTGAGACATGGCCATCTCGTGTAACCCGCAAAGTAAGCCCAACGCCACTTTGTCTGTATTAGGCATCATCAAAGCTCCGAGTATTGCATGTCCTTGCGGTATGCCTTCCCATTTGGGTCCAAGAGGAAGATCTGGTTCGTCATCGTCGCCACTCGTACCGTTCGCCTCACCATTCGAAATGCCGTTCGTTTGTGCGAGGACATTCCGTACACTTCCTTTGCCGGCCTTCTCTGCGAGACGCTTCATCATTGTTAGAGCCCGATATGTGATGAGCTTGAAGGTCTCCGTATCCATGCCAAGTTCACGACCCTTAGGTCCAGCCGCCTGATTTCGATCGACAGACAACAAGGCGGCCAGATTGAGGAGCGCGACAGCCCAGCCGTCTTCGCTTTCTATCCATGCACGCGCAAGATCCGCGTCACTACTTGGTGCTAGCGTAGTGAGGATATCTGCAGCCAGCATGCCTTGTGTCAAGTAGGCCTTTCGAGCTTCCACGATCCGCAGCTGTGCTGTGTTGCCGACTGGGCCCTTTGACCGATCTGGTAACACTGATATTGACAACGCGAACGCCTTCGTCAGTAGATCTAGTGGCGATTCAGTGATTGCGTAGGATTCGGCAAATATGCTCTTGTAAAGGGTACGGTTGGGATCTTGCCTCGCTAGTAGCTTTGCCAAGCAGTCGACAGCAGGCGGCAGGTACTTGTGCTGTATAGGGGAGAAGCTCGTGAACCTCAGCTTGCCACCGCTTTCGACGTAGCTAGGAGCTGGCTGGGGTGCGAAGGCCAAAAGGAAGTGCAAGATATGGAGGGCATCGTCCCTCGTGGGTAGTTCCAAGCTTTGTGTGATGTTTGACAGGAAGATGATGGTATCCTTGAAGTAGTCACCGGTGTTGAGATGACTTCGGAGTAGCATATTGCGAGTGCCGAGTAGCCGAATTGTATTGCTGAGCCACTTTATGAGGGGCGCCGAAGTCAGCAACGAGTGATTGAACTCATAGAATGAGAAGTTTCTCAAGGTGGTTGTGATGGCGATGAGCTTGTCAGCCGCGCGATCGAGATCGTACGCTCGCGTTCCGAACTCGGGAACTTCTTGCAGCGTTTCTGCTTCAAGCTTCGCGCTTCGCAAGACATCCTCGTAGGAAGGCAGGTCCAGCGCATCCGATACCTCGGCGGCATCTTCAGAGAGTATCTCTATTTGTTCTTCTGCGCAGTCAACGATTACATCGAGGAGGTCTTCGCATGAGTTGAGATTGAGAGCCACACGCTGGTCGAAGGAGATGATTGCTAGCACATCAAGAGCGTATCGCACTTCCGCGTGGATTCCTGAGGCGAGGCTCAAAGTAATGGCTTTCGTGTCGATCACGCCCATTTCGTCGACTGTAGGCATGTTGGGTATCTTGGCGGCGATCGCGGACCCAAGTTCATATAACGCAGGGATGTCATAGCCACCATCCGTCTCTATCGACCGAACTTGTGGTTGATAGTTCGTACTCTGAGGCTCCTCGCTCTTCATGACCGCACCCGTGGACTCTTGCTTGACGGATGGCGGGCGTTGCTTCGTGACAAGAGGAGACGCTGACGCGGTATCTGGCCGAACGCCAGGTTGGGGTGTCATCTGCTCAGGTTTGCGCAAGCTGCTGTTCCTCCTATGGTGCATTCCAGCTGCGCTGCCCATCATCTGCTGAGGTGTCGTCGACATGCCATTGGGAGGTAGCGATGCATTTGCCTGGACGGGAGTGCCTTGCTGGACTTGTTGATTCTGTTGTAATTGCTGGAACTGATTTTGTTGCCCGGGCGGCTGCATCATCTTTGTCGGCGACTGCTGCGGCTGTCCATTAAATGCCATTTGTTGAGCATGGATCCTAGCCTCTTGCTGCTTCTGCTGCATCTTTTGTTGGAACCAGATGCGCTCATACCCGGCGATTGCAGTAGTATGCACGTTCTTCAACTCCTCCGCGACGGTCGGGGGAAAGCTCATCTTCGCAGCTACTGTCGGCCATTGCCCACCCTTTTCGACTTGTGGTGATCCTCCAGCACTGGTAACGATTGTCCAGAGAGCGAACAAGTCCACAGGACGCCCAGCAACGACAGGAGTTTGATTGAATTGTTTCCCCATCTGCTGGTGGTACATTGCAAGCGTTTTCAGAAATTGCGCTCGCTTGGCCTGCTGTTGCGCTTGCGCCTGCATCATTTGCTGGTTCATCTGCCCGTTCGGCATTTGCCCAGCTGCGGGCATTCCCTGCATGCCTCCCATCGCAGCCATTTGCCCAGGCTGACCGCCCATGGCGCGTGGAGGTAGCATGCCGCTGGCGCGCAATTGTTGTTGATGCTGAAGCAATTTCATCTGGTACGCCCTCGACGCGTTGTTGGCTTGCATGTTGTTCATGTTGGCCATCTGCTGCTGCATCTGATTCGGCATGTTCATGGCGCCTATGTTCATACCCATCTGGCCCATTTGCGCCATGCCCTGATTCTGCGGTGTGCCCGGATTGCCGAAGTTTCCCGATTGTTGTTGACCTGGGAAAGGCGAAGGCGACGCGTTATTCATCCGAGGTTGCTGCTGTTGCTGCTGAGGCGGCGGGCGGAACTGCTGGTTCTGCATGGTCGGCGACGGAGTGTTGTTGTTGGAGCCAGGCTGTTGGAGGTGCTGGTATGGAGTGGGCGCATTGGGGAATTGCTGCTGGCCAGGGAAGTTGGCGTAGGAGGAGGGCGTCTGCGAACGCGACGCATCATCGTGGGGTCGCTTCGCTGGGATGGTGGACTGCGGCGTGAAGGTCTGCGACGGGTTCGCGAATTGCTGGCCGGGCTGGGGAGTCGCGTTGCCGTTGGGGAAGGCGTTGACGTCGAAGCCGTCGAGGTGGCTATAGTTAAGGTGGCCGGCGCCCGGTTGAAACATGCTGGCCTGTCCGTTGTTCCATCCTGAGTTCATATTCGTGGCATCCACCTGCATCTGAGCGGCGCATCGTCAGCATTTGCGCGCGGGTAAGGGTGTTATTGAGTGCTGCGCGCGGGTGTGAGTGGGAAGTCGTGGTTGGAGAGAGGGTAGGCAGCCAATGAGAGGCCAGCGGGAGTAGGAGCGGCGGCGGCGATGGGAGGAGCGGCGATGACAGTGCGCAAGCAGCCAGCCGCGAGCGCGGTACAATAAGAACACGGCGCGCGACCGAGAAGACGCGTCGTAGTGCTCGTCGCTGGATGGAGGGGCGGTGAAACTCTTGCCGTTGCCAGAGGCAGTCTCCCGATTCAAGCCGATCTGAGCCTCTGGACTGTGCTGGTGTATGGATGGCAGGAGCTACTGTAGCGCCACGCGCTCGCACGTGTTCCTTTGTATCAAAACAGAAGGTCCGGCCGTGTGTGGGTGCGTATGTGAGAGGGGCACTTACCAACCTGTTGCGTTCCGTACACGGATTCAGTTTGGAAGAAGAGAAGCTGGAATGGGCGGCTCCTGCCCTCTTCTCACCCTGGCTGCTAATAATCGTGACATGGCGGCCGAGTCGACAACACCAGCGCCAATCGGTGTACGGCGACGTTCCAGGCGCAGACGATCAGGTAGACAGAGAAAGAGGGTAGAAATATTGCCAGCTGCAAGAGCAAAGCACATTTGCGAGCCTGTACTCTACGCTCCGGCACTTCTTTTGCACGGTAAGGTATGCTCAGCGCACGGACGGCGCGCAATCTGACAACACAGTGTCGCATCCATCTCCAAGCCGATGACTTGGCCCTGGCCAGCACGAGCAAGCCTTTTGGTTATCGCGGACGCTCCTGCGACACTCGCGGCGTTCCCGACACCTTTCGTTGGGTTTCTTGCCCGCTGTTCCAATCTCTGCCCTCCATCCCACCAGTATCCAAGCTCCTCTTCGACCGACCACCAACACTCGAGACGCCCCACAGCACGGTCTCGTCGTGGTACATTCCATCACGAGACCGCTGTGCTTTTTCGGATGCCGACTCAAGCTCTAGAACCTGACGGCTTCCCCATGTCTCGATCGCCTATCGCTCTCACAACCAACATCCGCATTCGTGAGATCCGGACAGAACAAGGCACTGCGTTCGCTTATTATGCATCGATGGCGCCTGTCAGCAAGTTGCCGCAATGCCTTGCTTTCCACGCCACGATGTATTTGATCAGACGCATTCTCGCCCGCTACTCGGTCTGAAGCTTACTTATGTCTAAGCCACTTCCAACTTCATTCGTCTCATCTCATAGACTGGGATGAATAATCGTTGGACTCGGGCTGCCCACTCATATTGTCCGCTTTCGTCCGCTCACCTCATTCAAAGGGACTTGCCCTGATGCTTGTACTGATCATAGTGGTAACAAAATGGGGCTCATTGAACTTCGAGCACCGCACACCTCGTCTGGTCCGATCGGTATCACCTCCGTGCGCCATTTCCCAAGATTGGAGTATGTCGAGAGCTTGGCTATCCCACGACTTTGTCGCCTCGGCACTATAGCCTGATCCCGTCGCCGATCTCGACCCTGTGAGACATTCAATGCATCCACATCACAAGCGCAAACTTCGGGACGCCATACGAATACCGGTGTCGCACGTATCGCTCGCTGTCTTGCAACACATCGTGACCACCTCACCAACTTCTCCAGACCCTAGGCCGTCCCGGCTTCCTCGCAACAGTTTCTGATAAGCTGCGCCAGCTATGGGCCTATTTTCTAGCTCTTCCAAGCAAACGACGCCTCCGGCACCAGAGCCATCAAAAGACGGAGGATATATTGCGCCAGACAGGTCAGCGCGTGCACAATGCTGGGAAGGAAGAGACGCATTCTTTGAGTGCCTGGAAAAGAATGGCATAATTGATAGCATTAAGGAGGACAAAAAGGCAAAGGAACACTGCTCTCCAGAACTGGCGCAATTCGAGAGGACATGCGCTAGCAGTTGGGTATGTAGGATGTGGGTGTTCTGCGAGATGATGAGGCTAATTGCTACCTACAGGTCACATACTTTAAGAAGCGAAGAGTGATGGAATACCAACGAGATCTGACGATCAAGAAGCTCGCTGCTGAGGGCGTACAAGGGAAGCCATGAAAAGAAAGAGCTGTTGAGGCATAAACAAGAAACGAGCGTGCCATCGCCACAGATCTCCCCTCATACTGTCGGACCGCCTTGATCAGTCTAGGTGGGCTGAGACCGGCCGAGACGAATGCAGCTCAGGATATGTCTGAGTCGTGGGGTGAGCAAATAAGATACATCCAGGAGCGACTTGCCTGGCGAGATTACCCAATGCCGCAAAGCGACATTTGTCGAAGCGTCATAGATATATGGGCCGTCCCCAGCTGTTCAGATTCAGCGGAGGACTGGGGAGTTGTGCAGTGCACAGGAAGTCTACTCGGCTACCATCTGTATCATATTGTATACATATGAAAGGAGCGCATGAGCGCATGCATCTGAATCAACGCTTGCTCTGTACATCGCTTCAGACTATGTAGGAAGCATGTGACGTGCGAGATTAGTCAGCAGCACAATGCTTGGCATTCGCGGTCAATAGTTATTCCTTCCGAACCTCAGTCTTCATAGCCAACCTCTGCCGTAGGTCTTCTTTTCGACTCCACGTACGTCGAGTTATCACTGTGGTGCGCGCAACGACTCTCCGGCCATTTGGTCGACTTCCAGATCCATGTCACTTCACATCATCACAGCTTCCGCACTTAGCTGTAGTGGCGGATGTCCTTCAGCCGGGACACGGCACACTCCCGACTAAGGAACGAATCCTGTACACGTTGGAGCAGCTCGAATATCTGCCAAAATGGAAGATACTATCATGACCGACGCGGCTGCGGCTGCCACATTTGGTACTCACGATTTGCAAAGTCTCGAGTCTCAAGCTGCAGAAATTCCCAATCAGAATGGCGCCGGTGCCAGTAACCCCGCCAAGCGCACCCAGGAAGCACCGGCATGCAAGACGTGCAAGATTCGAAAGGTCAAGTGTATTCCAGACGAAAATGATCCAGATCGATGCAAGTCGTGCGTGCGCGCTGGCGTCACATGCGTCCCACAGCAATGGAAAGAACGACGACAACTTGGCAATTACGAACCGCCGCAGACTATCTCGCAGTACCCAGATCCGAGTCATCTGGGCGTCCATGCCTATGGCGCAGGCGGGGCAGGACCATATGGACCTGGCAATGGACCAAGTCCTTATCCCCCAATCGGTGTCAGTGGTCGTCAGCTTGGCGCTCCTCAGCTCACTGCGTGGCATGCGATGCCCGCTGATGATCGGATACAACAAGCCGCGCAAGACTTTTACGCGCAGAATGGAGCGCCTGGTGTGCTCACAGCCAAGGAGGAGCGTGCTCGGATGGCAGAGAGGTACGCTCAAATCGATGGCGGAGCAGGTCGGGCAATGGCTCGCAGAGCGGCCGCACTTGCGATGGAAAGTACGAATGAGCAAATTTATGAGGCTGTTGGATTTCGACCAGAGGAACACTCCTGGGCTGTGGACATACCCGGAATTGATGACGGCGAGACAGAGGCAGAGGCGGAAGAAGAAATCATCTTCGAGGACACGCCTGCTCGTGGCGGATCTTCTCGAGGCCGAGGTCGTGGCCGTGGTGGCAAGCCTAAGAAGGGATGGCGAGCTGTCCTGAGGGGCACTGATCATGAGAATGTCGGCAAGATTCCAAAGAACACCGTCAGCAAACGTGGCAGGCCGAGTGATCGTGCCAAGAATCGTGGTCGGAAGCGTAAGAAGGAAGTCGACCCAGGTCCAGTCTTCAAGGAACACATGGCGAAAGCCAACAATGCTTATATGGAGGGTGACCTCGATACCGCTATCGATCTTGTCCGCTTAGCCATTGGTGCCAATCCGGAGATCTGGAGTGCTCACTCTCTGCTGTCTCAGATTTTGGATTCACAGGGTCGACATGACGATGCAATTGAAGCGCTGCGCTTTGGTATCCCTACCACTCGCGAGGCCAAGAACTGGGAGCATCTTGCAGATCTGATCACCGACAAGCCGGATGAGGAACTCGACTTTGACACAATCAATCAAGCTATCTTTTACCTTGGTCACGCCATCAGCATCACAAAGCCCGAGACTGACCAATACGACTTGAGGGTGAAGAAATTTCACCTCTATAACATCCTTCAGAAACGCGGTCAGAACAACAAGAATGCTCGGCTTGATGCGAAGAACATCCTGAGGATCTTTCCTTACAAGACAGCGTTTTTGAAAGAGTTCGCAGTGCTCTGTGCAGCATGGCCCGACAAAGCTGAACAAGAGCAAGCCATACATCGCTATGACATCGCATTCACTTACTACATGGAAAATTTTCAGACTTTCGGCGATGAGGACGACCCCACAGAAGATTGGGAGCATCTCAATATCTACCTGGAATTGGTCGAGTTGGCCGGTAATCCCTGGATTGGGATCCAGCAGGCAAAGCGAATAGCACGCTGGCTGCTCGGTCGGAAAGGCGACGTCTTCTGGGACAGAGTGAGCGATAATGACTGCGAATGGGACCTTGACGATGAAAGACGACACGCTGTACCTGAATGGCAATGGGGTAATGTCAGTCGTGACCCCGCTCAGTATGGGGAGGGCATGCCCATCGAGATCAAGGTGCGCATTGGCAAATTGCGTCTGAAGATGGGCCCTGAATTCCGCGAAGAGGCGCTCCGACACTTCCGCGAGCTTCTGCTGAACGTCGATGTGGTCGACGAATACCGTGATACTTTCGAGGACGTGGCCCAAACCATGCGCAAAGATGGCTCGTACCAAGAGGCTCTCAAATTCTTCGCGCCCCTGCGTGAGTGTGAGGAGGCGGACCATCCGGAACGAGGACTGTCGGACGATGTATGGTACTGGATGGCTCTGTGCTATGAGTACACCGATAAGGTCCAAGACGCCATTGCATGCCACGAAGTCATCGTGCGGAACCGAAGCGATAAGCACGGCCATCTACGCGCCTCACAAGCCAAGTTGACGAAAATGTACGAAGACGCCGGAGAGCTGGACAAGGCAAGATTCCTCTGCAACGAGCTCATCAAAATCAGTAGACATGATCTTCTGATGGAGCAAGGAGTGCAAATGGTGCCCGAAGACGTCAAGTCGCGCCCCGTGATATTACCTGAGCCGTACAGACAGATTCGCAGACATCCCAACCCGCCCATCAAGCCTCGGATAGAGCCTAACATGAACTTTAGAGAACTTCGTCCGGCGGCTCCACTTCCGATAACGCTGAGGAATGGCGATAGCATTGCACCAACACCTTATCCAGTCCTTGATGGCCCTGTGCTGGGCAGCTCCCTCCTTGGCGGTCCTGTCAGTCAACGCATCGAGTTGCCCCCAGCAGCCCCAGAGCCATTTGTGCCACCAAAGTCGACCAAGAGAGGGCGTGGAAAGTTAGTTGGCATGAAAAAGGGCAAGAAGGATATCCTGGAGACTATCTGCGGCATCGAAGGCGAGGACGAGCGCAATGACGATGATGATGACGAGAACTCTGCAAAAGCTCCAAAGAGGCCCAGACTGAGGAAGAAGATCAAGGCGCCGTCCAAAGCAGCGCTCAAAGCCCAGGATCGCGCCCAGCTCATTCACGACATCCAACAGCGCGTCTTGGCAAACCATCTCGAGGTGAAAGCGCATTGGACCGGCATGAAGCAGGGCGACGAGGATGCTACCGATGCTTGGGTTCACGGCGCTCTAGGAATGCTCGATGACTTCACGGATATGAAGGTCTTCTTTCCAGACCGTGACAAGTACATGCGACTGAAGGAAGCAGATCGAGACCAAGGCAAGTACCAGCGTGATGCTAAACTTCCGGACGACACCAAGACGCCAGAAAAGTTCCTCAATATTCCCTTCTCGGACTGGCACCACGTCTTTTCAGATCTTGCCTTGGTCTATGCGCGCAACGCAGAGCAAGACAAGTGTTACCGCATCCTTCAGGACGTACTCGCCGGCGCCAATGTCTTCTATCACAACATTCGACTCAAGATGACAACCTATGCAGTGTCGCTCTGCTGTGGACTCACCTTCAACGACAACCAGTTCATCATCGACCTCGCGCGGGACCTTGTTAAGGACACTGGGGACCGTGGTGGGGAAGCATTTCAAATTTTTGCAGCCGTGAACCGTTTCGCTTTCGGCTCGAATTGGTTCTCAGCTGGCCCAACACAGAAATGGATGCTCAGAATGGTGAAGTCGCATGACTTCCTCGCCATGCCGCCAGAACTGCGAGAACGCTTCGACTGGTCGCAGCAAAAGCCAAGTCTCGAAAAGAAAGCTGACGAGCTGGCGGGAGAGCTGCAAGATCTCGATGCTGGCGTCCTGTTGCTCTATGGCCACATGGTTGCCGTTGCAAATCACAGCTTTTCAGCTCTTCCGTACTACTATCGCGCGCTGGCTCTGGATCCTGACAATATTTGCGTCAATTTGAGTATCGCAACAATGTGGATCCAGAACAGCATGAAGCGGCAGACCGAGAACCGTCAGTTCGGAATCCATCAAGGCTTGGCGTTCCTCTATCGATACTATGACCTTCGCATCGCTAGCGGTAGAGCCTGTCATCTTCAAGAAGCCGAGTTCAATGTTGCCAGAATGTGGCATTACTTGGGCCTCAGTCACTTGGCGCTGCCAGCGTACGAGAAAGTTCTAGCGTTAAGCGAGGCAGTGCAGGCTGAAGCGCAGAGCGAGGAGGCAAAGATGCTTGATGGCATCCCGGGTGAGCGGGAGGTCGAAGTGGAGGATTTTGCGATGGAGGCTGCATTCGCGTTGCAGGGCATGTACGCGCTGGCAGGTAATGATGTGGCCGCGCGAGCTGTGACGGAGCAGTGGTTGGTGATGTGAGCGTCGCACATGGCAAGGAGACGCGTCGTACACAATTGTACTCGCGTATGTTTTTGAGATACCCATTTAGCGTATATAATTCTAGAGAGCCACTGCGGAAAGAAATTGCGAGGGACAAAACTCGTTGATGTTCGCTCTTGCATTCTATCTCTATCGTGATCCTGTGCCATTCCTTCTCGTCTCTCGTAGCTGTATTTAACCTCATTCTGTTATCTCAACTAGACTCACTTCTGTCGTCGAACCTCATCGTGCTCATAATCATCATCGTCATCATCACTAGATGTCCTCCCTGCAATTGACTCCTCATCACTAAGTCTGAACTGCTCCGCAGCCGCAGTATGCTCATCGGAAGCCAAAACATCACCTTTAACCTGCTCATGCTGATGCAATTTCACATTCGTGAACAACACCCACAAACCAATATCATACGTCAGCCTAAACGCACCGCCCGCCACAAAAGCCACCCAAAACCGATCCGAATTCGCCAGAAATCCCGTGACCATCGGTCCTGATGTCGCGGCCATCGTTCGCAACATTGCTGTGATTCCCATCACGGCTGTGCGTTCGGAGGGTTTGACGATAGCGGCTATGAGGGCTGAACGAGGGGCTTGATCCATATTGTTGAGGCCTGCGCGGACGAAGAGGAGGATCACAGTGAGCCAGAGAACGTTGGGGAGAGGGAAGAGGAGGACTGCGGCCGAAGAGGGAATGTGTGTGAAGACCATTGTGTTTACGAGACCGATCTTTTTGGCTAGTGGGCCGGCGAAGATTCCACCGATGGCGGTTAGGAAGTAGCTTATGGAGGTTACGTCGCCGAGGGTAGATTTGGAGGGATGGAATTTGATGTCCTGTCGGGGTAGGAAGAATCAGTAAATGCAAGAGGTTGTGTTGTGGTCGTCACATACCATGTAGTAGTTGGTCAAGCTGTAGGGGACCATGCCGTCGGCTAATGAATCGACTGCGAGAAGGAGCCATAACTTCCAGACCACGGACAGTGTTGGTCTCGAGATGTCCCCCATCCATTTCGAGATCCATGCTCGTATTCCTTGAAACCTGGTGCTGGGCCTGGTAGGTCCAGGGTGTCGTGAAGCTTCATCAGCAGAGCCGCGATCCGGGTTGTTGTTGTCAGTAAGCACAAATGAATGGTCGCTGCCCTCATCTTGAGCAACCGGGGTGTACTTCTCCTCGATCGTGTCTGCTTCGCAATTCTTTGTCAAGAGCAGAACGCATACGATGTTTACTACGCCCATGACAGCGTACACCCAGAAGATCGCGTGGTAGGCATCTTTCAAAGTCCATCCATCTCGATGCTGGAGTTGCTCGATGATTCGACCACCTAATTCACTGCCAATGGAGGAGCCCCAAGCAGAGATGGTTACGTACCATGCGAGGACGTCGGCGCGAGTTTGCGGATTTGTGAGCTGAGAAAGCATCGACTCCTCGATTGATCGAAAAGGACCAAAATCACCTCCTGTGGCTGATACGACTCCTATCACTGCTGCGAAGAGCAAGATCCAGAAGTTCTCAAAGGCAGCGAAGATGACTCCAGTGAAGACCATCACGATACTCCCGCCAAAGAGGATCTTGCGCCGACCAAAGCGGTCGGCGATGAGGGTGAGGAAGGTGCCAAGGAAGACATCACCGACGCTGGACCAGGTCAATAGGTGGATTGGAGTACTCCAGAATGTGCACTTACAGCGTCAAGGTCATAAATACACCTATCCGACGATCGGAGAAGCCAAGCTCAGAGAAGAACAATGCTATTCACTCGGTCAGTCCTGTGCGTCCGACACAACCGCAACAAGCGCACCATGCTCTGCTCAGCGCCATCGACGAGCTGCTGACTCACCTAGAATGAGTGCATTAGTTCCGTAGGCAAGCATGCGTAGCGATCTGGCCAAGATAATGAGGTAGGCATCCCGACCCGTTTCGTGGAGGCTCGAGAGGCCGAATTCCTTCCAGAACCAGGCGACGGATCTGCCGATGGCTGCCATTCACGTGTGCCAATGCCTCGCCAAGGGGAGGTCTTTCGTGCCATCGAAAGGAAGAGGACGCGAGGACGATTCGTAGGCGCAAAATGTATGCGATCGTCGTTCAGCTGTGCTGGCGAATGACTAGATCTAACCGCACTTTCCGTCATGTGCTGCCGATATCGCATCTTTGATCCTGCCATTCACACAGCAGGCAGCAGACATATAGCAGAGGAGCGCACACCTCACCGTAGCGCCCATGGCCATCTCTGCTTTTGCAAAAGCACGCTGTTTCTGACACTGACACTCGCGATGGAGATGAGAACGCCCTGGTCATGCGACATGTTCCACTCGAGGACGGGATGTTTTGTCTGCCTCTGGACCCTTGCAGCCCTCCCAAGCCACCAGCGGGGACCATCTGGAGAATGCAATGCCATCCTCGCGCATGATGAAGAATAATCAGGCCGGCAACGCGCTGTGGCTCTCCTCGCGGAAGAACTTTCAGCGCATGGCTCTCCATCCCTTCCCGTCTCAGGTACCGGTTCCTCCCATGTTCGCTTACTCAGTGCCTTGACCGCCACCTTGGCAGCTTCACACGGCTTCGCGAGAGCTTCACGAACAGTCTCCGAGCGAGGCATGCTTGCCTGTTTGCGGCATGCTGAGTAGGGCAATTCCAAGTGAGCACAGCAAGGTTGGCGGAGGGCTCAAAGACCAATCACGCCCGTCGCGTATGGCCTGGTTCACGACAAGGCGAGCAGTCACCCTCCTAGTACGAGGTACCGCTGCAGCCAAGAACGACGGGTTGTCCACGATCTCCACCCGATGCCACAATTGCTCCCCGACGGACACTCTCGTGTCGCACAAAGCCCGCAGAGATTTTCTCGTTCCCAACGCTGCCCCAGTGCGGGGAAATGGTCTGGGGAAAACGGTCTCGTGCACGCCACGTGAAAGTCGAGACTCGTGTCCACAGGTTTGCATATCCAACTTGCTGATCAATTCGCGTGGTCGACGTGTGGACATTCCTCGAACTTCCGACCTTCCAAGACTTCGAGAAGAACTCTACTCGCAGCGCAAGAGCTGTCCGCTGCGGCCAAGTAATCACAAGCACCTAACTGACCACTCCCGACCGCTGGTTGTTGCACCGTGCGTCCGCCACCGCGCTCATTATCGCTTAGGCCCCATTCTTCTCCAGCTTCGCTCCCTTGGCATCTGGGGACGCTATGGGGAATCATTGTACCACTGGCAACCTTCTGCGCCGCGAACCTGCTGGTGCCGTCCACTTGACCAACCGTGGCGTGGCGTACACAGCCTTCTTCCATGCATGATTCCCTCTGATTGACTCGTTCTAGCGGCCGAGGAGAGCACCCTAGCATGCACGAGTTCCATACCAAGACGCCAATCTCAGTCTTGAGGTTACTTCCCCAGCCTGGGCGAGGAATATCGCGCATGGATCTGGAGTTGGAGGCGCCTTGGCTACGCCCAGTAGCGCTGCATCGTCGAGTGCGGCTACAATGTCGTTATCAGTCCGGTTGAAAGTTGAGAGCAGGGGTTTGGTATATTAGTTCGTCGCACAACAGTCTCTCGTCGATCTCTCAGACAGCTCTGCACTCCCAGAGGCCGTCCAGCTTGTCCTTCCTCCTCTTACCCCCTCTTCTTCCTTTGCGAAACAACGAGTTTCGTCAGACCTTGCCCACCATGGTTACCACAACGATGGACGAGAAGCACGGAGTTGAAAAGAACGAGGTACTCTACCAAGTCGAGACCAACGACTCGGAGAAGGCAGAGGCAGAGAAGCGCAAGGCCCTCAGAATCGACTACTCGGGTGCCCACGAGAAGACAGATCCTGCGGAAATTGCACTCGTGAAGAAGCTGGACTGGTACATTATGCCCACGTAAGTTGCAAAATGAGCCTTGGCAAAGGTGAAGCAGAGTCTGACAGTCCTCCAGGCTCTGGCTTATGTACTGGCTCAATTATCTCGATCGCAATGCCATCGCCCTCGCACGCATCAACTCGCTCGAAGAAGACACAAAACTCACGGGCTCCCAATACCAGACATGCGTGTCTATCCTCTTCGTCGGTTACATCCTCGGTCAAGTCCCATCAAACATGTTGATCACGAGATTGCGCCCGTCGTACTACATGTCGTCGTGCATGTTCCTGTGGGCTGTTGTATCGGGTCTGACTGCCATGTCCACAAACTTCACTGGTCTCTTCCTGACCCGATTCTTCCTTGGTTCGTACCGTCACATCGTCGGAGCATTTGCGGAACTAGCTAACTTCAGTCCGTAGGTGTTGTTGAGGCCCCTTACTACCCAGGAGCGTTGTACATCCTTGGTATCTTCTACACTCGAAAGGAGCTAGCCACCCGCATCTCTATCCTCTACACTGGCAACATCCTGGCTACAGCCTTTGCAGGCCTGATCGCCCTTGGCATTTTCGAGATGGACGGGTAAGTGGATTTTGATGCGTCAGTGCAAGACTATGTGCTAACCTCCTATCAGCATGGCTGGCCTCGCAGGATGGAAATGGCTGTTCATCATTCAAGGAGCTGTAACCGGGCTGGTCGCTATTGGCTCCGCTTTCATCCTTCCAGATGACCCACTCGTCACTAAGTGGCTCACTCCTGAGGAGCGTCTGCTCGCCAACAGCCGTGTGCAAGGCGACCAGGTCGGCGCGAAAGAAGCTGTCTCTGTCTGGGCTGGTCTCAAGACTGCTGCCTCCGATCCCAAGCTCTGGCTCTTCGCTTTCATGCAACACATGCACTTGGCTGCCAACGGTTTCAAGAACTTCTTCCCTACCGCAGTCGAGACTCTCGGATTTGACCAGAAGATCACGCTCACTCTCACTTGCCCTCCATACCTGATCGCTGGTGGCATCTCAATCTGGTGGTCTTACAATTCAGGCAAATTCAACGAGCGAACATGGCACATTACTGTCGCGAAGGCAGTGGCCATCTTCGGTTTCGTACTCTGTGCGGCGACGCTGAACACCGGTGCGCGCTACTTCGGAATGGTTGTCTTCGCCATCGGCACATACGCAGTGAATTCGATCATTTTGGGTAAGCAATTCCGCTTGAAAATGCAATGCCTTCCGACGCAAATGCTAACATATCTGATTTTAGGCTGGGTATCTGCCACTTGCGGACAAACGAAAGAGAAGAAGGCCTCTGCACTTGCCATTGTCAACACCATTGCCAACGCATCTTTCGTCTGGACTCCATACCTATGGCCATCCTCAGACGAGCCACGCTACGCAATTGCCATGGGTGCATCAGCTGGCTTCTCTATGCTCTGCGCTGGCGCTGCTTGGGTCATGCGCATTTGGCTGCAACGCACCAACAGGAAGATTCGACAAACGAACGATGAATCGATTCTGGCGTACGCGTATTGATCGCGACGCATAGCAGAACATCTACTGCATGATTGATGATTGTCTTTTACGATACCATAGCATATGAGATGCATTGTTTATGAGTAGCATGAATGCATAGCCAGAGAGCTACTGAAATATATGATCTACCAGATCTCAAGCAAATACTTCACCTCTTTACTTGGTCCTTTGTGTCTACGTGCGCATTTGGTACAGATTTCAGGGAAGAACATCCGCTTCGTGACAACCCCAGCATTGCCGCTCCTGGCCCGCTTCGTCGTCGCTCCTGCTCACGTTCATTCTCAAACGCAGTAAGGAAAGGAAAGAGCATCGCCAAGCAACACTTGGCGCCTGATCGCTTTTGCTCCGCGACAGGACCGTCTCACATCAACACCACACACACCACGCACCCAAACATGACCATCGTTTCATTTCGCTCCGGACAGATGACCGTACACCGCGACGAACCCCGACCGCAGAGGACGCTTCACTACCTGCGACACAGCCCACACTCACCGCTGGCTCCCCAAACGACCGGGCTCAAGTGACGCCGGCGCAGACGTCTCGAATTCCCTTCAGTCGCCTCTTCCTGCACGCTGGAACACGGGAGACAAGCCACAAGGACACCCGCGCATGACTGAGCCGCTTTCTCTTCGACATGCACGTCAGAAGTAGCGGCGCTGTTGTACCTGTCCGCGTCTCAGAAGAAACCGCGGCAGTGTGCTCTGGCTGAAAGATTAGCCTGGGACTGGCGAGCCAGCGCGCAAAACCGTCAACTGGGTGCGGTGCTCGTTGCAGTATCCGTAAATCTGGCACTCGACTGGATTGTCCTCGTCACATCTTTCGCGGTGGTTGTGGAAACGCTGGGCGAGTCGATACACGAAGCGCTGCCGCAAGTGGATTTCATGTTCGCTCGCGTGCGTTCGGTGCCTCTTTTTGCTTCATTCCCATGAGCTGCTAGGCGACTTCAGGTGATCGGCAGCGTTTAGAAGGTCGTCTGCGAACGTAGGGCGAGGAGGCGGTTGAGCGAAAAACTCCAGCAGCGTCGGATGCCGTCGTCATGTGCACGGATCCTATTGCTCTATATCTTCGCGAAATAGCATTGCACTCAAATCGCAAATGGGTCCAACAATGTTTCATCTCGCATGGACCTTACCATCTGGCATGGTCGGACATTGCCATAACTTCCAAATGTGGTAGAGGAGACGCTATGCGAAATCAGGAACCATGAGTCGTGCAATATTTGCCGTATCTCTTGAGGCCCTGGTCCTGCACTTTTCTTCTTCATCAAACTATGCCTAGGGTTACAAGCTGGCTTTCGAGAGCGTGAACTCCGAATTAGGGAACTCAGCATGCGCCACTTCATCAGCGACTTCACCGACATGCCGAGTTCGTTATGTTGCCGCTGAGCATTCACGCTCTGTTCTGTCCAACGCAATCTGATTATCGAAGCAGGCAGATCACACGTTGATGCCGAAACAAGAGCTGGGATCGTTTATCAGATCACTGACGATGGGCGAAGACAAATGGTACCGTGTCTCGTGCACTCTCGCAACACACAGTCGCACTGATGCCACGGCGCCACCGCCAATACAACATTTATATCACACCAGCGTGTTGGGAAGCATGACTACTATGTTCTTTACATTATGGCAGTACTTGCCTTCCAGACGAGCGGCGATGAGTGACAGGCCTGAAGAACGAATTGCGTTTCAGCGACTGGCATGATCCTTGCTCGTTATACGGGCCATGATCTGCGAACAGGCGCGGACCGCTAGCAGCACAACGTCAACTTCAACCACACTCGTTCCCTCCAGCCATCACACATGCAGTCGGACATATTCGAGGGGCGAGAATCTGTGTCCTCTGCTGTGGAAACATCCAAGCTCGCAGCGCGGCGGATCTGGGCCCTCCGCCAGCAGTTCGCGACGGTCTATCGTTTTAACTCTAATCACCAGAATCCATATCAAGGTTTTTGCTCCCACCTTCCTGGCAGGGACATCCAGCTCAGCGGGCACATGGAACAAACTCCCAATACCTTGCCGTCATCATAACAGGCTGCAGTGCGGCGCAAATGCCAGCTTCGAAGCTTTCATGCATGGACGCCAGGAGATTGATGCTTCCAAGCTTGGCCAGTTCGTTATACTGTCGATCATGGTGTACCTGTCAGGGCGCGTACGAACGAGGCAGAATCCCATTGCATCCCCAGCTGAACCTTCCTTTGCCGAGATGGTTTGCTATGGATACGCATGGCTTCGACGGGACTGACATGAGATAGGCGATGCGTCGCTGCAATGCAGACCCACGATGTTGCAATGCGAGGAATATGCTCCAAGTTGAGACAGTACGCACCTTTCGAGGATCTGAGCAAAGAACATCAATCAAGGACGTTGAAGTGTTTCAGCCGAATGGTGGATCACTCACCTTTAGGAGCATGTTGTCGAGCATGAGAAGTGAATTCTGCGGATGCACAAGGCGCTTGTTCAGTCAATCTGGCCATGACAGGGTACCCACAACCATTGACCATGGCTTGCTCGTGCACTCTTCGCCCCTCAGAGTTGAATTGCGCTGCTGGAATTAGCAGGGCATGCAGTTCAACAGGTCTTCTTGGCACGTGGTCCTCGCGCCCCCTAGCTGAGCCAGTCGAAGAGGTTGTTGCGATATATAAGGTATGTTCTCAGCGACACTCTCTTTCTTCTCATCAGCAAACTGCCATCGCCTCTCTGGTAACCGGTTCGCTCCACATCCAACTTTTACATTCGTTTTATAACACCCACACTCGTTTCGGCACGACCACACCCCCACACAATGAAGGCTTCTACCGTTCTCGCAGTCCTTGCGACTGCTGTTCTGTCATACGCCTCTCCTGTGCCTGAAGAGCAATCGCAGCAGGGAGGCTACCCAGGCGGTGCACCAGGCGGCATGCCTCCTCCAGGCTTCGGTGGTCCTCAGGCCGCAGGCCTCAGTCAAGCTGGTCCAGGTTTTGGTGGTCAACTTCCACCACAAGGTTACGGCGGCGGCGGCGGTGGCTACGTTCCTAACGGTGAGACTAGCAAGACTTCTTCTGGGAGCGCATTACTGACGTACAGCAGCTCTCCCTCAGCCCGTCCCTGGCGGCGGACCGATCGGAGGAGGTGTTCCACAGCCACCACCATTTGGCGGACCTTCAGGATTCCCGCCAGGACCGCCACCCTTCCCTCAACCCGGCGGCTTCCCTCCAGGACCCCAGCCTTTCCCACCCGGACCCCAGCCTTTCCCACCCGGACCCCAGCCTTTCCCACCCGGACCACCACCATGCGGGCAGTGTGGAGCTTTCCCACCTCCTCCATCCCCACCACCACCGCCGTTCCCATTCCCACCACCACCACCACCACCAAACCCATGTGGTATTCCAGGTGGCTGCCTTCCTCCTCCTCCTCCACCAGGACCTTGCTCTATCAGCACGCAACAATCTTGCTGCAATGGCAACACTGGCGGTCTTCTGCTCGGTGGCAACTGCGCTATCATGATCTGTGAGTATTTTCAAATCTGTCGCTGACTACCCAACTGATTCACTCCAGTGTCCGATCCTTGCAGCAACCAAGTGGCATGCTGCCCTACAACCAACAGTGGTCTCCTCGGCATCGGCGCGCTGTGCGACCTCCTCGATCTATAAACGAACGTCTCCGGATGATCATGCCGTACCTCCTTGTGGGGATGATGAACATGGCGGCGGGTGGTTACTAGAGGCGCTGCCAGCTACGGTACTCCGAGGCACGCAGGTTTTCCTTTCTTGATCAAGGTCTGCATGACAAGCCGCTCCGTAGTGAGCTAATCGTCGGACATTTTCTACAACACACGGAGAGGCGCATTGTAATTAGTGACAGCTCGGATCTCGTAATGAGCAGCGCAGTTTTGCACAGCATATTTAGGGGAACTGTTTATGATACCACGCTTCTTTTTCCGCTCTCGTTTCATTTCTACGGTCTGTTGCTGACTATGAACTGAATTGCTCTAGACACGGCTAAAGCCTGAATTCCTCGCAGGTCTGGACGAGCCACAATCCGCTCCCTGTGCCACGGACGACGACGGCATCGACTTCATCGAGACCATCTCAAAGTGACCAACGCAACCGCAATCTCGGCCTCTCGAATACCAACACCGATATCTCTCTGCACCAATTTCCGCATACTTGCCAGTGTACCAACGCTGATGTGGGTGCAATCTCTCCATGACCAGGCAACCTGATCCCGGACTATGTCAAGACCTTGCATTCCAGGCGTCGTCTGTCTGTATGCAGGAACCGGACATGGATGAGCTCGATAAACACGCAGTGACAAGGATCGCTCCACGAACTTGACCAGGCTGTGAACTTTACTTGGACAACGCATGGGCAATATTCCGCGGATCTGGATCGAAGACGACTCGGATGGGATATTTGGGAAGCGCTTGAAGCGGATGGAGACCATTTTGGGCTCATGGAAGGCGAGGAGCAATTTGCTGAACGAGAAAGTTTGTTTGGCCGCGAGGCTGTCACGCAGATCATTCGGAGTGCTGGTGCGGGACTCATAGATTCCTGTTTCTCCTCGTTGGGGCAGAGAGCGAGGTAGAAGATGCAATGCCTTATTCACAACTCAGCGCAGGCTGATGATCTGTTCAAAGTCCATGTCGGCCATCCGTTTTTGCAGGAATATCCATTCGAAGATCTTCTGGCAGGATCTCTGGTACTGGAATCGCCCTCCAGTGAACCGTATCTCGGCTCCGAAAGGTATTTCAGAATTGGTCTCCAGCATGCAGAGCGAACGATGCCGATATGGTAACGCATGGACCTTAGACCGAGCTCACCTAAGAGACGACGATAGTATGCCACGCTCCGATGGTAACATCACTCGGGCAGACATTCCTGACCGGGCTCGACGAGTCGACACTTTTCAATCTCAGCAAGATGCAACTACAGGATGCAATACCACAACATCGCGACCACACGTGACGTTGGCCATCAATGTCCTCGCCCAGACTTGTGCCAAGTCAAAGTTGCGACTTGGTATGCCAAACATGCTCAGAATCTCAAGCGAATCCATTCGAGGGAGTCTGTGGCTCATGATCTGTCCAATTGTTGGCCGTGTCTATCCTCAAGACGGACATTCCAAAGGCAAAGGTTTCTTGGCTCGCGTGGCAGGCGATGCAGGGCATTCGAGCTGTAGACTCTTCTTAAGAAGCTGCCGGTAGGTCGCATCGACAAGAGGAGCGCTCAATCTCTCGCCAGGTGACTTACAAGTCATCGTTCTGCCCACTGAAACTCCTTTCTCGAACACTCCGCCGACAGACTACCATCAAGGACAGCAGCAACGAAAACCACAATCCGGCAAGATGGTCTCCTCTCGCCTCGCTCTCCTCTTCGCAACCACTTTGCTGGCCAGCAATGTAGCAGCACAAGAGACTTCCTCGACCTCATCTGCGGCTCCCAGCGCTTCCACGGGCGTTCCTACCGAAGTCACTTCCTGCCACAGCCATGCCGATGGCTACTACTGCTTCGAAGGCGAAACCGAGTGGAAGGTGACGACCGAGATCGCCAATGAGGACGACGCGCCGGAAGAATACACCGCTTGCACAGCTGGCGCCAACAGCGATACAATGTAAGTGCCCACAGAAATCCAGCAATTCGTCGTAATATGTCTGACTGACCTGCTTTCCAGCCAATGCAACGACGCCTCAGGCGCACAGCTTACACTCGCTCGCGAAGGTTCTGAAGCAGCAGAGGAGGACCACGATCACGACCACAGCGGCGAAGACCATGACCACGATCATGCTGAAGAAAGTGCTTCCGAGTCTGCACCTTCTGGATCTGCTTCCGCCACCACGACTCCATCAGCCTCTGGAGCGGCGGCTGAGACTACGCCATCGGAGACGACTGCTGGCAACGCAGGAAACGCAGTGATTCCTGCTGCCGGAATGTCGCTCGCCGCGCTTTTCGCGTACTTGCTTGTTTGAAAAGGAGCTGGAATGAGATAAGTCCATTCGCATGAGCATTCTCTTTCGCGAGACGACAGCCTAGAAAGAGCGAAATCGGCAGTAAGGTTATAGCAGAACAGAGCAACCCGATGCAGAATGCAACAAATCGGCAATGATGCCAGCAATTCTGTTCTCTAGTCCAGCCCTTGTCCATAGTGACTTAGAACTATCGGAATTGAAACATCACTCACCTTCACACTGGCTGGAGTAAGCCATCAGATGGGTCAAAATTGTAATTCGGGAATCCTACAAACTTCTTCCACCCACCATCATGTTCTGCAGTACTTGGGTATCTTATTGCGCACGAAATGCTGATCTGCCTCTTCTCGTCACAAAACAATGCCATGCTTGTTCAGTCCCCAGTCCGTATGCTTGCGGACCGTACAATTGTTCATGCTCCTTCGGGGATCACGCATCGCTGACACCCTCCTTTCACCACATTCCCAATGATGTGAGCGTGCGCGACCTTTGCTCCAACACTTCTCCCGCTGTATCCCGAGTCCTGCCCTTCTTCTGCGGCGCGGTGCATCTCATCCAGCAAGTCTTCTGCTTCACGCGTTGCGTGCGTATCGGGATTCGCGTCCAGAAGACAGGATAAGTGGTAGACATGCCCGCAAGCGAAGCCGATGAGAGTTTCCTTTTCTGTTGCATAAGTCAGTGAATTGTCGCTGATTCGTGCTGGGCGGTGGATGCAATACTTACCGTCTTCGTGGAAAACCTCATCACAGCCGACGCAGTGTCCCGGCCTTGCAGGTCTTTGGGCGACTTCGCTCTTGGCATCGGTCTTGCTCAGTCGTTTTGGTACAGGTAGTTCCTCGCCATCCGGCACCTGCGTAGGAGGATCGATGACGGCAAGATTCACTTCGGTAGAAGTCTCATGCTTTACCTCAAACCGCACGCCCTTCTTACGGCCCGCACGAAGCGTGTCCATACCCATGCCTACCTCACCTCTCAGCACTCTAGCTACGCCCTCTGAGATGGACAGCTGAATCTCAAATTCGCGGACGAGGCGCTGAATGCCGCTCTTCAAGCCTTCAATTTCAAGGCCCTCGGGTATGCGTCGCACCACGTCTATTGGATTGAATGCTGCCGCGGCGCCGACTTCTTCTAGGAGACCACGTATAAACGAAGGTTTGTCCATGCTGTAGTCCAGCAGGTCGTTCCACAGATCTGGATGCTCTTTCGCAAAAGCAATGGCTTGCGAGACATCGCCCAGCTCGCCAATGATCAAAAACAAAGCACGCTTGGTTTGTCCCGTCTTGCTGAGAATATGTACCAGCTCCGGAATATAGTGCCGTTTCTCACATATCTCAGCTGCTTTGTCGAAGCTGTAGACTTCGGATGACTTCAAGAATGTGAGCAACAGATCACGATCATACTCAGCGAAGAGGCGAATAGCCAGGTCGGCATGATCATTGACCAGCATGTGTCCCTCGTCTATACGGCGATCGAATTTTCGTCGAGGAGCAGCATTTGCGCTGCTGCTTGGTGACGAAGCACCGTTCCAGAGTGCGCGGAAATAGAAGAACAGGAATGGCTGGAACTTGTCGCCTTTACTTTGCAACTGAGCAACGACTTCAGGCGTAGGTATCGTCCCGCGGTACGCCTCTTCCACAAGCAATTGCACTGCCTCGGTGCTGGCCTCCTCCAGTTCGGATAAGGTTGCTGATCGCATCTGTTCTCTGCTAACACGAAGCATCAGGAGTCCTGGGATATCATCTGCGACAGAATCCAGCAGTTTTTCTTCTCTCATCAAGCTGAATGCCTTCTCCGCATCTTGAAGCGCGATATAACATCTCAAAGCGTCTACAGCTCGGTTGTCGGCAAGATACAGACGGGCGAGCGCATCCATCAGGGCTCGCCAGTCTCGGCCCTTCTCCCCATCTTCTGTAGTATCTTTGGTCACTTCGCCACTGTCCAAGCGATCCTCGATGGCACTGATGACGCTCTGAACGTCGAAGAGCTCCGGATCCCACTTGTCCAACAGATCTGTTAAACGAGAGACATCCTTGACAATGTAGTGACCTAAAATCACCTCGTACACCAGGCTCGGTAGCGGAGGTTGCAGCGTCGTTGATGGAATGTATGGCGTTATCTCGTCGAATTTGCTGGACTGAGCAAAAGTCCACACCCAGTGCTCCCATCGACTGCTAGTTCCCAGCACCTTGCCGGCAACCTCTCCCGCGCGCCGCCAATCTCCAGTTGATACCAATTGTTGCAGCCAGAGATCGCCTATACGCCTCTTTTCTCGCTGTGGAGCAGCGTTGTGAGCACGCAGAGCATTAGCAGGATTTGTGGCCTGCGAGCTGGAATCAGATCCGAAAAAGTCGGCGAGACTCTGATTTGTCCCGGTTTTGTTGGGGGAAGTGGGAGTCGATGAGACGGACTGTAGGTCGGCTGTGGATGCATCGACAGCCTCCGGATGTTCGTCAATCAGCTTCCAGGCATCTTCGTAGTGCTCGTGCTCGAGGAGCCATTCAAGATGATCAGAGAGTTCGCGCTTCACAGCTAGCACGCAATCAAAAGGGGAGTGAATAAACAGCTTCAGGCCAGGTTCCAGTGAGTATGGATGAGCGTCCACGTTGCGAGTGAGTACCGGGGTCGAGGTGACATCCATTCCAGAGCCCTGACGCCCAGTAGACGCAAAAGACATTGCTCTGCCGTTCGCATCTCGATCTCCACTGCTGCCACTGAAGACACTCGCGCTCGATGAGAAGATCCTCGTGGCATAGCCACCACTTGTGACTGCGACATCGCGAGTAACATTCCAGAGCTCGCCAAGCTTTCCTCTTTCTTCTTTCGCACTTTTTTCGGGCAATGGGGGAGGCATGTAAAGCGTTCCCAGGTGATAGTCCTGCGACGAAAGAGTCTCGTATCGTGATACAGCCAACTCGTCGAGCTCGACCTCTTCACCATCAGCCACATTGACAAGTCGAAGATGTGGTGCCAGACTAGTATGTCGATGCTGACGGCCTGTTTTCGTAGGGGTGCTGGACTTGTCCTCGGAGAGAGGTGCTTGCATGATGGGCTTGTCATCGTCGTCTCGCGTTCGATATGCCAAGATCGCCAGGAGTGAGGGCGTGTACAGGCTGATACCCGAAATGATACAGTCTCGGAACTGCATCTTATGTATGATGTCTGCGCTGCCCACTTGCCTCTTTGCGTTGGGTGACGAGGGCACTGAGCTTCCTGACTGCACATGCAATACCCACGCGGTGTCTCCCCAGCCCACGACTAATCGCTCAAACTTCTTCTTGCCTTGTGTTGGACCATCTGTGTTGTTTGTGCCATTCGCGCCTTTCGAATGTGTCTCTCCACGACCAGTGGCTAGCTCGTCGCTCTCCAGACCCTGCTCATCAATCCACTCACATCGGCCTTTCCACACGCCAACCATGTCTTCCCACGTTTTGCGATTCGGTCTCGCCGCATGTGCTATACGCTTCCAGGCGTCTTCCCGATTCTCGCTACCAAGCTTGAGGTGACTTCGCATGATCTTGATGCCTTCTTCATTGACCCATACGACCCATTTCCCACTCAAGCTCCATTTGATATTGCTGATTGCTCCTTCGCCCGAGTGCAAGATGGTATCCGTGCCGTTGTTAGCCCCCAACCCAATTGCTCCAAGCCAACCCGTCGCCGCAGCTGCCGCACTGTTTGTATTGGCGTCTATGCTGACTCCAGCCCTCCCGCCAACGGTTAGTATGAGCTTCCCAGCTAAGCCGGCAGAAAGATAGGTCCGGTCGCTCTTGTATTCTGGCGAAAGAGCCACCGCATTCACGGGACGCGCGAAGTTGCGAAGCTGAACATCCTGAGGATCAACCAGCGACTGCACGCATACGTGCCCATCTTGGGAGGACGTAGCGATATATATTTGGTTGTTCGGTGTGTTCGGAACAGCGGCTTGCTGTGATCGCTGCTGTCCTCTCGGCAACGATGTGCTGGTGGCAGTTCGCGTAGGAGGGGCCAGCTTTTTGTCGGTGGGCAATGTGGCCTGTAGCAGTGAAGCGCTGCCGTCCTTGGACTGTACCAGTACTGGTGCAGGCGGCACCGGAGACACGGATACGCTGGTCACGCTGGCCGAATGCGCCTTGTAGGTGCGCAAGCTCTGTAGCGTAGGCACAGCGAGGACATGTACGCTGCCATTTGCTGTGCCCACGACCATCTTGTCGCCATACACGCCAAAGGCGGTGGTGAGATCGCCATTGCGGTACACGTTGGATAGGCTCGGGGTCAGCTTCGCGTACTTCAGCTTGGGCTCGTCGTCGTCGTCTTCGCCGTCGTCGTCGTCGTCGTCGTCCTCCTCCTCCTCCGCCTCGTTGTCCTCTCCGCCATCGTCATCAACCTGGAGGCCGGAGTGGTGCTGCTCCTCCGTCTCCTCCTCTTCCGTGCGTGGGGGCTGCGCAGACATGCTGCATCACCCATCGAGGCGAGTCGTTATCGCTTCATGTGGTCCGGAAGTGGGCACGTCGGTCTGGCCGTGAGTCGTGTTGTTGGTCATGTCGTCTGAGTCCGCGTTCGGCCAGCCGCGAGAGAGCTTGCAGCTGTGCCCGACGATCGTCATGCCGCCGTGTTTCGTCAACCTTCCTCACGCTGCGCAACTGCAGCCACATGGCATCAAACCGAGCAGCGACATTCATCGCCTTTCGCGCCGTGGTCAAACGATCGCTCACGACGCTTCCCGCCACGCGCAGCGCTCCCATCCGCCGCTTGCAAGCTCCGCAGCTGCACAGCACGTCGGCAGCTTGTGCTCGAAAGCTACCGCGGAATCACTTCACCTCCAACCGTGTTCTACGCCAGGAGCAGAATGCTGCCGTGTCGAACGAGCACAAGCAGCGGAAAGCTGCCAGTAAACGCGCCACGAACAATTCCCTGCGCAAGGTCGCCGTCGCTGCGCAGACCCAACGAAACGACTTGATCAAGGGCAGTGGCAAGACGCGACACGTCGACCCCGATGCAGACCTGAAAGAGGTGACTGCATACTGCGCGGCCGAGAAGTACAATCTCAGCAGAGCGCGCTGGGAGCTCGACCGGGAAGGCTACAAAGCGGATCCGTTCGGCACCAATTTGTTCCCTCAAGTCCTCCACGTGCAGACGCCGAACTATGAGCTCAAAGATGAAGCCAGCGGCGAGGACAAGCCGCAGGGTCCAGGAGATGTTTTTGTCTTTCCCTCAGGTTGCGTAGTGGCGTGGAATGTGCCTGACAAGTTGGCCAACAATATAATTGAGCGCTTCTTGCCAGCGGCGACAGGTAAGCACCCGGGTGTATTTTACTTGCATTCGATTCGTGCAACAGCCAAGGCTTCTTGCCTTCTGTGTCTACACTGATCACGAGCAGCTGAAGGATGAGCAACCTAACGTCTTGCAGAGAACACTGGACATCCAGAAAGGATGGAAGTCGAAGACATGGACTATGTAGAGGACCCGAACAGAGACACAAGTCGCATCGTAGGCGACACTATCATACTTGGTACCATGACGGACTCGGGCAATGACAAGGCTTCCGAAGTCGATACGGTTTTAGCCAAGATCGCCTTCTCCTCTGCGCTCGCTCGGTCTACGAAACTGGCAGTGCTGGAAAACGCACTATCGAATTACTTCGGCACCACGATGTCTATTCCATTAACATTAAGCTCTGGAAAACCACTGAAATATACTCAATCAGAAATCCTCCGCAAAACTGGCGAGCTACTCTTGATCCGAGCACAACTTAATCTCTACTCAGAGCTTACGGACAGCCTGCCGGACCTCTTTTGGGACAGCCCACATGAGCTCGGGCTGGAAGGCTACTACGATATGGTTGGCAAAGCACTCGATGTCGGAGTGCGTATCAAAGTACTCAACGAGAAGATGGACTACGCCTCTGAGATTGCTGCCGTGCTCCGCGAACGACTGAGCGAGAAGCACACGTCGATGTTGGAATGGACGATCATATGGCTCATTGTGATTGAAGTTGTGTTTGGTGTCATCCACCTGTGGTGGGACAGCGGTGAGTTGCAAGAGAAGAAAGAAGACCGCAAGGTCATGGAATTACTAGAGCAATATTTGGAAAGGGAATTGAACAAGAAGTCAACATGAGAGGAATTTCAAACGAGATCTAGATGAGGAACACCCCACTCTGTCCATATCACAAAAGAGAGACTCAACAAACAGAATAACACTGGCACAACAGCATCTATCTACGATCCAAGCGAGGCCGCCGAAAAGTCGTCCTAGCTGGACCTCGAGCGGCATTGTCGTTCAAGCAGTTGTCGTTGCGGCTCCGAATTCCATCAGAGGAACGAAATCAGTCCGAATCGTGCGGGCCGCTCGAGTGCAGCGCAACGCAGTGTAGAACCAAAGCACAGCGCCCTATCGCCACACGCCAGGTACTGGGTATGTAAATTAATTGCATACGGTGCCTGGTCTACAGATGCAGGAGACTGTCTGTCAAATTTGCAATCCAGAGGCCGCCCGTCGCCCTCTTTCGCTAAACACTTCAGACGCCAAACCCCAGCAGCTGTGCCGCAAGAGCGCAGTGGAGCTGCAGCCAAGACACGCCAGCCTTCTTGTTGGCAAAGATTATCTTGCGCTCCTGTCCTGTCGACGCACACCATGTTTATGGTGATAGAAACGTTCTAATTCCAGCTACGTGATGCTCGACAAGGGTAGCCGTGGCCCCTGAAGAATCGTTGCTGTGCCACATTGGAGGTCACGCTATGCCGAGTTGAGCGTCCTCGCAGCAGAGCGGTCGTATAAATACGTCGATGATTGCAATCAGGTCACAACAGGATCGAGGTGGACAAAACAGGAACCTTCCACGCGGATCCTGCCTGTCAGCATTCTTCTCGATGGCTTCTTCCGGACGCGCTCCGACGGCGCTCATGACTAGCGCGAGACCCAGCCTGCCAGAGGATAAGTCCCCCAAGGTTACCTCTGCACCATCACACGCGGTGGCGTTGCCCGTCCAGCATGTAGACAAGGCCAACGACGACTCCTCCGAAGCAGATAGCATCGTGGCTCGCAAAAGGCACGACCGCGACGATGAAGACCACATTGGATCATCAAAGAAGCAGAAGCAATCCGAGGAACTTCACCGAAACGCTCAGCCATCGACGAAAGCAGAAAACCAACAGAAGTGCGTCGCTGAGATAGTAGAAGCTTGGGGCGAGGACTATAAATCGTGGCCAACGCATCAATTTGCGCCCTTATGTGCTAGGAGCTCTAAGTCGAGCACTGAGGATGAAGACGATTTCAGGAAGAGGCCAACCAGATGGCATTTAAATCTGCTCAGGCCAGTAGTCGACCTTTCGAAGCTGACAGCGGAGAGAGAAGTCATCAAGAGGGCTTTGCAGCAAGCCATCGATGCACGACTGACGGAACCTAGCAGTTCCGCACCATCCAGTGCCATGACTGCCCAAGACATTCACTCCGCGATCACAAGTATCAAGATGGGCGCTTGGAAAGAGTGCAAGCTCGAGGAAACGATAGAACCAAGCTTGACCCAAAGCGCGACAGCATCTCCTCGGCCACGTAAAATAATCGTCCGTCTGCCGGCGCCCAGAGCAATCGGCGCCCTGACCACGACTTCCATCCGCGACAATTCCGAAACGACGAGTGTTTCTGACGAAGGACTCCAAGNACGAAACAGAATGCAAGTGCCTGATTATTTCCCTCAGCCACAGAGCCGAGAACATGATGAGATCCTAGAGCAGCTCTTCGGTCCCGCAGAAGACGCTGAGGACAGATTCATTTGCGAGAATGTCCGCCAGTACATCAGCTTCATGAAGAAGAAGAAGGTCCTTGGTCAAGAGAGGGCGGACGTATACCGCAAAGTGGCCGAAATCGACCGCAAGGCGAAGGAATTGAACCAAACTCGGAAAGAGATCCGGGGACTGGAAGAGTTCGAAAGAGGAGACAAAGATGATAGGCAAGGTTCGCTTTCACGTTTGGCGAGCGAGGAATTGTAGAGTACAGGGACTTCACGAATTTTACATTACGACTTTGACACCGGAAATGTAGACTATAGCACATAGAGGATGTAGAGGACCGAATTTTGAATTAGTGGCTATCCGCTCAAGGTTGGCTCGAGCATGCATCTACCTCTGGCAGTAATGTCTGCGGACTCGATGTTCAAGTCCACTGCTCTAATACCAATGCACATGGTTGACCAATGTCTCTACAAGGGATGCCTTCGGATCCAACGGCAGCATTTCGTTGCTAAACTTCTGGAGACAACCGTAAGCGCAAGAATCGTGCTGCGTGTGAACGAGAGAGTCGCAAGCAACGAGTTCTGGAGGATGTCTCCTGCTTGTAATCAGCCACTCGCCTCTCTTCAATTAGTCGTCTCTCCAATCAGTCATCTCTCCAATCCGTCATCTCTCCAATCTGTCATCTCTCTAATTAGTCATCTCTCCAACCAGCCATGTCCTCAATCAGTCATCCCTCCAAGCCGGGTCGATGTGGATCAGAGTCTGGCGGTTCGTCTCTAATGCTTTCTCGACCGTGTCCCAAGACACTTGATCCGTCAAGGCTCTGGCCGTGGAGAACATTGCCCCGATGGTGTAGAATGTGATTTCGTCTCTCATCAATAGATGAGTAGCATTGTGGCCCCAAATCATGCCGCAGGTAACTTCACGAAGAAAGTATCTCTTGATCCATGTCATCAGGTTGTTCCAGTTTGGTGTTGGTGACCAGGAGTTGAGGCAAAAAGTGGCCTGGACTCGAACTGACAAGCCTCGCTGTTTCATGGCGGTCAGGTGGCGGCACAGGGCGTACATCACTTGAGAGTCATAATCGGTGACCACGCTCTGGAAGATGTTCTCTTCGTAGTAGATTGCTGTCGCTTCTGCTGCAATCTGCTGGCAGACACCGAGAAGGCCTGATCGGGTATACCCGGTGTGGCTGACTAGCACATCGTGCTCCTCAACGAGAACGAGTCTGTAGATCCTGCGACATGTCAGCTTCGAGTCTGCATCTTGAAGACAGATTTGACGCACCTGTTTCTGAGCTCGCCGGGAAGACTGAAGAAAGGCGATGCATCCTGGCTTGAAGGTTTGAGGCTGCTCAGAGGAGGCTTCCGAGTCGGCGCGGTCGAGGACGCCATGCTGGCAGTCGGCAAGGTCGACTCGAGTGGTGGAGAACAGTGGTGATTGCGGCAGAAGTAATGGATTGCAGAGCGATGTTAGAAGTCATGTTGATTCGAGGCATGAAATGGAGCAAACAAAGAACATGAGTGGTGGCGCCAAGACTACGGCCATTCACTTGTGCGTGGTGACAAGTGACGGCTCAGGAGGCACCCCATACTATAGTGTATGACATGTGACTTGTCTTCATTGTCAGGGTCAAGTGCTGTTCATTTATTTCTGTACGACTTCAACCCTGTGCAGTAGGTCTCCAGCCAAAGTAGCTATCTCAGCCAGGATTGCGCTTTTGTTGATCGAGGCTTGTACATCCTCCTCTTCATCTTGCCCCTTGACTGGTGTCGTCGAGTAAGCGAGATTGACCTTCCACGCCCTCTTCGCAGTTACTGGACTCCAGAGCCCTGTGATAACATTCCGCTCGTGACCACCATAGAAGAACAGAATCGCAGACCCGTAGATGTTGTCAAGTTCCGCGATCAGTTCGCGCACGGGGTCAAAGCCAATCAGCGACGTGTCATCCAGAGATGACAGCTCGAAGTTCTTAAATTTGCCGCTTGATCGTTTCGCTTTTCCACCAGAGGCCACATCAGGAGACAGATGCAGCACGAAGTCGAAGTCCGTAAGGGGCGACGAGAACAGACTCGCAGGCTCCAGACCTAGCTGCCTTTCGGAAATTTCCGCGCACGCTGCTCTGGCAAGTGCCATCATACGTCCGGCTATGACTTTGAGCGGTCGTCCATCAGTCCATGTCGTGCCCTCCTGGTCAAGATTCGAGGCAGCGAAGAGTGCGACGCGGTTCATTGCAGGGTCCAGCTTCCGCCACGCCTCGAAATTGGTTCGAATGGCATTTATCCCTGCTTGCTTGAGCTCGCCAGAAGCAGAAAGATCTACAATAAGTGGTTCAGCGCGCCAGTCCCAGCGCGATAACCAGAAGATAGTGCGAAGAAACCCTGTTTGCACTGACGAGGGAATGCTCCAAGGGGCTGGTTGTGTGAAAGTGCGAATCACCAGGAGCTCAATGACTTCCTCCGAGATGTGATTAGATAACAGATGTGAAGCGAACCACTTCTTTGTCAATCGTATTGACCCTGATAGCGCTGGGAAGTGAGTGCATAGACGCACAATTGCTTGTGTATGAGCCGGAGCCTTTTCGTAGTCGCGTTTGTACTTTGCAAGGCCAATGGTGGCCAGTTCCCTTGTCTTCGGGTCCGCAGTCTTGTTCTTCATTTGTGCCTTGAGCAACGTCTGCTCACGATCATGATATATGCGCAAACGGAAAGTGGCATCATTGTCGTATGTGACATCAAGAAATCCCTGATTCAGCACGTCTCGCCCTTCATTCTCGAGGCCGACACGTGTTGTGATTGATTTCCCGCTGTCCTGAAGCATCTTGTCGATCATAAGAAGAAAAGCAAGTTTCGTGCGTTGGATGGCCGCAAGGTCGTCAGGCCATCGCCCAGACCCCTCGAACTGTATCGTGACGTCCGCCGGGATCGGTCGACCTTTGCCGTTCAGAGGTGCCCGAATTGAACTATAGCATAGCTGCGGGTTGGCAGGCATAATCTGCCGAATCGAAAGGGGAAGATCTGTAAGATCTCTGATGTCCTGCTCGAATCGCTTGTACCTTGAGACGATCGTGGCGAATGGTGTGATGTCGCTACCGCCTTTGACCAGCTTAGCGAACCCGTCACCGGATAGAAGTAGATCATCCGTCGTCACTGCTCCGAAGTGGTGGCCAAGCAGATAGCGAATGACTTGTTCCAGCACGGGTTGGCCGCTTTCTAGCGGCGAGGCCCACACAAGACTCTCGAGAATGCTGCCGTCTTTGAAGCGACGCAACTCAGCTTTCTCGCCCCAAAATTTACGAAAGGCAGCAGCCTCAGTCTTGTTCTCGGCAGAGGGTCCGTGGTCCACAGTGCGCTTGACACTATCCGAGTTCACCATCAGACCGACAGTGATGAGACTCTTTGATTGATCGTTCGGCTGCGTTGAGCCCAGGGGCCAAGGTCCAAGACTGTCAGATGTGATGCTCAGATGGTTCACGCGATCCCCAAGACCTTGCTTCAAAACGCCATACAGCTTCGCGATTTGAGACTGGCCCTCATGTGTAGGAGCTTTCCGCCCAGCGGACACTAGCCGCCGAGGAACTTGCACCACATAATCATAGCGATACAGCGGCCCGTGAACTCGAAGAATAAACGTAGTGTCGAAGCCATCGTGGAGCTGATCGCCGAGAGCAGCAAGGGTTGACTTTGCTTCGTACCGCAGAGTCCTGTATGACCATTCCCCAAGCTTGTACAGTAGATTGTGAGATCTCTCGACATCCCAAACTACTGGCTGGGAAGGCACTTGGACGGAATTCGAAGTACCACCGATCACGATAGGGTTGTTGACAAAGTTTTTCATCGCGATGAGCTGAAGTGTCGCCTTGAACAATTGATAACTGCTGTAGCCGTCGCTCAGCAGTGATTTGCCGCTGGGGCCTCCGCCCTGTAGGCAAAGTGCAAGCAGCGTTGTCCATTCAAAATTGCCAAACCCACCGGCATCTAGCGACGAGCCAAAGCCTCGTTGGCGCAGCCAAGTGCTGCCCAAAAGACAGGCGTCCTTGAAGCCTTCACATCTCTTCGAAGCGGAATGAATGAGCTTGAGATAAGCGGAGGTGAGCATGTCTGTCCGAAGTGAAGAATTGTAGAACGGCGTTGCGGAGGAGTCATTATTGGCGGCGTCGGCACTGCGTACACAGTTTTTCTGTGGCTGCAGTTTCCCGGCAATGAATTGAGATTGACCAACGCATGGGATGATATTCACAGTCCATTGCGCAGCAGCAGCTGATGTCTCAAGCGGTGTCACAGCTATGATCGGCTTCAGCGGATCGTTGTGATGAAGCTTGAAGCTAATCTGGTAGTCTGCTTTGTGGGCAGCCTGCAGTCCAGCAGCGATGCATGCCAAGTAGTACGCCCGCTTGTAGAAGTAACGATGGTTCAAGTAGTCTTTGTCTTCAAAGATGCTTGACGGCATGGCAACAACCATGTCGACCTCGACCATGTCTCGCAATCTGCTCGAGGTCTTCAACGCGAAACTGCCAACAACATTGACGTTCACAGGCTTCGCGTAGCTGAATTTGTACTTGGCATCCCTCGCCGGTCGAGGCTCCGGAAAAGGCACAGCGATTTTCTCCTTGAGCAGACCTCTCTCCGCTTCGTCGACTAAGTATGGACCTCGCGACGGGATCTGCTCGATTGTCTTCTTCAACTTGTGCAGAGTAGCTTCGGCAGCTGTCTCTCGTTGGCCATGCCTTGGTCTGATCTGTCCCAGCAGCTCGTCCACCTGCAGTTTGAAAACATTGCTCTTGAACGTTCCGCTAGCGAAAGCCGTTGCACCTACTTGGGCTTTGCTATCCGGCTTGCGCTTCGTGTCGCGTGCCGTGTTCAAGGGCTTCGGTGTGGTGGCCGAAGTTGTTCGTTCGTCAGGTCGCCGCTCATCGTCGTCGCCATCGGTCATTTCTTCGTCCTCGTCGTCATCATCTTCGTCGTCTTCAGCGCCCTCGACGGCGTCTACGAATTCGTCGTGAGAGCTGCTGCCGTTCGCTTCAGAGTCCTGCTTTCCAGTGTTATCCGCGCCTTCGCCGAACGAGGCGAATGATGCACCGTCATCGCTCTCCTCACTCGACGAGACGTGCTCGACTTTCCGTCTCTTGAGTGCTGGAGGAGCCATGGAGTGTATGCCAGAGCCGCTTCGCATCGCAGACCAGAGCTTCGAACTTTTTGACTCGGAACGCGTTTTTCCGATCCGAAGTCTGCTAGCGCGCTTTCCACCCGTTCACTCGGGACGACCGGCGAAGGTAGCCGATATGCACGAGCAAGATCTTTCTTGTGACTCTGGGCATGCCGAGATCGCTTTCCGACCATTGCGTAACTCATTCATCCAACACTCTTCTTGTTTGCTGGACACTGGCATTGAATTGTTTGCTACTGACTCTCACGCATAGAAATTGCACAGTCTTTTAATCACTTGGAGAGCTTTGAGTTTCGATCAGCAGACATGGCAGCAGCAGCCATTGGATCGACAGTGGCGTTGCCGTTCAATGACAACTTGGGCAACACTATTCCTCCAGACACGCCGCATGTAAGCTTTCGTGTGGTGTGACTTCTCTCCACGTACCCACGCTTACCTTGGCACTAGGCTGTGAGCGTGTCGCTTCCAACATGGAAGTCCAATGTCGGATATGAGGAAGGCGAAGCATGGGTCGTCGATAAGATGCAGTGTGGTTATCCACGGTATGTCGATCTGGATGTTCCTGCTTTGATCGAAGGACTAAAAGCAAAGCAGCTTCTTCATACACAAGTCGATCCAGAAGTTTGCACGAAGTATTGTAGCTGCACATGGCGATGTCGATACGGAATACGCGATGCTGATGCCCTCGACACGATGTGCCATTCGCTGCAAGGACTTTATCAAACGTCAGTCACCAGGTGCGGACTGCTCGACGATTCGTAGCGTCGACTTTGTGCCCACACCAGAACATGTAGCTGCACACACGACCAAGATCCTGCCACGAGTCTCTGCTGTGATCTATCCTCAGACCTTGTGGCCGGCAGCAAAGGCCTTTTGGCAACACAGTGGCGAGGGCATTTCCAGCCGACGAGCTGAGTTTTGCCAACGAGCTTTTGATGAAGGCTATCTCGTCGATCAGTCTTCCCTCACGCGGCAACCACAACGCATGTCCAAAGGTCCCAGGCGATACCAGCAGAACACGTCTGTTGATCTTGGAAACCCTACGAATGGCCAGACTACGCCACCAAAGACGCCCCCGAGGTCCAATGGTGACACCGCCCACACAAATGGTGAAGACATCTCCAACTCAGCAGAATTTGTCGAGACGAGATTTGGTCGAAATTTGAGCAACGAACTCGCAGCACAAGCCAAACTCGCCATCCGCAAGCGCATCGCAGGATCACTCATAGCAGACGTGGAACTGCACGAAGCTCTTGAGAGATCTCCGAATCAAGCGACAGAAAGAACACGCGATGTGCCGGGCTTCTCGGTTGATGATGTCTACCTCTTCGGAACAGGCATGAATGCTATATTTACGGCCCACCGTTCCCTTCTCCTAGCTCGTGGACCAGCGAAAAGCATCATGTTCGGGTTTCCTTACGTCGATACCCTCAAAGTGCTAGAAAAGTTCGGACCTGGAGCACAATTTTACGGCCACGCGGATGCGAACGATCTGGACGACCTCCAACGACGTCTCGAGAACGGCGAGCGATTCCTTTCACTCTTCTGCGAATTTCCAGCAAATCCTCTCCTGAAGACGCCCGACCTCCTACGTCTGCGCTCCTTGGCAGACCAGTACGAATTTGCTATTGTCGTCGACGAAACGATCGGAAATTTCTTGAACGTCCACGTCCTCCCTCACGCCGATATTGTCGTCTCATCTCTCACAAAGGTCTTCTCAGGCGACAGCAACGTCATGGGCGGTGCCATGATCCTCAACCCCCGTTCAAAATGGTACAACGCCCTCAAAGCCGTCCTCGGAACAGAGTACGAAGACAATCAATTCGAAGAAGATTCCGTCTACCTCGAACGCAACAGCCGCGATTTCGTCGAACGCATTCGAAGAATTAACGTCAACGCCGAAGCCATCGCGGACGTCCTACGATCCTCCCAAAAAGTCAAACAAGTCAACTACCCCAAATACTCGCCTTCCAAGGCCAACTATGATGCATGTCGGTTACCAGACGGCGGATATGGAGGTTTGCTCAGCGCAACCTTCCACTCTGTCGAGGATGCCGCAGTATTCTACGATAATCTCAATACGCACAAAGGACCTTCGTTGGGGACAAACTTTACATTATCAAGCCCGTTCGTGCTGCTGGCGCATTATCTGGAACTGGATTGGGCGGCAAAATATGGCTGCGAAGTCAGTCTGGTGCGGTTTAGCGTGGGATTGGAAGATCCGGATCAATTGATCAAGGTCTTTCGCGCGGCGTTGGATGCTATACCGGAGAAGACATCGTGATGACGTAGATGTTGTATACTAGAAGATGAGATCAGTTCATTGATGGCTCTAATGCAATCGTATATGATGTTGTGTATATTCTCATGCTTCAATCCATGTGCTGTTGCAAAAAATATCAGAGACGAAATTTCAAAGCAGGCTAACGAGATGAGGAAGGTGCTGGGAGATCATTTGGTGTCTTTGGACTCTGATAGTTGTACATATTGCCACATACGGCATTCTCGAGGCGCTCATGATTTGCCGAAACTGTACGTGTTGTGGAGGAGAGACATGGCGATCAGATAGATGAGTCTAGCTCTAATCACCGTGGTAGCCCAAGGCGCCAAGTTCCTTCCTGACCTGCTCCTCAGTACCAATCTTCAGCACTTGAGTGCCCTCAAGTTTCTCGCCGCCAGCCTGTCGCATTTTCAAATCATCAATGGCGCGCAACTTTTTGAGAAGAGACCTAATCTTCTTCTCCTGCGGCGATCCAGCGGCGGGAGACGTGACCTCGACCTGAGGTGCTGGTGGCGCAGGCACAATCGTTCCATTTGCTGGCTTGGCTGGTGCTGCAGCCTGCGATGCACCCTTTGGCTGTTGTTTTTGCTGCTGAGGTGGAGCACCGTCACGTCGCCGAGATTGTGGCCGCGATCCCTTAGCTCCGGCATTCGATCGACTGCGCGAGCGTTGGGCACGGTCTGGCGAGGTGCCGTTAGCATGACCATCGCCGTTCTGCGTGGGAGCGAGTCCCGTAGCCTTAGCTTCAGCATCCTTCGCTTTCTTGGCTTCACGTTTCTTCTTGTTCTTCAAGGCGGCTTTGCTGAGGTTCTCGTCGCCATCTTGAACCAAGCTCACTCCACCTCCAGGTGCTGCACCAGGCGGCAATTGCTTCTGCTCGACAGGCTCAGCGCCGGGAACATGACGCACCCTGGGAGCGCGAGGTCCGAATGCGGTGGCAGGCTCCTTGCCAGACATCATTTCTCGTACAAAAGCTGCGCCACCCTCGTCTTCGCGCTTGAATGAAAGAGGCGTCGCAGTACCGCGAGCCCCTGGCGGACGGTAAGCTCCAGCAGGTTTCGAAGGTGTCTTGATCTTGCCCAAGAATTCGAGAGCTGAGGGATGTGGCGGACCGGCTTGGAGTGGATTGCCCAATGGATGCTGAGAAACAGGCTGTGGTCGCCAGACAACATGGTACAGCTCGTGGAAGTCCTCGTTGTACATAAGGGCGCCGCCCACGTGCCAGATACGAATCCCGTTGTCGACTCGCAGACGAGGGCTGGTTGTAGCGGTGAGAATGTGCTTTCCGTCGGGGCTCCACTCGCAAACAGAAGTGTTGCTGCCTTCGATAGTGCATACTTTCTCGTAGTTCTTCTCCAAATCATAGATATCCATCTGGCCCGCCAAGTTTCCAAAGCCGGCCACCAGCACGAAGCGGCCATGTGGAGAAAAGATGATGGTGTTCCGGGGCGCTAGGTTGAAACTGTGCTGCGCAACTGCTCGTTGATTGAAGATGGTGGTTTTGGCTGGCATGTAGCCGTAAACAACGCCGAACTCCTTCGAGTTGGGCGACCAAGTCACATCATGAATGGGTCCTTCTTTGTCCAAGGTAATGCGTGAATCGAACCCGCCGTTCGCGCTCAAGATGTACATGTTTGTCTCGCCATAATAGCTCTTGTTGGTCTTGTCCACCTCGGTCTGCGCAAGCACGATCAAGCTGGAGCCTTCTTGGTTCCACTTGAGCTGCACCTTATCGCCCTTGAAGAAAGTCTTCTGCGACACTGGAGATGCGAACTCCGGGACCTTGAAGACCTTGACGGCGGCTGGTTGGCCCTTGCGTTCAGGAATGAAGACAGCAACTGAATGTGTCTTGCCCTGAGTGATGGCAAAGTCACTGACGCCCTCCACGCGCAGCTTTTGCCATACCGTACCCAGATCTTTGCTCTCGTAGAATTGTACCTCGTTCGTGACCTGGCGCGCGCAAAATTGCTCGTCTGGACTGTACTGCAGATTCCAGCCAGTCTGACTCTTTTGCACGAACTGACCAACGACACTTCGCTCGCCGCCCGCGCCTGCGTTGTCATCAATTGTGCGCCAGACCTTCAGATTCTTGGTCGCATTGCCCTCTTCATCCTTGGAAGGACGCTGCCAGGTGATGATGAATGTGCCGAGGGGGGAGAAGCCGAGCTCGTACACATTCTCCGCTGGCAGAGTAGTGACGAGGTGTCCGGTCGACGCATCGGTGACGTTGACGTTTTCCGGCGAAGCAAAGGCGAAGAATCGGCCATCGGGGGAGTAGACGCAGCAGCGCAAGTTGCCCTCGGGGCGTGCGAAACCAGGAAGGTTGGCGTAGACTGGCGTGGCATCAAAGACGCCGACGGTCTTCGACGTGCGATCTGGGCAAAATTAGTCAATGTCCACGGCTGGCATGGCAACCAGAGGTACTCACAAGCAAGCTGAGTTGGTGCCGCCATGGCTCCTGATCCGCAGAATCGGATGTCTAGAAGGGTGTCGGGTAGTCGGCGGATGTAGCTCTAGATGGGCGCAAGCTCGTTGTCGTGCTTGGGAGGTCGAATCGGACAGCAGGGCTGAAATCGCTGGACTGAGAGAGATAGTGAAATCCACTCAGTGATGCAAGTGAGTTGGCAGCGAATACAGGCTGGCGAGCAGCAACAGCAAGACGAGCAACGGGGACGCGTTGGCCTTGGGGGAAGAAACAGAAAAGCGATGGAAGAGAGAGCGAAGCGAAAGTGTCGATGTGACGCGAGACTCCAAAAATATCTTGGCGGTGGTTGCTCGGCTGATCGCCACGGGCGGGACCCACACCCACTACCTTAAGGAACATTCGACAATAATCATTGTCAGGAACGCCATTATTCAACAACTCGCACGTGGGACGGATGATCATGCCGCACGCGTATTACTTATCATGCAATATGCTATTACTGCGCGGTGAGCTCGTGGGCTCTCAGCATTATTTTTATCCAGTGCGAGGTTCTCCCACATGCAGGCCCATTCGTGGTTAGGTTAGGCGCTCGGAACGAAAAACATGCTCCCGAGAGGCTCATACCTGGAAGCGCCGACTCCATGCGCGACTCGTGATCGGTGACCTGGACCACAGGTTTCATACTGGTCGATCTTGCCACAGACACTGGTTGCCAGAGACATGTGCAGCGTCGACACGTGGCCCTTCCTCTTCTTCTTCTGTTCCATCCTGGGGACGAAATCCAGCCGCAGTGGCATCTCTGGCCCATTGATCACTTATTAATGCTGTCCAAGAGCTGTGGTGACCTGGGAAAACTTCGCAGTGCAGAGTACCAGATTGGCGGCCCAAGGATCAACATTCAGTGAGGCTCCAGACTGGCATTTGGATAAATACGCAGAAACTCGTCGGAGCCGTGTCCGTAACTCTCTCAACAGCACAACGTATCATCTCGTCGAAAGCAGCGTGACGCTGGCTGCCCTGGCATAATTTGGATCCCCATCCCGGCTTCTTCGCGACCGGTATCGAAGAACCTTCGTTCACCCTTGCGAGCATGATAAAGCTTGGTCGATTGTGGGAGGATTCGAGAATTTTGTAAATCTTGCCGAATCCACGTATCTCTGTCGTATGGTGGCTCATCTACTATCCAGCTGGCCCACGACAAAGCCCAGACACAGGCATTCCAGAGCATTCGACCAGATCGTATCGTGGTTGTCCAGGAATTCGGTGGAGGCGTATCAAAAATTATGATTTCCACGTCCAGCGCTTTGCCTGTTGCAGCATAATGCGCGCGCAACAAGCTGCATACTTGCACTGTGGCTTCATGGCCAAAGATGTGCAGCAGCACACACTCTCTCGGTCTTGTATAAACAGTATCTTCCAGCTTCTTCATGTCATGACAGCGAAGGACCTCGATTCTTGCGTCTGGATTCCTCAGCTGGTGCTGCATTATCAGTCGCTCTGTGGCTGCTGCTGTCGCATTGGGCCACAAAGCCAAAATAACGGTGGATACCATGTTCGGACGAGTTTGAAGCAACTGAGAAAGCATCACAGCTTTCGAACGGACAACATCTGCCCGCTATGTATACCACTCATCTTTTGATGCCCGCCTCTGATCTGCATACAGAACATCATGCTTGACAGCGGTCTGTCGGTACCGTTGCTGGGACGAAGATAGCCAACGGCTCTCCGCCACAACCTCCGGACTTTTCATGCGCGCGCGGATCAAGCATCATGACAGCAGACTCCTTGCGAAGGCAGTAGTATCATTCGCATGTATCTCAGCGGCAGGTGAATTCACGGTATGCTGGAGTCATGACCTCTGTTGGTTGATTACAGTAAGAGGATAGTAAGTTGTGGGCTGGGATGGTCGAGTGCGGGGCGGGACAAGACGGAGCGATTTGCAGAAGGATGTGGTTGGTCATGGCTGAATGCCGGTACTTTCCCCAGCGTCGCTTCTCGACAACATTCGTCCCCTCAAGATACATCCACCTTATCCGGCCGAGTGACAATTTCAACCGTTTGCTACGCAACATGGCACTCTATCAAGTCTAACCGAACGTCGTCACATGTGACAATCACAAGAGCAAGCTGCTTGCGCGTTGCTTATGAGCGTTTGAACTCATGACTAACCAAAGTGCTCGTCCTCGACGACACCAACACTCGAGCATCTGCCAAGGAGATGAACAATATCACACAACAAGCATCTCTTCGACAGTCGGTACGAAATTTTGTGAGGTCTCGGATAGCCCGTAGTAAAATCGAGAAAAGTCCCGATGTCGACAATGTCGAGCTTAGCAGCAACACGAAGGCAAGCACTACGTCCGCCAACCTTTTCAGTCTGCCGGTCGAGCTCTGGTCGATGGTCATCACTGGTCTGTCGTTCACAGATCTCTCGAACCTACGATCCACCTGCTGTCATGCTCGAGAGCTGTTCCTCAAAGGCGACCTGCTGCACGACTGGATGATGGCCCAAACCCTAGGACAATACGAGGTTGTGTTAGGCCATCACATCAAGCTCTATATAGAGCTTTATCCACCACCCGACCCAATGACGTTTGATTATCTACTCGATCAGCGACGACGACTACTTTCTACCATCAGACTCACCGATGCACTAGCAGATCTCGTGGCAGAATGCAACCTGCGCTCACCCGATCGCGGACATCGTGGCAACACTTCTCCAATCTCATCACTAGTCTTCAACTCGTGCCCTGAGACTGCTCAAGTGCAAGGCAACCAGGTACCTAGTCTCCTCGTCGTTCAGCACTATTTTGAGAACATTCGAAAGAAGATGGTCGAATTCTGCGCATCAAAGTTCTCCGATACGTCCGATATATGGGATCGACTGCACGCCGTTACGATTCACATGTACGAGAAGGATGTATTCCTGTCAGCACATCGAATGTTTGAAGTACTGTGCTGGTTTATGGTGAGACTGTTGGACGCATCTGGGACTCACATAGCTGCTTTCAGCAGACGAACCGTGTCTGACCAGGACGCGCGACATTTCGTTGTAATGGGAAACCTACGCGGGATTGTCAGACTTGCAGGCCTGAAGTCATCTAAAGAGCGACAGACACTCGTCAAAGGACTGGTTCGCAGCCATGATCCTGTGAGGAATAGGCACTGGCGACAAGCTTGGCAGTTGTGCAGTCTCGAATACCGATCAAGTATGGAACCCGCTAGAGCGGTCAATGTCACAAATCTTCAATTCGGCTTCCAGGACATATGGATGCGAGAGGCGATGGATCATCTACAAAGGCATAGGATTCGGCCGGCACGGATACCACTGATGCCTTTAAGTATGCCAATTCGCAGAACGGTCGATGCCTACACTGATATCGCTGGATACCATTGTGTACAAGGCCCCGGCGCATGGTGAGCCTGTCAGCCTGTCTTCCATGACTTTCGAGATGCTCTGCGTCGAATGACTCGAAGCAGGATTGGCAGATGTGGAAGTGATGCAGTCATAACTCCCCGCGCACTATACTCCTTCGCTTCTGCAAAGCGAAGTTGCACAGCAGAAATCAGGCAGCGAGCGCACTCCGCGCCTGGAGAAGCTTTTCGTTTTCGTACTCACCCCTCAGGTGACGGAGCGGAGCCAAGGCCAGGGACGCGCATCGCGACGCGATTGGCTCACACGACTTGAATCCTTCATGAGTAACGGTGCGACGCGAGGAGCATCATAAGTCGTGGGAACTTCATCTGCCTACATATATGCTGGAAATGATATTCGCATTGTCGAGACCAGCGCATCTGGTGCGATTCCGCAACAATGGAGATCAAGGAAGCCGTTGCTTACACATTCCTCCACCGCTACGCCTTCTACCTCTTGTACTACCCTATTCTTGCGGCACTGGGACTGATTGTCTTCATCTTCGCTGTCATCATCGTTCTCACCTCAATCCGCATATCACGCAGCCCCAAAGACATTCCCTGGACTGGCCTTAAGAACAAGAACATATTTCCCAAACTACGCGCCTGCCTGCGCGAGATCATCGCAGGTCGTGAACCATTCAACGAAGGCTACGAGCAATTCTCCAAGAACGATAGACCTTTCGTGATACCAAATTTGCTCTGGACCACTGTCATTCTCCCACCTAGCCAGACGGCATGGGTCGCGAGCCAGCCAGAACATGTGCTCTCTGGGAATGCAGTCCTGGATGAAGCAATGGGGCTGGATTATTTGGCACATGGCCCTTCTGCTGACAGCGTGAGAGACTTCACTGTCATTCGTCGTCGCTTGACGCGTCACAGTGGTAAGCTTGCTGGTGAAGTTCTCGAAGAGATAGAGCTTGCTCTAGATGAAGAACTTGGTGCGAAGGTCGATGCTTCAAAGAAGGCCGACGTTGCAGAAGTCAAAGCGATGGAGATACTGCAAGCTGTCGCTTTTCGAGCTGCAAACAGGATCTTTGTGGGCCCCTCACTGAGTCGGAGTAAGAGTTACAGAAAACGCATACAGAGGTGGACCACGGCTTATGGGCTCTGCACGATCGTCATGCGATTCATCATTGCTTCTCCTTTGAAGCAGTTCTTCATGCGTGTCGTGGCGATCCCAACACAAGCCATGCAATGGCTCGCCACCAGCGAAGTGCGGGCGATGGTAAAGCAGAGGCTATCGCAGACGGAACAAGCACAAGAGCAGAAAAATGACATGATGCAGTGGATCATCGAAACTAACGCACAGAAGAATGATGCCCGAGAGATGGACCCTCACAACATTGCGGGCAAGATGATCTTATTCAATCTCTTCGCCACCGGAACAACAAGCGCCATGTCTGCACTCGTTCTCCAAGACATTTTGCATTACGAAGATGCTGCCAATCTGATGGAAACAGTACGCCAAGAAGCACTAGAATACCTCCCGCAAGTCCCCAACGATCCTGTCGCGGCATTGCGGTCCATGACGAAGATGGATTCAGTCATCAGAGAATCTCTGCGTTTCAACCCCCTGGGAGCGCAATCCATGCTTCGCAAAGTCGTTGCCGAAGGAGGCGTTCAGATCAAAACATCAGAAGGACTCGTTCACCTCCCTCAGGGAACCCATGTCGCGGTTCAAGCTGCCGCCCTCCACCGGGATCCTGAGGTCTTCGGGCCCGACGCAGCAGAATACAAACCTTTGCGACACTACCAACAGCAAACTGGTCCACGGCCCGAGAAGCTCGGCATACAAACAGCCTCAGAGAACTCTCAACAACAAGCGAGTCAGACACTCGCAATCCAGATTTCCGAGTCTTTCCTCTCTTTCGGTCTTGGTCGACATGCTTGTCCAGGAAGGTTCTTCGCCATTAACACGATGAAATTGATCCTTGGAGCTCTGTTGATCAAATACGAAATTTTGCCTGCGGAGAAAGGTGAGGAGAAGAAGTCGTTGAAGATTGGAGAAGCGATTGTGCCGAGTGAGAAATGGATTGTGAAGCTCAAGAGAAGACATGAGGAAAAGACTGAGAAACGGACGTAATGATCTGACGAAAAGGCATGGTTGAGTATACGATGACATGACCTCTTTGCCACTCCTGTCTTGTTTTATTATACTATCAGACTCTCCACTTGGGCATGGGAGATCTCAACTTCACCTTCTGTATTGTGTTATACAAAATTTATGCTTGACACGAACAAATGATGCATGCAGGCTCGTCGAATTGGACAATACACTTCTTGTAACGATTGTCATTATACAAAAGTCTAGCGCTAATCTTCAACGCAGCAGGCTCTTTCTGAGAGCTCATGTATTATTCATCAATGACAAGATATGTACAAGAGGGTACTTAAAGGACCAACTAATGTCCAAAAGTCTAGACGTTCTGTTGAGCCTTCTCTTGGCTAATGTGCTCCTGTTCCGAAGAGTCCTGACGAGTGACGGCGCCACGACCCGCAAGTACAGGATCGTACTGTGGAGTACCCGGGACTTCACCGGCAAGTTGCTCCAATGTCAAGCGCTTAGTCTCTGGAATGAGGAAAGTGGTGAAGCAGCCGAGCAACATGAAGAGCGCGAAGATTTGAAGGACGTGGTTGAGCCAAGGGCTAGGGTTGGTAGATGTGGCGCCACGAGTTCGGAGAGGAGCGATAGCGGCTTGGGCGATGATGGATCCGATCTTGCCTGAGGCGGCGGAGATACCGTGGCATGTGGAGCGGTAGCGAGTTGGGAAGCACTCTCCGGGCACGATGAAGGTTGTCGAGTTGGGTCCGAAGTTGAAGAAGAATTGAGCGAGGACGTAGCATGCTAGGAGCCCGCTCGTTCCGATTTGGTGGTATGCGAAACCCATGATGCAGAACAGGATGGTGAGGATGACGAAGCCCATGAGTTGAATTGGCTTACGTCCAAGTGTGTCGACAGTAGCGACTGTTACCCAGTAGCCTGGAATCGCACCAGCACAGACCAGAATGACGTTGCCGACGGCGATGTTGTAGAGAAACTCATAAGCGTTGTTGCCCTTGCCGTAGCCGATGGCTTGGAGAATCGTGGAGTTGTTGAGACCGACACCATAAAAGGCAACATCAAGCAGGAACCAGGAGGAAGCCGTTCCAAACAGGACCTTGCCGTATTTCCATTGGCCGATGTGCCCGAAAAAGTCTTTCCACGAGGGCTTGGGAGTCTCCAGCTGAGGCGCAGCATCGCGCATGGTGGCTACGCGAGTGAGCTCATCCGGAACACCCTCAGCAGTGCCAGCGAGGTATGCCTTCACATCGGAGCCAGCCTTGACAACATCGCGGGAGACATCGAATGTGTATCGAGGTGTTTCGGGAATCGTGAGACGGAAGTAGAGGGCGATACAGCCTGGGACAGCACCCATACCGATAACGACACGCCACATCTTGTCAACGGCAAGATTGCAAACACCATCGCAAGTGGCCTGGCTGCTGGCGCTCTGGAGAGACTCCTTGAAGCCGACAGTGACAATGAGAGCAACGATACCAGCAGCGAACTGGCCGAGACCTTGCTGAGCGAACACAGCTCCCATCATGGCACCTCTCCATTTTGTGGTCGCGAATTCGGAAGTAATGACGGAAGACAGTGGGTAATCACCACCGATGCCGATACCCATGAGAACACGCCAGAAGATGATGACTCCAACAATTTCGATGGCGGGAGAGTGGGCGGAAAGAGCCTGAGCCAGAGTTGCGAAGATGATGAGAATCAGTTCAAGACCGTACATCTTCTTACGTCCAACGACATCGGCGAGGAAACCAAATCCAAGCTGGCCAATGACGGTGCCACCAGAAGTTGCGACTTTGATGGCTGATGCGAGGTCAGTATTTCGCTGCTCGGCTCGTTGATTTCTGTGCTCTCTTACCGGTGTCAGAAGAGACCGGGAGTTTGCCTTGGGCAGATGCTGGAATGCTTGGGTCTTGGTAGTAGACCATGCCCAGCATCGTCGTCACAATACCAATGGCGAAGATATCGTAAGCGTCGGTGAAGAAACCGATGCCTGCCACTGCGATGGCACGGACATGGTACCAGCCAAAGGGTGCCTGTTCGAGAACAATCAGCATCTCCGGACCACCTCTGCTGTCCGGTTCTCCATCGTACCTTGTCGATTTCGGCGAGCGCGAGACGTCGTCGCTCGTTGGGGTCTTGGATGTGAGCGTAGTCATTGTGGAAGCTGGATGATGGTGAGCATTTGGGAGCTGATCGTTGTCGCAATCACACTGACTTGTGGAAGGCAGAATTGCCTCCAGCCTGGTTGCAAAGTTGTCAGCGAACAGCGGCGAGGCCAATGTAGTAAAGCATTACTTACAGTTCTTGCGGCCATGGTGCCCGAATGTCGACTGAGTCTGTGAGTTGCAGTCGAGACGAGACAAGTGAATGTCTTGGTCGTTTCTTGGAAGGAAGGACTTGACACTGCTTGACCAGCCTAGCGGGGAGCGATGGGCTTTTGAAGCACAGCGCGGCGCAGTGAAGTGCAGTAAGGATTGCCGCGGCGGCAGTGGAGTGTTGGTGCGATGGCGCTCGTGAATAGGGCTTTTCGCCGCTGCAGGGCGAAGGTCGACCGGCCGTCTGGAAAGCGAGCAGCGCGCCGTGCATTAGCGTGGAGAGCGCGTGGCCAGTAATGAAACCGCGTCGGAGCACGTCCAGGGTCGATTCCCTACAGATGAAAGCGATCACTGCTCACTCGTCCACACGCCCGGCGGATCAATGCCCATTTCGTGCCGCGTCTGTGAACGCCGCAACGTCTGCATGGCTCTCTCGACGCCTCTGCGATCATGACACCGACCACTGCTGCCGTTGCCGCGGAAGAATCCACGTCCTAAGCGTGGGCATGTTATCGCACATCCCATGTCCGCGGTAGGGCAAAATAACTCGTCCAGCTCATCCTGGTTTCGATCTCGAACATGTCCGAGCATGCGACGCCAGACCAGCATCTGCCTGCTTCAATTTACCACAGGCCAAGCTGACCGCTGCCGTGTCTCGCGGATACTCTTCTGCCACTTCGTTCGACGGCAGCAGCCTCCTTCAATTCCACACTTTCCACTGCCACCTCCCTCTGCTGGACCGCATCTCACCAGGAGACTCTCAGCTCGCGCGAAACGGTCTTGTGAGCGACGTTGTCCCGCCATACGCACTTCTCGTACCACCATTACTACACCTCTGCAATCGCGACGTCAACGCGCCCAGCGTGGCGCCGCTGCCAAGCGGCAAGAAGCAACAGCAAGCCATGTCATATCAATGCTTGGCCTAGAACGAGCAATCGCGAAGTCTCGTGTACGCCGGTTTCCTCAACGCTCCTTCGCTTCTGAAAAGATGCATTCGCATATCAAGCCTCGATACACGAAGCACAAGGTGAAGTCGCGACTTCACAACCAATCATAACAAGCACGTGTAGAAAGCGCTGGCTGTGCTTCAGTCGGCAGGAGCCGCTGTGCAGCACTAGCGGCATATCGCGAGAACGCCACGTTCCTGCTGCTCTCGCCTTTTTTGATCTTGTCACATCTGCTTCATCATGCTTGGCTTCCATGTGGTCAGCGAAGCTTGAGCTGGTGTGCGCCACGGAAAAGTCTGCGAGCGGCCAAGACGGTTCAGGCACGTAGACGGAAGCCTTAGCTGGAGAGGGAAGCGTGTCCGACACATAGTATGTGAACGCAGTGGTTCTGCTCTCGTGGATTATCAAATGGCGGTAATTCGTTCGGGTCCGAACAAAGCATCACGCTGCCACACATCCGGCAGTTGATGGGCATATTGACAACCTCAACGCCGTTGGCACCCATCTGCAGAATCGGGGTCCAGACTTTCCTTCTCATTGCGGATGCGGAGGCTTTGTGAAAGCGTCTGCTGGCTAAGCGGATAAGCTGGAGGAGCAGATCTGATTGGCGACGATGTCTGATACCTCTCCATCACGTCAAATCATGTCTAGCATGACTTGGCAATGCTTCTCATCTGGGCCCCCAGGCCGCCCAGCTTCGGCATCTCTACGACCCCGTACCCCACGACCACATCAACAGATTTCATATTGATCACGGTGCGGTGCCTCAGACCAAGACACTATTGGACATGACCATTTCTCAAGAACAACCAAATTCAGCATTGATACTTGAAGTTGCCTGTTCATCATCTGCACAACTGCAGCACCATTCGGTCATCGCTCAGATCTGACGAATGCATGACCTCAATACTGCTTCAAAGATGAATATCGTTTGACATACTGCAGAGATCATCACCGGAGGCCCTGCCACACCTGTGTATACTGCACAAAGTGCAAGTATCCACTTTGGCACAGCTGAGTTGTCCATCGAATGCAAGCACGGCAGATATCCCATGATCGCCATGGCATTCCCTCTTGTCTGGCAGCTCTCGTGAGGCGATCCGCGGGATCTTATCGTCAGTCGTCAACTCTGAGGCACAGGAAGTTCATGCATGAAACACAGCTTGATCCTACATTCGTGATACTCGAGCGCATCATTATTGTCCCCTTTGCGATCTGCACGAAGCTTAAAGGTACTACTTAGCCTTATAGCCGTCCACGTTTCATGACTTACGCAGTCTTATTCGTCCTCTCCTCTGACATTCGATGTTCGCAATAGCGGCACAACGGATCTTGGTCGGGTTTGATGTCCGCATGATTTGCGCCTTTGGCTGCACTTTCTCTCACAACTCTGTACTCGAGAGTGCAATGGAGGCAAAAGAGGCGATTCGTTCACGACAGCTCTCGGATGGTAATGGTTTTGTATGATGTGCTATGGGAAGCAGGGGCCCACTTTGGCGATGAAAAGCAGCCAAGTGGATGCTCGTGGTCCTCGGTTCAAGCGGACTTGCCATGTCTTGCTAGTACTGTGAAGGCGACACGTCGAGGCTACTGGCACAGGTATGGGCTCATACGTACGGTCGGCCACCCCAAAAGCCAGCTGTAGGCTGTGGCTGTCATACTGCAGGCGGCCGCATCTATGCTGTCGCGTCCCGAACGTCTGCATTCGGATCTGCCAGCTATACTGCTTCCCCAGCAGTTTGTAATGTAGTAATTGGGGCTTCGACGCCCATGCAATGCATTCGCGAATGCTGTTCTCGTCTCGCCGTATCTGTTGTCCTTTTCTTGAACCAATGTAGTAGCCATGACGCTTGCGCTGTACCGTATGCTCATATCACCGCTGACTGTGCCTGCTGCACCATGTCATTTCCCTTTTGTAGAATGCGCGAATGACTGCCGAGATCTCGGGTTGCATCATTAAGCGTCTAGGCCTCGTGCCTGTTCACCAGCGTTGCTGCTCCGTCCTGATGAATAACGCGCTGCTTCAAGTCTGCGACGACAGTTTCCATCGTGGCAACCTGCATCGTCCGGATTTGGGAGCATCCGTGATGCGCGCATGGCATGGTCTTGGGAGGTTTGAGCGGGAGTCGCGTGAGTGGAAGAGCTCAGGGTTGTGTGGACAGCAAAGAGAGTTGTCGTCGGGAAGTCCATCTCAGGCACGCCGACGGAGCGCATGCCCGGCTTGAGCTTCATGTTGTGGATCACGTCAACTTCAACCTTCCGCCACGACATCCATCTTCGAAAGCGGTCTGGACTCAGAGGACAGACTGTAAGGGTGCAAGCTCTTGATGAGAAGCATGTTCCTACGATGAGATGAGAAGTCAGTCTCGTTTGGTGTTCACCGACGACGACTTGGTCTCGGTCCCGCGTCCTTCGAGATTCAACAGCACTCGAGCACCACTTTGCGAAAGAGCATACCACGTGTCGCATAAGACCGCTGATGGACTCTGGATACGTTGCTTCCTGCAGCGCTACAACCATGCAAAGAAGTTGAAAAGAGCTCGACCAGTGCCACTATTCCGCGCCCAGAGGCATCTCGTCTTGTGTTGCGACACAGAAGCAGCGCAAGCCCAGTGCATTCGCACAGAGCCGTGTCATGGCGCAGATCCACGAGGTCTACGCTATGCAAGATACGAAAAGGTCTTTCGCAGATGGCAAGCCTAGAAATTCATATCTGCGTGCCGCCTTGGACGAGACCTTCCTCTCCACGACGACCGCATCCCTTCGTGTCGGACTAAATTGGGTATGGAAATGGAAGTTCCATCTGGAGGACCCATCGCCAATTTGATCAGGAGCACCGTTGTTGCAGTATGATCGCAGCGCACAATGTTATTGTTCTCGACGCGTGCGCATTTTGGGCACAACATGAGACGATTCCAAAACGAGCGATGCGAGACGGGAGCCGCTGAGCATGACCGCTTCATCGCATGCTCATTCTGGATCCGCAATCATCGGCAAGAACATTGCAATTCCATGGCTGCGAAACGCTCATCATTTTCGCCGCAAGCCAGTATCTTGTGTGGACGCTCGCACTTTCCGAAGGACGCTTTCAGCAGGCGGGTGCTCCTATCTGCGCATTGTCAGAGTAAAAGGTGATGGCGCCTGTGCGTGCAGACACATACCCGATCAGCGCTCTGCATCCGCGCATGAGCTCTCCTCCTCCTTCTCAATTCGTCGTTAGGTCCCGCCATCGATGTATCTGGAACAGCATGTCAGACAGACATTCGACCGACGTGAGTAGGCTATCCATAGCTGGTCTCAGGTACAGGTCGAGCGGTCGGAAGGCTTCTGCAAAGCACGCGCAGGCTTGTACTATATTACCTCAGGCGCTAGATGTGCCGACCAAGCACTCTCCAAATCCTCTGCCTTCAAGCCTATGTGCTCAATGGAAGCCGTACACGGATCCCTGCGCCACTCATTCCAGGGACATCCAGCAAGGGCGCAGCAAATGGAATCTCGAATGCACCACCGTTCATGTCTTGCCTGTGGACGTCGGGCATTTCTGCTATGCAGCGAGATGACCACTACTCGGCTGCGCCATCATGTGGACTGCTGCTCCATTGGCAAAGCTATACACCTGTTGCGCACTGGCAGTTTGGCGAGCATGGGATCACCACACTCGTCGTGGCCATGCTCATGTTGGGTCCGGTCTGAGTGGCTATGTGGCACCCGCATGCAGCCTTCATACTCATGATCAGAAGCGTGGAGTGTTGCAGAGGCCAGGCTTGACATACCTGAACGTGTAGGAAGACACAAATCAGGCGGCCATCCTTAGGTTGGGAACTAGATGACTGTTTCGGAAACCTCGCAACAGTTCTTGTGCCATGTGCCAATCAGGAGTAGCAGAGCCAGAAGCATTTTGTATGTGCTTGCTGACGTCTACGAGGAGCCAGTGGGCAATCGATCGCTCTTATCTCTGCCAATGGTCTCGGTCAAGTTGCCGGCGCGATCGCAAAGCCGCGAGGCCCCTCTGTGAGCTCGATGCCCGCGTCAAGACCCTCAGGAGGAGCATCTCGTCTCCAGCTGGCATCTGGCCTGATTCTTCGCACACCGATATGACCGTAGTGAGCAACACGTCTGCTGAACTTCGACTGCAGCCTGGATTGTGGGATCAAGAATGATGCTCATGTATCTTTAAAAAGTGCTGCGATCGTCCCGTCGCGACATCTCCATCCTCCGCGTGCAAGGTTTCCTCTTGCGGCCATTCTCATGACCCAAGAGGATGGCGGGAGCAAACTCAATGATTGTTGCGAGCCTAGAAGGAAGCAGAAGCGCTTAGATTTGGCAGTACACGAGGCCTTCCAGCCAGTTCTCGAATCCACGAACTGCGCAGATCTCAACGTCGATGTGTTCTGGCTTGTTCCTCGAAGAAGAACTGACGAGGGCGAAAGTGCCGCGTAACGTCCCGATCTGGTGCCTCAAGGAGTGGTCGTATCTTCGCAGAATGACTTCGACCAGATGCAACACTGCACAGCACGACTCCTCTACGCTGACATGTGCCGCTTCGTTTATCTTTGGGAAGACGTCGCTGTCCGGACAATGCGTTGCACTCGTTGGACGTGGGACTGAGACTTGATGGCGAGACCGCTGGGCCCCCTGGCGATCATTGTCCGGTCTTGTTGCTGCATCTTTGGAGAGCACGGGAATGTGGAGAGTCTGACCATAGACGTATTGGTCCGGCGCTTGACTTTCCTGCCGCGATGTATTGATCTCGAGCAGTCTTTCGAATTGGCAGTGCTTCCTCGATGGCTCCGAGCTGGTTCTCTCGAATGTACGCCGCACGAAAATCCGACTGCCATATGGCGGGTGGTTCACTTTTCGCGTCCCCCAGTCTCATCAAGGCAATGGGCTGTACAGATGTTCTTCCAGCTTACCCTGGTGCAGCGTTGAGCCTTGCGGAGGATCAGAATCAAATTCCAGGCCGGAAATGATGATGATGGCATGGCGGACGCGCCCACGCGAGCATTGAGTCTTGCTGAGCCTCGGGACCAGGCCACATCCGAGGGCACGAGTAGCTCAGACATAATTACTGGCGGGCTTACCATCTGCAACGCGACTCCACAGAGCAAAAGGCCGTGGTGGCTGAGCTGACCATCACGTCAAGCAGTGGAGGCAGAGCGAAGGTGCCAGCAGGATCCATTCGTGCTATGTCACAGATGTCCACTGCACTCTGATACTCTAGTGCTAGACATGGCTTCTGGTGTCAATCGAACAGCTAGCGTGTATCCGTCTGCTCCTGCTACGAAAGGCTTCTCCAACGAATACGAGCCTGATAGCTACTGGCCTTGTACCATGCCCTGTGGAATCTGTCCGTACGTTCAAAGAAATCCAACATCCCGACACCTTTACTAGCTGGTTCTCCCCCACACTGGCTCTTGCTCAACTTTCTTCCCACTGTTCGTCCCTGCTCGGCAAGGCGCTGATTCGCTGTTGCACGTGAAAGGAGTGATCGTATCGGTGGCAGGAAAAGGACCAGCTGCGGTCGTTGCTGATTTCCAAGGACGTTGCACAAGCAATCGTGTGGTATGACTATGGTCGATCGATGAGAGTCGCGCAGAGATGGCGTTGACGCGTTGCATTGGAACGTTCGTGTTTGATGGCAATCGGGTGAGGAGAAGTAAACGCAAACCTGCCATCTCTCTCCCTCACAAGGCTTGCCCAGCAACATAGCCGCTCTGAGTACTTCAGCAAGCCCTCTCTGTCCATCAGCACATGCTCCTGCACCTCCACGCGCTTGTTTCAACGCGTCAAATCGCATCTGACGCGTGCTGGCCGCCGTTGCCCCCGGCACCTGCCAAGCCTTCCCACGGTACATAAGGGCTCCTGCCTCCGCACATGCTCAGTTGAGCTCTCAACAACATCAACACGCGAGCGCATAGCTCCACCGCGCAATCACAAGCCATCACAAGGCGTTTCTCACCGGTGAGTAATCTCCCAGTCACCTCACTCCCTCACCCATTGGACCCACTCGCCAGCACAAAAAGGCCCTCCTCTTCCTCCCTCAATCTGATCTTCTATCCCCCACTACCCACAACAACCAGCACCCGACAGCAACCTTCCACCACTCTCATCCATCATCATCACATCCATCCACACCCACTCACAACCATCAGCACCGGTACGCCCTGACTCCTGTCGTCGGCGCCGCACTTCGCGGCTACCAAACACACCAAACGCCCTTGCGCGACTTGACTGTGTGCGGTGCCTCGAAGTAGCGGCCTCGCGCGCCCCCTTCAGTGACCATCGCATACTGACTTCCCTCTCAGAACTCCACATCCCCATCCACCCACTCCCGCGCATCACTCGCCATCACAATGGCTGGTCCTGCCAAGAACCGCATCAACGAGCAGCAGAAGGCTACCCCTTCTCGCCAGACTCCGCAGCGCTCCGTCCACAGCTCGAGCGGCGTTAGTTCGTCCTCGTCCAGTGGCCGCAACACTGCTTCCCCAGCGGTCTCCTCCGCGCGCTCGCAGCCCAGCGCTGCCCGCTCTGCTCGCACCAACGTCTCTCGCGTCGGTGGCTACGACGGCAACGCCGATCCTGCTCCGCAGCCAGAGCGTGACCCCAACACTGCCAAGGTCATCGTCGATCCTCGCAACTTCGACTTGGGCATTGCTGGGTGGGCTACTGTCCGCGGCACTGACCTGGTCAGCAAGCCACAGCGCGAGGCACCCTCTAAGCTCGGCCAAGCCACCAAGATCGGCCTCAACACCTATCATGTCGAGTCTTTCCCCAATATTGTTGTGTACCAGTACGAAGTCATGATTGGCAAGGGAGAGGAGAAGCGCGGTGCCATTGAGAAGGTCTGGAACTCCAAGCCAGTGCAGGCAGAGATGGGTGGTTTCACCATCTTTGACGGCAATCGCTTGGCCTGGTCCGGCAAGCCTCTCGCTCGTGAGGTTCGCCTTACCGTCGACCTGGACGTTGAGCAAGGCCGCCAGCCGAAGGTCAAGTCAGACAAGAACATCTTCCGCGTCCACATTCGTCAGACCAACAAGGTTGGCTTTCAGTCCCTGATGGCTCACCTGCAGGGCAAGGCTTCTTTCGACAACACCTGCCTTGAAGCTATCAACTTCGCAGACCATCTCCTTCGCGAGACTCCATCAAAGAAGTTCGTCTCGATCAAGCGTTCTTTCTTCCCGAAGGGTGGCCAGCCCGTCGATCTTGGTGGTGGCGTCAACGCTCTCAAGGGCGTCTACCAATCGCTTCGACTCGTCCACCCAGGCCGTCTTTCAGTCAACATGGATGTTGCCAACGGCACTTTCTGGCAAGCAATTCCTCTGGTCCAAGCTGCCGTCCTCTTCTGTGGCGCTCGCGACCCGGCCGACCTGGCTGCTCAGCTGAACCGCGGCGGAGAGAAGGGCCTCAAGGGCAAGCAATTGAAGCGTATGCGCAAGTTGCATGTTATGGCGAAGCACCGTGGCAAGGCAGAACTCGACGAGTATGTCATTGACAGCTTCATCTACATTTCTCCGAAAGACTACAAGGTTCAAGTCACCGATCCTTCCGGCAAGGAGGTTGAAATGACGCTGTACAGCTTCTTCATGAAGAAGTACAGCGTTACCATCAACTACTCTGGCCTGCCTTTGGTGAAGATGACGAAGGGCAAGAACACGGTCTTGCCAATGGAGGTTCTCAAGGTCAAGGAGAACCAGCGATACGCTTACAAGATGGATGAGCGTCAAACCTCCAACATGATCAAGTTTGCCGTCACGGCTCCTGGGCAGCGATACCAACACATCCAGGAGGGCATGAAGATGCTTGACTGGGCCAACGACCCAGTGCTGAACAAGTACGGTGTCAAGATCAACCCCAACAAGACCATCGTCGACGCTCGTGTTCTAGTGGCACCTACTGTCAAGTTTGGTGTTGGCGATGCGAAGCCAGGCACTTCTGGTCGCTGGGATCTCAAGGGCAAGAAGTTCTTGACTACCAACTCTGCTCCTCTGAAGAGCTGGGCAGTCTGTGTCGTCTCTGGTCGTCGTGGCGGCAAGCCAGACAAGACTGTGGTTGAGAATTTCATCAAGGCTTTCGTTTCGGGCTACATCAACCATGGTGGCAAAGTCGAGAACAAGCAGCCATCGATGGTTCTTGGCGGCGGTGACGACGTCGGCACCTGGGTCACGAACACTTGGAACGCTGCTGGCAACCAAGCCCAATCCCGCCCTCAGATCCTGCTATTCATCTTGCCCGACAAGGACAGCCAGGTTTACGGCCGCATTAAGCGCTCTTGCGAGTGCCGCTATGGTGTCGTCTCCCAGTGCGTCCAGTACGCTCACGCGCAGAAGGCTCAACCTCAGTACATCTCAAACGTGTGCATGAAGTTCAACTGCAAGCTTGGTGGTGCTACCTGCCGCGCCATCGGCCCGAAGACAGGCGGTGCTACTGGTATCTTTCAGGTCCCGACTATGGTCATCGGCGCTGATGTGTCTCACTCTGCTCCTGGCGTCCAGGCCCCATCCATGGCTGCCATGACCATCTCTACCGACAGACTCGCCACTCGCTACGCTGCACTCGTCCAGACCAACGGCTACCGTGGAGAGATGATCAATACCGATATCATCAAGAACGAGCTCAAGCCAATGCTGCAGCACTGGGTCCAGCAAGTTGGTGGCGGCAAGCTTCCAGCGCAGATCATCTACATTCGTGATGGTGTCTCCGAAGGCCAGTACAACCAGGTTCTTCAGCAGGAGGTTATGGACATGAAGCAGCTTGTCAAGACTGCCGATCCCTCTGCCAATGTCAAGTTCCTCGTCGTCATCGGCTCTAAGCGCCACCACGTTCGCTTCTTCCCCGACAAGGGTGACCGCAACGGCAACGCATTCCCGGGCACCCTCGTCGAGACTGGTGTGACCAACCCATTCGAGAATGATTTCTACCTCTGCTCGCACGCCGCCATCAAGGGTACAGCTCGTCCGGCTCACTACTACGTTCTCCTCAACGAGCCAGCTATGTCCAACGACATGCTTCACACCCTGCTCTACGAGCATGCCTACCAGTACCAGCGCGCCTCGACCCCAATCTCGCAGCACCCGGCCATCTACTACGCCCATCTTGCCGCTGCGCGTGCTGGTCCACACGATCCGAAGTGGGCTGGTAGCACTGACGGTCCATCCACTGAGAAGAAGCAGTCGGGCTCTCAGTCTGGCTCGCAAGCTGGCCGTTCTGGCACTCGCGGTTCCTCCTCTGGCGTTCCGGCTGAGTTCGACAAGCTCATGCCCATGCCGAACCAGGGCGGTATCGCAACTTCTATGTGGTACATCTAAGTGCTAAATGGATAGTTTCTTGCACTGACACGATGAGCGGCGAGGAGAGGTGATGTGGTGACTTGGTGGTCTTGGCCTAGATGGTGTTCCTTTTGGTGAGGCGTACAGGCGCGAGGGTCACTACATGATCGAGAGTGTACGATTGTGACCGAGAGAAGGCTCGAGACGAGCAATATGATGTACTAGTAGCATGAAGAAAATGGATGTCTGCCCTGAGGGCACATCACCACTTACCGTTCCCATTGTCTTCTTTCATGTGTTCCGAGATGGCCGTTGAGATTACTGACACGCAGTCCTTGGCCATCGTGGCAGGTGTTTCTTGCGATCTTAGGGCAAAGCAACGGCTTTCAGAATGTTCCAGCAATGATGTCCGGTAGCAGGAGCTCGAAGACTAACACAGCATCGGATCGATGGAAAGCAAGTCACGCATTGTCCGCGGCCGCAGGGCCTAGACGGAAATTGCACATCGAAGCGATCAAGGCTCGATCGATTGTTCGCGACTGCACGAGGATTGGACGAGCGAGCAGTTCGGCGGAGAGGCTTCGTCAGCTCAGAAAACGAGAGACTACAGTCGTACGAGAGATTTATCGCTCAAGACTAGCCTCACCGAGACGATCATCTTGATAAGGAACATATATCTCCGAGGACGCCCCTACATGGGACACAAGACAGACTGGATCTCAAAGGCGCAGTAACACCTTTCGCTGGCCGGTAGTTCCTGATGAACGGATGTCTAAATGTACGACAGGAATAGCGCCACTTTCATTGCCCAAGAGTGGTGATCAAACCACCACTTCACAACTCAACAGTTGCACTTCCCACCGCACTCGCTGGCGTCTCCGCAACACGGTACACCAACTTCTTCCCAGACACCTTATCATTCTTCATATCCTCCATTCCCTTCAACGCTCCTGCCAAACCTTCTCCACCCACCTGCTCCGGATGTGTCTTCAACTTGCCCTCCTTCAACAGATCCTCTGTAATCTGGAAGAACTTCTTCGCGAATTCAAAGTCCTCTTGAACAGCTGGAGTTTCTCGTCCAGCTTTCATGAAAGGATCATTGAAGATTGTGTACATGAATGTGAAAGTCGTTGTCACATCTGTGCGGCCTGGGAGCTTGACTGGCAAGATTGTGCCGTATCGAGCATCTTTGGAATCGGATGACAAAGCCTCAGCACAGATCTTTGCGGAAGCCTCGAGAGAAATGGTATCCCAGATTAGTTTGAGAGAGTCATTTGTGTCGCGGTTGATTTGCTTTCCGCAGTCTGCGTCGCGGTAGTTGTAGACTGCGTCAGCACCGAGAGATTTGACAAAGTCGTTATTGTGTGGAGAGCAAGTCGTGAGGACTTTGTAGCCGGAGAGCTTGGCGAATTGGATGGCGAGAGATCCGGTTGCAGTAGAGCCGCCGTAGATGAGGACGGATTGAGAGTCCTTTGGGATGGGATCGGTTGGAAGGTTGAGTTTGAGTGCCTTCTGGTAGAGGCCTTGACCAACGGTGCTGACGCCGAGAGGGAAAGTTGCGGCTTGCTCGAAGGAGAGGTTGGAGGGGATCTTGACGAGTAAATCGGCTTTGGCTACAGCGTATTCTGCGAAACAGCCGTCTTCGGGCTGGCTGGCGTTGGCGCCGTGGGTGGTGCCTGCGATGCGGTCGCCGACTTGGAATTGCTTGGTCACATCTGCTTGGACATCAGTCCCTTGAATGTAGATGGCCCTCGGGCTGCGCGAAAGACTCACCACTTCCGACTTCAACCACTGTGCCTGAGAAGTCACAGCCAGAGAGACCATTATCTGCAGCTCGCTTGCCATTGATGTGCTTCCAGTCAGTCGGGTTCAAGGCAATGGCTTCCACTTTCGCCAGCAAGTATGTTGGTCGGACTTTGGGAAGGTTTATCTCAGCAACTTGAGCTTTATTGCCATTGATTGTGATGGCTTTGACTGTGGATGGAGGAGCCATTGTTGCAATTTATGTCGAGGACTTGTTCGATGTTCTAGCAAAGGAGTCGTGCGAAGGGAGTCAGGAAGGAGCTGGAGTTGTCGTGAGAAGCATTGGAAGCTCTGGTCTTTTAAGAGCTATGTCATATCCCTTCTCGGCCGAATCTCCGCCGCTGAGCCATTCTGGATTTCCAACCACACCTGAGGCAGACTTGCATTGAGTTTTCAGGGTAGCTGCTTCACAGTCAACAAACACTTTCTTGGGCAGGACGAGAATGTTGTCAGCGTAGACTTCTTTGCATTTCATTCCCGGCTAATTATGCTGTCCCTGCCACGCCAGCTTTGGCCTCTTTCTTGGCTTTCTTCTCAGCCTTCCGCCGCCTCTTTTCCTCCTTGCTCAGCTCGTCTGACGTTCCGTTTGGCATTTGCAAAGCTACAGGTGTTGTGCCATTGACCATGTCGACGTCTGAGTCCTTTCGCTTCTTCTTCGCCTTCTTCGGTGTCGTCGTTTGCGCGTTCTCCGCTTCGACCGCAGCTCCGTGAACTCCCAGCGTCTTCGGGAACTGGAAGCTTGTACTCTTTGCCTTCGCTCCAGTGTCTTCTTCCTCTTCGCTGTCTGAGCCCAGACCAGCGTCACCTGCACCGAAGCCCGCTGGCTTATACCGCATGCGCATCCCTTTCGGCTGTGGCCGTATGCTGTTCACTGATGGACGAGCGATACTGGCTGCTGCACTGCTGCCCGTGTTCGTGTCGGCTTGCTTGCTGCTCAGGGCTGGCAGATTGATTCTCTGTTTAAGATGTAGAGTCTTCGTGATCGGCTGCGGTACGGAGTCGTAGCTGCTACTGCTCGGCACGAGCACACTGTTGAAGCGATTGTTCGGGCTTTTGTCTTCGCTGAGACTATAGTCGGTGCCTTTGTGTGACAGGACCGAAGCTCCAGATTGTATCGAATCTAGCGTGATGTCACCGAGCAACTTCAGGGACACATTACTTGGAGCCACAATGTGCCATATCTGCTGGCCCGCGAAGCTCTTTGCAGAAAAGGTCGCATCGGAGACAGAGACAGGTGTATGCCCACTTGGAGGCTTGAAAGACTGAACGGGTATGCTTTCGAAGTGGCCGGCATGTTTCGTAGGCCTCGGTGTTGGTGCGGTCTCTGCGGAAGGCTCCGCTGAATCATCCTCGTCCGCGCTCTCACTGTCCTCACCTTGCTCTTCTGATGCCACTTCTCCCACCTGTTCCACTTCTCCGGCATCCTTCAATGCTGTTTTCACGCGTTTGGTGTCTGGCTTATCCTCGTCGCTGCTCGACTCGTCTTCGCTCGATTCCCCATTGTCTAGTGAGCTAACGCTCTCGGCTTTCCTTTTCACACCATTTACACGTGTGGGCACTGTATCCGGCTTTTTGAGTGATGGAGCATCTACCATCTGCTCGTCTAGCTCGCTCTCTGCTGATTCGGAGCCATCGCTGCTCTCGTCGTCGTCGCTGCTAGGGGTAGGCTCGGGTTTTGTCGGCGGCGATGGAGCCTTCTTTTGTTTCGTCGCTTTCACTTTGGCGGTCTTGGTATCCGACTTTGCAGTGGTTGATGCCTCGTCTTGTTCTGAATCCGAATCCACAACACGCTCTTCGCTCAGTCCCGGTGTCTTTGGCTTTGTGGCTGCCTTCTTGCCCTGCTTCTTCACTTTCTCCTCAGTCTTTGCCTTCTTCGCCGGCGCCTTTACTTCTTTTTGCGCCATTGCGGCTTTTTCGAGGGTCCTCGATAGCTCCAAGGCCGCAAGAGAACTTGTGGAGATGCAAGAGTGCAATTTTTGAATTAAGGTTCGCGAGCTAAAAGTTTAGTGTCAAGCTTCTGAAAATAGTTGTACCGGGGACCAGCACATCTTCGCGACTGCTGCACGCACGACACACAGCATGGCCGCCGCCAAACGGAAAGCAGGAGAAGCCTTTGGCAAGAACAAGACGCAAGATCTGAGGAATCCGGAGACTCAAGTGAGCGCATTCGCAGCTGCCCGCGCGATCAGTTCTCCGGCTGATTGGCGAGAATCAGCTTCTTCGACATGTAAACCAGAAGATGAACATGCCTCTGGCGCTATTGAGGAGCTGAGCGCGCACGAGACGACCGGAAGCACTCAAATCGCAGTTGACGATCCGGTGGTGAGCATGGAATGCGAGCGCGGCGATGCAGCGAAAATCAACGTCACTCTCTCGACCATCAAGCAGAACGCTATCGACTTTCCCAATGACGATGCCATGGTGATTTCAATGCGACCGGAAGAAAGCGTCACTATTCTGGGTGATTTTAACTTACAAGTACTAAATGGCGTTGTCTCCATATATGGGTCCATGATCCATGCCAACCGGGGTGTACAAAGAGTGTACGCACCAGCAGTATCTCCACTGCCTGCTATTACAGCTCGCAAGCCGGAAACGTCAATTCGAATCACATCTGTATCTTCTGGGTTGGCGAGTATCGAGCCACTGTCTCCGATGTTTCGCAATATTTGCTCGTCAGTCGAGGGCGACTCTCGTTCGTTCTGTGTCCTACCTAATTCCAGAGATGTCTCAATGGGAAGGGCAATAACACCTCTCGACATCGATGACGGCACTAGGAAAGTGATCTCTCAACTCAATGCTCGGCTGGATGCAGGCGGCCAGGCGCCTCGAATTATGGCAATCGGTGGCAAGTCTTCTGGGAAGTCGACTTTCAATCGTATTCTCTGCAATACTGTCACCAGTCGAGCCGACAGGAGCAGCTGCGCCTACATTGATCTCGATCCTGGCCAACCAGAGTTCGGACCACCTGGTCAGCTCTCATTAATCGAAGTCACTGCGCCAATCTTGGGCCCGTCGTTTACTCATCAAGCATCGACGCGAAACTCGAGTTATCGCCTCATACGATCCCACACGATCGCTTCAACAACATTCAAGGACGATCCAGACCACTATCTGGCATGTGCTTTCGACCTATTGAGCTACGCACCCAAGAACATACCTATAATTATCAACTCATGTGGTTGGGTGAATGGGCTAGGAGCGAGCACGATAGTCTCACTGGCATCGAAGCTATCCATATCAGATCTGGTGAGCCTAGACTCAATTGAGACAGAGGTGCTCAGCGAAGCTGCCGCGGTGGTAGGCAATGTGCCGCTCCGCATTTCTAGGAGGCAGCGACAGCAGGCATTACGGACACCTGCGGAGCTCCGCGCCATGCAAACGATGGCATACTTCCACCAGAAGTCTTCCCTGAGCTCCGTCAAATGGATTACGAAGCCTATAAATGAAGTTCGGCCCTGGATCGTCTCGTACTCCACGGAGGGCTCAGGAATCGCAGCGGTAAGATCACTCTTGTGTGTTCCGTACACGTATCAGCGTGTTCGAAGACTAGTGCACTGTAAACTACACGATGACTCAGATGCTAACACCCCACAGGTTCTCAACTACGGCCAAGCCCCACATCCGGATTTCCTGGGTGAAGTCCTTGATGGCTCCATAGTAGCCATCACAGTGATCGATGACCAGGCCCTCGACCAAGAAGCGATTCATCGCACAGCCACAGAACATATTCCCTACCTACCACCAAGTCCGACAGGTCACACTCCTCCTCTCGATCCTCGGCGCAGTCATTGCATTGGTCTTGGGCTGATACGCGGCATCGACACAGAAAGCAAGACTTTGCAGCTAGTCACGCCCGTTGCCTCGGGTGAAATCGAAGCGTTGGCGGACAAGCAAGTAGTGCTCATACGCGGCGGATTTGATCCACCAGAATGGGCTTACTTGGAGGACTGGTATGCGGCAGGAGGAGCTGTAGATACAGAGGAACGGCCATGGGTCAGCTTTCAAGAGCAAGTGGGTATAGAAGGCTCGATCTGGCGTATGCGACATCCTCCTATGGCAAAGGATGTACGGTAAATGCACGATGGCTTTCTCAAGCCTCGTGAATCGGTCCGAGGCATCGCAAGTTACACCAAGCATAATGTGCAGCCTCTGCAACTGGCAGAGATAATGCTTCGCTGGTTGTCCCAGACTAAGTATATTTTTGTTCTCACTTCACTCGCGTCGTTCACGTTGTAGGCTGCACGGACGCTGTTGCCTCGGCAAAAACTCGGATCGGTGTTTCGATCCTTTGCCATCGAAGATTCCGCTCCAATGGCAATCGATGACAGATCACTCAAGCTCTCTCATCGCATTTGTAAGGGCTAGTTGCGTCATTCGAATGCCGACGGATATAAGGGCTACAAGCACGTCAGCAAATAGACAGCATTATAGCGATCGTAGGTCACCTTCCATCTCTCTTGGTATATGTACGCGCGATCATCTTTGCGATTCTTCACCAGCAAGCAACTCTCATACACAGCAAGCAGATCATACAATCGAGTGCAGAGCATACCGCCGCTGAGAAACGCCCGACCTCAGCAGACCGCAAACATGACGACAGCGATTTTCAAACACATCGATACCACCACGTATACCGGGAAGCCTTGGGGAAAGGTCGATGCCGACGCAACATCATTCAAACTCGAAGATGTAGAGCGCAACGTGCACAACATTCGAGGACGCGAACAAGAATTCACTACAGACAACTCCGGCTTCGCCGTATACAACTCGCCCGCGAAAGAGAAGCTGTTCACAGACGACAAGGCAGTGCGTGAGGGATACTATGCCGAGGTGGAAGACCTGCTCCGCAAGAACATCAAGGGTATCAAGAAGGTGCATATCTTTGACCACACAATTCGACGGAAGGACAAGGCTTCGCCGCGACAGCCCGTACAGCAGGTGCATGTGGACCAGACTGCAGGAGCCACGGACGTTCGTGTGCGACGACATCTCTCATCAGAAGCGGACGAGCTTCTCAAGGGCCGCTACCAAATCATAAACGTGTGGAGGCCCATAGGACATCCGGCGTCGGACTTCCCGCTCGCGGTTGTGGACTGGAGAAGTACGGAGCCGAAGGACTTCATCCCAGTCGACCTTCTCTACCCAGTCCGTCCAGATTCCGCCATGGACGATGACGACAGAGGCAAAGAGCGCCTGGCAGACCCGGCTACTTTGCAGTCGACCGAAGGCTACGAAGCGCGAGGTGAGACGCTCGGAGTCGCAGCCAACGAAAACCACAAGTTCTACTATATGAAAGATATGACACCTGACGAGGTTATGCTGTTGAAGTGTTATGACAGTTTCGGAGTCGGAGAGAAGTTCGAGCATGAAGGCATCGCCACTCGAACTCCACACACGGCTTTCTTTGATCCCAATACTCCTGCGGACGCGCCGGGTAGGCAGAGTATTGAGGTTCGATGCTTGGTATTCTACGAATAGGCATGAAATAGAGTGATATTGTTGATAGAATGCAGTCACGACCAGGAAGTTCGCCAAAGACCGCAATTTCCCACTACGCCCGTAAATCTTGTGCTCCATCTGACGCGTTTATGGCATCCCGGGCCATAGCGAACAACATCACTTCTTGCCCATTTTTGGGCCTGGAACTTGGAAAAACAATGCCAATGCGGGCCATATGCGCATGCCAGCCGCGCGAGCGCGCCTCAACACTCCGTTCTTATGCACATCTCCTAATGGCATGCCACTTCCCGCGCGCACATGCAAACAAAATTTATCATTTGCGCACGTCATAGCCCTGACTAACGGCCTTTACTCCGGTGGTGGGAGGGCTACAGGTGGACTTCACCATATCTGGAACCTCTACTACGTGCCTCCGCTGCAGTGGGAACGGAAATATGCATAAAATCCAGTTCGCTTCCGAATATGCATGGCAGAAATTCTCCACTTCGCTCCCATACGTCGTCCGCGGGCTGGTACATAGTCACTTCCAGGACTTTGCGCGTGGCGCCTTCCAAAATGCTCGTGAGATTTGGCAACGGGGCAGGAGTGCTTGCAAAGGAAATCATTGTGGATGCTCGCAAGAATCACTTCTATGCAGATGGCCAGAAACTTTCATATCCTCGAGCAAATTCCCCGTAAGAGCTGCATGGCGGTGCTTCGTCCGAGAATCCAATATATCCATGTAGGGGACGGCTCCAGTCGGTAAGATATGGTCTCTTTCCAGTGCAGAATGCGAAGTATATCCACATCTCCACGCCAGCAATGCACAAGGCACAAGGATAAGGCAAGAGGGCTCAATCAGAGCTGGAGAAAACACAGGAATTGCAAGCAGTAACTTGTACTTGTCACGCCACTCCATAACTGTGCTGCGCGCTTTTTCTAATCTCTGATTACTCCCCAGTGATGCAAGAATCTCGCACTCATACAGCAATCCTCCTAGGAAGCTGGCATGCTTGCCCGCTTCCGAAATAAGCGGCCGGTTGGGTGGCACGGCCAACAGGTCTCAATAGCTGCACTTCTGCCGACCTATTGTCTCGCAGGTACTTTTCTACACATTTTCTGGGCACGCGTGCTCCGTCAGCTTGAATCCTGTACACCTCTGCGATCACAGCGAATCCCGGACCACTCCAATCGCAATGTCGTCAACCAAGCCGAAGCACAACAGGACTACACCGAACATTAAAGCTGCATGTGAAGAATGCCGGTATTTTCACCCAATGTACCTCGCAAGGGGAGATTTTGATGTGCTAATCTTTACCCACAGAATCAGAAAAACAAAGGTGAGGCTTGCAACAAAGGCCACAAAGCTCTCTCTCATCGGTCATGTCTGCGCAGTGTGATGGCGGCCGTCCCGCCTGTTCGCGATGTATCGAGAAAAACAAACGCTGCGAATACGACGCAGAGCCCGATGAGCATCGATCAGCGACCTTGAAGCGCAAATGCAAAGTCTTTGAGCAACGAGCCCTGGCTGGTGAGCGGCTACTCGTAGCCATGCGAGATCTTCCCGAAAGCGAAGCCGTTGGCATATTACGAAGACTGCGCGCTCAAGAAGGAATCGAAACAGTCGCAGCTTCTCTCGCTGAGCCCAGCTCTCGAGATACCCAGGAGCGTGAGACCTCTCTCACACTCTCTGCGGCAGGTTCCTATTCCAGTGCAGGCAGCACAGCCCCTCTGCCCACGACGTTCGAGAATCAGTCCCGGCTCCATGAACCTGATGAACAGCAACGGCAGAATGAAAGACGTAACGAAGACGCCGAGATGGCTGGCCACAGTACAACGGATCAAAGACTCGCGATATCATTTCTCGTCGATACTGTGGCGAATTCCCAGACTTCGCCACAGCAGCGACCACTGCACGCCAACAACCAGGCCACTCCGCTCAATCCTTTAACAGTTCAAAGAATGGCAAGTTATCCCCCATTATCGATCGCCGCGGTCGAAACAAACAGGCGAGCCTCTGCACCCAATCCTTATATCGTTGCTGGCCCACAACCGAATCAACCCACCAGAGAAAACGAACGACCTCAACAGCAAATCATACCATCTGCCTATGACGAAACAATGCAGAATATCGGAAAAGCGCCCGATCCAGGAAATGACTGGGATCAGTACTTCATGAGCGTTTCGTCGCTGCTCAAAAAAATAGGCGAGGGACCCCGTGGCGGACGCCAATGATATTTGCGATCGGTCTCGTTCTTCAGCATCTGTATTGCAGGCGGAGGGGCGTTTTTGACGAGAGCATCACGATCGAGAATCGATGGCTATGTCAGGGCCACGTCTGCGCTCGCTTGACGAATGTGTCAGATTAGGGGTTGCGCTTTGTGAATCCCATACAGCACGTTCCGTCCAAACGTGTTGGCGGTGAGCTTTGCAGGTCCCCCGCCACTAATGATGATCAAAAAGCAATGATGATGATGAAGAAGAGCACACAGCAATGATACACGAGCAACAAGACCCACCACTGCGAGCGGCGTACAAGTGTACGCGGATACGGCCAACTAAGATTGGAGGAAACGCGAAGAAGTTGCAGAACAAGCTGGGGGTGGTGCAGCATTCTTCACACCAGCGTTCGCGTTTACCGTTCGTTCTCGCTCTTGCGCACTGCCTCCGATGCAACCCTGGACCTGGACCTGACGTGGATAGAACGTGAGACGCCTGCTGTCTGACTGCTTCTTGTCGTCATAATTGTGCTGTGCATTCACCACATCAGGGAGAGGAACGCAACACGTACGTCTCAGGGCACGACGTGGACGCATACCGAATGCATTAGCCAGTGCATCGGTCGCACCATCTACAGTCGGAAAAGCTGGTAGGAGGTATCGGCTCGAGGTACCACAAAAAGTCTGCAGCAGCAAGTGGAGCACATATGTCCCGACACTGATCGTGAGATACAATGGCAGGAAGTCGAGTCAGTAATGCTGGACAGGCGGGATCAATTCATCGCAAGTGTTCACCCGATTTTCACTACTGCTCTTCAAGTGGCGATTCAGGAAAACTACGACTCATCGCTGTGAGCCAACAAGGACAAGCAGCAGCTTCGGACGCGGACCTTTCATGCTGTGTAAGGCCAGGTGGATTCGCAAGCACCGCTGCACCAGCCGTAGCCGTAGCTCGCCGCTAGAACACTAGGTACGGCACGCCGCAGTCCATCGGGACCAAGGCCGCTCTTCAGACCCCAGTCACAGCAAGTCGTTCAACCCTAATGTTCCACAAAAGTTGCAGAAGCGCAGACTTGCCGTGCCGCAACTTGTGTGAGGGTCTGGGTGATGTGCAACTAGGATACAGATGCCGTGAGAGCGAACCTCCATCCATCCGTTCGTCACAGACGGGATGGCCGCCGTGCCCGAGACGAAAAATCGTCATCATGACTGAGGATCCAATCATCCCTGGCACCAGTGCTGGGAAATCCACATTCGTATCTTTGAGCGAGGTGTTGTCTTGCCCGTCGCTCGCCTTTCGTGCTCATAGGCAGGTAGAGGATGCAGTCTTCTCCGCAAAAAGGAGATATGTCCGTGGAAGAAGTCGGTTTTCCGTCCGTACTCTCACACGGCCTTGTGAGCGAGTGGTCGCGCAACGCAACGGCAAGACGGCTATTGACTACAGAAAGAATTACCAAGCAACACAAGCGGTGTTCTTTCGGCTCCGACGCAGGCGACGGCGTGATTGTCCTCGTCCCTGGGCCTTTTGTGTGGCGTTACTAACCCCTTGCGTCTTCACTTCATGCTTGGCCATTTTCTGCAGACATTGCAGTGATCGCTGCTCTAGACCACATTCGGGGCAAATGAGATGGCGATACGGTAACAGTGAAGCAAGTACAGACGCCGCAACTCCTCGCTAAAGAACTATTGCCTGTACCGTCCTTCCAGTCCGCTGGGCATTCGCATCGTACAATCTTTTTCAGCCGCACACCAAGCTGTATGGACTCGGGCTTCACAGAGGGTGCCGGATCCGATTCCTCATGCTGCGAAGAGAAGGAACAGTACATTCAGTACTGCATGCCGCCGCTGCCGTAGCCTTGTCCGACATTGTCGTCAAGACTCTTGTAGCCGCCGCGGCCGCCTCCCCCTCGTCCTCGAGCTCCTCCACCACGTGCGTCCCGTCTGCCACGCGAAGGCGCGAAATTGCCGCGCGCCCCACGATTCCCGCCGGCGCCACCTCCGCGAGGTGCATTGTTGAAGTTGTTGCCATTCTGCTTCGGAATCCACGTGCCGTCGTTACGATTGCCACCGAAGCCACCCCGACCGCCTTGATGAGTCTTCGCAGGTTTGTTGCCATGCTGTCGGCTTGCAACGAGTGGTGGGAAGTCTTCTTCGCGTGGGTGCTTCTTCGCGTTCTTAGCGTTGGGGAAGCTCGCTTCGTATTCGTCCTCGTTTGAATACTCCTGTTCGATCCTGAGCAGCACCTTTTCGCCGACTGTGGTTTCGAACTCGAATGCTTGGTGATCAGGCACAGGCTGCCAGTTCTGTATCCGGCTTGCTTCGATCGGTTTGGCTTGACGTCGCGTTGCGAGGACGACACAAGGCGTAGCGTTCTCCGTGTACACTTTGGCATTGGCAGGTACAGGTTGGACACGCGCAGCCCAGACTCGTTGCTCGTAGACGGCAAGACCGGTCACTTTCCATCTCATCTTCGCGCCAATGCCACCGACCTTGTTGAGGATGCTATGAGGCGCGGGCCGAGGTGTGATCAAGATGTTATTGGCCAGATGTTTGAGCTCGTGTTCCGGGCAGTTCTGCGGTGGCCTCACGAGCGAGCGAAGCCGATCGATATCTGCTTGCTCGATGAGGTAGCCGGTGTAGAATACCGATCGCTTGATCTTGTACGGAAGCGCGTTGCGTGGCGCCACGCCGTCCAAGATTGCCCGATTGTGGACATTGATCATCTTCTGAACTTCAGCCACTTCTGAAACGGGATCCATGAAGCTGTCCTGCTCCGTCACCTGGATCACTTCTGCCGTAATGGGCTGTCGCGGCACCGTTACTTGTGCTGTGGGGACTCCAGCCATCAACGTCTTGTTGAAGTCGGCAAAGAAGTCCCTGAATCCTTTGGTATGCTTGACACGATCCTCGTAGATGCGCAGCTCCTCGGCCTTGTGGTACGTGTAGACGATATCCCGCAGCAGCGCCTGCTTGAAAATCATGGTGCTGCCGAAGACCTCGCCATTTGGTCCACTCGAAGGCTTGAGGCAGACCATGTCGAAGACAAGTCCCTTGGACTGGACCATCCTGCCAATCAAGTCGGCAAATTCCTGCTCTTGCCTGCCCGTCAACAGCACCGTCAATGCATCCTCCTCCGCCATGGACAACTGCACCAGCTGCACAATCGATTCATTCCAACAGCCCTCCCAGGCCCGTGCCTCCTCTTTCTCGAGTCCTTCGCCAGTCGCCGCCAGAATACTGGGATTGTGCCACCAGCCGCCATTGTGCAGGAACTCTTGAGCCTGCAACGAGCCACAGGTTCCAGTATTCCAGACCTGCCGGTTCGGGAGTGGTGACTTGAACACTACACGAGGTTAGTGCTTTACTAACCGAGTACTGCCAATCGGCCTACAAGTGTTGTCGAAGTCATAGACATGGATTGCCTTGATCTTGTCGACGGATGGGAGCTGTCGGTCCTGACAGCTCCAGCGCTTGAGTGCGGTGGGCGTGTGCGACAGCGCCATCATTCCCGACTTCAGCGAGTGACTGCGAGCAGGATGATGAAATGATGCGCGAGTCCGCACGTTCAAGTCCAAAGCGCGATTGCGACTGACGCGCTTGACTTCGGCTCTCGGAGGAACAAAATTCCGGGACCGCCAAGACATACCCCTTCGTTCCCAGCATCAGCACTAAAGGACGGACTTGATCTGGGATTGAGACAATGCGTAATCAATCATGCGCTGAGGCGGCATCAAGCCGTCTCTGTTCATTATCTCTGTTGGATCACTGTGCTCAGCGGTTGAAAGTGTTCAAGGAAGCCATCGAGATTCACTTCAAAATTGTGCTTCTCCACCGTCAAAGACGACATACTGAGATCTGACCTGGTGCAGATTCGGCACACTCATATGCAACGGAATCCGTACGATGCTCACACCTGCAAGCTTTGACTTAGCCGTAAAAGACGATCGCGGAAGACACTCTCCTGAACCGTTACTTGATGCTTAAACACGCCACGAGGATGTTAACAAGTTGAGGGTTTGTGTAGGCGCTGCACAGCGCTAGCAGTCAGGTACTTGTTTTCATGAGTAGACTATCTGTGGTACTGGCCCATAATCCATACACCTGAGTGCTGGGAAGATGTGATAGAAAGTGCTGCTGTCTCCCTCCTTGAAGAACATGAAACTCACGACATATGTCGCGTATCCAGCCTCGATTGCGTGACTATCCAGGACCCGCCATTACGTCCCAGCTGTGATTCATGGTCTCGTCGCAGTCATGACCCGCACGTATGCTTTTGGCCTTCGACTTGCTCCTGCCACCAGCCAAATAGGAGATGCAATCAGCTTAAAAGCTTCACAAGCTCCACTTTGACATCACACTCGTGAGCCTCCACCTCTCCACTAATTTCTTGTAACACCGCTCTTACTGTTCGAGAAGAATCGTAAATTGCCAACACATTCAGCATATCCTTTACTTCACGCCCCTTCCCGCCATACTCGCAAAGGCCCCTGACGAAGTTCACCAGATCACCAGCCAGTCTTCGAGCAGAGTAATGCTTGTTATAAGGGATCTCCAACCGCGTAAGATTGGGAGTTTGCGCAATCAATGGCTTCAAGAAGAAGTCATGGCACATACTGACATACTGCAGGCGAACCAGACGCACTGCTTGAGCATTGTTGCCGCGGATCGCGCGCATCCAGTCCGTGAAGTGATCGCTGTTGGAGAAGTGGAAGACATTGTTGCCATAGAAGACCGGCGCTGCTTCTCTGTTGCTGAGAGCGCTGACGCGCAGGAAGGAAACCGCCAATTGTCTGCTTGTGCTATCCGTTTGGCGAGTTGTAGAGTATCGACCCTTTGCTGCGATTGTCCCTCGTCTGCGCGATATGATTATGGTGCCCTCGAAGACCAACGTATGATGATAGATCTCGTTCCTGATCTCAGCGGGTAGATCAAATAATGTGACCGGTCCTGGTTGAGACATTGTGATGGCTTGCGCTGATGAGCCGGTGTGCTGAACAGCGAAAGAGATCGATTTGCTGTGGTGGATCCCAGCGCAAGAGCTGACGGCAGCCAAACGATGTTCCAGCAACTGTGGGCTAGGACGGGTGGTGGACGGTTTCGTTGCTCGCACTCGCCGGTCTGTTCGGTGCGTTTCGATACTCGAGAGAGGAGGTGAATCGAGCGCTGGATCTGGTATCTGCCAACTAACCTGACGCAAGTGAGTGCCAGCGATATTAGTTATGGTAGGAAGCGGTCCTGTCATTGAGGGTGAAGTTATGTTCACTTCACGAGGATACCGTCGTCGGGTGCTCTTGACTGGACTATGATTGACATCAGAATCGACGCTGGAGATCAATTTCATGCCATCAGCCGGGCCTGCATCCGTACCTCCACAACACTTGGAGGCTTGCGAAGCCCAAGACTCAGTGCATGGGGACCGTCTTTGTGGGGACCGATGCGCTTGTGGGCTGCGACGACTGCGAGTCGGCTGCGCGCTTCTTTCGTGTCTCATGATCCTTAGCTGCCTACCAGGTGGGCTCCCTTCGTACTGCCTGATGTCACGAGCGATCGCTAGGTCGGATGGTGTGTATTGGGTACAGCTTGGTATCTCATTGCCACGGTCCGTCACCGTCACTCATGCCTGTTTGAGATTGTCGATTCGTTGCGATTTGCCAGAGAGCGTCGCACGCTCTCATGTCGCCCGCGATCAAATGCCCTTCGCAACTTCTTCCGCGATTTCCTTGGCCTTGTGCTCGTTGTAACGATGGAGAGGTGTGCACTTACAGCCTGCCGTGGGATCGTGCGACAGGGCGCAATATCGGAGGGTCGAGAATTCATCTCGAAGGACGCGGACCTCGTGATGGAGAAGAGTGTTAGTCTGCTCGATCTCCCGAGCGCGATCCTCAATCTCTTTGGCGGAGCGCTTCTTCTTGCGACGGGTTTTGGCCGCTGCTATGCGATTGCGCTCCCGACTGATCTTGAGTTTCTCATCCTCTTCGCTACCTTCGTCAGATACACTGCCCGTGCGCTCATCATCGCGATCGTGGTTTCGCTTGCTTGCCGAAGAAGGACGCGCGGGACCTCCACTACTCTTCGGACGTTGCGGAAGAGATTGGCGCGGCGTCGACATGTTGTCGGCGCTCTGAATGCTGCGTAAGCCATAAACACTTTGTCGGTCGCCAACGGAAGACGACCGCTGCGCTTTTTCACGATCGCTCGGAGTCTGTTTGGCGCTCCGGTCGCGCAATCGCGCCGTAATTGGAAAAGCTGTGCTGTTACCCATGAGTATTTGCGGAGGAGATAGTGACATTGACGCGTCAAAGGAGGGCATTGCCGCCGTAGCGCGGCCTGGGAGATTCGGCGCAGCGAGCTCTGGTGTTGTAGAAGATGATGCGGCTATCTGTGGCAAAGAGCCGTTCCAGTCAGACGTGGAAGGGTTTGCATAGTCTATGGACGGGGTCTGCAGGTCGAGCGCGATGCCGTAGACTAGCTGCTGATCGGCCCAGGTGGCAGGAGTTGGCATTGGACTAGTTAGCATTGAAAGTCAAGCCAGACGGCGGCAAGTTTGTCTGCGCCATCCTGTCCGACGGAGGGTATTGCTCAGTGCTATCACGGCCACGTCAGGCTCGAGTCGACGCGGAAAGCAGCATTGCGAGCGGGAGGTGGGCAGACTTACGCTGGTGGGACGTGGAATTGCTGAATGTAAACGTGCTCGTCGTGAGATGCGCGTGAGTCGTCCATGGATCGCTGTAAATAAAGCATTCTTGTGCGAGTGCAAGAGAACAGGGAAGCGAGAAGTCCGGTGAAGAAAGTGTTATATTTGCGGAGAGGTCAGTAGCGAAACATTAGCAACTGCAGCGATCCACAGTGCCTCCGACGGTTGGAGAAAACGAATGGCCGTGGCATCCACCCCGGCTCACCTCGATTCGGCGGCCACCATATGTGCCGGAATCTGGTCCTCCCGCGCAAAACATCTCATGCACCAACATGGAGACTGAGCTGCTCGCGGACTCGGGCAGGACTCGCCACTCGACTGCAGAGCACAGGAGCTAAGTAAGAGCAGAGAGGAGAGGGAAGGCTTGCGAGGAAGCCAAGGCCACGGACTTTAGCTGTATGTGGCGAGCTATGCGAGCGTCAACAGCCTTTAAATCGCACAGCTGGTGCACCAACGCATTGCGATCGTACGCAAGGATACCAAGCATGAGCTACAGTACACTGGGCCGCCACAGAGGGCATTGGCGAAAGAACATCTCACCATCCTCCGCGAGGCCTAGCCCCACCAAATTTGACCGGAGGTTGCTCCGCCGCGCACTCAGCATTGGAAGGACCTACCACGAATCAATTCTGGCGGACAGAAGCCCCCGCAATCAGCTTCTTGCATTTTCGCGAATGTATGAGTCGATTGGCTGTGTATAGTTGAGCGGTTGGGAGCGTGAGAGGCTTGAGAGCACGGCTTGCACGCAACTCTGCACGCCGTATCCACAGCGTTACGCCGCCAAGCCATTGCACGCCCATGCGGATCCTCCGCAGACGGCAGAGGGTAAGGCGGGTGCTTGTATGGGACTGGCTGCGCGGGCGAGAAAGCGGAACTCGCTTTGCGCATGCAACGGGCGTTTTGAGGGCTTCGAAGACATCGATCGAGAGTGATGGACTGGACAGGAGGGCGGTCGACGACTGATGCCCCGATCGGCCATGACGTCTAGGAGACTAAGCAGAGACATTCCACGCCGCCAGAGTTGAGCCAGCAGTGCAGCCGCGGAGAATGCGCGCCCAAGTGCATGGTTGCGCAGTCGCACATCGACGCTGAAGAGCCCATCGAGGGCGTGCTTCGTGTTAGGTTAAAGGCCTGACGTCTGTCTTGAGTTGCAGAGCAGCGGTACAAAGTCCGACCAAGGACTGGCTAGTCCCGAACTCTGTAGTTGGGCAGTGCCGATGGCAGCAGGGTTCGGGGCGTGGGAGATGCCTCCGCCAGATCTCGATGCGCCTCGCAGCGTTCGCGGGGAGCTCTGGGTTGTTGTTTGCAGACAGGGACTTCATAAGAGGCAGCAGCTGCCTGGGCAGTCACGGCGGCGAGGCCTTCATCTCTCTCGGAGGAGCACTTCTCTCTGTCTGGCCTTTCGTTGTCCAGGATACCTCCTACGAAGACGGCCACCTCGTGACGGGCTCGGGGTCCAGTCCGCGAATCCGCAGAGCCGCAAAAGTCTAGAAGGCCATCCGTTGTTAGCCACAGGGCAGAATCACAAAGTCAAAAGCCGCTTCACCTGTCCTACTGCGTGAGCGGTATGCCATTCCTCCTCCACGGCATGCTGTGAGCTTGCGTCTGCCTTACTTGGTGTGTAGGCACGGCCTCGATTCGGCGGACCGCGATGGACAACAGCCTCAGCAAGTGGCGGACGGAAGACTTTGCTAGAAATGAAGCTGGAACCTACGTGGATGCACATGTCGCCCAAGTATACCAGGCAAACCATGGCCATTCACCGCGTCCACTACGTCAACATGAAGGAGGCCATCACCGAGACTTCGCCTGGCTGCCACGCGACATGCGCAGGTGACCCCCAACTGAAGCTTAACTGCCTTGCATACCGCTTGCGACACTCCGGGTCGTCGAAGTCTTCACATGAACAGCACGCCGCGCGGTGGTGTCATCGCAATCCACATTCCGTGATCATTGCGGAGCAGCATCGTGCAGATTTGGGCGAATGCCTCGTCACAAGCCCGCAGCGATTCGAGCGCCCCACTTTCTGTTCGCGTCGTGAATCTTCAAACGTCGTCATGGCTATGTCACAATCCTGTCACAGGCCAGTGTTGCCTCACAACAGCAAACGCCACCTGCCACCTGCCCCTCCAGTGCATTGTCTACTTAAACACTCTTCCAAGCAACCTCTTCCCTCTCCTCCTCATCCACGACACAAGCCACATCAAGTCAACAGACAACCCACTTCAACCAAACCCAACCACCACCACACCAACCAATCCAACATGTCCGCACCAAACGCTGACAAGCCAAACGAGGGCATCGGTACGTCGCCGCTCTAAACGACACCCCACTTTCGTCACTCCTTTGCTAACTCCACCGCGTCAACAGTTGGCCAGATTGGCAACTCCCTCCAGAACGCCGCCAACTACGTCTCCGACACCGTTCAGGGCAAGTCCGCTGAGGCTTCCAAGGAGGCCAACAAGGAGCAGGCCAAGGGCAACACCCCAAACAGCAGCCTCACCGACCGCGCCAGCGGTGCCGCCGGCGCTGTCAGCGACAAGCTCAGCCAGGAGAAGCACGAGGGCTCCGCCAAGGTCAACAAGGAGGCTATCTGAGCTTGTTGTCTTGACTTTGCACCACACGCGAGGTATGTGAGCATGCGGGACATGAGCATGGAAACTTGTCACTGACATTGTCACAGCATGACTACTATGGTACGCCTCGAGTAATGGGATCCAACAGTACGACACGGCATGACTGAGTTACGAGATCACGGCATCAATTGTGAGCCTGCCTTGAAAATGGCGAGGCATCTTCAGATACCCCAGAATCAAATTACCTTTTCTGAGTGAACACACGTGCTTCCAGCCGTCCCCTCTTCGAGCAATAATTTACTTTTTATTTGTGCGGTCTATGTAATACATAAACCATGCAGGCGGTGGCACTGCCTCTAACAGGAGCTCGTTAACGGAGTCGCACCGTCGTACTGGCCCGCGCACTGTATTAGCCGCCTTGTAGGCGACACTCGGTGGGGATTATTACCGTCTTAGGGAGGTAAGTCCGACCACCGGAGACTAGAGGCCAAAACGTAATTCTAACTACTTAGCCTGTTGCTAGGCATTAACATCTATATATCCCTTAGGTAAACGTCCACTAATGCCTTCGGAGGTCGCAAGACTTTAACTATATTAGGGTGCTGTCCCTAGATACGTTCGAATACCCTTAGGTTATATTTCTTCCCCAAATGCTTGTTCGTTAAACAGGCGATCTTATCGACTATAATCTGCTGCCGGATTAATGTTCTAAAGTATTTACGTACAGAATTAGGTTGCTAGTGCTTCTAAGGCTCGTTAAAGGAGTGGGAGAGATAGCTCTTCTATAGGCACTAGACCAATGCCTAACTTAGGATAAGCCAACGCCTTTTATCGAATCCACTTAAGCTAGGCGATAGTGCGGTAGCCACTATCATTTGATTCCGCGTCATTATTAATGGGACTGGGGTGTCGCATAACCGTCGCCAGACCAAATAGAACTCATCCTAGACCGCTCGCGCTACCTCATAGTGTAGCCAGATATGGTCTTGGGTAAGGTCAGCTCCATCAATAGGGCAGAGCTGGAATTCAATTGGTATCTAGTTAAGCTGGCTTCCGGTTTTCACCTTGCCATGGACCATCCGCCATAGCAAGTCACCCGCCTTTGGAACCCCGTATAACAGTCGGAGCGAGTTCCAAAAGGTCTCTGGTTCCATCGATTTACCCGTAAAGGACTCTTCATTGCTGCATCAATTGCGCCTGTCTGCCCCTCATGCTACCATGTACCCATCTTCATGTCGTGTGTTCCATGAGAACCCGTCTGCCCCTCTTCACGTTGTGTAACCCATGTCGACGTTGTGAATGGTGCCTTGGCTTGGGTGCATTTTCCGCTACGGCCATGCAAGGACTAGGTAGCTCTACTGCATGACTGCAGCAAGGAATAACACTCGCATACGTCGATTCTGCAGACCCAAATACTGACAGCAATGGAGCCACAATACCGATGGCTTTGATACCACGTCACTGCACTGCATACGTGTCCATGTACAAACTGTTAGCAGTAACCTTCCGACAGACCGATCAAGTGACAAAGGCCACATCTCATTTCTGCTCCTGTAGAATATGATACGCAATGCCCGTTCCCACCCCAGCGCCATGCACGCTCCCTCTCTGTCTGCGTACAGCACAGATCTAAGAAGTAGGAAACTCCGCATCCTCGGCGTCCTGTTGAGAAAAATTTGAAGTATATCCGCCCCCCTTGAGACTTCCCCTCCAAAAATGCACTTGTCACCAGAAATCCTGGCTACTCTGCTCTTCACGAAGAATATGTCTTCTCGTCCTCAAAACTCCTGCACCACGTAGAATAGCATGTACGCCTCGGCATTCAGGACCTCTTTCTCGTCCACCAGTACCACCATACTATCATCCAACCGAAACCACTCGTCGTCCTGCTTCGAGTATGAAATGTAATGCCCGCTGTCGATTTTGCCCTTATGCACGACGACGGAAGAGAGCTCGTAGATTGGAGCTTCGGGCTCGACGGGTGCTTCGTCGGCAGCGTCTTTATCTTTGCTGGATGTTTTGCTTTCGTCGTCATCGTCATCCTTTTTCGAGTCGCCATTTGTGCCTTCCTTGCTTCCTGCACCAGATTTGCTGACGTATGGTGACATGTCCAACACGAATGGGAACCGGACTTTGGTGTCGACCTTTTGACTCTCTTTGCTGGATTTTGAATGCGAAAAGCGTTTGAAGTGGATGGGGATGACTGGTGGCAGACGAGTCAACGAGAGCTTCTTCTTGGCTTCCTTGGGCCCGTCGCATTTGCGGCAGGTGTAGTTTTCGCTCGACAACGTCTCGGCTGATGTATATCGGTCCAGGCATTCGACCAGCTCCACCGGGATCTGCTCCTTCACAGTCTGAGTAGCGCCCGTGAGTGCAAGCTTCTTCTTTTTGACCACAACGCCAGCGCTCTTCACATCGAGACTGAGGTCCATGAAAGCTTCTGATGTGCTGTTCGCAGTTTTGCATGTGCCGCACGTCACTGTGCTCCGCATCATTCCTCCGAACGTTTGGTGTACCACGCACTCGCAATTTTTCGCATCTTTCTTCTCCTCATCTTCCGTATTCGCCTCGTGCAGGCTATTAAGTATGAATCCGAGGTATTCGTGTGCATCTTGCTGGCTGTACCCAGCCAGATTCCCTCCATTTTTCCAGCAGCCTTGTAGCATATGCACTGCACCGTATCCCTCGTGTTTTTCGGCGCCGTAGAAATCGGTGAACATATCGTCAAGGGCACAAGAAGTGCATGCTTCGCGTTCGCATTCGGAGGATCGATGCCCCTCGGAGAGGTAGTATGTGCGGATGAATGGGTTGTGAATAAGCGATTGGAGGATCACAGACATGAAGCATGTCTGACCCATGTTATATAACCCTCTCAGACCTGTTGCAGCACATGGTGTCGTCGCAGTATTGCCCGAAACCAGCTTCTTATCGTTCTCGTCCGTCAGCATAGAGAACTTTCGCTTCTTGGAGGGCGGGGATCGGATGGTCTCGAAGGCGGGGTCATAGACGAAGTCTTTGCACATATGGCAGTAGAGGAAGCCGTTCGCAGACTCCACGGCTATGCTGTGTCAGCCATATTTGTCCACACTCTTTTCGGAATCACCCACCGAAGAGATGGTCTTTGCGATGCGGGTCCCTCGTCACGCTGACATTGGGACATTGCAGACAGAGGTACGTCACCGCACCTGTCACCGCAGGTCCATTTGATCCCTTGTACAGCGCCCAGCTCAAGTTGTCCTCTTTCTGTAGCGACGTGATCGCTTTTTGATATCCCGTGATGGCGCCTTGCCGTGCACTGGTCAGCAGGCTCTTCGTATGCGCTATGCACCCGCGTTAGCTCTCCGTCATCGCCGTTGTATGCTGCACGTGGTACTCACAGCACCCAAATTCGGTCTGCGTGGGCGTGAGCGCCTTCGTATCGCTGGTGCTGGCCTTCTTTAACAGCTTCGGTGCGGAGGAGGACTCGGAGGTGGCCGAAGGGGTTTGCGCCGTCGTCGCCATGGTGTCGTGGCGTACCAGCGCCTTTCCGACGACGTACGCAGCTTCTACCAGCTCATCGCCGGGACGAAGAGGCAGTGGAGTGGATGGGTTTTGCACAGTGCGTGAACGTGAACATGCGCTTCAACTAGCTCGGATGAACTATTGATCGGCCGTGCCTGCCCTAGTTAGCGCCGCACTAAATCCGGGGAAGCGTGCAACGGTGCAGCGCCTTCCGCCACCCCGGTCGTGACATATGACGACAATGCCTTTGTGTGTACATCTACTCCTCCTCTGGCTCTGCGCGCTGAGTGTCATCTTCGTACAATCGGAGACATTGCTCGTGACATTGCTATAAACGTCTCCGCCGGGGCTATCCCTTACTTTGGAGTCTTGCCAATGGACCGGCACAAGCCCGATCCAGTTTACGACGAAGAGTCTGCATAGAGACGAAGAACATGGCGGCGACAATTCAAGCAACGGAGGCATCACCACTCCTCCAGCTCCCACCAGAGCTGCGCAATCAAATCTTTGAACATGTGCTCTGCAACAAGAAAATCCATGTGGCCATGCGACCCACTCAGGCCGAGGAGTCTGGAGGATTTCCTTATGGCTCAGAACCCATCTGGTTCAATGAGCGCTACAAGCCCATGTACTGCGTCTGCTTGAATGGAGACGAATGGGTTGAAGCCTACGAGCTGAGTAAAGCGGACGATCCAGCAGCGCAAAGCTCCAATTTGCAAGCAAAAACGAACGACCACAAAGCTTGCGAGCGAGTCCTGAACGACTTACGATGGCAAGATTTCATGCGCATGCCCTCCGCACAGCATTGCGAGTGTGTGACGAGACCTTGTCCCCATTTTTTCGAGCATCGACGAAATATGATTGCGAAATATGGATCGCCTCCGGAAGGATTGAAGGTCGCTCATGCGAATACCAAACTGGACCTGTCGCTGCTCAGTACATGCAAGAAGATATACAATGAGACGGCTCTCCTACCATACAGTGGTAATACATTCAGTTTCCACGTGCCAGTCGAGCTCAATGCTTTCCTGGATCAGGTCCTGACCCGATCGCAACGTGATGCAATACAAACTTTGTATGTATATCTGGGCGCGCTGAGCCGGCCTACGCTGCCAAACACTGTTCCACGAGATCTGAAGAGACTGCAATGTCACGTCCCGAGTCTCACGCCAGCTGTCATGACAGAAGACATGCATGAAACGCTGGGCCCCTGGAGTCGGAAATTCGAGCAAGTCCAGGTGATCCTAGGGGAAATGGGAAGCAAACCAGCTGGGGAGCAACAAGTCAAGGGACGAAGAGAATTCTCCAGGACTTTAGAGGATCTGTTGACTAAATCTTCAAGCTTCTCGGCGGGGACGTGAGGTTATTTGGCTCTTCGCGCGCAGTCTTCCGCTCCCAGGTCACTCCAGAGCGCCATTAATTGCACGCTCCAGCAAATACGTAGGTCCTTGACTTCTCGGATGTAGGGTTACGACCGACCTTACTGCTTGCACCACGGACTTTCCTGGTCGTCCGTGCTCCGTGTTGCACAAGCACGCTGACCGATGATGACGCGGACGCGGGCGCAGACGCAGAAAGTAGCCCACGCAAGTGGCAACAACTTCTCTTCCACACACCGCCTGTCGCCGCCTTGCCTCCGGTCTCGATCGCCACAAAGGAACAATGTCTGGAATACGAGCTTACAACACGGTGAGCCTTCTGCGGTCATGGCAACGCTGGTAATGTTGCGTGCGTAGGCTTGTCGCCTCAGTGGGCAGTCTGGTGGTGTTGAGATTGCCAGAGCAACGAAAGAGCGAGGCGGAGGCCGCGCACTGCTTCGCGGGCCTCTACTGCAGCAAGGCCTAAGACGGAGTGGTTCCGATCGCGCCGGCTCTACCTCTTGTGACTCGGAAGCGCGAGCTGAAGAGGGCCTTACACGTTCGAATGATGGTTCTCGCTGGTCGTGCCTGGTATAGGTCGTCCGTCGAGAACGCTGGTAAAGCAAGAGAGTGGCCAGAGGAGATCGGCGCACAGCCATTGGTCCTTCATCGCCCTCGCAATCGCCCTCGCAGGTTCACTAGCTCGCGGTGGTGCTTGTTTGCCGTGATCACTGGCGTGCATCGATCCCAAGCACTGGTCTCATCTCGCCCAGTCAAGTCCGTCTTTCCAGCTCTGCTATACTAGCCGCCGGCATTGTTGATTTCGGCAGACTGCATTTCGCAAATTCGAATGTTCCTCCGGCTGACACGAAGTGTTGTATTGCAAACAGAATATTGAGTTTATGATCTCGACTAGCCAAAATTTAGAGTTGCACCTCCTAACATACCATCCGAACACGCCCTCAGTCGCAGCATCTTCCAAATTCGGGAAGCCGGGGACGCCGAACAGATCGTGGCTCATCGTATCTCTACGATACTTCCGGCAGGATCAGTAGACGCATCTAGAGAAACTTTGATCGATGCTGAGACAGCAAGCAGGGCTGAAAGTTCTCGTGCGCTTGGTGCTGCGTTGTGTCGCTATGGCGGGCGCAGATACAGCTCGACTAATGTTATCCTGTATTCTCTGTGGTCTTTGAAACAGACTGATGACTATGCGTTCACGCCGTCTCGTATTCTTTCTCACAGTGGCTTTGCTGACAGGATTGCTACCACCGGAAATGGCCGAAGGTTGCCAGCGTTTCTGTGACTATTCTCGAACGCGTCGACATCATTCCGAAGAGGCCGCCTCGACTCACAGTCGGTGCATGTGCTGCGGTGAAGTGTAGAGAGGAGTAGCTTCAACTGCGGTGAGTCCGAAAAGCGAAATTCGATGATCATGTCTTGAACAGGCATCCCTGGAAAACGTGACCGGCGACGAGCCCTGAGAGACTAAAAGGTCTCCACTTTGATCGTGGTCTGGGGACGGCGCAGATCTTGTGCCTGAACATCACCCTCGCCCAACCACAACACAACCACGTTTCTAGTTTTGCATCATCGGCCTATCAACGAGTGTGCTACCGCTGTCCGTTCCCGGCCAGCACACATGGCCTCTTGAAGTCTACTCTTCCTCCGGACCACGGCACGAGCAGTCATGGACATTGCTCCGTTCACAAATCATCGGCAGCGCTGGCGGCGAGTCTCAGCCGCACCGCGAGCACGAAATGCAAGCACTGATCGCAATGCCGCGGAGGGCATGCATTGCGTCGAGCGCACTCGTGTCCCGTTCGCGAGCGGCCGACGCAACGCTACTGCCACCAGCTCGCGACGTAATTTGTGCAACAGCGAGCATGATCCCAAGTCTCCTGGTCAGATGGAGCGTCATGCGTGCAGCCAGAAAGCCAGTCCTCCGGCATGCTAGTTCGAAGGATCTAGCTGCCGATTGTGCTCGACTGCGTGGGCCACTGACCATGCCCTACAAATGACGGCCCGCTAAACGGCTTTGGCTTCTCTAACGCCTTGGGGTAGTATGTGCTGCTTCTGCCTATGAGGCACCGCGATTATGCGAAGCTGCATCAAGGGCATCGTGCAGTTGCTAGCCAGCTTCCTTCGCGCCGCAGCCGTGCTGGAACTCATCACTTCACGCCCACGGAAGGCTTGCATATATTCTGAGGTCCAGACGCTTGTTGATCCTGCTTACAGCCCTGCCTTGTGAACCTGCATCAAATGCTTCCACCGTACTCACCGCAAGCATTACTCAACAGTGCTAAGTAAAGAACATCTATCAAAGGCCCGTGGATTTTACAGACACCCCAAACCACCATCCATCGTCCCACTCTACGACTAAGCTACCACCAACGTCCTCAGCCGATTGCATCACTACGCAACGCACGGTGAGCTCTGATCATGGCTTGTGCCGGTGTTCTGGGCTCAGGCCTGTTCGAGAGCCTCTGTCCAGACTCGCTGACATTCTCGGTATGTACGGCCTACTCGTTTCGTCTTAGCAGCTTTCAGAACACCAACACCAAGACTAAACATCTAACACGACGACGATGCATCCATCATACATGCTTAGCGATCTTGCCAGACCGCATGTCGAGTGTTGCCAACATCGCGATCCTGCGTGGCTATAGCACCCCTGCTGCAGCGCGTGGGCTGAAAAGAAGATCCACTGACAATTTAACAGCCCTCGCCTGTCTTCGATCGATGGTCATCTAAACGAGTCAAAGCCGACTGTATCGACCCCGAATTGCTAGAGATGTCGGGCTACTACTGGCAACCTCCCGTTTCCTCAGACGAACAGTACTACGACTTCGATCGCGCGTCGCGACTGCCCACGTCAGCAGAAACCCAGAACGCTTTTGCAGCCTTCGCGGCAGAGCTATATGCACTACCCAACGAACAGCAACCCAGAGCCTACAGCACTTATCCTCAAGCGTACCAGCATCCTCAGCAACTTCCGCAATATCAGATACAGATGCCAACCCCCGTGGAGCAACGCCCGCAGCAATGGTATCCTGACGCGTTCACGCCCAATGCACCGCCTGCCATGAACAGAGCATCGTCATTCCCGCAATATACGGAAATGGGCAACTTTGACACAAATTTCGCCCCTCGAGCTGGTGACGTGTCCTTGGGCCACCTTTCACCCCCGATCAACAGGCCCAGAATGTCACGAGCACCATCCGTCACAGAATCTGTAGCAAGCTCTGTACCTAGCACACGGACCGATTTCTCGCGAGCTGTTTCACCCAGTGTAACAGAAATGTCGCGATGGGGCAAAAGGAACAGCGACAATAGCTGGTCCTGTGCATATCCAGGGTGCACATCAAAGTCAACTTTCCATCGCGGATGTGATCTGCGAAAGCACTACAAGAGGCATACGAAATCGCTGTACTGCCGCCACGAAGGCTGTCCGCAGGCCACAGAGGGTGGATTTTCGAGCAAGAAGGACCGCGCACGGCACGAGGCCAAGCACAATCCAACAATCGTCTGTGAATGGGACGGATGTGAGAGACTGTTCAGCCGACAGGATAATATGGTGAGTCAAACCATTTCATGGTCCTACGCCCTATGCTGATGTCTCCGCCTTAGAAGGATCATGTCAGACGAGTACACAAGCGTCGCGTGCACTGAAAGTACGCGTGGCGAAGGATGAGCTGGACGTGTTTCAGAGTCTCACATCTCTTGGAATCAAAAGAGGAGTGTGATTCCATGTTGGTGTCACAATGCAATCACGATGCCTCTCGTCGTTTGGATGCAGTAGTGCTCACGGCTGTTGGATTGCTACGTCACGTCAAAAATGGACCATGAGCGGTCTACTCTTGGTTACACCGCAGCATGCAGAGTCTGCTGACAAGCTACCTCCTCGCAAATCTGCATAGCCACTCCTTACAGGGCGCACTGGGAATCGCACTCGCAACACTCGTATGACGAGGAGCTGCGGACTCGGTCTTGCCGGGAAACACGATTAAGTCGCTGTCGATCCAGGCCTCTCAGCCCCCTTCGAGCCCGCACAAACTGGACTTCCCAATCCGGTAATCCGGAACTCGACTCGCATCGATCGCCTCCCCCAGCAAGAAGACGATCAAAGCTGGACAACTAGCTCATCACAGCGGCAATAGCGCGGAGAAGATTGAGTGAACCTTGAGAACCGGGTCATCATTGTGGCCGATAGGTCCAGCGTTAGAAGCTGCGTACGAGCCATATGCAAGCCACAAATTGCAGGAACATGCGGCTTCGCTCAGCGCCGCAGAATCCTTCTCGAACAGACCGCAGCTGAACAATGGAGTCAAGTGCTTAATTCCGACAAGCAACCGGCCGTGGCTGTGGCTCTGCTGACTTTGCCTGTACGCGGTGAAGTTGACGAAGCAGTAGAGATTTTAGATGACTGTATGTACAGTGTGCACTGAACGATGCTTCACCCATCATACCACGTGCCATGCTTCGAGCGCTATTGTGCCGTGGATGCAATCCGCGACTCTGAGAATGTGTCGGATATAACTCCATTCTATCAAAACTGTATTCGCCAGTTGTATGCAGTTAATGCAGTCTCCTGTGCAAGCGTTCGCACAGTTGGCCGAAGGCTTTAGGGCTGTGAGATCGGCAACACTGGTCCATGCTGAACAACGTGGGAGCTCGCTAAGTCTTGCTGCTTGCCCCAATCTTTCCTTGGAATCGCTCGGAGTCAGAAAGCTGACAGACGTGTGGACGGAGAATCCCATATAAGCTGAAAAGCTAATCTGCTGACATAAGAGTTCAAGGCTTTGACATGACGGAGCTTGTGGAACTCTATCGCGCGGTATGAATCAAGAGACTTCGCGCTCACAAAGTTGTGTGTATGCCTTGGCGTTAAGTGGTTGATCAGAGTACGGTTGTATGGATGATCTTCGATAACATACTCCCAAAAGCTGCAAATGAAGGATAAAACTTCACACCTGCCAATCACGAACTGGTTGTAGCCGACACGACTGTCGTGGAATACTTCGTAACAAGCGTCGGAGTCGGCTCCCATGCTGTTCTCTTTGTCGAAGTCGTTCCCCACTTCTCCGAAAATTCAGGATACAGCGAACGGTATCTTCCTGTCGGACTCCATTCTGGAAAGGTAGCCCATGAGGGCGGCACTTCGCTTGTTTCGGCAGGATCGAGAATTGCTGTTGAGCCTACCATCGTCACGGTCTGCGACCAAGTCGACATTGCGAGGATCAGATCGCCATTTGGCATCGTTGCGACACGGGTGCCAGGGAGGAGAGCTGTTTGTGTTGTTGTGGAAGGCGGCGGGACTACGACGGTAGAGTACATTGTTTTCATTGGTGGCCGGGTGTGGGTATTCTTTGCGATGGAAAGTTCGTTTGTGGCGTCTGTGGGTGGCATTGTCCAGGTACTGACGCCCGTGGGCCAGCTGGTGGGCCAGGTACTGGTGTCTGCCTTGTCGTCCCAGATTGTGCTGACGGTGGGTTTCAAATATGGATAGTATCTTGTTCGCTCCGTTCCGCTGACTTTGCCTGTTGCGGTGCCCCAGTCGAAGGTCGAAGCATAGTATGTACTGTAGTAAGGTGGTCCATTCCAGCTGGTTTGCGAAGATTGGACTGCTTGGTGCTGGTCATACGCTCTCAAGCAAGCTTTGTATCCGTCGTTTGGCCACGGGGGATACTTGTTCTGGGAACCGGGCGTCGGTTGTATCCAATTGCCTTTCTGGTCTTTCTTCCAGGGCAGCACTGCAGGCCATTGAGGTTTGGTCTGCTCGCAGCTACTGATCACCGTCCCCGGCGTGCCGCACCATCCATATTGGAAGACTTCGGTCCACGTCTCGCAGCCAGTCAAAGCACTGAGTTCATGGACTTTGAGCCACCAGTAAGGATCAGTGTCATGATGCTTCTTTGCATTCCAGTAGTCGGTTGTGTTGTATTCTAGATCCATAAATGGATCATATTTGCACTGAGAATCGTATTCCCAGTAGGGGTTTCTCAGGTCGAAATAATCCATTTTGTCCTTCATTCCAGGTTTGCCTTGCGCTCTGAAGTTGAGGTACGGGCCTTTGGAGAGGAGGCCCGTGTGGCCGTCAGGATTCAAACGAGGGTCTTCGCAAAAAGGTTCTAGAAAGCATGAAGAGTCAGTGGGCATGCACAACTATCATAATTACGTGGCGCTCGTCAAGCGCTGTTCGAAACAGCTACATGTCGAGGGCCCGGGTGCAGAGTCGATCTTTGTACGTACTAACGATTGCAAGGTCGTACCCAGTCGGTCCGTTACAATACACCATTACGGAACGTCCCACACGGTCAGTATCGTCGGCGTCTACCACTGAAAGTCAGCCAAATCCCATAATTCAAGCAAGAAAGAATCAGCTCGCACTTACTGGAAGCCGGTAAACAGTTCGTAGTCTCCCCTGTCGATTTGTTCCGGTCCTCGAACGTCACCAACTTGTGTCCGTTGCACTCCTCTCCCTCATAAATCGCCAGCGTACAGTTCCAAATCGTCTGGTCTTTCGATTTCGGGTGTTCAGGACGAACTGGCATTTCAAACAGCAAACTTTGGAATCTGTGTGTGAAGCTCTTGCACCGGCCTGATTGAAGTTGATATTGTCCGAGTTCAGCATCTTGGCGGGAACAGCCGAATTCCCACCAGGTTTTCAAGTCGAGCTTGTCACCGTTGTGGGAGGAGCTGAGCCCCTCCCAGTTGTTTGTGTTGATTCCTGGATGGTAGGGACGATGGGGATTGCCGCCAGCGACGAGTAAAGGGAGAACTGCGAGCAGCACGGCAGGCTTCAACAGCTTGCGCATCTTTCTCCTGTTCTAGGTGTGATATGCTCGGTCCTGACGTTGCTCTGCCTGTAAGCTCGGGATCTAGCTACGATAAATTACTATAGATCGTTAGTGCACTCGAGCATATCTCTTTTCAGCAACACAAGCGAGGGTCAGCTCGTTCAAAAAGATCTGCCATGTGGACTTGTGCTCTGCCAAGCCATAGTACCATGGGTGGCGTAGAGACTCCGCTGTGCTTCCCGTGAACTGTGCTAAATGCCTGAGGCTTGATCTCGACCAGATCCTACTCGCTCAACGGGACGACTGTACAGCGGGAAGTCGCTCTTGGACACATCGGCAGCATCGTTCTGGGCAACCGTGTGCCCACGCGTACCTTTCCGTTGGAGAACATGTCTTGGAGACGAGAAGGTCGCCTCGGTAACTAGCTCTGCGAATTGAATTGATAATCTCCGATGCGACGAATGAGAATAGCGAGGGTCGCAGAGGTAATCCACTGTTATACAGATGTCAGTGCCGCGCAGAATTGCGGCGTGAAGGGAAGTATCTGCTCACCGCACTTTTACAACCCTTTTCAGCTCTTAGTCAACACGCCGGATTTCTATTGCGTGCCTTCGGGCCCAGGATGAAGACGAAGAAAAGCGAACAGCTGAGGACGCCTGCTGAGGTTGCAGTGTGAGTCTCTCGCCAGGTGAAAGCAGCTTGCCAACATGGGCGGAAATTGAGAGGCTCGCATCGAGGGGTGACTTGCTAACGAACACAGGAGACACTTGCGTTTCCTGGTCCTGGCATAGCGAATGGGCTCTGCAGTCGTGGGTGGAGATGAGGCGATGGATACGGTGGCAGCGGTGCTCGTCCTAGGTTCGGTAGCCACTGAGAAGGAGCGCTCGAGCCATATCTGCAACGGATCCCGGTCTCAGGAGTCCATCTGCCTTCATCCACATAGAGCTTCATAGAAGAGCCAGATTGGCAGGTCAGGTCATGTGAACGTCAAAGAAAATACCGGGCTTATCTATACAGTCAGCCTGTTCTACACTTCCGCCACTTACCCACAAAGTAGCAGCATCTGGCCTGAATGTTCCTTTTTATTGGTTGGCTTTACCTCCCCTTCTTCACCCAATCCTGTACACTCTCCCTCACACCTTGCACTTTTTCTTCTGCCATAGCTAATCCCATCTGGCTGTGCGCCTTCCCGGTCTCAATGAAATGCCTGATGCCATCTCTGGCTCTAATGTGATTATCCGCAATCACGGGGAACTTCTTCTCGTAATGCCATGCCAAGTTGCCGACGTTCTCTGTTGTTCGTGGGACGACGTAGTTGGCTGTGACGACTCCTGTTATGATGGGCGTCGCGAACCGGAGGAGAATGTTGCGGTTCCGTGAAACGATGCTGCCGGCCATTGCTGCGACGAGCACGTATATACCGCCTGGGAGGAGCTTCTCGTTGCTCTCTTTGGGCGGGGCGAGGGAGGCAATGGTCGAGGTGAAGCTATGCTCCGCGTCCATGAAGCGGGTCATGCCATTGTTGACTGCATCTTCGGCACGGACTGCGTAGTCGTGTAGCGCCAGACGACCGTTTCGAATTTGGGCGGCGAGCTTATCGGTGGGTGTTGTTCGTCGAGGAGTCGCGCTCTGTTCGTGTCGCTCTGGTTCGGGTTTGGTGGTTATGCCAGAGGCTGGAGGGGGAGTCGTGTGGGCAATTTCGCGCGGTGAAGGCTCGTCGTAGTCATAAATGGACTTTCTCTTTCGCTATTTGTTCGGTCAGTCCTCGTTCCCAGCGCGATCTTCTGTTCATCGTACAATCTCTTTCACGGGATCCGCTGCTGGCTCTTCTGCAAATGCGCTGCGCTTGGGTAGGACAGCCAGACCGGCGACGAGGCCACCCAATGGCAGAAGGTGCTGGAGTATGTTAGTGCCCATCTCATCAACTTGGCCAGTGTCATTCCTCACCTGCCGCAGTAATGGAGCAGCCATGGCGTATGTTGCTCTGTCCAATGCCTCGCTCAACGTCCACGAGACGCTGCTGATCGGAGCTGCGGGAGGCCTCGGGAGAGCCAGGCTTGGCATCGATCATCGCCTCGCCTCGCCTGATCCCAAGTGGTCCTCTCTCCTCTCACATCGCACAGACGAGCGGCAGCATGAAACGGGTGGCACGGCAGTGGACATGTCCCTCATGTGCACTGCGCCAACCGCGTCGAGGTCTGGTCACTTCGACGCGCGCCAAGGGAGCTGCAGCCGCTGCAGCAGCGGCGACCGACGACTATCGACCCGTGTCGAAAGCAGATCCATCCATTGCCCACGATGACAGAACATTGAGGCAAGTCTTTGATTCGCCCGACTTCTGGAAGGACTTCTCATCAAAGCAAAAGTATCACTATGGAGGGAACAAAAATGCGGGTCTCTTCCAGAATCGATACCTCTACGAACCGGCCGGATTCGAACGATGGGCGAACGATGTGTTGCAGAAGTGCCAGAGGATCGTTGCAAAAGTGTTACAATATGATTCCGTGGAGCAATACAAGCGCATCGCTCGAGATATGGACAGACTGAGCGACTTGCTGTGTCGTGTCATCGATCTGAGCGACTTCATTCGCTCCGTTCATCCGGATCCAAAGATACAAGCGGCGGCGAGTCAGGCGTATGCGATGATGTTCCAATACATGAATATTCTGAACACAACGAGGGGACTAGATACTCAGCTAAAGCGAGCTCAATCGACACCAGAGGTATGGGAATCGTGGAGCCCAGAGGAGCAAACAGTAGCGGATATCTTGATTCGAGACTTTGCGAAAAGCGCAATAGAATTGCCCGAGCAGCAAAGGCAGGCCTTTGTGGATATTTCAGATGACATTGCGGTGGTGGGAAATGACTTCGTGGACAAGATGACTGCCGAAAAGCCAGTCCTGTCGATCGAGAGCAGCCGAATGAAAGGCATGGACCCCGTGTTTGTGAGGCAACTGACGAAATGGGGACGAGTGAACTTGCCAACGGAAGGAATGCCAGCGACTATTGCGTTACGGACGGTAGAGGATCCGGATACACGACAGGAAATCTACATGGCCAATAGGATTTCATCGACTGCCAACGTTCAACGATTGGAGCGGCTGCTGAAGAAGCGTGCAGAATTGGCAGACTTGTCAGGATACGACAGCTTTGCGCACATGACGCTCACGGACAAGATGGCCAAGTCGCCCGAAGCTGTAACGTCATTCTTGAATGGCCTAGCTCAGGTCAATGCACCAAAAGTGCGGGAGGAACTGCAGGAACTGCTGGAATTGAAGAAGAGCGATGCTCAGAGGGGTGCGGACAGACTCAATGCTTGGGACCGGGACTACTATACGGCCCAGCTCCTGCAGTCAATGCGTTCGAAAGCACGAACTCCAGACTTTTTGAGCGCCTACTTCTCTCTGGGCACCGTCTTTCAAGGGCTCTCGCGTCTCTTTCATCGCCTCTATGGCATCCGTCTCGTGCCTCATCAGACACTACCGGGAGAGACATGGAACGAGGACGTGCGACGCCTCGATGTCATCGACGACCACGAAGGCCATATTGCAGTCATCTATTGCGATCTGTTCGAGCGACCAGGAAAATCGCCCAATCCAGCACACTTCACACTTCGATGCTCACGTCGGATCTCCGAGGAAGAGATGCATGAGGCGGCAGAAGTCACCTCGCGACCCAATTCTCCCTTCGCGACAGCACAAGAAGCAGTAAACGATGGCTTAGCCACCAACTTCAACCCGCGCGACAACAACGCCCTCTATCAACTCCCCACCATCGCTCTCATTTGCGACTTCTCCATGCCAGCATCCTCTACCTTCTCCCGCCAGCGTCCAGCACTTCTTACTTTCCGCGAACTCACGACTCTCTTCCACGAAATGGGCCACGCCTTACATTCCATCTGTGGCCGCACCGCTCTGCAGAACGTCTCCGGAACCCGCTGCGCGACCGACTTCGCCGAACTTCCTTCCGTCCTAATGGAGAGTTTTGCTTCCGCGCCGGAAGTCCTCGCCCTCTATGCCCGCCACTGGGAGACCGACGCCCCGCTCGATCCCGCACGTGTCCAGGAACGCGTGCAAATCGATCGCAGAATGCAAGGCGCCGAGACAGAGTCACAAATTCTGCTTGGCATGCTCGATCAGGAATTCCATTCTTCTGCTCCTCTGTCTTGGACTCGCGATGGTGAGTCTACAGAATTATACCATCGCGTCTGGAACCAGTATTCCGCTATTCCCGAACCCCGAGGAACGTCTTGGCAAGGTTTCTTTGGGCATTTGTTTGGGTATGGTGCGACGTACTATAGCTATTTGTTCGATCGCGCTATTGCGGGGAAGATTTGGAGAGATGTATTTCAGCGGCAGGTGGGCGATGCTGTCAACCCGGAACGGGGACAGGTCTTCCGTGACGAGGTGTTGAGATGGGGTGGAGGGAGGGATGGATGGAAGTGTGTGGCGGGTGTGTTGGGAGAGAGTGAGAAGAGAGAGGTTTTGGAGGAGGGTGGTAAAGGGGCTATGGAGAGGGTGGGGTTGTGGGGTGTGCATAACTGAAGGGCCAGAGGGATTGGGAAGATTGAAAATCATGAGATGGTGTACATATGTATGAATGCAAGTATTGCGTGCATCGCGCTTAGGTCGTGAGGGAACATTAGATTTATAGATCAATACATTATAGCATGTACAGCTCTATCGTGTTGAGTGGTCTTCGGGTCGCCGTTCCTGCTGCCAGCTTTTTTGTTCTGCCGCTAAATGCTGTTTCGTCGTAACGCCGGTACTCTTGATCGCTGAATTGATCGCTCACAGCTGGCTGGGCAGTCATGTCCTGTTCCTCGATCGCTAAGTCAAAGCGGATCGAGCTCCAGAAAACAGACAGCACTCGCGCCACTGGTTTTTTTGTCGCTCAGGACTGGGCTTGCGTGGTCTTTGGCTGCAGGTTTCCGTTCTGTGCTCCCTCAAGACTTTGTCGATTTAATGGTGTTGAGTCCGAACGCGCGGCAACTCCCGCACACATCAGCTGCAGTTAGCTTATGAATTTGCGATGAGAGCGTAGCATGCAATCAGGTGGTCAAAATGATTTTGGACTTCCCACATGGTCATGCACGTGGTATAGGGCAATCCCAGGAAGTGTTTGTCGGGGCCATGATTGGCGAATGTTAAGCAAACCCCTGTGCTCCACGCATATTGGCAACATTTGCAATCTGCCACTGCCCTTCGCCGTTGCGCTTCCATTTGACCACACTGATTGTTTGTCGACAGAGTGTTGAAGGGTAGCCTGTGACTTCAAGGAGAGCGAATGTTGTGCCGAGACCCTTACACTCGTCGGCATCCACTGCAATGTCGACGATCCTCGACTGGAACTCCGGGTTTTCTGCTACGATAGCTTTGTGGTCAACCATGTGGCCTTTGAAGTCGCTGTTCCGCACGTTGCCATCCTGGTTGACTTTGATCAAATTGGGAGAGATGAGGCCGGACTGTGCAAGTTCTACAAAGCGGCGCTCGTTGTACAATTTGATGCCGACTGCTGTCAGGCGTTCCAGTTCCTTGGTGAGCGCATTGTCTGTCTTCGGCAGGTTGAAGTACTTGGACGAGCGGTCGAAATTGGGAAGGAGGAGATTCAAGGATGTCGTGGGCTGGCGAGGCTTGGACGGCTCAGCTGGCGTCAGTGGCGAGTTGGAGGCGTTGCTCATGCTCGCGCGTGAAGAGTGGCGGTGGAACGGTACCGTGGCGGGTCAGCTCTCGTCCAGTCTGGTAGGTGGGTGTAAACTTGATTTCGCTCTGCGAATTGGCCCCGCATCATCTGCTCTCAGTAGCTATATCGTCCTGGTGGGATATGTCAGTCTCCCGGGCATGTATATAACCCGAGACAATGGAGCGACGAGAGAGCAGTGCGTTCCGTCCGACGCTCGTCCTTCCGCACAAACGGCGGAGTACCTGGGGTGAGGACGCCTTGCGCAGGCAGGCTGATCATGTCGGCACGCCAATCCTTCGTGGACTGCAGCTCACCGAAGAGGACTGGGCGACGATCCGGACTGCTAGTTAGCGGCTGGTGAGCGGTGCGGCGCGAAACCTACTGCCTGCTTGATCGCAACGGCGGGTCCTATTTTCCATGTCGGCACGCGTCGCGGCGACTTCACCTCCTGCGATGGCATTATTTGTGATTGCTTTGGTCGGTGTGCAGAAGCGAGCTTCATGACGACGGAGACGAGCGCGGTTTGGCAAAGCTGCTGCGAGCTGGGACCGCTCGGCAGCTCCGTCGTCTCCACTGCCGCCGCCACCCACCCAGCTGCCGCCTCGTTCTCGACCACTCTCGCCCACGCGACAAAGCCGTGGCAGCCCGGCCAGCACGACGCAGAACAGCGATACCATGCTACCACGGCTGTGCTGTCGTCGCGCGCTGCCCCGGAGCGGCGCCGGTGGCCATCGCAGCGCGTGTCTCGGCGTGTCTGCTGCCGCGGTTTGAGCGAGCCGACCAGACGTCGCATCGCGATGCGCGAGGCGTCATTCTGACCTTTGCATGGCCGTGGGCGCAGGGGC